ACACTCAATACCCAGTTCTCCCGCTAACGCATGCGTTTTCACTATATTTGCATACTCCAGCCTCGCTATCTTGAGTGCCTCTTGCTTCCCCAGCTCGCGCACGTGACCGACGTAGCTAAGGTAGCTGGCAGCTTTTGTGTGGCCTCCGTTACGACCAGTGGCACCGGAACAGATTTCCCGTGCTTCTAACATGGCGATGTGGGCGGAGGGAGAGGATCTGAAGATGTTGAATGCGATCATGGTGCCCGAGATGCCAGACCCGATGATTAGGTGTGTATAGGGTGTGGTTGGGCTGTCGGTAGAGGGTTCTTGGGTTTTTGCTAACGGGGACTTGGGATTGTGCCAGTAGGAGGGAAGGGGGGAGGATATGGGGGGACCGACGGGGATGCGGGAGCGGGTGTCCATGGTGAGGGTTTTGGTGAATATAATGTCTGGTGTGATTCTCGTGAAAGTTGGAAGAAAGGAGCAAGGCTCCTTTAAATTTAAAGGGAGATGGTATGGATAAGGATCGTAGGTTAAGGTAGCGTGTTGTCTCTATGTCGCGTGGGGAAGGTGCCGGCTGTACATGCTTGTTTGCGTTAGCGATCACGTGAGACGCTATTCACCCGGGATCATACATCACCAACTTTAACCATCCTAGACTTGAGATCTCTTGTATTGATATCTGCTTAGGTATGATGCAAACAGTGAACGACCTGGGTTGTCAATGGATTTGAAGAATTCAAGGGCCGGCTGCGTAGAAGACAGCAATCAAGTTCTACCATGTTGAAGACGACATGTATCAATGCATAGCGGATTTCGCAATTTCTTAGTACCCCACGCCAACTACATACAATAAATGGAAATGAAGTTTACACAAGGCAAGTGGGTCTATTGACGAATACAGACATCTGTTGCCGATAGCCCGGGTCATAATTCCCCGCTTGTCGCCATCTAACCTCACCACATCGATATCGCAGCGGTTTTCATGGAAGCTTACACTCAATGCAAAGGCTATCGCAAGTCTCCTCGCATCTAGCGCACCCGTTGGGTTCCAGCGACTTCCCGACTAAGCTGAGCACCACTACCCCGCGTCAAGCCGATCGCGGCGTTCCTGCGTCCCGGAACATCACCACCATGGCGAAAACAAAGGTTGTCGTCACTCGCCAACTCATTGACGAAGCTCAAAAACTGCTGGATGCTAAGAAGGAAGAGTTGGAGATTATCCAATGGCAGTCTGAAAAGGTGCGTATGCGATAAGGTGATGAGGGTTTAGTTTGCTGACTGCAAACCACCGTAGCCATGCGATCGATCGTGGCTTCTCGAAAATGCAAAGGGTGCAAGTGGTATTCTAGTCATGCTCACGGACAAAGTCGACGAAGAGCTTCTACAAGCAGCAGGATCTCAACTCAAGACAATTGCTTCCTTTTCCGTCGGCACAGACCATGTGGACCGCGAGGCGCTCAAGAAACGCAGTATCCGTCTCGGTTACACGCCCACATGTCTCACAGACGCCGTAGCAGATCTCACCGTCATGCTCATCCTGATGGCGCAGAGAAGAGGCGGAGAGTGCATTGCAAAAGTGACAAGAGGGGAATGGCCACAGATGCCATGGCACCCGCTGCTCATGACCGGGCCCCAGATCCGCGGGTCCACGATTGGTTTCCTGGGCTTCGGGAGAATCGCACAGGCTTCGCTGCAGAGACTGTTGCCGTTCGGTATTAAGCGCGTCATTTACCTTACGTCTAAACCCGGCCAGCCCGTCAAGGACGACCACTTCAATCTCCTCAAAAACCCAGCCATCACCATCGAACCAGCCATCAGCGCCGAACAACTCGCCCAAGAAAGCGACGTCGTCATCGTCGGATGTGCGCTTACCCCCGAAACCAAACATCTCATCAGCACGGATTTCTTTGCTCAAATGAAGAAATTGGCTGTCATTGTTAATATTGCGAGAGGGCCTATCATCGACACTGATGCACTGGTGAAGGCGCTAGACCAAGGAGCTATCTTCGGTGCTGGCTTGGATGTTATTGAAAATGAACCGAATATTACGGCAGATCACCCGATTTTAAAGCAGCCAAGGGCGGTGCTGGTGCCACATATTGGGAGTGCGACGATTGAGACCAGGGAGCAGATGGCGACGGAGAGTGTGAAGAACTTATTGGCGGGGCTAGAGGGGGGTAGGATGATTAATGAGTTGGAACTTTGATGTGTTTGATCCGTATCAAGTCCAGACAGAGGTCGGTGTGTGTTCCTACAAGCTGATCATACAACCTTGTTCTATCGATCAATATGCCGCCTCTATGCTTGCTGGACACAATACCGAGTGCAATCATGCAGTGCATGACAACCTGTCGAGAACACCAAACCCACATTTTAGTCACATGCAAGGAATGTTATGTGAACTCGACGAATTGTTTTATTTAGGAGACTGTATATTGCAGAGTTGGTCCTTTATGAGCGTTTCCATACCCTCACCACCTGCCTTTGTGTATAGAGAAAATAATGGCCATTGATAACTTTGGAATGGAGCAAGAGTTCAGTACCCCGTAGGCAGCTGGCATCAAGATGTTGAATGAATCCTAGCGACTCGGTAGAAAAGAAAAGAACTTGAAAAAAAAACATATATAGTGGGCATTTACACCACTCTTTAGGCTTCAGATGCAATAGGCAGCGACTTACGAAGCCCTGAACCGGCGGGAATCACAGGACTCGGATATTCCTCGAGCAAATTCAGTAGAGACTGTACAATGTAGGGGCGAACGTGGTCCGGGACATCCAGGACGCCGAAGAAATTGACGCGCATGACTTCGAGGATGACCAGAATAGCTGCATATAGAGCGTAGTTGCCGATGTTGTCAGAGTCCTTTACGTTGACCCCATATGACTTTGCAAATGTATCTTCAACAATGAAATCGATGGGGTCGACCAATGTCGGACATGCGATTTTGGCGATGTCTAACACGGCCACTGTAGGAACCACGGTCCAAGGTTCCTTCTCGGCTATCATTCCTGGGCATACGGTCTCTCCATGGAGGATCCAGATAATCGGGCTACATCCCGTAGGTGTAGCTGACTTGGATATTTCCTTATGGTGTTCTTGTCAAAAACAATCATGCCAAATTCTGAGACTTTGTCGGTGTCGGGAATAGAATTGGATACGATGGTGACCATGAGCGCCTCATCCAAAAGACCGTGTTCCTTGTTGTTGAGAAAGAGACTCAAAGCCAGAAAATCGTGGTCAGGCATTGAGGTGAACTGCTCTCGGAGCTCTTTGAGAGCCTCTTCGCTGTGTGGCACTGACGCTGACAGGACTTTGTCGTATGGCCGAGACCAGGTAATTGAAAAAAAAATACCATGACTGTGCTAGAAGAGAGGAGAGTGGTGTAGAAGAACAAAAGCGAGGTGGGCGGTTTATATGCTCATGCCAAGGCCGTAAGTAGTGCTAAATAGCAGGTGAAGGTGAGTCCGTCGCCTTCCATTTGCTTCTTGTTGAGCAGTGGTGAGCCGCCGTAAAAGCGGGGCTGAGCAGCAGGTGAAGGTGAGTCCATCGATGGCTGATCATCATTTTTAGCTACAGCCGCCTCGATGTTTTGTAGTGAGCAGCATCATAAGTCTATAAGCTGTTTAAGTGAACAAAAAAGATGCAATTCCACATATGGAACCGAGTGGTTTTGTCTCGTAACGATATCGGGGTAAAATTGTAACGGGCTGAGCCCTAGGTCACATGACTAGGCCGCTGGCCTAGTCGCTTCCTTCCTTCTATCACTCCTTCCCCCAGCAGCCCGTGCACCGTGCGCCGCGCGCCAACCCAAACAAAGCGGGATGGCCGCTCACTTCCTCTTCTTCTCTTCATCTCGACTGTAAATAGCATCTGGATTAGGTAGCTGGAATACAGTACCTACAGACCGTTCACAAAAATGTTAAGAACACACGAGGCTGTGCGTCTTTCGCCTCGAGACCTCAGAGCTTCAGCAGCAAGGCATTCTTCACTCTTCCGCCATAGTTTAGGTCATTGTACCGTTGTAGTGCCGCATATGTGAGCGAGAAAATTAGCCACAACTCAAGCAGAGCCCCGATGACCAGGGCGGTGATAAGAGCTGGATGTATTGTATATAGTTGAATGAGAAGTATGCCTAGGATTCTGAGGCTACCGATGACAGTGTATCCTGTTCGCTGAATGTGGTATTGGTAGTGTGGGCGTGATGGCTACGAGGGGCTGTTAGGTGGCCGATGCAATTTCCTCCTGGCAGTCTAGGTGGCAAGACGCTATTACAAAGGGGTCGCGTGATGGTGCAGATGTATAATTTAGTGAGCCTTGGGGAAGTTGAGAGCGCGGTAATAACAATTAGTTATTGAAACGTTCAATTATCAACCGACCTTGGCTTTTTTATCGTGTCGACCATTCTTACTGAGCCCGATCGTATCATGTTACTCATGGGCGGGTTTGGCAACAAGACTGGGGTGAGCAATATACCGGATAAGATGCCTATTGTGTAAGCGTCTGTCCGGGAGATGGAGAAACTTATGAATGGGATGATTTAGAAGCGTTGAGGTGCATCCTAAAGTTTGTGTAGGGTAGCATTGTGATTTTACCGGAGAAAGACGGACTGGGACATGCCTAGGCTGTCTCACACGCGCATTAGATCATAGCATTAGGGACAACCTGATCTATAATTTTGTTACATAATATCAACTTCCAGTACCTAATCTTTGTCAGGCTTCCATGTGCTCAGTGATACAAAGCAACATCACACCCGGGGGCCGCGCTAGTCACCCGGCCCTTCCCGGCACTCCCGCCCTCCGTCTCTCCAACAACGCTCTGCAGTTAACTTCTTCGGATCCCCGCGTTCCCTGCATAAACACAGCCTGATCTTCGTATCCGGTGTAAATCTGACTACACGTCTTAACCCAACTTAAGAGCTCCAATAAGCGAGTCGGCCAATCAAAACGTCGCAGGCTCAGCTGCGGCTGACTGAGACTTCGGGAGGCGTCACGCCACAACTTGAGCAAATATTCCCACCTTCGGAAACTTGAGTATTTCCGACGAGAGCACATACCTCACTTTGATCATGAAATCCGGAAGATTGAGGCGGGATGAGGCGTTTAAAAAGGAGGCGGCGCCATGGTGTGAGACTTGAGTAAAGCACATTACTGCTGTGTTCAAGCCTTTCAAAATGCAGTTTTCAACCTTGATATCGTTGCTTCATGTTTTGTCTGTTTCCGCGCTCGGATGGAATATTTCGATTGATGGCTGTGAGGCTCTCTCCTCAGTGTTGCCGAATAATACCTTTTACTCCTCGGCGTCGACATACAATGCCTCCATCGTATCCTATCCATTCCTTCAGCTAAGGTTACACCCGTACTGCATCTTCAGGCCCAGTTCTGCGCAGGATGTAGCTACCGCCGTCACTGTGTTGAAGGACAGTAATCATACCAAGTTCGCGATCAAGGGCGGAGGGCACAATGCGAATGCCGGCTACAACAACATTCAGGATGGTGTTACGATTGACATGCAGAGTCTAAAGAACGTCGAAGTTGCAAGAGGTGATCAAGTTGTGAGAGTTGGAGCAGGAGCGTTGTGGCAGAACGTGTACGATGAGGCAGAGAAGCGTAACCTGACCGTGCTCGGAGGACGAATCGGGGTTGTGGGAACCGCCGGTTTCCTAACTGGAGGTACGTCAACACCATCTTATACCACTCAGTGATACTAAATACTACTTCGTAGGCGGCATATCCTTCTTCAGCCCCGAAAAAGGCTGGTCTTGCGACCACGTCGTAAACTTCCAAGTAGTCCTCGCCAGCGGCGAAATCATAAACGCAAACATCACTTCCCACTCTGACCTTTTCGCCGCCCTGAAAGGCGGGCAAAATAACTTTGGCATCGTTACACGCTTCGATCTAAAAGCCTACCCCGCAGGCCCCCTCTGGGGCGGCAGGATAGTCTATGCCCCCAACGCCACCATTTCTCTCCTCCAAGCCTTCACCAACTTTAAACTCGGTGATTACGACCCCTACGTCGCAGGCTGGGTCACCATACGCTACAACCACACAGCTTCGATCTTCAACCCCGTAAGCATCATGTGGTACACCAAAGCCTCGCAGAAGCCCGGCGCGCTAAAAGGCATCGTGGAAGTCCGGCCGCAGATTACAAATGGCATGGTCGAAGCGCCCATTAGTGAGCACACAAGAAATGCATCAAGGCAGGTTATTGCGAACCCGCAACGCACGATTTGGGCTACGACTTCGTTTTATATAAATCCGACGATTGTGCAGAGCATCCACGCAAAGTGGAAGACGCTCGTGCTTGAGATATCGGAACAGTACGCCTACGCTAAACCAGTCGCTGAACTAACGTTCCAATCGCTTCCCGCGTCTCCTCGTAACGGAAGCGCACCTAATAGTATGGGCTTTTCACCTGAGGAGACGCCAGAGAAGAATGTGGTTTTTTTGCAGCTTGTATTCACCTTCGAGGCTGCGGCTGCAGACGAGGGGTTTAGGGAGGGACTAAAGGACTTGTTGAAGGCGGTGGAGGATGTGGCTAAGGGGGAAGGAGTGCTGCATCGTTTCAAGTATTTGAATTTTGCCGAGTCTTTTCAAGATCCCCTGGGGGGTTATGGGGAGGTGGAGTTGGAGAGGTTGAGGGGGGTTGCGAGGAAGTACGACCCTCAGGGAATGTTTCAGACGCAGGTTCCGGGTGGGTTTAAGGTTTTCTGATTGGCGTGGGTGTGGTAGTGCAGATATGTTAAGATGTCGTTTATCCTTGTTGTAATTTGTAAAGCTATGTAACGTGTGTGTATGTGAAGAATTTCAACGTATAAAGCAATAAAAGGTTACTATGCGTGCAGAGAGACGCGTGAATGTGTGTGGTCGAATACGTCGTTGTATTAGACAATAAAGATATCCAGTACCGAGTGCTGTAAGATTCAAATACATACATGCACCACTGGATGTGGTCGATATGGTCGCGATATAATCTGCTCGCCAATATGTGCTCAGTATGCCGATGATTGCTACACACTTCACAGCCACGCCTTTCGAACGGCGCTCTGAACCTTCAATATCGCGCTCACATATAGGGATCCTAGCTGTAGAACGATGCCCCATTTGGATAGAATGGTACCATGTTGCAGCCATCACAAGTTTGCAACTTCCATACTGGTACGTTGTCGGTGGCAAATGCTCCCTGCAAACGGTCTTTTCCTAACTTAAATGTTTGCAATGATCATATACTTTCCTGCATTCTCAAGTGACGCTAAAGGATTATTGTAGTGGTGACCCCCAAGATCCTTCTGGGACATCGGGAACTTCATTGACGGCTATGTTTTCTTGTTCGAGGTCGATCTTGCGGCAGAGCTCATTGTACTGGAATATGGAACCAGTGTTAGTCAACTGCAAAAAAACATTATCTGGTGGAGCCTTTCGGAGCTGCGAAGCTAGTTGATGAATGAGAGTGTATTGAACCTCTACGAGATAGTAAAACGGGTTGCTATCGGATTCAGCCTCTGGCAGGTATTGATGGAATCAGACAACTGAAGAAGGGAAGTAGTCCCCAACATGATACGACAATAAATCCTATATATCGCGATTGCAAATGATAAGTGTAATACTACGTTGTGCTATGCACAACAGAGACGGGTATATATAACGAGTGAAAAACCGAGCCCAAAGATGTCGCAACGCAGTTCAAGCCCCAAAATGGTCTAAACTACAAGAAACTGCACCCGCATCTAAACCATATCTTTTTCTTTTTCGCCCACAATGTGTACCTCTAGAGGCTCAACCTCAATATCGTCTGTGGAGAAGGTTCTGGTTCGCCTGAACACCGCTTCCTCCACACTGTCATACACAATTGTACCCTTCTTTCCCTCCTTCCCAGCATCACATGCATTGATTAGGGTCCAACCAAATCTCACAAAGCGTTCTCGCACCCGCTCATTGAGACCGACAAGCCGTAGTCGTACGTTCTTACCACCATATGCTTCGATATCTGCTTTCAGGTCTTTCAGCGCAGTCAAACCGGTAGTGTCAATGTTGTGCATGGCGTGCAAATCAAGCACCACGTTGCGTATCTGCATGGGCTCGTCAAAGATCCCTGCTTGGTTGCGTAGACGGTTGGCGCGGTCTTTACCAGCCACGCTCCAGGTACGGTTCGCCCGCGCAGTCTCCAACGTCGTGAGGTCACCGGAATTGTACGTCTGCACTGTGTCGAGACATTGGTTTTTGATGTGAAAAGCGTTGTAAAAGAGCATAGATTGTGAAATGCTAAAGACTTGTGTGTGGAGCGGGATGGCGTGGATGCCAGTCGGGCGATTATTGGCCTCCACGTCAATAGTGGTGACGCGACGTACACGGTGGAAAGCCTGGAAGAGGAGGTGGTAAGCGATGTTGAAACCGACCGCCGTACCAATCCCAACTTCAGAAGAGACGAAGAGAGTGAGCCAAAAGGCAAGCATGGATGTAGTAAAGTCGACGAGCGACGTACGCCAGTAGCCGTAGAAAACCCTGAGAGGTACCACAATGTGCCAGACTGCCATCACGATGATTGCAGCTAAAGTGGCTTTAGGGATCCAGTATAATGCCGGGGAAAGCTTGAAGATGCTGAGGATGACAACACCACCAGCGATGAGACCGTACACGGGTGACTTGACACCAGACTCCGAGTTTACTGCAGTGCGCGACATCGCACCACCGACGGCCATGGAGGAGAAGAAAGAGTTGAAAAAGTTGGTGAAGCCAAGATAGACAAGCTCTTGGGCAGGGTCCGTCACATAGCCGTTCTTCCTTCCAAATGCTTTGGCGATGGCGAGGTGCTCCAGAGCGGCAGCGATAAATGGTGCGATACTTCGAGCAAATACTTTGCTAATGAGTGTCGAGTCAGGCATACGAGGCGGTGCAATACCGTTTGACTGCACCTTGCTAAGTGCCCAGACGGGATTCTTCTTCCTGTCTTTGTTCACGCCGTACGAGATACCGGTGAACAGAACCAAGACCACTGCACTTCGACCAAGCGCCAACAGCCAGATAGCCTTGCTCTTCTTACCCCAACGCTGCCCCATCTTTTGCATAAGGTAGAGCATGAGCAGACCTCCGAGACCCACTCCGCACGTTGGGCCGTCGTACTGGGGTATTTTGGCAAAGAGATCGTGTATGATATGTGCGGTTCCTGATCCTACAGAGATGCCGAATAAGGAAGGGATTTGACCGAGCATAATAACGATTGCAGCCGCCGAGATGAATCCGCTCAAAACTGGTACAGAGATGAATTCTAACAGGAATCCAAGTTTGAGCAGACCAAGAGTCATGGCGTATATGCCTACTGACATGGCAACAGCAGACGCAATGGCCTGCGGCGAGTATCCGTCCTTGACAACATCTGCAATAATCTCGGCGGTCAAGAGGCCTATGAGCGAGGTAGGCCCAGTCGAAAGATCTTTAGAACGTGTGAGTGTCTTATCTCAAAAGACAGATAATTGACCCACCTTTGGAAGTGCCCATGATGAGGTATAGGAAGTTTGGTAGCCAACTAGACATGAGTCCATATTGTCCAGGGATAGTGGCAATTTTTGCATATGCCAGAGATTGAGGGATGAGTAGGACACCGACCGTGATACCAGCCAATGTGTCATTGAGTAGCCATCGCGGGTCGTACCTGGGAAGCCATTGAATGATGGGAGCTTTTTGGAGTAGGTACTGTCCGGCCACGGCAGGAGCTGCGCGAACAGCCTTCTCACCATAACGTGCTGTGCGTAGAAGAGTGGTATCCGTGGCTATTGCTTCTTTGCCGTCCGTTACTTTCTTTCTGAGGTACTCCATGACGCTTAAACGACGCGAAAAAAGACAACACAAAGAGTTTTGAGCAATCAGGGAGATAGAAAGACTTTGCTGGGACGCCGGGCACTACACAGGGTATGAGATAGGGTAGATATACAGCACCCGTCCCGCGGGAATGTGGGAGTTGTGTCTGCAACCACGACGCAGCTTTCTGTAGATAGGTCTGGGTCTTATGCGATGGCGCTCAGTCGGACCTACTAGATGACAGGCCAGTACACCACCGATCTCCTAAACGCTCACTTGCATGGATACATGGTGAAGACGTCGAAACGGGTTCGCGTGCCGAGGTAGTGCCAACCGCGTCACAGGAAGCCAGCGAGCCGGTTCCACGATGTCCTAGGGGGAAGTGAACTGCAGCCGGGCTGCCAACACCCTGTTCAACTACTGCTAGGCCATGGACCTTCCGTGTTGAGAAGCAAGAGCGGGCCGTAGAGTAGGTGGATACAAGTACGCATTGTTGATTCGAGATCGGATTGCCATACCGCCACACAGACGCAAGAAGCAGTCACGCAGCTCGTCGTACCGGGGACATCGTGGTGAGAAAATATAGCGCTTGCATGGCTGCAGGCTCCCGTAAGCAGAGAGACCCAGTGCTGGGCCACAGTTTAGACTTTGTTCTAAACAACCCATGTTTGAACTCTTGTCAATTGGTCAACTGGAAAAGCATCATATGACAAAGTTGAAAATACAATTTTTTTTCGCTCTCCCAAAAGCTTTGTGTGGAAAGGTGAGGCGTACGAGAAGACGAATTACCCCGCAGACATCTCGTCCAGGGTCAAGCTAGCTGCCGTCAGCCATCAGCCGCCTGCGCGAGTTATAGTTGAAGCCTTTCGCTAGCGCCTCGATTTAAGCTTTGTGTCAAGCTCCACGAATGGAGAGCCAAGAATCCTTGTTGAGTATCTCCCGGACGGTACGTGCGTCGCACCACTGCAGCGAGCGATTTAAAGTAGAACCACCGCGACAGGGTCAGCGATGATCACAAAACCTCAATCGGCAAAATTCGGCAGTTATTTTGGTCATTTCTATGCTGCACAGTCGTGGCGTGAATTGCTGGTAGTACAGTACGCAATTGTTTCGGTTTCTGCCGCCACATCCCCCGTCTTACCCCTCGTGTTGGTCTACACGTAAGCCCGTAAATAGACCCGCGAGTAGGACCGTAATTGCCAAGTTTGCATTGTATGGTGGGCGCCGAGATGTGATAACTAATGTTGAATCATCTTACCCCTCATCTGGTGGTGGAAGCGCCGAGCATTCGTAAGACTACCACCACATAGTCGATCTAGCAGAATCTTCTGCTGATATGCCGTCGTAAAGCGCTTCTAGCGGTGCATCCAAGTTCAAAGATCCTTGATGCACGATAAGGTCGCTTCTTCTTGCATGCAAAAAAAGTCCAGTAATGGGCGGAGATGGATTAGTTAGCAGTGCACGCTAATATGTTGAAGCACAGTACTACGAGTCTCAATTAAGCAATAGCGCCAAGGTCTCTGAGAAAACTTGGAAGTTGGATGCGTCCAATTGCAAATTGCATCGAAGCATGCTGAACTGCACAGGAGCAAGCTCATCGGTGTAACGGGGGCTTGATCTAAGGAAGGTGGCGTGTAGACGCACGTACCAAACCGGGACAGTTGCCGCAGGGGAAGGGCATGTGCATGCAGTGTGACTGAGAAACATTTGACCAATGGGGCTGCTTCTATTTTCGGTGGTGCGAGATGATCTACGCTTGTTCCTTTGGGAAGGTAGAATGTAGATAGGCGTTGGACTGATGGCGTATGAATTGAAGTGGGAATGTAACCAATGCATGTAGAAAGTTGGCTGGGGTGGTTGAATATAGTAGTACGGTACGTATCGCTGCGGATCGGTAGGTACCTAGCCTCTGTGTACCTAGTTTCAACGGTGATATCCACTGTGGCTTCCTAGAATGCCAACGTCTATAGTAAGTCCACACCTTCAGCGTGTTAGCTTCTGAAGTCTTGACACAGGACTAGGAAGCTTGTCCATGGAAGACGTCAGGGCGTGCAGCCTTGGCTGAATCTTGGCCCATGTTCTCTATGTGAACAAGGGTAGGCGTCTACGGTTGTGCATCGAGGAGGAGCAGTGTGACATGGAACTGCTTGTTCTGTTCGGACTCAAGCCACAGCTGTCATGTTTCGAAATGCATGTATTGTTTTTCGCATATACTCGGGGATAAGACGGTTTACTACGAACACATGCCTCCAATGGCGGAGCTACATCGGAAGATCGGGACAAAGCCTTCAGACAAGCCGCATGTGTTGTGAACGGTGACGATAGACCAGGTTTTGACATGACCTGGGGTTGGAAAGGTGGGTTGTCGAATGTGGCCAGGACCAAGAAGCAATATGTGGGTTGGTGTGATGCGCAGGGTGAGTAAGAAAGAGTGAGTGACATCATGGAGGAATGTCGTGGGGGGGAAGAATTGGTGGGGTATATTGATGGCTCTACTTACCTAAGGGGGCACACTGGACCGGATGCGGAGACCATCGCAGGGCTGAGTACAGCTGGGCAGGCTAGTCAAGACCAGGGACGCAGAGGCGAAAGAGATGGGTGCGATCAAAGTAAAAGCAAAGGCAATAGCAAAGGGTGACATGTCTGGGGTGAGAGCACCTGGGCAGCGTGTCGGAGACATTGACGCAGGCCTCCGGCGACGCTAACGCCAAGGCGAAATTTATTATCGATACCGCATCTGCAAAGCCACAAACAACAGAGCGGAGACGTCGACTGGCGGAATTGCATATCAACCAGCTTGGAACATGGCGCGCAAGAAGAAGAGCGCACAAGCTGACGCGGCGCTCAACGGCAGCGCCTCGTCGACGCCGCCACCCGCAGTCAACGGCCCTGGCGGTGCAGCGAAGAAGGCGGCAAATGAGGCCTCGACGTCTGCGCTCATCATCTGTCGCAACAAGTGAGTTCGGGCGGGTACTGTCGTCACGATACGAGCAAAGCAGAGCCTAATGGCGGAACTATAGGCATTGGCGCTACATCTCGTCATTCCATGGGCCTTGGTTGCAGCTGCCGCCCGAAGTACTGGAGTCGCTCGCCCATAGCAACTACCTCTCGCCGCGCCCCCATCCCATTGACCCCGCCGTCTTCTATGATCTGGTCAAGATCCGCCGTGCAGTAGATGAGGCCACGACGCTCGCTGTGCGCGCCACATCTGGCCTGACGTCGGCTGCCCTCAGCAACAGCCACAATGCGGGCAACAGTATGCTTGGGAGTGCAGCCGCCCTGGGCATAGGCTATGGCGGAGGCGGCACCGCCAAGCTGAGTAGAGAGCGCAGACACCGCATGCGCGAACTGGCGACGACCAAGTTGAGTCAGGCCTATCATCTGGACGAGATTGCGGCGAGCGTGGCCACCATGCAGAGCGCAAGTACCCTGGAGGATGTTGCGCAGCTGGTCCTGCAGCGGGAACCAAACAATGTGGATGCCAAGTACGTACACTTCTTCCACGAGAAGATTCCGAGTCGCATGATGGCCCAGTGTACGCCGCTTGATACCCTCAACGACATCATCAGCGAGCGGCCCAACCATGGCAGCCCCTTGCGAACCCGTGCGCTAACAAGGATATTCAAAGAGGACTATGTCAACTCGGCCAAGGACCTGAGTGAGGCTTTGAGCATCGCGAGATATATCATAGCCCAACACCGTGCCGGCAAGGATCAGTTGGTGCTGGCCAAGACGCTGCAAGAACAGCACGGCAGAGACTGGAGGCAAGAAGTCAGGATCCCCGACGAAGACCAGCCCAACTCGCTCGAAACCCAACTTCTCTTCCACCGTGCAGGCGTATACTTCACCATAGCATGCGGACACGTCCACGCTGCCTTGGACGGACTACAAGAGGCGGAAGAAGCAAAGGCGCGCCGAGATGCTCAGATTGCACAAGGCAAGGAGCCAGACCCGATTACCCCTGAAGAAGCGCAGGGCAACCATCTCCGTCTGGAAGCCCGCAAACAAGTCCGCCAAAATGCCAAACGCGCCCTTCGAGACTATGTCGGCTTTCTCTCTCACTTCGATTACACGCCCGGTATTTCCGCCGACCTCGCTGAGGAGTTCCTACGCAGGCTCGGTAACACGGCCAACGGGGGCACAAATGGCTATGGCACCAATGACAAGATCAAGCCTAATATGAATCGCCTCATCGAGCAGACCAACGGTGCCGCGTCGCCCATTTCAGAAGCTCTGATCCCCCATCGCGGTCCAACCAAGAACAACTCAGATCGTGCATCATGGCCCAAACTGCCGCCACCAGACATCTTCAAAGTATCCCAACTCTTCGACGCCGCACCACCAGCTTCATTACCTCCCTACCCAGCGCCCCGGCCCTCACCATCCGCAGACTCCACAGCTTCAGCAGCAGCGACGGCCTTTGCAGATAGTCATGAAAACATAACCTACCACCCGCTCATCACCGATGCCCTACATTCTCTCCTCCTCTGCCATGCGCTCATCCAGACTCCACCCAAAGAACTCCTCCGCCATGCCCACAACGCCGCCCGCCTAGCCCGCGTCTGTGACGGCTACCCCATCTTCCTCGCCGCGCGCTCTCCTGCTCGTGCAGACTGGATCGAAGTGCTCCGCCGTGCTGGAAACTGGATCGGTCTAGGCACCTCATGGGAGAACCTGTGCCGTCCCGCGCCCCTCCCCGGTCATAACACCAAACCAGGGACCGACATGTCCGGCAAGAACGGGACACCCGGCAACGGCGCCGGCGAAACCGAAGCCCAAAAGCGCGAACGTCAAAAGCACGAAGCCATCCTCGAAGCCCTCGCCGACGAACGCGTTGTAGACGAAGAGTCCTTCCAACGCGCCGTCCGCGCCCGCGAACGCCGCAACCGCGAAGACGAGGAGGCGGAGAAGAAGCGCCAGTTGGATGTCGATGACGATGGATACCCTGCTAGTCCGCAGCCTACGCCTCCCAAACGCTGGGCCCAGGACGACGGTCGTGAATACCCGATTTCTACGGAACGAGCAGAGGCAATCAGTAGGTGGGTGAGAGATGCTCCTCCCGTTGGTGAGACAAGCGGTACCAAGAAGAAGAGGACCAAGGGGAAGGGGAAGGGGAAGGGGAAGAAACCGTCTTCTTCGACTTCTGCGCCATATCTCAGGCCTAGCGCGGGTCTGACGGAGAGCGTGGAGGCGTTGGGTGTCCATGATGAGGAGATTGATGATTGATTGAAGAGCTTATGTACTGCTGTTGCATGCGGGACAAAGGTCTTGGGCCACTATTTGGTCTATCAGCTTTGAAAGCAGTGTAGTCAGTCCAGCTTGTATACCGTTTCTATCGGTTTGTGCGAGTGGGGGTGAAATGCAAATGCAAGGAGGCGAGTTTGAGACGAGGAAAACTTTTTTCTACATAAGACTTTTTTGTGATTGATGCATGTGGCTGCAATGCTAGACCACCGTATCCAGAACCGCATGCCTAGATGCATTGCCTTCCATATGGGAGCCCTATGCCACCTGAACGCCACCTGAACGCCACACGGATAAACCGACCCAGTCGGTAGAAAACCCTTTTACACACCAGAAGTAGGCCTAATGGGCCGTGGCCCATGATCCATCCAGCCTTGACGCCAAATACCAAATACCAAACATCAAACCCATTCTCCCTTCAGTACAGGCCCGCCTCAAACTCCACCTCCGTCCCTCCAGTGACAACATGGTCGCCTCCGAGCGTATCCATATCCTTCCCGTCTACTTCCTTCACGATAGCCTCCCAAATCTCCTGACCCTTCTCATTCGGCTCACCCGTCTGCAAGTCCTCCACCGTGAACCCAAACGGTTCATCCTCTATTTCTGCGTCCTCCAGCGCATCGTGCGGCTTCTCAGGCTCCATGTTGCTGTTCAACAACCCCTTCAGCGGAAGCATATTAGCCGCATGCCAATACGCGCGATGAAACCGCCTTTCGCTTGCTTTGGGCATATCAAACTTCCATGTCTCTTTTAGCTTGGAAACGGTCTTCTCCAGCATGCCTGCCATCAAATCTTTTATACATGGCGCGATAGTCATCCAGTGGATCTGGTCATGCTCATGTGCATAGCGACCGTATACACCGATGCTCGTCGAAGATGTTTTCTTCTCGTCCCGGGTGAACGGGTTGGCAGCATTGTGCAAAACGAGAAAGGAGTAATGGTTGCCATTTTTTATGAAACCGGTTGTCGTGTGCGACTGCCAACTGTGGCTGGGGGAGTCATAGATGTGGCATACGAACCACTTCTCGAGATATGCTTGGGCAAAGTCGAAAGAAGGGGTGGGATTGATTTGGTAGAGCTTGACTGGCCATTTGTAGTCGGTGTAGATGGAGGTGATATGCTGGTAGATTTCTTCTGTGTTGACTGTGGGTGCTGCGGGGGCCTCTTGCATTTCCTCTTCTGTTTGTACTAGAGACGTGGATGTGGTTTGGTAAGGCTGATGATCAAACGTGTTAGAGTACTGAGAATGTGGAGAGTGCTGGAACTGAGGTTGCTGCTGATGTTCAAATGTGTTGGTGTATTGGGAGAACTGAGGTTGCTGTGGAAACTGAGAATGCGGGAATTGAGCGTGCTGTGGGAACTGAGAATGCGGGAACTGAGCATACTGTGGGAACTGAGTATGCTGCGGGAACTGAGGCTGTTGCGGGAGCTGGGAGCGCGGCTGCTGTGGATATTGCGGATACCGAAGTTGCTGGGGATGTTGGGGATGCTGAGTGTACAGCGCAAGACTACTATTAACCTGGTATTGTATTCGGTCGTAACGATTCAGCATAGGACTACTATGGCCATAGAGCTGTTGTTGATCATTACTGAAGTATGGAGTTTGAGGCTGTGAGTAGAAGCCTGGATTTGGAGCCGCGGGGTGATACAAGGGAAGCCCGTCGGGTTGAGGTGGTGTCTGTTGCTGTGGCGTGAAGCTATACGCAGGTACAATAGTCCGAAGTGGTGGCGGTTGAGTGGGCGCAGAATTCGGCTGAGATATGGTTTTCCGTTTACTCCGACCGGTTTTACGAGTGGGCTGAGATGCTTCCGGTAGTACCGGAGCTAGGAACGTCGGAGGCGCATTTGCAGAGACCTGTGAGGATTCCGATTGCTTGCGAGATGATATTGACTTTCTCCGCTCTTCGCCCTTCTTCTTGTACAATTCTTGCTTCTTCTTGGTTGTCGAATCCACCATGCTCGTATCAGTCGGCCATAGCTGAATTGGTGGAGTTGCCTGCGGGGTTGCCTGTGGAGATGTTTGCAGAGGCTGTTGCTGGGTTAGAGGCAGCAGGGGGGATGAATACACAGGCGTGCTAGGAGCGTGACTCTGAGCTGCAGCTGCCGTTTGGCGCATACGCTCATGTTGGAGGTCGCTGTCCTGGTGTACCTCGCTATCTGTTGGAGCATGCGATAAGGTATACGAAGATGCATGGGAAGGTGCATAAGGAGACCCGGAAGGCGCACAAGGAGACTCATAGGGAGACTTGTAAGACGACCTTGTTCGACGTGGCTGGGCAGCGAATGGGACGAATCGCGGATCATACCAATTGTCCTGGTCATGGCGGGGTGGAGTGGGAGGTCGCTGACCATTGAAGCAAGCCGTGGGCAGGATCGATTCTGGCGGATGGTTGTAGTTTTGATGGTCTAGTTCAGGTGATGGGGGGGTTGGGACGAAAGCACCTGCAGTTCGACCAGAGGAAGTGGCCGTGTCGCGTGTGCGCATGGAGGCAGTGTCATGTACGTCAGCCAAATCCATGTCCGAATGCCATGCGGCAGGCACGCGATCTTGGGAAGGATCCATGTGTTGTACTTGTAGTCAGTTGAGCTGCAAGTCCATTGTGTTGGTAGTTGTTGACTGTTTATACTAACGGTAACTCGTGGTGACAGAGGCGTGGAGTCGCCAATGGTAAGAGTGATGGAAATTGCGCTACCCTAGCAACCAACGGCGAAGTAGCTACGGGAGGAAGTCGCGACGTGTTTCTTGCCTGGACCAGGTGGTGAATTCAAGAGCTGGCGGTGCAAGATGCGACCAATCGAGCGCTCCACGATGCTACAAATTCACGCGGACCTCTTGCGACTGCAAACAAGGCAGATGCATTAAGACGTTGGTCGGAAGATGCCGGAGATGTATATTCCACACTTGGCCAATTAAGAAGTTGAAGTTGCGAGGTACCTACCCGAAGCTTGACGTAATGAGATAATAGCGGTGTGGGAAATTGCACGACAAACACTACGAGAGATAAGAAGGATTTGGGAGCCGTTTTGAGAGCTGTAGAGAGCTGTTCTGCCCTTTATAGTTGTCTTCTGGACATGAGCAGGAATGCTAAATGGTAGCCAATACACTATGAGGTGGACCGATCTGCGAACAGTCACAACACTTGGCCACCGTACTTATCATCAACGACCACTCAGGCACACGTATCCTTATTCTTGCCAGGCAGTACCAAACCAGGTGGCCGATGCGACCCGTTGGGTGGGTGCCAAGCCTGCCAAGCAGAAGCCAGATCGGTCGACTGTGGAACGAACGGAGAACTGAACAAGTATACATATGCAAGTAACCTTACCCTATACTCTTCTGATGAGTCATGATGCCGTATCCACAATACTCCATCTTTTTGCGACGCCTTGAAAGCATGCGCTTCAACGCCAAACAGACAAGTAAATGAAAAAGCTAGACAGTGCAGGTCGAGGCAAGAGACACGTCATTCTGCATCATATGCGTGCTACGAGACAAAGGAACAACGGTTATACAACGCGCTTGACCTGCGAGTGGTGTTAGTTCGGCAGTACTAGGTTATAGCTGGCCGTTCAACAAGCCCCACTCACCTCGAAGAAGCGCTTCAGCCACCACACCTGGAAGAAGCCCTGTCCAACGAGTACTAGAAGCTGAAATATGCTCCACCACTTGATGCGGGCGTTTGTGCTTTCGGCAGTATTCCTGTGTACTCTTTCGCGGACGATGATGTAGCTCTGTTCATCCTTGACCTGGGCAACGAGTTCTGCCATGGTGCGCACTGTGACCATCAGCATAAAATCTTGTAGTATACCAACATCTGTCCTTACCCTCCTTCTCTAGCGGATCCTGCGGTGCCTCCGACTCGGGCACGTAGACAATGCCGTGTACGTTGAACGAGACCTCCTTTGTGTTGGCACCCCAATGCTCATTGTTGAAGCAATATGTGTACTTTCCGTCTTCTTTCGCCTCGAATGAGTGGTCGCCAGAGGATACGCCGCGTTCGTGGAGCTGGTAACTGCGGGAAGGGGTTTCAATCTAGGCAGCAAGTCAGCCCTGCCCGTTGCAGCATGGCTATGATTTGTAATTGACGCACCCAAAAGTCAATCTCCAAGTTCCCACTGCCCCCAAACTCCCGGTCGCCGACCTGGAAGGTGACGGTCATCTTGTCTTCCTTGTGGAGCGACTCGTGGAAGCATTCACGCTGGTGGGCCTTCATTTGAATGTTGTGCGCTGTCGCGAATGACAGCAAGCTGCTCGCCGCAGCGAAAAATGGCAAGGTTCGGACATATCATATTTGCAGATGTCGTGGTGCTGCTCTTGCGCGTGTGAGGGTTGAACTTGTACAAGTGCCAAGTACACACACGGAGATGCCAGCTTGCCCGCAATCCGCCCTAAGACACGCTAGTTAGGATTAGTCAGCTGGCGCGATTCATCGTCTCAACTCTCTTTGAACCACGCAACCTCTCACCCATATTGTGTCTCGTGCAGTCGTGAACGCGTAGTTTGGAACTAATGACAGCAGCAATGTAGTGTGGTCTACGTGTGGCCAACATCATCGCCATGTGCTCCCAGGCTACGCATCACAGCCAAGTTTCCACCCACTCCAGGGCTGGTCTTGTAGGTATCATGTAGGCGTAAAGACGAAGTCGAAAGCGCGGACATGAGCACTCAAAGGTGGTGTCTTATGAATAATTGCTGGACTGCACTGCGCGTAAGGTGCATAAACATAGCTTGTGCTGTATCAGCGAACGCCAGTGAACGGTGCTAGCCAAATTTCACCTTTACTTTCTCTGCATGTCACGGTAGCTGTTTCCTTGTCATTTTCTCTAATCGATTATACTCGTTGTTTTCCTCTCCATAAGTTCATCCCAAACACAGACTCCTCGCCGCCAAGCCAACCACGAGGTCACCCCCCGCACCATTTTCGTTGCACGCTTCTTGTCCAACTTGCTAGTTGACCAACGACAGCATCCAATTCTCTCATATTCTGCCTTCTTTCTGCTCCATTGCTGCTACTGTCGCACTGCAGTTGTAGGATTGCGACTCTCCTGCACCAAGGTAACCCGACGACAACGCACTCGCCCATAACATCCCCCACCATGGCAGATCCCAACGGCCCTCCTCGCAGAGTGTCGATGAGTTACCTTCTAGGGTTTTCTGACAAGCCGTTCAAGGGACCCAAACAGCCATCGGTGCCACGGCCTAGAAGACCCAGTCAGTTAGCTGAAATGGTGGAGTACCCAATTGCATAACATAATCCATCAGATACATTAACAAAGAACAGGTTACCACCCCTGGTGGCATAATTGAATGGGCCGCAAGCGACGGACGCAAAGGCAGATTGACAGGCACCGGCAAGTCGCGCCTCACCGCAGCCGCTCTTGCAAAGGTACCATCGGAGAAGCGCTCGACACACGAGGCATTGGCTGCGAAGAGCGCGTCAAAGCACGGTGCTCCAGACAAGCCCGCAAATGACGCTAAAAATTCCTGGGACAATACTGAGGCGAAGAACGGAACTAAGCACTCGGGCTCGAAGAAAGCGGCGAGTAACAAAGAAGATGCTTGGGGAACCACCGACTGGGGTATTGTTAACTCGAAAAACGATACCAGTGGCAACCCTCACCAATGGGCATCTGGAGCCCTTGGAAACCCTTGGGATATGCCAATTGCCGTGGATGGTAAAGACAACAAGAAGGACGATACTACAGGCGGACCACAAGCAACCGGCGCTCCGGTTGAGATAACACTGCAGGAAGCAACAGTAGTGCCAGTTGTTGCGGAAAAGAAAGCGGACGAATCCCAGTCGTGGACCAAGGAGCAGGATGAAAAGCTTATACAGTTGAAGACACAAAATGCGGTCATGAAGTGGACCAAGATTGCTGAAGAGGTCGGCAAGCCGCATGGTGAATGTGCTAGACGTTTCAAAGAGATCAAGCCCGTAGACTGGAAGCCCGACATTGCGAAGAAGGGAGGAGCAGCTGGTGGTGGTGATGGAGGTGGAGGCAAGAAGGGAAAAAAAGGCAAGAAGGGTAATGACAACAGGGCGGTTGAGAACGAGATAGAGGCTCCAGCTGACATCGGTGTCGGTGATGATTCATTTGGTATGCTAGGTCTTGGTATTGATGATGATGTCAACAAGGGGAACTCTGACAAGAAAGAGGATTCTTGGGGTAAGCAGGCCAGTGTTCACGCATCTGGTGTTGCCAGTGGATGGGAAAAGCCAGGAGAAACAACTGGATGGGACGATACAGGCGATAATAACGCTGGCTGGGGTGGTCCTACAGCTGCAACTGGTGGCGCTGACACAAGTGGTGAAATTGCTTGGGACAGCGGTAATACTTGGGGTGGTAACGATCAGGCTGGTGCTGGTGCAGACAATGCTGTCACGAGCAATACATGGAACAACCCAGGTGGAGACGGCGTAGCAGATCAGTGGTCCGCCCCTACCAAACCCGCATCCGCCCCCCGCTCGAACAAGGCCCCTTCCAAAGCCCCCAAAGCCCCTTCGCAGTCCCGCTCTCAAGGCAAAGACGAGGTCAAGCCCCCCGAGCCCGCCGAACCCGCACCAGCCCGCCCAGCCACGATAGAGCTCAGGCCCGATGACACCTTCTCAGCTGATGACTTGCGTCAGATCGCTCGCATCCTGCAGCAAGATTGCGCGATGGTGTGGAACAGGGTCAGCTGGAGGTTCAAGGACAAGACTGGTAGGACCCTGCATCCTGACGTGTTCGAGAAGAAGATCACTGGCCAAGTTGAGGGCAAGGGTAGTGAGAAGGGTGGACGCAAGAAGTAGGCTGACGGCTTGCTTTTCAGCTACTGCCTATGCGGGTTGATCATGCCCTCTATACTTTCAGATGTACACGATAGGTAGTTCAATGCAAGGCAACTACATACCGTATCTTCCAACATCTGTGAAAGGAACAAGGATGATGATCATGCCTGCATACCCCTGGGGATATTGACTCTAGCACAGGTAGGCCCATGCCAGGCCACTACATGGACGGTGACTACACGCTATACTTCGTGGTTCCGCACATGAATTAAAGATACATAATTGCACTATGCTCTCTTCAAATTATCGTATGCAGCACAACGGCAACTCCGAGACTTACATTTAGCCTTGAAAATGTTGACTAACTTCGATTGCGTTGGGTCAGAGAGCTCTGCATTCTCGGATGTATACACGATGAAAACTCTAGGCCTGGCGACTACATATCATGCGTTATGTTATAGTACAGATATAAAAGCTATGGTATACGACTACATAGTCGAGTATACTCAAGTGTACACTACTGAGAGTCTATAACAGATGTTATCCTTGGCATCTAGAATGTGGAGTAATAAACTACATGTAGTTGACGGGCCTAACATACATACGTTAGCATACTTGAATAGTAGCGAGATTATTAAGATCACTTTGGTCGAGAAACGTGTATTACTATATATGATACACTGGTAATCCTGTTCACACATTACCGAACCATCTGACTTGTGCCTACCATTAAACCATCCGACTTGGTGCATACCGTCAAACTATGCGACTTGTGCGTACCTTTTACACATCAAACGGAGTTATGTCTGGGTCGTAACTAATCGTGAAACCGTTGAGTTGGGCTACGGTTGTGTAAGCAATCTTGAACCCACTGAATTTAAGACTTCGAACTTACGCAGGATCCGGCCCACCATCAATGCATGTAGACTCTCAAGAGAGGCAGCCATATGAGTCCTGGCTGCTGTACTCGACCCAGCGACTGTGATGTTCTCATCTGAGCATTACCATAACTTGGCATTGGACTCCCCCATCCAGTATACAGCATCTGTTGCTGCACCGATTGGTTGCCTACTAGCCAACGCAAAAGGATGAATACACAGCTTGTACTCAGACCCAACAAGCTCCAGGCGTGCGCAGATTCTACGAGCTCGGACACATCTCGCACAAGTGATATCGGTCATGGTAGGTGCGGTCCCATTTCTATACAGGCGTTGATTGAGGCATACGTTTAGGTCGGCCATCTTACTCTCGTCTCGGTATGCCTTTTTGTGTAGCATTTGACGAATAATTCGTGACGTTTATCCGCGGTGTTTTCAGAGTAATCTTGCTCCAACATGGAGTAATCATACTGCATCTTGTTTCAGATGCGTACTCGAGTCGATGAGTTCAGGAAGGACATTTCCTCGTGGCGGCTTTGTCCATTTGCGTCAAGCTCGAACAGGACCATGCTGCTCATTGTAAGACATGACTCGTATTGTTGAGTCCCCGTGTTGGACTGCAAGAGATGTTCCTCATGCGGGCGATTATAGAGCGGATATGTAGTGCCGCTTGTCGAAACCTGACTACCTACAGCTGACTGTGTATGGAGAAGAGAGGTAGCGGTAAGCGAAGGCTGACTGCCTATAGCTGACTGTGTATTGGGAACAGAGATAGTGGTGAGCGACTCGGTAAAGAGTTGATTTTCCAGAGCTAACTTCTGAGCCTGGAGTATGCTGACTTGGTTCGTAAGGCGAGAAATGTGTTGGGAGACTTTGTCTGCAGAGGATTTGCTGTGTTTCTTCTCTAACGTGAGCGACTTTGCTATCTTCTATATAGGCTTCCTAAAGAAACATTAGTTTAAGGCACACAACTTTTGAAGAAGGAAAGCTTACATAGAAGTTGATTATATCAGCCATTTCACTCTCATGATCTAACTAAACTGCTCGCAGCTTTTTCTTCAATTGGTCGTATCGAACTTTCTCGGTCATTAGAGTGACTGGGAAGCTCCCTGTTGGCATAGAAGTAGCGTCTTGCATGTCGAGATCGAGCACTAAGATATTTTCCTCGATGCCGCTCATATCTGCAGCAGCAACGAAGCAATTGAAACGTAAAGAAGGAGCGACGTGCCCAGCACGCCGATTGAGCAAGCAAGGGATGAAGGAAGGACTTGGTGCAGCCAGTGATGAAGTAAGGGAAGGCTTTTTGAGTGAGAGGTTTTCGGAGTGAGGAGCAAAACAAGGCAGCAGCGTTGGGTTTAAGTAAGTGCGTTACGCACAGACACACGTGACCTGAGCCCAGAGACAGGAGCACCTGTGTCAAGCAAATTTTCCACGTACACTGGCACAAAGGAAATAGCACTGGTGTCAAGCAAACATTCCACACACACACTCACTTTTCTGGCTGTATACAGTGTGGGCACATCAAAACGTATGGCTTTTGCGTCTATCACGTCACCTGTAGTTGCCAACTGCAGCATTGCATATCCGAACGCACAGCCTTGAGCCTATTGTATCTGTGAAGAGGGTGGCCATTCTTGCTAAATGCGCATGAAAGCAAGAAGGATGCAGTCCCGCTACCTAGACCATCAAAGGCGCACCATGACGTGAGGGTCCAGCGAAGCTACAGCCTCATATGTCACCAATTCTACGCATCCAGGATGACCCTCACAGTCATTAGAAGCGCTTCGGACAAGCCAGCCGCGTGCTGGGATCTGGTGAGATTTGTGGATTGAGTCTATGATGTCAAGGGATGAGGGACGATTGGCGGAAGCAGTGTCCGGATGCATACGGGCGGTAAGGATATAAGCCGTTCACTGCAGCGTCGAAGCTACGTTATAGCTTACACTTCCCATGCAGCTCTGTTGCAGTGCTGCATACTAGTGACCTTATCAATCTTTCTCTTGACCAAGGCTCTCATTGTCCTCTACTCGCAAGAGCTCCGATAGATAGACCGCACTTCGCTGTAGATGTGACTGTCACTGTGCGAGATGACATTGATATAGAAACAAATGCAGGATCCCTGCGGGTACAAAAATTGCGGTGCAGAGTGAGGAAGGAGTCAACGATGCATGGACGTAAGTCGGCGAGGCGCATATCGTTCAGGTCACCTAAGCGAGTATCACAGATATCTCTGTCATGATAGCTTAGCTGGGTGGAAATACAGTATGTTTATAAAAATAAGCGTTTATTCAAGTGTAAGATAAAACGAGGGTATATCGAGGTGTATCCATCTAACCAGCGGCAACGTCTGTTCTTCCCAAAAACTCCGTGCTAGTTCGTAATTCGTAAAAAGACCCAGCCTTGTGTGATGATCATAGCTCATAGCTCGTCCTTCTCTTCCTCCTCCCTATCAATTGCTATCCCGCGGCGGGGCCCCATCTTTCATAGAGCTTGAAGCACTTTCCTAGCCCTGACAGCGTGTAAGAAGGCCCCGTAGCTCCAAGTCAAATCAACAGCGCCTCGCATGAATCCTGTGACGCGGTCAAACTGCTCACTCATGCTGCCCTCAGCATCCACATGCGACTTGACTACTTCGAGGAACTGGTCGGCAGTAAACTGCAAGCGCTCAACGACAGAGTAGAAGAGCGCATCCGAGGGACCAAAAGTGCCGACATTGACATCGAGCGAAGAAGATGCGAGCAGGGATTCGTAAAAGGGTAGACCGACATCCGTGATAGTCAAATTGCCAGCAACTGAGATGTGGGATGCGGTGCGGTATAAGATATCGGCAGCGCTGGATGTGCATAGGAACCATGGGTTACCACCACGGTTAGAATCGCCATAGCCGTCATACACGTCCTCGGGATAACGTCCAATACCTGTGCCTTGGAAGGATTCCTCGTTGACATCATCATCTTGGTTCTCATCAGAGGGCCTGCTGTTGATTGGAAAGCGGTCTCGCTGGTCGCGAGTCAGGGCGAGTAGCGAGACGAGAATCTCGTCTGACCACGGAGGGTACACAGCCTTATGGGCTGATCCTTCAGACGCTTGACCGTGAAGGGAGCCAAGAAGCAATCCGCAGTCCAAGCCGCTTCGCTTGCTCCATAGCGTCTCAACGAGGTGACCTTTCTGCGCATTCCAAAACTTGACCAAGAGGTTTTCAATATATCCTGCTTGCTTCTCGTACCACTCTGCGGCACCAACATCTCCGAAGGACCTCGCCAGGCTACTGCCCTCTCTCAGACTCTTCGCGCTGACCATCAAGTTGAAGAAGTGCAGCCCCTCTACCTCCTCCCAGAGGTCGAACGAAGACTGGTTCCAGAAGTGGCTCACATACTCCAAATCCGCTTTGATGACGCTGCGAGGCGGCATCTCCACAGCATAGAATGGTCTGAAGAAGTCTGCTGAACTGGTGGAGGTCCAGAGCGAGGGGTGTGAGGAGTTGTATTCACGGAGGTAGTGCATGAGCGTCAGAGCGCGTAGAGCCGGGCCGTCACGCTGAGGCCTACCCCATGATCCTGTGAACGGCTTGCCATCGACTTGGAACTTGGGCTCTCCGAGACCAGATAGGTCATGGAATTTACCCGATGGGTTTGATGTATGCTGAATATCGCGTTGCAGAGAAGCGTAGGCATCGAGGATAGTGGAGAGTGAGGATGCACGAGACGAAGTTGGATCTTCGGCGTAGACGTCTACGACGGTGTCCATCGTGATGGCTGCATCTCGGACCCCTGGTTTTGGTCAGTATTGTGAAGTACCATTAGCCTGTTGGAAATACAAACATTGAAACCAATAGTCAGGCGCAGTATGGCTGGGACTAGCAATGACTGTGCCATCCGCGACGCCTTTTCCTTTGACATTACTGCCACCCGGCGCGACATTTGCCAGAAGCTTGTCCAGCGCAATACGCTCTTCCTTTGCTATCCAGGCTTCGAGCGTGTCTTGAAGCGGTTGCTGCTGTGCTTGGGCATGGCTGGCGCCTACAAAGGTGCTCATGCGAGGTAGAGGTGGTATCGAGAAGGCATAGGAATAGTTGACCAAGCCCGTAAGGAGGACCAGCTGATGTAGCATGGCGACAGCTCTTAGATTGACTCGCGCAAGACAAGGGACGTCTCTAGAAGAAGAGTAGCGCAGTTAGCAGTTCACAAAAGAGAAGGAGAGCGAGAATCAAATAGGGTATCGTGAGAACTAGGCGGTAGCAAGCGATCAAAGGCATAAAGAGCGAGCCATGGGCCCCCAGGCTCCATTCCTTCCGCTTCCACGGTCATGCTTCGCCTCGGCCATGTTTCTGATCACAGCGATGACGGCAAGTCTCGTGCCAGCTCTAGTGGAGTGCGTGGACGAGTAGGAGGCGGTGGAAATGACGGGGCCGGCGGTGAAAGTCTCGTTTGACGTGCCCGGGTGATGTGTAGAAAGCCACGCGAGTCAACGCCAGCACGTCACGCGACCCACTCTCGCGGATCCGGGGTAATGCAAGGCACTTTGGCCTCGGCATACGATACTTGATAAACTGCCCGAATCGCGCGCATGTCAGGTTGGCAGCGTTTGCAGTGGTAACAACGTATCTCGTCAAACCCGAACATTCTCGCATTCTCGGCGCTACGTAAGTAAGCCTGACAGGTTTTCAGTGAGAAGTTACTTGAGTGGCTACGGATAACTCTACCAAGTTTTGTCCTGAGGTCAGCTTTTGTGCAACAGGAAAACCGCCCGAGGCTCTAAGCCTTCCTGCAGGGTCATGTCGTGCTTGTGAAAGTCGCATGTTAAAATTACATGATAAGACTGTAAGAAAGCCAAGACTCTAGGTACTTGTGGGGGTTGTACACGGAGCCGTCCCAGGTATACACCGATCTTCGGATGTATGAGGGGTACATTCGGTTACATGTGAGTAGCCTGAATGCAGCTCGGTTACTTCCGCTGTTACAACACACTTATCCACTCACAATCTATCAAAGCACTTCATGGGTAAAACTCATAGATCCTAGAGCTTTTTTACTTCATTTTGTATTTTTAGTATTGGCGAATAGAAAGACGTTTGTTTATCGTCCGTTCGCCAGCCCCTTCCTTTTTGCTGACGCTGCAATCTATGACGTCGATTTGAGGTTTCAGATTCATCCTATCCGACATGCTTTCACAGCAAGCGCACGGTCTACGCAACGCAATCTGTAGGACCAAGTATCATGGTTACTGGACAACCCGGTCTTCATTCTCAACGTCCCTTCGGCGCAATGGCTACGACTCTACCATTCAGAATCTCAAGATCGGCGCACACACACGCGTCATCTTCCAAGGTTTCACAGGGAAACAGGCCACCGCAAACGCAAAAGAATCAATACAATGGGGCACCAACGTAGTTGGCGGTGTGAAGCCCAATGGATCTGGAGAGCATCTGGGTTTGCCAGTATTGCCATCTGTGAGGGCGGCAATGGAGCAATTGAAGCCGGATGCAACAGGCATCTACGTGGCTGCACATCAGGCTACTGCTGCGATTGAAGAGGCGATCAAGGCTGAGGTCCCACTCATTGTTGCAGTGGCTGAGCATATCCCCTTGCATGATATGATGAGGGTGAGTTGTCACTGTACGCTGGTGCCTGGCAAGATAGCTGGCTAATCAGAGTAGATACATTCAATGCTGCAATCACAATCAAAGTCGCGGCTTATTGGTGCCAACGCACCCGGCATAATCTCAGCTATTGGTCGATGCAGAATTGGTTTTCAGCCATTGCCGACCTTTTCCCCTGGCCACATCGGTATTGTAGCAAAATCCGGTACTCTCTCGTACGAGACGGTCGGATCTTTGACTAGGGCCGGCCTTGGTCAGAGCCTTTGTATTGCTGTCGGAGGCGACGTAATAGCAGGAACAAATTTTGTCGATGCTCTGAAAGTTTTTGAGCATGACAAGGATACAGAAGCTATTATCGTTGTGGGTGAACTTGGCGGTACCATCGAAGAGGAGGCAGCGGATTGGATCATAAATTATAGGAGACGCGTTAAGGATCCGAAACCTATCGCAGCTGTCATAGGAGGCTTCCAAGCACCGCATGGCAAGGTAATGGGACATGCCGGTGCGTGGGTGGGCTTGGGCGAAGGTACGGCGGAGTCAAAGTACAAAGCATTGGAAAGAGCTGGCGTTACTATGGTGGATCATCCTGCAAAATTTGGTGGGGTAATAAAGGATATTCTGGCAAAGTCCGGTCGCAGTGTCAGAAAGATTGCAAGTCTTAGTCGCTCAGATATGCCCTTCACTTAGGCTAACTTTCCACAGGAGCAATCAGCAGCGCAACAACGTCGCTCATACCACACGTCTCGCTTCTCGCGTCGGCCTCAGGTTCCAGTCACAGGTCCAACACAATTACACCAAAAGCATTCCCTTCATCTCACAGCAGAGCAATCAACAGCTCTTCTCAAAAGCCACAACATCCATCTGACATTACCCCCCGAAGGCTCGCCATCAACACATTATCTCGGAATATCCCCCCATCGCTCTAATCGCTCTCCCTCTATAATCGCTGCACCCACTGCAAACCCCTCACAGCTGAACCAACGCGTCCGTCGCTTCCCCTTTGACTATCGCTCCGGCCCAAGCGCTGGAGCCATTGCTGATGCAATCGCCCACCTACAACTCGATGCCGCCCCACCCAAAGCCAAAGCACAAGTCGTGCAACTAATCCACAACCTCTGGACCTTGTACACCGAGAAAGAAGCCATCGACGCCCATGTTAACTTAGCCTTGTCCGTAGACGACGATGAGTTATTGATTTACTCGCCATACCTCTTCTTTGACGACGCAGCGTTCAAGTCGGGCAAGCGACAAGCACATCTCCACGCCCTGCGAGATGAGGCTTCAATCTCGGCTACAGACCAACAAGCAGAGGATGCAGGTATTGTATATGTGCCTCTCGCTTCACCCGTGTTCCCTACGGGGACAAGGCAGAAAGGGACACAGACGTCGCCCTCGTCGGCTGCAAAAGACGGACCAAGGAACCTGGTAGGCACATTGGTGAATGGCGCGGGCTTGGCCCTCAATACCATTGACACGCTCTCTGCTCGCCTCTCTGCACCCCCTCATGCCACGTCCGCAGCGAACTTCCTCGATACGGGCGGAAAGGCGACGTCGGACACTATCAAAACGTCCTTCAAGCTCGTCCTCTCCGATCCACGCGTCGGGGTCGTGTTCGTCAACATCTTCGGTGGCCTAACTCTATGCGATATGATTGCCGAAGGCATCATTCTGGCGTTCAAGGAGCTTGACGTGAAGAAACCCGTGGTAGTCAGATTGCGGGGTACCAACGAAGCCAAAGGACAAAAGGTACTAGAAGATGCCAAACTGCCCATCCACGCTTTTGACGACTTTGAAGAGGCCGTCAAGAAAGTAGGCGAGCTGGCAAACGTTCATGCTGAGTAGATGTGTTATTTCAATGAGAACGAGGAAAGAATGGGGGATATCAAATTAATAAGACTGCTATTCGTCCACACCACACCCAGCTGCATATCGCCGAACGAATGTGTTGGCAAAAAGAAACGAGAGACAGAGAGCCCTTTCTTTCCAAACCAAGGGAGCCACCTTTGTGTTCTTTTGTTCGTTGCGCAGTGTACGTATCCAGTACACATGGATGCAGCGGAAACCACAAAATCCCACCCTCGCATGCGCCATGTGTAATAGAGAAAAAAATCAAATCAAAAGACGGCCAAAACTGGTGGGTGTGGTATCTGCAAGACAAATAGATGTGGAAGAAGAGGGACGAAGAGAGGTGACATGATTTCGAATCCATCCAAGACATAGGCGAGGGGGGAGAGAGGTGGAACTATTTAACTATACGAGGTACTGGAAAGCCGTTCTATGTTGTGTTAGCAATGCGCTTGACGGTTGGACGAGTGAATGAATGCTTACCCAATAGCTGCCATGATACCCACACCTACGAGTGCCCTCCGTGTGACTTTTTCCTTTGTCATCTTTTGCTCAGTGGTGTATGCGACCTTTGCTAGCTTGTTCAAGCGCTCTTCCGCAATGTCCTCATCGTCCAAGACATCCTCGATACCCCGCTTTGTTGACTTGACGGGCCCCGCTGACGATTCCTCGTCAAGCTTTTGTGCCTCTGCGACCATGCGCTTCGCCTCTGCGATCAGAGCGGCCGGGTCTTCTGGCTCAGGAAGCGCGGGGTGGTCATGTGGGACATCGACGGTGACATTGGTGCTGGTCTTCTCTGTGTCGCCATTTGTCTCGACAGTCTGCTGGACCTCAATGTGCACTGTTCCTTCTTTGACTTCTTGCTCAGACTCAGTCTCATCTACCTCCTTCTCTTTGACATCGCCGTCGAATGACGAGACAGAGGGTGTGGTGCCGTTTGCAATTGAGGTCTGTAGCGCAGTCGATGGCGTAACAGCGCCAAACGATGCATACAAGTCATCTCCCTTGGTGGCGTCGGGCTTCATCCCGCTCCTTGTGGATCGAGACTTGCGCGGGGTTGCAAACTTGCGGCTCGGGGTAGCGCCTTTACTAGGTGATACGGATCGAGTGGAGCGAGCGCGGACTGGGCGAGCGGTGGGCGTTGGAAGAATGGCGGGCTGGGCGTTCTTGACGTCAAACTTTGGTGGCATTTGTATGTGGGAATTCGATTTATCCTTGTTGCCCTTCTCGATAGGCGTGGGGTCAAGGAGAGCCTCTATCCAGTGGCGCATGCCGTATTCTTCAGAGAGTGCGAGAGCTACACATACTGTTAGCGCGCAGCTTGTGTAAAGGTGGCGATTGTCACTCACCCTCTTCAGGCGCAATCCACACGCTTCCAGCAACCTCCTCGGCACCGGCAGATGGGAACGTCTTCTGGTACTTGCGCTCCGCGTCCTCTTCAATGAGCGAAGCCCATGGAAATGCAGCCTTGAACATGCCGGTCGCACTAATGTAGCCGTCACTGCTGCGTCGCTGTTTGTCGCGTCAGTCGGTCGGTCGCGCTAGTTGCAAGGAGGCTATTTTTCATCGCGTACCATCAAAAAGTATGATTCCGGGAAAGTCAACTCTCTGCGATCCTTGTTCTGCGCGGATGGCTTGTTCGCCATGAAGATGCCCGAGTCTTTGAGATCCTTGGGAAGGGGGACTCTCAGATGCGCGTAGTCAAAAGTGCCCATGTTCTCCGGCTGGGTCGCGTTGGTAAGACCGGAAATGCCAGGCCTGACGCCCAGGTTCGTCTGCCCCAGTCGGCGCCTCTGGATCAAAATATCAACTGTAGATGAGTGTTAGTCGGGCTGTCGCGACGATGCGATGCGCCGTGGTCACGTACCGATTGTTGATTCCGTAGGCTCAAGAAGAGGATTCCTCCTCTCGGGCAAAGCGCGTCCGTTTACCATTTTGGCCATGTCGCCCCTTTTCATTATAGTACAGTGCAACGTGTATCGGCGACGTGTGGAGCGCGCAGCGCAGATGTTGTCGCGAGAGGCTTTGCGTAAGTATGACGCGCGCGTTGGCTAGCGACACGAAGACTCGAGACCTGGGTCGTTTGAGGGGAGAAATTGGATTAAAAAGCTTAGTAACGGCGTTGGCGACGGCGACAATGATAAGGAGAGTGCGCGCGCGGTCGGAGTGATGGAAGACGTTTGACGGTTCGCAGGTTGCGATGAGGACAGGAAGGAGCGACCATCCTTGTGCACTAGCTTGGTATGCCCCAGCCACCCCCAGACGACTGCCCAGAGGTCTCGCGAACGCAAAAGTTTTGCGGTGCCGATTGGCCATCTGGTTAATTCCCCCGTATTGCTGTCCGAAAATGGCCTCGTCCACGTCTGTCACGCGGCTGAATTGGGACTGATACGGGCGTGTCTAGGAAAGTCACGCGTTCCAGATAGTTTCCACCGTCATGCTTGATAGTATCGTCCAATCCACCCCAAATATATCTTTACACCCCAATCACTACGAAGCAAACTCTGCCATTGAACCCATGTAGGCTGCATACGAACATGCAACCGACTTTAGCTAGACAATGTGCAAATCATTCATCGATGCATGTTCCTGGATGTTGTAAGACGCAGATGCAGCGAAGACACGTGCGAGTTGTAATGTTGATACGAATACAAATCTGGAAAGTCCTACACTTTCTTTTTGTGCGCACGCCGAGACATGAACTCCCGCATCATCTAGTGCCATCTGATTGCACAAATATCTCCGAGACGCGGACACGTCACGACGCTGACAGGGAGACGTCCAGGGCTATAACTCACAGGTGCAGCTGGATTTCGATGCAGGGTCTCAGGTGCCAGTTGGTGAGACGTAGCCGCCGTCAAGGAGGGTCGTCGAGCAATGCGACATGGACTCGTGCAGCAACAGTCTGGAAAGTATACGGCAAATCCAAATATGCAAAAGGGACCATTCAGCGCCGCGGCAGGCCCCCGCCAGGCACCGCCAATGGCTTGAGCGAAGCTATCGGGAGCGGTGAATCCCCCGCTAACCTTCTTGATGCTCAACACTCCGCCGCCGACTTGTCCTTGGCCCCTCATCCTCACAATTGACCCTCCAACTTCTCCACTGACTTTCTCAACTGACCTGAATTCCTACACCAACCAGCCAAGCTTCACTTGTCTATACATTTGCCATGGCCGACCACGACGACCTCCACCCCGAGCAGACCGAGGGCTTCAAGGTCGGTGAGAAGAAGACGATTGATGAGTACCAGAAGCTAGGTAAGCACCTCCAGCTCTCTCTTTCATGCTCTTCGCCCTCCGCCGAGAGCCACGCGCCTCACATATGTACTGACCTAGACCCCCAGACCAAAACGACGAGTCTCTGCAAAAGTGGAAGGCATCCCTTGGTCTTGGTCAAGGCAAGGACATCTCCGACCCCGACGATCCCCGCAAATGTATCATTCTCTCTCTTGGTCTCGAGGTTGAAGGTCGCGACGACATCATCATCGACCTGCGGGCACCCGGCGCGCTTGAAGCTCTCGAGAAGAAGCCCTTTACCATCAAGGAGGGTGCAAAGTTCCGCATGAAGGCGCAATTCAAGGTTCAGCATGAGATTCTTGCTGGTTTGAAGTACCTCCAAAAGGTCACGCGTATGGGAGTCAGCGACAAGCTGCAGGAGATGATGGTACGTCTTGCTGCTGCGGCGGGAGATTTGGACAATTGCTGACAGCTACGGTAGGGCTCATATGGTCCTAGCACTGAAGAGAAGCCTTTCTACGAGAAGAAATGTACGTACATGTGAGAAGCTTCAATCTACCGCATTACTAACGATGCTTTAGTCGAGCCTGAAACCGCGCCCTCTGGCATGCTCGGCCGTGGCCACTACACAGCCGTCTCCAAGTTCGTCGACGATGACAACCAGGTCCATCTGCAGTTCAAGTGGTCTTTCGACATCAAGAAGGACTGGCAATAGGCGACTGGATGATGGTGGGTATGGGGACGACCATGTAGCGACATGAGCAAGTTGGCAATATCTTTGAATTGGAAATGGTGGACATTCCGGGTAGCTTGGGCTCCCACGAAGTAACGAAGCGACGGCTGACGGTCGATGATCTAGGAGGGCGAATAGAGTCTGACCAGGTATCGATCTGGTCGCATTGGGGGATCAAAAATTTCAGCACTTTTCACATCCATCACGAGAGCGTATTGTATTTCACCCATGGCCTTGATGTGCTTGCGCATCTCCAAGTGTGCGGAAGTGAAACCACCTTGCTGCGATGCTCTTCGCCTTGACAGTGCGACGCGCCCACGCTCGCTCACCAGGCCCAGAACCAAATCTCCGTGCTGAGACATTCAAGATGGACACTTCTTGTTCCCATGGATCTTCGTCATCTGTCTCAGCCTGGGTTCCTTCTTGCTCAGTGTCCATATCCATGTCCTCGTCGTCGGAATTTTCAACGATTTTACGTTTTCCTGCGCATTCCACGACGTGAAGCTGGACGCCAGCCCTGAGAGCTGTTTCAGCCACAGTCGCAAAGCACCTTGAGAGGCCTTGGGCTGAAAACGATGGCGTCGATGCATGCAGAGTGAGCGGGTTCACCAACACGATCTTCTCTTTTCCTTGAGTATCACCGACGACCCCGGGGGCCCCGGGCCGGCCGTATGCAGTCAGGTAGGCTAACAAGGCCTGCACAGACGTGCAAAAGACGAGTTGAATGTGCGTTGTGGTAACTAAGTTGTGTAGCGTGGGCGCAATCAATTGCTCCGTGCTGGCTGGGTCTTGTTCACCATGGTGTTGCTGTAGTGAAGTGGCAACGTCTTGGAGGAAGACGTCTCGACTCGAGCAAATGATGAGCAGTGTTGGACATGTGCGGGACTGATTGGCGAGCAGGTGGTGAAGTAGTCCAGTGAGCGTCAGCGGGCATAGGACCGTCGGCCGTGTTTGCAACATGACATATGGCTTCCTGAATCAGTGCCGGGTGCCATGTGTGTGTGCCCAGTTTGGCGTGGGTATTCTGCTTTGGGACGCGGAGTAGAACACACGCGGTGTGAATGTCATGGTCGGCTAGACGGTTGATGCCAATCGGCGGTAGTTCCCGCTCCCCGATTCCCCCCACTACTTACGTTGTCCATGACTCCAGAACTGCCCAAGTGCATGCACCCTGCCACGATTAACCACTATCACGACGCCCAGAACCGGATTCCCCCTGGCTCTGCATAGTCGGCATCCCGTTCGTGGGTAGAGACGAAGCGCGCACGCTCCGGACCGAAGCGCTCATCCTGGCGTAGGCCGCTGTCATGGAGTCCATCAGTCGCATATCGAGCTTGCTGGAGACAGGTATGGCGCCCTTTCCACTTTTCTATACACCAGTGCGCCCGGCCACGTCTTTTCGGCGAGGTCTGTAGTTACTCTTGGATATGTAATTGTTTCGTTGGACGTCATGCATCCCTCGAGCTTTGCTCACTGGTCCCTCTCTGCAGCCCGCGACCTTACCCTGGAAGCCGCCCGCGATGCCAGCAATGTGCGCAGGGCGCCTACCAAGGAATTGCCCTCGGGCCAGCTCAAGAAGCTCCTTGATAGCAGATCAGAGCGCGATGTGCTGGAGGGCCTACGGCGGGTTATCACTGTAGGTACTGCCCCACCGCCCAACCTGCACCACTGTCGCAGCCATGGGACTCTTGGAAACGTGTAGTAACTGACGACAGACCATGTAGATGTCCTACCGCCAGCCACCCTCGCAGACACTCCCCTTCTTCTCACACGTCATCAAGAACGTCGCCTCGCCCTCGCTGCAGGTCAAGAAACTAGTCTACATATACCTCCTACAGCATGCCGAACACGAGCCGGACACCGCGCTTCTTTCCATCAATACGATACAAAAGTCGCTCACAGACACGAACCCGCAGTTGCGTGCGCTCGCCCTACGCGTCATGTCTAGCATACGAGTGCCAGTCATCAGCCAGATTGTGAGCTTGGGTATCAAGCGCGGTTCTGGAGACATGTCGCCATATGTGAGGCGAGCAGCAGCTCTGGCCATACCCAAGTGTTACAGACTAGATCCAAACACAGAGCCTCAATTGCTCGACTACCTTTCGACACTGTTGGGAGACAAGCAGTATTTTGTGACGGGAGCGGCCGTAGCGTCCTTCTTAGAACTATGTCCAGAGCGCTTGGATCTGATACACCCGCACTATCGGTCCTTGGTACGAAAGTTGGTCGACATGGATGAGTGGGGTCAATTGGCGACTTTGCGACTCATGATGGTCTACGCGCGCAAATGCTTTCCAAGACGGACGAAAAAGGTCAAGAGGGCTGCAGGTGCCAACACGAACACCAAGCCTGTACAGTCGACAAAAGGCTTCTACGATGATTCGGAGAGCGAGTCTGAAGAGGAGGAACAGGAACAGGACATGGAAGAAATTGCAATTCTAGACCCTGATCTCGAAATGCTGCTCAAAGGCTGTCAATCGCTTCTTCAGTCTCGCAATGCGGCCGTGGTGATAGCAGTAGCAAGGACATATCTCTACCTCGGTACCCCCGAATACTTGACCCAGGCCATTGGACCATTGATATCCCTCCTGCGATCCGCGGCGGACATTCAGCACATCGCGCTGTACAATATCGTACAGGTCTGCCTAACGCATCCGGAGCCTTTTGTAAAATACTACACGCATTTCCTGGTGCGATCGACTGATGCGCCGCACATATGGCAGTTGAAGCTGGAAATGCTGACACTCATATTTCCCTACGCACAGTTGAGACTACAGAGTCTGATACTGGCGGAACTTAGCCATTTCTCGCATTCCGGGAGTCTGGATCCAGCTTTGGTCAAGGAATCGGTTCGAGCAATCGGTCGTTGCTCGCAAAGCCCAGCTACAAGCCCCCAAACATCAGCGAGGTGCCTAAAATTACTACTAAAGCACATCGGCTCCGCAGATACCCATCTAGTGGCCGAGTCCCTTGAAGTCATTCGACATTTGATCCAGCGAGACCCGAACGCTCATCGCACGACTGTAGTCCGGTTAGCGAAACACTTGGATGCAGCGACAAGCCCTCAGGCCCGTGCAAGCATCATATGGCTAGTCGGAGAATTCTCTGGCATCGATCCGGAGAACAACATTGCCGCGGATGTATTGCGTATCCTGGTAAAGGGCTTCGCAGACGAAGCTGAGCCGGCAAAACTCCAAATCGTGTTATTGGCTGCAAAGGTCTATGTACATCACCTGGCTGCAAATCCACCTCCAGAGCCAAAGATTGAAGAGCCTAAGCCGAACCCATCTCCTATGGACGACTTCCAAGAAGAGCATGGTGGGTTCAGAGAGGAGCATCTCGAGTCCCCGCCGCAGACCTCCGAACCTCAACAGGAAGAAAAGCCACATATTATCGAGGCACTTTACAGCTACGTACTTTTATTAGTAAGATATGACACCTCCTACGACCTTCGCGACCGCGCGCGAGTCTATAAAGCATTACTCGCAACGCCGACCTCCACACAGCTAGCCTCGCTCCTACTCCTCGCACCAAAACCTGTTCCACACATCCCAAGCCCCAGTGAAACACGAAAAGATTATGTCCTTGGTAGCGCCAGCCTGGTGATCGGCGACGAAGGCGGTGTTGGTGGCTTACGCGGCTACGAAAACCTACCACGCTGGGTCAAAGAAGGCCAGGAGCCAGATCCAGCGCTGCGCGACGAAGCCGCTTCGGCTTCTTCATCAACATACATCTCAGCATACGAGTCTGCGAAGAATATGTCGGCAGCAGAAAGGCTAGATGCCGCAGCAGGTGGCAGCAGCAGGGCGACACCTGACAGCATGCTCAGCCCAAGGACCTTGAACGGTATGAGTGGAGACATGGGCGTCGGTGGTGCACCCGAGGCACTACAGAAGGAGAAGACGCTCGATGACTGGTTGGCTGAAGAGGAGGAGGAAAGTGGCAGTGAGGAGGAGACGGACGAAGAAGAGACGGAAGAGGAAAGCGAGTACGAGACAGATAGTGAGGAAGAAGAGAGCGACGATGATGGGGAGAAGGATCAGCTCATTAAATAGCTGGTCAGCGGATCTGATATGATCAAATCATAACTCTTGACCACGATCTGGCATCCGTGCTGTGCAATCGCTAATGAATTGTGATTTGAGCTGTGCAAGAGTAAAAATTCTTCCACTGGGAAGCAGAAGATTGATCTGTCCTATGTCAAAGCTTTTCTGTAGTTGCCAAACTATGGCAACAAAGACTTTGTGTGAAAGTACTACAAGGAAAACTACTAGAGTCAGCGAAGGTCCACAATGAGATGATAGGAATACGACCTACCATCCCCCCATCCACTCTCTGCTTAACGCATCCCCCGTTTACATCGGCGTCAAGAGACGAGCTCTGCAAGCAGCTCCCACCACGCATACATTACGACGGCGACGGCGTCGGCGTCGGGGCCGGTGGCCATAGTAGGAAACCAAATAGGAAGTAACTACTCCCAGTTTTGCATTCACTCCAGAAACCTCAATCTCGCCATAAGCTTCTCCATGCACATAAGGCAATGCCCTGGTCGTCCTACTCGGGAAAATGGTATGATGCTCTGACAATGCTAGTGGGAGCCTTGCTGAATAATCGGGTCTCCACATGGTATGAAGCTCGTGTCATTTTGTTCGTGATGATGACAGCAGCTGTATGTCCAGAATATAAGCTGGCACATGGTCGTGTCGCCGTGAATTACGTTCGAGGATACGTTGTGGTCGTTTGCTGGAGTTTTTATCATCTGGTAGCGATTCGAGATGGGATGTTGTGGTGGATCGCCTGCTGGTGATATCGTGTAGTGCTGTTCTATACAATGAGTGGGGTTATGAGCGTGCACTGGTAGAATGACGGATGTGTGTGTGTGTGTGTGTTGTTTTTGTATGAAGATTTTACAACTGTGGGGTGTATTTGAACGTTAATACATCATCAGGACTCGGGTCTTTCCATGGGGTTGTCATGGCGCGAGTTTGGATTTTTTCGCAAGAACGGCCTGGGTATCTGGTGGAAAGAGCTCATGATGGACGTGGAGGGTCGTTGAAGCGCTTCCACTACTACAATGTTCTTTCTACATAAAAAATACCTCTCGCCTTCTTTCGAGATATGGTTGACGTTCTTCTCTGCGTTACACTGCGAACATGCCCTTTTTACTACACGATCGATGCTGGTCTCTGTCAACCTAGAACTATCAAATATATGGACATATTTGCTATCACCCGGATGTCATAAAATATTAGACATATCAGTGTAAAAAAGCCACTGTAGTCGCTAGACACGTCTATTGGGTGCTTACCCATACTGTCCAGTATTTTATGACACCCAGGTACTATCAGAATCTAGAGCTTAGCCTAGCATCTGCACTGGTAAGGGGCAAAAGGGAAGAAGTTGGTAGAGCTCTCGTCAAGATCATGTAATCGATGGTTCTTCAGTTTGGTACGCCAAGGATGGGTATCTACACTGGTAAGACTACAGAAAGAAGGTGACCGGCGCGCGCGCAAGCTCAGGTTTTTTTCTCTGAGCGAGTAAGACCTAGGATTTTACTGTGACCTACCGAGTAGCCTCATCAGCTGCAATGCAAACTCTCATGCTCGATGTGCAGAGCGTAAGCGGAGAAAACGTGAAATGGCGATGAATTGCTAGCTTGCGAAACCCACGTGTACATATTCGTAATACAGACGATGAGCTACGATCGCTAGAGTGCCGAGTGAAAGCCATGTTTCAGTCGATCCCGATTTGGCACCACCGGCTTCCATAGCCTCCCCTTTCATAACTAGCGGTACGGCAAACCTTCACTTAGCGGATGTTCATCCGGCGGGACAAGCCTGGACAAGAGCTCCTATAGAGTACCAAGAACCTGGGCGCCAAAAGTGAGCTATGCGCCCGAGATCCGGGGTACAGACGGCTTGTAGGCAATTTACCGTAGGCGGATTGCATGCAATTTGGCGGATAAAGTTTAATTGGTATGTTGTGTTCGTCAGACCATATCACACCTATAAGTTCCCGGGAGGAAAAATCAACGTCCCCTTGATTGTTGTGCTTTCCAGGATGCAGATCTAAAGATGGGTTTTTGGATGGCGGGGAAACGGAAATCGCGTCCCCGTGATCCGGAAGCGGTGACGTATTGGCTTACAAGTTGCATATCCCGTGCACCAGCACACCAAGACTCATCTACACATCCTTGCTATACAGATGGATAGTAGAGATGAGGTTATAGGTTAATGTCTCCGCATATATTGAAGTCGCGCGATTCCTGCATAGTCAAACACTTGAGAGTACATCGAGGGTTAGTAGGTATCTAGAGAAGATAGCCTCTACATGACTCGGCCGGGGAATTTAGATGCCGGATAATGTCCACCATTGCAGACTAGTTGACTCGGAGCACGGCAATTAGTGATGTTTACCTATGCACGTGGCGTGCACGCGGCTTTGAGCCGCATGCGAATCTCTCTACCAGCGCATGGACCCTTCCAGGAATCTTTCCATCTTCCTAATCTCATCTATTCCACACTGCCAACATCACGCAAACCAGCAGCCAAAGGCAATACTCACGGTTCCGGATATGAAGACCTCGTAGAACACTCATTTGACGGTCTTGGAAGCTAAACAGGACACTTTTGCCGTCGTCTTCAGGCGCCACACTGGCCACATAGCTTTACATTGATTAACATCTCGCTGGTCCACTATTCTGTACTCACGCCAAGATAGAATTTAACCGCTAGGACATGCACAAGGCGGAAAGCTTGGCAAATGCATGAGAAAGAGGATAGGGCGCGTAGTTGAGGGAATACTTGCTATGACCGCTGTAGTGCCACTGTAACCTGCAGTCAACCCCACCACGGAGAAATTGCAAACCCTAGCTTCATAAACGCACGGTGAGGTTCTACAAACATGGTTTCAAGTATCAAGCCAATAGAAATGTATGAATGACCGAGATATAGAGCGTTTCAAAGACTTTGTGGGTGCAATTGGCCCATGGTGCCACTTCTAGGCACTTTCTCTTACGCAAAAGCCAAGCTCAGCAGATTGCTATCCCTCCGCCTCATACTTTGGCTTCGGATGACACCCTAGCTGAGAGTAGCTGAGACACCGCAATGATGGCAAAGGACCTGCCTTGGCTTTAGCCAACAGACCTAGATCACTAGATCATTATCCGATGTTGCGTGCACAGTACAAAGATCTATAAAGGTATCATCAGTCTTCCTTGTAGCAAACCCCAACGACAATCAAGAACTTTCTTTCACTTCGCAAAATCAACGCCTTACAATCAAAATGGTCTCCTTCACTTCGCTCATCACCGCCGCCATTGCTGCTACCAGCGCTTTCGCTGCACCTGCTACTGATGTAGCTGCTCGTTCATCTGGTGATCTCGTTGCCCGTCAGAGCACTCCCAACTCTGAGGGAACACACAACGGCTGCTGTAAGTCTGGTTATCGACGCTGTAATGAACATTAGCTAAACATGACTTTAGTCTATTCGTGGTGGACTGATGGTGGTTCCAGGGTCACTTACACCAACGGTGCTGGTGGCAGCTACAGTGTCCAGTGGGGAAGCGGAGGCAACTTTGTCGGAGGAAAGGGATGGAACCCAGGATCGGCCCGGTACCCCCACTTGCTCAAGAATACCCTTTTCAAGGCAAGCTTACTGACACTACATCAGTACCATAACCTACTCCGGTTCGTACAACCCCAACGGCAACTCATACCTTGCCATCTACGGCTGGACTCGCAACCCTCTTGTCGAGTACTACGTCGTTGAGAACTTCGGAACCTACGACCCCTCCTCCCAGGCCCAGAACAAGGGCACTGTGACCGTCGATGGCTCATCCTACAAGATCGCTCAGTCGACCCGCACCAACCAGCCATCCATTGATGGCACCAGGACCTTTCAGCAGTATTGGTCTGTTCGCCAGAACAAGCGCTCTTCCGGCTCAGTTAACATGAAGACTCACTTTGATGCCTGGGCCAGCAAGGGCATGAACCTTGGTAGCCACTACTACCAAATTGTCGCTACTGAGGGATACTTCTCCACTGGTAGCGCTTCCATCACTGTCAACTGCCCGTAAGTGGTTCAAAGTGCGAAGGTCACGTGGTGAAGCGTGGTGGTGATTTGGATGACGTGAATGGCATGCGCTGGTCTGAGCGTCAGTGGCCCAGTCAATGACTTCGATTCTGTATATATTTTTCCTTAAATCAGCTTGCTGATACCGAGAACATTAACTTTGGTATTTCTCATCGCGATTTGCGATTCTTGTCAACACTGAGTTCTCAACGTTTCTCCCAGCGTGTTGAAAACGTGACCAAGTTGATATCGCTGGCTTATCTGTATCTTCCCACTACATTCTACAAAATGTGCTTTCGCAACTGTATTGAGTACTCTTGTCCCGGTATGCATACTCTTATCAATCCTGTCCGTCCTTTTGCGCTGTGCGAACTAGCTCAGCATTACCCTATACAACGTCAGTGTGCCACTATTATAGATATTTTTGAGAAGAGCGACGAGTGGTGCATAGATTGCTGGATGCGAGAGCATGATGGGAAGCCCAAAGACGGCGAGCACGGGAAGAAGGTTTGGAATGATTGTTGGCGGGGTGGAGTGAAGTGGTCGGGGTTCAGTGGAGACAAGGGAAAGAACGTTTGGTGGGATGATACGCCGCAGTAGTGGGGCAGTATAGTGAGAGACTCAGTAGATGGAATATGTGGCTTGGTAGATTACATGTGATCCGCACCATTACTTGGTCACCAAATCTGTGAAAGATAGATTACAGAATACAAGTCCTGAGAAGATGGATTCACAAAAGCCAGACAATTCAAGAGACAAGCATGCTTCAAACCCGAACACCGTCAAGCAAGAGCCTTTGCCAGCGTCCTTGAGAGTACCAGAGAACAACTCGACTAGAGCCATGTCAATAACGGCCTCCAAAGACGATAGGGCTGCGTCCCTCTTGCTTCCAGAGGTGGGAGTGAGCCACGGCAACCTAATCCAGAATGAACATGATGCATCACATACGATGGCAGTACCTGAGCATACCGCCACAACATCCCTGCACGAAGAAAGAGGTCCGATGAGGACACTTCTGAAGATGCAGATCAGAAGCTTCTAGTAAGTCCACTACCCGTGCAATAAGAATATTTTTCTCATGTGGGCTATTTCATGCTAACATGACTGGCTAGTTCGACCGCTGCAGGAAGATCTTGCAGCTCAGAGGCGAAAAGCTTACACAGGAAGAGACAGTATTGCAAAATACACTCGATGGGCAGACAAAGACACTTGAATTCGCTAATAATCGTTGGAAAATTATTCAAGAAGCATTGACAGAAGCGAAGGCCAGGGTGAAGACTGCCAAAGAAACCACAGCTACGACGGAAACTGAATTGGGAGAAAAACAGAAGGAACTGGCCAGTCATCACCTGTTCGAGCAAAGCTTTGATAATTATTTCGCATCAAGGATGAACAGTGAAAGATGGGCCCTGGGGTGGATAATCAATTATAAGGAGTCCATGGGCGTTTCAAGGTTGAGAAAATGAGTTTCGGTGGCGGCAGCGTACCCCACGTGGCGATCAAAAGTGACGCGAAGGAGTTTGGACACTGAGTTAGAGCACATCATAGCGATTCATATCAAAAAAAGTATTATCGTGTAGACTATGCTTGACTCAGAGCTGTGCAACGACAGACAAATTATCCGTATATAGCGGCATTGTGCCAGGAGTCATTCTCAGAGCCTCCTCAATGATTGACAACGCGAGATCGAGCTGCTCTTCTGTGACAGTGATTGGAGGCGCAACCCGAAAGACCCCACCAAACGATGCCATAGTGGCCAGTTGAGACCACAGCCCCATTTCCATCATCTTGTTTGATACTGCCCTACCCACTTCCGGGGCCCCAACTTTCGTCTTCCTGTCGGCAACAATCTCAACTCCCGCCATGAGACCACGACCACGAACGTCACCGATGCAGCCATATCGTGACTGAAGGTGTCTGAGACCAGCTTGAAGCTTGATTCCGAGCCTCTTAGAGCGAGCACACAGGTCATCTCTGATGACGATTTCGAGGACTTTGTCGCCTACAGCTGCTGGTAGAGGATCGTTGATGTGTGTAGTGTAGAACAAGAAGCCATTTTCTTTGGCATGCTGAGCGATGGGATTCGATGTTAGAACCGCGCTAAGTGGAATGCCGTTTCCAAGCGTCTTGCTGAGAGTGAGAATGTCAGGAACCACACCCTCATCTTCGGGATGATGTGCAAAGGCAAACATATCTCCTGCTCTGCCAAGTGCTGTTTGCGCCTCGTCGACGATGAGTAACATACTCCTCGCCTCACAATGCTTCTTCAAGGCCTTCAGATACCCGGGTGGAAGCTCCAACATGCCACCACTCGATAATATAGGCTCAACAATGACTGCTGCAAGTGATCCGCAAGACTGCTTGTCCAAAAGGTCAAAGCCATAGTCCAGCTCAGTCGCCCAGTCATATGTTCCGTCTGGATTTCTGAAGATCGAACGGTACGCATTAGGAGTCGGAAGCGCAAGATTGCCGGCCATGTTAGGTCCATAACCTGAACGACCAGCATCAGACTCCGCAACAATCAATCGATCGACATGATTGATTCCTATATAGGTTAAAGAGTTACTTTATTAGGCAGCCTTTAACCTAGATAGGAATCAATCATGCCGATCCGATTGATTGTTGCGGAGTCTGACCAGCATGATACTGAGCACCGAGCGATGCGCCAGTCATACCATGCCAGGATGCTGCCAGACCAACAATCTCGAATTTCCCAGTGTAAAACTTGGCTAAACGGATAGCCGCTTCGTTGCTCTCCCCTCCAGTGCTCAAAAAGAACGCTTTATCGAGACCAGCGGGTGCAACATCAGTAAGTCGTTTCGCAAGGTTAATGACTGGAGGGCTAATCATGCCACTGAAGAGGTGGTCAAGGTGTTGCGCGTGGTCATTTACCACCTTCACAACTTCGGGATGACCATGGCCTATCAAAGTGCTCATCTGACCAGACGTGAACTGCACCCTGAAATCAGCGTGGAATCATGGAGAGAAGGCGGAATTGCAACATACGTCCATCATCCGATGACCAGAGGCTGTCTCAACATAGATGCCCTTAGTAGAGGTAATGATCTCAGGGTGGAAGTCGGTCCCGTAGGTAAGTAAACATTCATCGGCGTCGCGTTGGAGCTGCTCAATATTGGCATTGTCATACGGTCGAGACATGATGATAAAGATGTTCAGTTGCTGTGAGCCAGCCTGGAGAGCATGACTTCATGGGCTATATATATCGCGTCGTTATCACAGGTAGTGTACAAATACACGCCCGTTATCGCGCGGGGTGAACGCATATACAGGGTGTATCATGATGTTTTCCGTCGGAGACGCATGGAAACTGGCTTCCGACGGAGACGACGAACAGTAGCTCGATACGGGAATTACTAATTTAGGTAAGCGTCAGGTACGGGTCGCGGCTTGAAGGCGATAACCAGAGCGTGAAAGTCGCGATTTCAGCAGAATGCATATCAACAACAATACCTAGGTAGTCTGAAAACAGCACATTGCGGAAGATGCGTGTCAATAGTAGTTGAGGCGTAATAGTACGGTGGCCAAAGATCCTGTTCATAATAACCGCCGCGCCTGTGCACCTCCACAATACGGTAGCGCCTTCTCACCCTGAGCTATAGGTACTAGCAAAGCCACCTTCCAACCAACCCCCATCAATGAACCACGTCGCTTTGGTGACGTGCGCGGCCTCATCACCAAGCAAAAATGCGATCGAGCCGGCTATCTCCCACGTTTCCGGAAGTTCACGCTTCAGAATGCACGGAATATCATCCTTGTTCAGATAGAACTCCCCAGCGGCCGAGTGGAGTGGCTTGGTCATCATCTCCGTATTGAAACATCCGCTGCTGATTATTAACTACCAAGCGATTATATACAAGGGAGATACACGTACGGGCATAAAGCATTGACTCTCACTCGTCTGGATGCTCCCTCGAAAGCAGCCACTTTAGTCAGCCCGATGAGGGCATGCTTCGCAGCGACATATGCCGACGTGCCGTATGCCCCATATTGGCTGGCGATGCTTCCGACGTTCACAATCGAACCGCCGTCCTTTATCATCTTCATTTCTTCTTTCAGACAATGGAATGTCCCCATGACGTTCACATTGATCAGCTTCGCGAAGTATTCGGGGTCCAAATCTGTGATTGGGAAGACTTCACGTTGCTCCACCGCTACACTATCAGCAAACAATTCATCGAAACCTGACAGGACAATGGTACTTACCTGCAACGTTGGCGGCACCGTCTAATTTTCCAAACCTGGCCACAGTCTCTTGGATCCATGACCGTACACTACCCAGATTGGCAATATCGACAGCACATGTCCAGTACCGGTCTTTCGCGTCTGGGAGCTCACTCTCTATCTCTTTGGCGGCCTTTGATAGATTCTCGGGTGATGTCGCACACATGGAAACCGTGGCGCCCCGAATCAGTAGGTATTTGCTGACAGCTAAGCCTAAGCCTCGACTGGCTCCGGTGACGGCAATGACCTTTCCTGAGAAAGGAAGCGGGTTGACCGCATACGGAAGAGAAGCGCTCATGTCTCAAGTGGTAACAGTGATTGTCTCAATGGTAACAGTGATGGGAAGATACAGAGTAGATGTACGCATGCGTTCGCGGAATCTGGCGGCTAACGATGAGTTAAAGTGAAACACTTACGGCCAACCTTAAACACTATTTGGCTGGCTTATTCTTAATTTTACGTACACCGTAATTAATTATACGCAGGCCTACGTATAGGCTGAGAATTCTAAGTTATAGCTACACTACCTGTAAGAAAGCTGCAATATTACAATAGCAACTACGCTGCAGTGCATGCAGGCTTTGCGCAGTGAGTTCCTGAGCCTGTGCCGCTACTGTAGCTGCTTTAGGAAATCCCCAGCTAGGGTCCGCATCCTCCATTACCAGCGATGGTCGTGAATGTTTTATTGAACCTCTGGAGACAATACAAATTGTTTCCCGATAGTTAAGAGAGGACCTGACCCACATGATCAATGACAGATTACAATCACACGGCCTGAGTCGACCGAGCGTCTCTCACCACGGCCCAATCATGGTGGTACATGACTTACCTAGGTCATATGCCTACACTGAGACTACTGTTTCCCACTTACCAGTGATCGACATCGTAGCTGACCACTTTGAAATGCTCTCTCACCTTGTATCTGCTAGCCTATATAAACGTGTCCCATCGTCACGGCTCTTAGCTCATCAATTCAGCCTGCTCAAATACCGAACAATTTGCAGTCTGAGCACCACCTTACTTACTACATTTACTCGCAACGTAAGTTTCAAAAAAGAATAGAAGATAATTGCCACTAACGGGTCTATATCCAGAAGATCGACAGGATGGGACGTGCGAAGCGCTACAATAGAGACCAGTTACTGGATATTCTCGAGAATCAGTGTCCAGAAGCCTTTGCAAAATTCCCAAAGGCAGACTCATTCGTCTTCACCAACACTGATGACGGTGACGCTGAAACAAGGACTTTCTTAAGCGTTGGCACAGTCATAGTTGTCAACAATCAAGCCAATCCAAGCTGAGGCGTTAGCTTGGATTGCTCGTTTTTTGAGGGCGTCGGCTTGGATTGTTGGGGCTAACAAGCTGAGATCGTGAGCTTGATTGAGGCTTGATTGATAGGCTTGATAGCCTGTACTACAGTAGCGCTAGCCTTTGTCGTCGTCCTAAGTCGCTAGCCCGCACAAAAGCTCCATATTGTCGTCGTCTGCTGCCTCCTCCCCCACCACCTCGTTGTCGCCTCCGAGGCCAGCTCTTTGCCACCGTCGTACGTACTGTATTGCCGGCTTTAAGGGGTCGCCCAGCTCACTGAACAGGCGTTCACACTCACAGCTTGACGATGGGATAGAGAGTACGTCAAGCGCAAGCTTAATTAGGCTAGGGTAGCAATCGCGCATGCTCACCCAGTATTTGATAGAGTTATCTGCGTGTTCTGTACCTCTCTCGGCTACCGGCTCGCTGCGCTTCCACCTCTTAAACTCGTCCTTGTCGGCGGTGAGGCTGCTGACAGTACTAGGGTTGAGTATACTATCTATCGCGTCGTCTATATCGCTTGGGATCACTGCCGACAGCCTTACCGCGCGCGGTGAGGTGTTGTACTGCGCCTAGAGCGCCTAAAAGCTAGCGTTACTGGCCTCGAGCCAGTCAGGCTTCTTGGCCCACGCCTTAACCAAGCCCATTAAACCGAACAATCAAGCTGACCCTCCTCAGCTTGGATTGCTAATAAATTAGTATAGGCGAGCTTGACTTGATGGGATTGATAGTTATCAAGCTATTAATTAAGCGCTTGCAAGCCGCTTGATTGTTGACAAGTCTGGGCACAGTGCTGGTTGAAACGAAGAAAGGTGGACCTTTGAAGCTGGGAGATAAGGCCTGGGTGGAAATCCTTGGTCCTTGCAAGCCCTGGTTACACGTACGCACGATTAATGGCGGATATGTGCACCCAGCAAGCCATCGTTATGTTCGCTGTGATGGGGTATTCGGCACACTCATGGACACAGCCGAAGTCTACGCCTGGGGCGATAACATGAAGACAATCGTGAGTTTCGCCTTCGTCTACGCTGGAAAGCGAGATACATACGGGGATTTTGACAACGGTAATGGCCTGCCGATATTGGTGAAGACTCTGGAAGACATCGCAGCATACGATGAGATCATTGAGAACAAGAGAAACGACAGCCATCTACCAATCGAAGAGAAGGAGAAGTGACAATCCATTCCAGAAGAGGGAGCTGCTTTCGAAGGGACTCATGTCTTCTATTGACCCTGGGATGAGCAAAACAGCTAAGAAGGAGCGTCCCGCCTAAGCTGCGTGGCATCTCCAAGGTGATTCAGACAGTTAGTATCTCGGATTAGCTTGCAAGACATATAGTGGCGATTTAATTCAACTTGTATTGGTCGAGCGTGGGAGCACGTAAGATCATGCGATGGAGGCGTACAGGGTTCAAATTGGAGACATGGAGAGACTGGGTGGATTATCTCACAGCCATGGTTGGCATACCGTCGGTTCAATAGGAAAGTTTACTTCTATCAGATGTTCAATTAAGAAATCTGATGTGAGATCTCCTTCCTACGTTTGTGTAAAATGACGTGACTCTATACTTTTCCCAACACACTATGCAAATAGAAGATTAGATGATCCTGCGTACTACGTTAGCTATTTGTGCAATGGAAACTTAGTCATCAAATTACAACTATTACAACGAGAGTCATTGCATTACAACAAGACCTTGAGAGTCATCAAGCAACCACGGTACTCGTGTGGAGTTGAACCGTACCATCAGACACAAGCCAACCGCAATTCAATGTCATTGAAAACCTCCGGATCAACCATCTTATCTATACCGCGATCATCAACTTGCGCGTAATCAAACAGCAATGGGAACTTTTTGTTGTAAGGAAACCTTGGCAAGGATGGATGGAATGTCTTTGCAAACAGAAGGTGAGCGTTTACGCTAAGACGGAACCGGCAAGAGGGTGTTGTCTAGCTCATCAAGGGCAGGAAGCCTGCGACATCATGGCCTCCCTTCTACTCCATTTCCCAAATCAAACATTTTTGAAAAAACATCACCATAATGAGTGATAGCGAAGAACCTCTCGATCTCTACGACATCGGCGTGTTGATGACTTATGAGCGAAACACGACCGAACCCCAGCTCCGCCACACAAAACTACGAGAGGTTGCCTTCCCGGGCAATCAACCAAAGACAGTCGCTCTCAATAGTCCCATAGAACAAGGCTGGAACAAGAACGCCTGCACCTGGATCATCGTCGAGGAGGAAAACCCTAGAAACCCAAGTGCACCCGATCTCCCCCAGGATTTTCTGCAAGAGGATAAGCGAGCTGGCAGTACGTTCTCAGACGAACAGCTGGAGACTCTTTTCTATCAAGCACGTAACCATGATGGATGTTACAAGGCTATTGGCCTTCTCCAACTCTTCTTCGGCTTATTCCCCGACGACACGAAATTGAGGGTTCGGCATGCACCCCTCAATAAACAGCCTGGCGAGTCTTACATCACGACGATCAACAGGCGCGTCATTATCGAGGAGGCGTTCCGCGAGCCGAAGCTCACAACTGCGATTGTTTCACTTCCAGAAGGGACTTTGCAAGTCAGTGGTCACCAGCCGCTATTGCCACACGCCGTCGTAGGTTTCTCGCCGCATGACAGCGCGACAGTTAAGACCTTCTTCGATCTGTCGTCTATGCAATTTGGCGACCTAGGACGGGGCCCTGGACCCAAAGGAAAACAGTTGTTTGCACTTGACACTCCAGAGGAGTTTGCGATACGGTTTAGTCACCTGGCCAGGGGTGCGGATCCCAGCCAAAGCCAGCACACCTTGGCGATCAGTGGTACACCGTTCGACGACTGGCTTTTGGAAGTCGCGATCCGGGTGAAGAAGAGGTGGGATAATAAAGACAAGGAAAAGTGGTGTGGGCATTGCGGGGCTCCCAAGCCAGTGTCCAAGTGCTCTGGATGTGGACAGGTGTATTATTGTGGGAAACAACACCAGAAACTGGCCTGGGGATTTCACAGGGGCTACTGCGCCAAAGCATAAGCTCAAAATCTCGATATATGGGTATACGCATTATGATATCTGAATTTCTTCGTCGAACCGCACCACTAAGAGGCGCGTTGCAAATCCACTGCACTAGCCAATAAACAGTATCCTCTATGTAACATCCTGATGTGCCTGCAAAAGACTTGTGATGTCAAATTTCAACTCAAATCTCACATCCTCCCAGTAGGTAGCTCGTTGACATTTGCCGGAACAGGTGGCGGAGAAGCAGCAGGCGAATACTGTGGCACGGGACTAACTGGTCCGTTATCCGCATAGTAGGGATTCATCTGCACCGGGCTGGTCGCAGCAGGAGTTTTTTCTGGAGGCGGAACTGCATAGCCTCCTTGTTGGGGCGTAGCAGCATAGCTAGTATGAGCATTAGGATCGTAGAACTGGGGTGCCTGAGGAGCGTTTGGGTCGTAATGCGTGTGCTGTTGCTGTGGGGGAGGGATCTGCTGGACCTGCTGCTGAGGTGCGGGCTTCTGCTCTTGGTAGTACTGCACGGGCGCCGGTGGTGTTTGTTGTTGAGTTTGGGGTTGTTGCTGTGCTTGGGGCGCGTCAGTATTGGTGTTGTTGTTGTTGTTGTTGTTGTTGTTGGCTTGGTTGCGCTTCTTTCGCCTGAGGAGGAAAACGATCGCGAATATGATGGCGCCGAGCAGAACGATGCCGCCGACCACTCCGCCTGCAATAGCGCCGACTGGTGTACTCTTTTTCTTGTTGTTGTTGTTGGTCTTGATGCCTGCCGAGGGGGGTAGGACGTCGACGGGGTCAATTGAGGTTTCTGTAGAGCCGGATGCGCTAGTGATGCGGGTAAAGGATACTGATGCGGCATTGTTGGTTGATACTCTGGTACTTGCGCGTGTAGATGTGCCTTTGAATCGTACTGTTAGCATGGATCTCAATCTACTGTATGGGAATTCATGAGCATATCATCTTCAGGTGTTGTCATATAAATGACACCACCAGTCTCTGTCTTGTCATCACACCAGTAGTTGGTCAGTGGACGCTGATCATTGATGTCTGTTGCAAGTTCCCAGTAACTACATGTGCTACTCGCGCCACCACTAGACATCTGTGTAAGTAGTCATTCTTGAAGTGTACGCGGCTTGTGACAATGTACCAGTAAATCGAAGTAGTAGCAAAGACTGCGTAATCGTTCGAACAAGAGAAGAACTCGCAGACCGCTGTGGGATTGCAGATCTTGTATAGATCACCGGAGGTTGCGATGACCTGATTTTGGTCGTTTGCAGTAATGGTATCCCCCAGACTCCGCAACAATCAATCGGATCGGCATGATTGATTCCTATCTAGGTTAAAGGCTGCCTAATGAAGTAATTCTTTAACCTATATAGGAATCAATCATGTCAATCGATTGATTGTTGCGGAGTCTGGTATCCCCTGGGCGATGTTAGACAGAACCAGTGTATGGTAGGTGTAGAATCCTACACTGTGTAGTCCCAGCCAGTTCTCCGACTGAGACGTAACCAATCGTGGTGACTGCCCTCTTTACGACTGGCGCAGGCGTTGTCGTGGCCATTGACGTGATTGTAGCGGCGACAGCATCTTGGATAAGAAAAGCGAACAGCAATGGACGGAGTGTAGTATGTGCCATTGTAATCGAGTCTAGAGTTGTTAAAAACAAATTATAAACAACTCATGAATAAGAGCAGACCTATTCAGCTAAGTACCCCCATATGTTGGGTAGCGAGCTATACGAGCATAGGTGCGCAGTAAGGCGTGCAGTGGCCCGCTGAGGCTTGCATGTCACAAGTATGATACGAAAAGAGAGTATTGGCGGGTAGATCAGCTGGATTGTTCGCGCCTCTACGTTCACCCACGATTGCGGCTGAAGATACATGTTGCAATCACAATGTTGCAAGGCTGTAACGTCCTCGGTAAGACCAGTTTAGATCTACTTGTACTGCTAGAGCAACAGTCAACAACACTTTCTCATTACTAGTTCTGCGCAGTGACATGACACAACGTACAACGTCAAGCGATGTAAAATAAAGGGTTGGCAGCGAATGTGGTGTAGCAACCAGCATGGGGAGGCGAGCTGAGCCTGAAGTTAACTTTGTACCCGCTTTTGCAGACATTTGATAGGTCACAGCAGCAGCCACAGAACACGTCCATTCCCTTCAAGGTGACCGCCAAGCACACATCGGACGCTTTCGCGGCGAATACGCTTCACCGGTAGGCAGAATAGTCTCGTATAGACGTGGCACATTTGGCCCCTAAATTACATTTGCTTTGGTACCTCGGTGATGGCCTTGCCAGATTAGTAAGTGCTGATCATGGGGTGGAGCTTGTACAGCGCAATGTGCGCCTTGCACGTGGGTGTCGAAGCCTTCATTACGCTCTCGTTATCTTTTCATATCTATCTCTTCATTGCGCCGCCCTTGTGCGACTTCTAGTGTCCATGTCCATCGTCACCTCCGCCTTGCTCCTCTGGATCAAGTTTGATCAGGGTATCAATACGCATGATGGCTACGCATGCCTCCACTGCCGACTTCAATTGCTTGACTTTGCTCATACTGGGTTCAAGAACGCCGGCCTTTAAGCAATCATGTACCTTGCCGTTGGTCAAATCCAGGCCGTAGTTCTTGTAGTTCTTCGACTTTGCGAGTTGCTTGGCATCTTGCGATGATGGGTCCGCTGGGTTCACTGTGCGTTGCGAGAGAGCATGTCTTGATCGGAGATTAGCAACAAGCTCGGTGGCGTCCTTGGCTGCGTTGATGGCGAGAGTTTTGGGAATGGAAAGGAGAGACTGTGCAAAGGCAGCTATAGCCAGCTGTTCCCGAGAGCCCTGAAGAAAACATTAGCAGTGTTTAAGATGTACATGAGTTGAAATGACTTACGACTGAGGTTGCCCACTCTTCCAGGTAGATATGTAGAGCGGTCTCGACAGCACCTCCACCAGGGACAATACGTCCACTCTCCAGTGTGCGCTTGACGGCTGACAGGGAGTCGTGCACTGATCGCTCCATCTCATCCAAAGCATAGTCGTTCGCTCCTCGCAGAATAATGGACGCTGAAGAAAAGGCCTTGGTACCCTTGACCAGGATGCACTCGTCGTCGGAAATACGCTCTTGTGAAACCTCTTCGGCATGACCTAGGTTGGCTGCCTCGAACTTCTCATCGCCGTTTAGATCCGAAAGAGTGCTGACCAGGGTAGCTCCTGTGGCCTTTGCTATCCTTCGTAAATCCTCCTTCTTGCATCTTCGCACAGCCATGGCACCCTTCTCAATAAAGTGCTTCAAGCAAAGGTCGTCAATACCCTTGGTTGTCATGATGACGTTGGCGCCTGCCTTCAAGATCATCTCGATGCGCTCGGTGACGATGCCAGCCTCGCGCTCTCGGATCTTCTCTAGCTGCTCTGGGTCGTCGATGGTGATGTGTACGCCCAACTTCATGCGCTCCTTCTGCAGGTTGATGTCCAGGCAGGCAATCTTTGCGTCGGTGATGCGAGTCTTCATGGCTTGCGAAGCAACTGTGCAGTTCAAGGCGTATCCTTTGACTAGTATCGACTGGGTGGCACTCTGGCCGTGTGCCTTTAGGATGTTGACAGCCTTCACGGGGTACTTGATCTCGGCCTTGTTGTTTGTCATCTTGACGGCGGTCATGGCGTCCACGACCATGTTGGCAAAGAAGTCAGAGTCTGAGCCAATGATCTTGCTAGACATTGACGTCTTGGCAATGTTGACAAGTGAGTCCCGACCGAGTGCATCGACCTTTGTGCTGATGTTCTCGTTCATGTACTTGACTGCCTCCCTCAGGGCCAGCCTGTAGCCTGTGATGATGGTGGTGGGGTGTATCTTGTTCTTCATAAGCTCGTTTGCCCTCCTCAAGAGCTCGGCCGCTATTATGACGACTGAAGTTGTGCCATCTCCGACTTCCTTGTCTTGTTGTTGGGCCAGGTCGACGAGGATTTTGCCTGCGGGGTGCTCAATGTCAAGCAGACTGAGGATGGTAGCGCCGTCGTTGGTCACCGTCACGTCACCAATGTCGTCGACCATCATCTTGTCGAGACCCGAGGGCCCAAACGACGACTTGACGACATTGGAGATTGCCTGCGTCGCAAGCACGTTTTGGTCGCGAATGTCCTGTCCGCTGATTTTCTGGCCGCCGAGGACTGCACGTGTTAGCTTTCTGCCACCCAATCTCCACCTGTCCCAGCTTACACAGAGTTCCGCCGCTGCGAGACTGCTCGAAGATTCCTGCCATGTTGCTGTTTTATAGCTGTTCTGCTTTGTTGTTGCTGCCTCTACGCGGTCCAGAAATTCTCCAAGCACGCCCGCCCGCGTCGGCGAATTGTAGCTCCGCCGGTGCCAGTCGCGCTAAAGTGGACCCTTGCATTGATGACTCGGCTTCTACATTGGACCGTCGACTCATACATGACTGTAAGAAGACATATAGCTCTTACTCGTGCCTTGTTGACTGTTTCGTGACCCTTTCGCCGTCGCCCAACTTTTAACCATTCCACCTCAGATTGGCGTGTGTCAATTGCACGTAAGTATACCATTGTCGCGTGTTGATACCCCGCCCTGCCCCGCCAACACCGCCAATTCATGTCGCATGGAATCAACTCGCGTTGCTTGATTTCGCGACTGAAGGCACTTTGCGTCGCACTCTGTCAATAGTCTGTTTGTAAGCTCACTGACTCACGCTTCTCAAATAGATCCAACATGGCCGAAGCAACAGCAGCCGATGGCAAACTGAAGGATCTTTCCATCTCTGAGACGAAAAAGAGCAAGAAAGACGGCAACCCGCAAAAAGCCGCAAAGAAGCCCCAGCAGCAAAAGAAAAAGGTCTGCTTGACCCACGTGAGCGTTTTGAGAATCCAATGCGATATTGACTATGCGACAGATTGAAGGCTCAGTCTTGATAGGTATCGATGTCGCAAAGGAGGTTGATCTCGGAGACTGGTACCAGCAGGTCATCACAAAGGGTCAGATGATCTCGTACTACGACGTAGCCGGATGCTATATTCTTGAACCCGCCTCGTACGCTATCTGGGAGAACATCCAGAAATGGTTCGATGCCAAGATCAAGACGCTCAAAGTCCGAAATGCCTACTTCCCCATCTTCATCAGTGCCGACAACTTGGAGCGGGAGAAGGAGCACGTCGAGGGCTTTGCTGCCGAGGTCGCCTGGGTTACAAAGGGCGGCAAGTCCGATCTAGAGAAGCCTATCGCCGTGCGCCCTACTTCTGAAACCGCCATGTACCCATACTTTGCTCGCAAGATTCAGTCACATCGTGATCTACCCCTGAAGCTTAACCAGTGGAACAGCGTAGTTCGGTGGGAATTCAAGCGTACGTATACAGCTCCCTTGTCCAAGCAGTCATGCTTAACATGCACCTAGACCCCATGCCTTTCATCCGGACACGCGAGTTCTTGTGGCAGGAGGGACACACTGCGCATCTCACCCGCGAAGAAGCCAGCGCCGAAGTCTTGCAAATCCTGGACTGGTATTCCGATGTCTTCCAAAAGCTGCTCGCTGTTCCTGTCGTCAAGGGCATGAAGACAATCAACGAGAAGTTCCCCGGAGCCGACTATACCACCACCGTCGAAGGCTTTATTCCAGCTACAGGACGAGGAGTCCAAGCCGCAACATCGCATTGTCTCGGACAACACTTCTCCAAGATGTTCGACATCAAAGTTGAGGACCCCACTGCGAAGGAAGCTGGCAAGTCAGAGCACGTGCACGTCTGGCAAAACTCATGGGGTCTGACCACTCGTTCGATTGGTGTCATGATTCTGACTCACGGCGATAACCGAGGTCTAGTCATCCCTCCTAGGGTGGCTGAGGTCCAAGTTGTTGTCATCCCCGTCGGTGTCACAGCCAAGTAAGTCTGGCACTAATAATCACCAACTAGGATGCTGACCAGAGTAGGATGTCCGCTGAGGCGAAAGAGGAGCTATACAGCAAGGTCAAGAAGATTGCGGATGACCTGATCGAAGCAGGCGTCCGTGTCGAGACTGACTACCGCGAGGGTTACTCTCCCGGCTGGAAGTTCAACGACTGGGAGCTCAAGGGTATTCCTCTTCGTATCGAATTCGGCCCCAAGGATGCTGAGAAGGGCGTTGTCACCACCTCTCGCCGCGACATCGACGACAAGGACGCTGCGCGTGGCACAATCAGTGTCGACAATCTAGTCGAAGAGGTGCCTAAACTGCTCGAGCAGATTCAGGAAGATATGTTCCAGAAAGCTGACAAGCAGTTCCGTGACCACCGCATCCAGCTTACCAACTGGGACGACTTCGTCCCCACCCTCAACGCCAAGAACGTCATCTTGGTTCCCCACTGCGAGGGTGACAAGTGCGAGGACGAGGTCAAGGCAAAGAGCGCAAGGACTGCACTCGGAGACGATGTCGCTGAAGACAAGCAAGCTCCCTCCATGGGAGCAAAGAGCTTGTGCATTCCCTTTGACCAGCCTGAAGGCATCGAGCCCGGCAAGACCAAGTGTATCAACCCTGATTGCACAACGCCCGCTAAGAAGTGGATCCTGTTTGGACGGAGTTACTAGCTGTCTACCTTCCTATTCAAGTGTACTTTCTTGTGTGAGCATTTGGTGGCATGGAGTTTAGTGGCGCGGTGTTCGCGGCAAAGTGACGAGGCTGTTGTGGAACAGGCCACTGTCAAGTTTATATTGTTCAATCAAGACTCTAGCATAGTAGTAGAAAAGGATACTTAGCCTTTGTAACATAATGCAAGTAACTACTTAGCAAGACGTCTTTTACAATTCCTGTTACTATCTTATAAGAGAAAGAGTGAGATCGAAAAGAAAGGTGTATGTGTATAAGAAAAAGAGTTAAGAGAGGTAGGCTACCACTCTATATATACCTATAGTACCTTCTTAATCACTTAGGCGTAATTATCAGTGAAGAAGCTCTTGTTTAAAAATGTAATTGATAGTTCTTAGCTTAACTAGGTGTAGATAAAGTTAGTGTTGAGAATATCTGGGTTCAGTCCAGGGTAGAAGGTGCTTGAGAGTCACATGATGTGCTGGTGTGGCAGGCACTGCCCGGTGGGCAATAGCACCCACCACAACAGTGAGTTGTTTGACACTCAACATAAGAAACAATAAAATACGTTGCAGCCACCCCGCCTTGTCCCTCCTCCCACTCGGTTATCCATAGTAGTCATACTACTAGTGGGACCTTGTTCCAATAGTTAGTACTATAATCTAAGCGCATAGAGTAAGTTACAACGTAGGGCAAAAAGAAAAGTGTAAAAAAAGTATCAAAAGAAACTCTACGAGGAAGAAACGTGATTGAATACGTTTCTTGTTAGACCTTGCAACAGGCGTACCTGCCAAGGCCCGAACTCGTACCTCAGTGCCATGGGAATGCGAAAGGACAGCGTTGACCGAAGTGATTCCAACACCGAACCGGACAATCGCTTTATTACCCGGGGAGAATAATCACGAGTAGTACGGAGCGGTGTTTGAACACGCGGCCAGGGTGCTGACAAAGTATTCCGCAACCCATGCCACTAAAGATAGTCATTGCTCGATGGATGAAAGTAGAGTTATTAGATATATATACTGGCGTAGTTGAGAGTAGTTTAGGTGATGTTGAAGAGAGCTGTGGATATATGGTTGTGGTGGTTGCGTGGAGTGAAAGGGGTCTCACTGGCGGTCACTAGGCAACCCTGGAACTGCGTGGTTCCGCCCAATGAACAACACGTGGGTCTGCAAACGGACATCACCAAGCTAAGCAAGCGGACAAGTTAGCAATCATTCAGCCACTAAGGGTCTGCGACTTACCGTGAGCACCTCGCGCCAATCCCCACGACGGGCAATCTGTCTTTGTGCCGCACTGCCGGTACTCACCTATCCTGAGTTCGAAAATAAAACCGTGACTCTTATAAACACAGCTAAGTCCTGACTCACGCCTCCATTACAACTCCATTGCAGATCCATTACAGCCCTATTACAGCTCCATTACAGCTCGGCCGTACTCTCTGCAAGACAAGGCATCCACCATGTGCTACGCACTGCTCCAGGTATACGCCTGCAGCCACGAGAAGACAGTATGCAACACACCGTGCCCCCACGCCATGGCTACAGGTCTGCGACTTTCCAAGGCCGACGCTGCAATCACACGAGAGCTGTCGCGGTCGACTTCTGTCGTCTCGTCCATGGCGCCTGTAGCTGCTAATAGGAGCGATGTACAAGATCTGCCTTCGCAACGGATCGGGGACGTACAGGGCTATCCGGCGCTGCTGAGGATCGAATCTCAAGGTACTCCAGGACGGCAACAAAATGGAGCGCCTCCAGCATTCCGCTTCGTAGGCCAAGGTCAAGAGCCGTTTCCACCGCCGCCCAGCTATGCACAGCCCAGTCAAACGTCATCCATGCCATCCCAGCAGCCCTCGCCCACCTTTTCCACTCCAGGTACCTTGGTCAACCAATCTTTCGCGTCGGCTACACCTGCTGAATCTCAAGTTGACGACTGGTGAGTGACCTTATCCTACCTATCACGACCGTGCCAGCAACCATTACTAATCTCGTCCTACCTAGTGATATTGAACCAAATGTATGCGCCTACCACTTTCCACGCTACCTGCCGCACAGCCAATTTCCTTGCATGGTATGTTATTCGGAACCGAAGTGGGAGCTGTACCGGTCGAAGTGGATGGAATTGTATCGAAAACTGCATCCGAACGTCAAGCAAGAGGATATCGAGAGACTGAGTGGAGTGGCTGAGACCATGAAACTGTCTAGATAGACCGAGGCTGAGGAAGAGAGACATGAGAAAGAGAGAGGCATGTAACAATGCTGTATATCAATAAATGGGGCTTTTATCGCAGGCAAAGACCGAGACTGATTGATTCGGGTTTGGACTGGACAGGGTTGACCGTAACTTCAGAATACCTCTGCAAGGATGCAGGTATAGGATTGAAGAAGACAAAAATGAAAGAGACAGTCTATCCCCCTACCCTCGCTATGCAGTATCCATATTCGTGATCGTTTAAGCATGTACCATCAGTCGTATCGGCCGTAATCCAGTTCCGAAGCGTATCCAACACCCTACTTACGAGGTGAAATCTAGCTTGTGTCCATCTCATCACCGCCCTTCTTGTCCTTCTCGACGGTCTTCTTGACGCCCTCCAAAAATACCCTGATTGCATCGTCACCACCAAGCGGCATCCCTGCACCTCTCATATATCCGCCATTCTCAACGTCAATTTTCAGTGCTTGACTAACAGTCGGCAATGCGCCAGTCCTGAGAGCCTCAGTCAGACTGCCTAGAGCCGCCCTAAGCTGCGGCGCCCGTAGAATCCTGCCTAGGACCTCGACCTTCTCCTCTCGGCTCAGTGTTTGCATGGCCATTTGGGCAGTCTCGGAGTTGGGGTCAATCTGGTCAACGTCCTCGACTTCCGCTTCTAGTAGAAAGGGCGTCGTGGGGAGCTGTGCGCAGAGAGCGTCGATGACGTCATCGGATGCGTCCTGTACAGTAGGAAGGGTGTGCGAGGGCCACAGGAAGTCGAGGAGAGGTGCGAAAGGGGCAGATCGCTGTTGCTGCGAGCTGCTACCGGCGTTGCCGCCCTTGAGCGAGTTCATGAAATCGGCGACAATGGCCGAGACATCGCCTGATCCGGCTCTGTCAATACGTTAGCCATGTGCTTGTGTATTTCGGAACGCAGCAGAAGTGCGGGAGCGAGCGTGGCGGCGTGGCCAGTGGAAGACGTAGCAGGATGCTTATTTTCTATTGTTGTACATGAGCAGCCAGTGCCAATATGCCATATATGTTTGGATGGACTTATGCTTCTTTCCAAACGCCGTACCGTAACAGGATATCTTGTGAAACTTGCAAAGACCCTTCGGTGTAGTCTTCCACAGCAGCCCGAATCTTCGCGGAGAAGTCGACCGCGCCACGACGCCGCATATGATTCAAATAGACGGGACCTACGCTCGACCTCCATCAGCACCTCCCTCTCTAGACTCTTCGCCTTCTTCTCGAACATCACCTCCTGTAGCGTCAGCTCCTGCACCCCCCGTGCTACCATGGCGGTTCCGGCTAGACGAATGGTCAATGTCCTCCATGGTCTCATCCTCGTCGTTGCCGCCAGAAGAGTTGGAAATACCGGCAAGCTCAGCCTGAACGTCAATCTCTTCGCCTGTAAGGAGGAGGTCAACAACCTGTCCGATCTTGAGGTCGCGTTCGCTGAACCAGCTTGCGCCACGCGGGTGCTGCGACTTTGATTGTAACCAAAAGAGGTATCGCTGTGAGCTTGAGCTGAACTTGAGGACGAATATGCGACCGTCGGTGGGCGAATTGACGTGGTCCGAGTCTTCGGCGGAGTCTTTGCCAGTGTAAGGTTGGAAGGAGCCGTCGCCGGGAATCATGATGAGGTCGAGCTCAGACTGGTCAAGAGGCCTGTCACGGGGTCTCCAGCAAAAGTGCACGAATTCTGCAAATGTGAGTTGGTGTACAATGATCCATGGCTGCTAACAAACCATCTTCGCCCTGGTACAGATAGACGTAGCCAGGTGTCGGCACCGGCTTGACTGTCTGCTGGATGCCTTCTCCGCGCTGGTTCCATTGTCAGCCGCATGATGCAGCACTGCAGTAATATACGTGACTTACAGTGAGCTCGCACTGGCCTGCCTTGAAGGTGATGAGCGGTTGAATTGACATGTCTGCGTTGGTGTGTGGTGTGAGGCAATGATGTTCAAGCTACTGGCCATGTCCGGTGGAGCTCCACGCCCGAAGATGGCCAAAGCGGGGATTACATCAGCAGGCTCGGAACAATGTTCGGCCCGGTCACGCGTACGATTGGACAGCTTGGCACACACTGAACACCACGAAAATACGATTGCATCGCCAACACCACCGACCAGCACTAACGACCACAGCGAAACGAAATGGCGGCCACACAAGAGGACACGAAGCCCACCACCAAGAAGTTCTCCAAGGGGGAGAGGTCGATACCGCACCACTCGCAGAAGGCCAGCAAGTACTACCCTGCTGAGGACGTCGCTGTCCCCAAGAAGGTACGTTTGCGATAGCAGAAGGGAATGATGAAAGAGCAGGACTGCATTGGCATTGGGAAACATTCACTGCGATAGCATGCGGCGGTGTGCCTTCGCCGAACTAGACATGACAGAATCATTGAACTTCCACTAACTGCGACCCAAGGCCCGCAAGTCTGTCCGCCCTGCGAAGGTCCGCCAGTCTCTCCAGCCTGGTACCGTTGTCATCCTCCTTGCAGGTCGCTTCCGCGGCAAGCGCGTCGTTGTCCTCAAGCACCTGTCCCAGGGTGTCCTCCTTGTCACTGGTCCCTTTAAAGTCAACGGTGTTCCTCTCCGACGAGTAAATGCCCGATATGTCATCGCCACCTCCACCAGTGTCGATCTCAGCGGCGTAGACGAGACGGTTCTGGAGAAGGCCAGCCAGGACGGCTACTTCACCAAGGATAAGGCTGCCCACAAGCCTGGCGAGGATGCTTTCTTCAAGCAGGGCGAGAAGCCCGAGGTGCGTAAACATGACAATAGCGATATATGCAGAGCTGACAATTGCGACAGAAGAAGGAGACATCCAAGGACCGTGTCGAGGACCAGAAGGCCGTCGACAAGGCTCTTTTGGCTACCATCAAGAAGGAGGCTCACCTCGTCGACTACCTCGGTGCCAGCTTCAGCCTCCGCAGCTCAGACAGGCCTCACCAGATGGTCTTTTAAGCGACGGATCACGATCGGGCATTCGGCGTTCAGTGCATGGGATGAAAGATGACTTCGGCATACTGCAGCCGTACTAGCGAGGGTCAAAGAACCGCAGCGGCAGGGCAGCCAATTTTTTTCATGGAGGAAACCGACGAGGCATTTACCATAAGACTTTATAACAAGCGAGCGAATCCGAGACGGTCCAAAACTGAATATTTGGTCTCCGCTTGCGTGATGTCATAGTCGGGCGTTCAATGGGCGCGGTATATACTGGGTGGTAATCGAGTCGAGTACTGATGCATGAAATAGAGATACAGGCGTTCCAATATTCGACCGATTGTTGCCCCGACTGCTACCTGACCTCCAAGCGAAATGACGTAAGGTTACCAGAAACGACAGCTACATGAACCACTTGCGCCCATCCAAACTAACCTTTGTTTAATACCATTATCATAGGTCTACCCTCACTGACCTACTTCTTTCCCCGCCCCTTCCTTCCTCTCCCAAACTTGCTTGCCAATCCATTCGCCGCCTCTCCCGCTCCATCAATAGTTTTGCTTGCCTTGCCCTCCACATTATGCTTCTCCATCTCCGCCTTTAGATCCTCTACAACGTCTTTGCCCAATGTTGTTCCGTGGCACCAGTATAACACACCCAAGCACCCATAGTTACCCTCTCCTTCACTCATCATATGCGCATCGGCACGACGTGCCATGCCATTCAGCATGATGGTTGATGGAAGAACGTTGTAGCCAGAGTACACGAATGTTTCCTCAAGGCTAAAGATGGCGATCAGAACCAGGTAGGTGAGAATATGCATACGCATTGCGATAGCGGGAATATACAGAGGTACAAAGCGATGCAAAAGATGACACACAGGATGATCGTAGTTTGCAGCGAAAGAGTAGGGGATACGGATGTTGTGATGCCAAGTCTGATGCAAAGAGGCAAGCGCACCACCTGATGGGGCGTGTAGGAGGTGTGTGTGGATATAGTATTGAAGGATCTTGTTCGTCCATTAGCAAGTACCAATTTGAAAAGCAATTATATCGGTATCTTACATTCCGAGAAACAAGACCGATAACCCCCTGTTTGACCATGGTCCACGGGTTAGGTAAATGGTTCAACCCCCATCTACTCCCTTTGATAAGCAGCAAACTTCTCATCTGCAGCACGTCCGTCACAAGAAACTCAACGCCCGCTTGCAACGCAACGGTAAGTAATACGTTGGCACAACTCCACGCCACCACTCTTCTCACGCCTCTCGCGCCGCCCTTTTGGTTACTGGGGATACCCCATTGACCCTGGCTCTTGAATTCAATCGCTAGACTGGGTATCCCTATGTCGAAGAGCAGGAAAATGAGGCTGGGGATTATATACAGTGATAACCGGAGGACCATGGGCGCGATGAGCTCGAGCTGCAGCGGTGAATATGATGCGGCGATTGTCGTCCATGCTACGGAGAGGAAGATGAGGTTTAAGCCTGTGGACCAGGAGCTTAACATTGGTATGGCTAAGAATGAGCCTAGGGGTAAGGCGACGGGGGCTAAGAGGGATGATAGTAGGGCACCCATGTTTAGTCTTACTTGGGTGCAAATTTAGTAAAAACGGGTTAGAGAAAATGTTGGAGGTTATCATGTGAGAAAGCGGGCAACAATTTTGGTGGTGTTGAACATGTTGCGATGACGTAAGTTGGTCGGAGAACTTGGTTTCTGGCCGTAGGTTAGATGGATGGGAGCATGTGTGCCTGTTTTGGTGAAACAGGCCAAGTTCTAGTCTTGTGAGCATCGCAAAATGACTTGCGAAGAGTATATCTGGACTGAGCTGTATTTTCTGGACATATTCTCATTGATCGTGAAGGCTGCGCAATTATTCCCATCACCGCCTCATGCACGAGCTGGTCCTTGGGCTCCTCATCACAGCGTTCAGCGATTCCTACCATGACTCTTTCAAGTATCAGAGCTTAGCTACCGTCCTTTCGTTTTCGATAACACGCTGCATGCTGTTTGTGAGTCGCTCGTACTTCAACTGCCACGCAGCAGCCTGCTCTCTCGCCTCGCTCGACCTCTAGGGAAGAGATTTTTGCCGACTTTGTAAGTTCTTCGTCGTAGAATTCCATCAACGTTTACTCTAATAACGCCTTACTACTTTCTTGAAGACGCTCGTGCTCGTCCCGCAAACGCTGGGCGAAGACCTCAAAATCGTCTTTGATATGCTTCATGCGCTCCTCAAACTACCCATGGTCAGATTTGTATAACAATAGTTATGATGATGGTTGACTTACGATAATGCTACTGAAATCTTTGCCTTCGTCAGAACTCGCAGCTCCCATGTCAGAATCCGTATCTTCCTTGTCGCTGTTCTCTTCTTCGACACGCCACTCAGTGTTCATCTTCTTCCTATCCAGGCCTCTCGCAATATCCTAGCATACCGACGCAAAGTTTCGCTTGATACTAAAAGGCATTGAGCGTATAAACTTTCTCTAGCCTTTTAGCTCGAAAACATAGTTAATAAGCGATATGAATTTTTCCATGCCAATCGGGTCGGACAAGGACGGCCAGATCCAGGAAAAGGGCTCATGGAGTTTGATATTGTGGTAGTCGGATTCATCGACGCGATCGTGATTGTCTTCCATGATGAATACCTTTCCAGGCCGCCACCTGTTAAGTATAAAGTGAACTTTGGATGTTTCAGTGGTTTTCTTTTTGGCCTTTCGCGAGATGGAGCCGATATGGAGTTTCCCTTTGGTAAAGTCTACCCGTAAGAATTCGTAGGACCGGGGCGCTGGAAGGCGGGCAGAATCTTCGGGACAGTTTGCTCTAGCCCATTCTTTTCATTGTTTAAGCGTTTTAATCGGCTCCTTCTTGCCGGAGACGGGCATTACTGGCAACTGGGGTGGTGCGGTTGGTACTCTGGGGAATGCTCTTTGAAAAGAGCAAGAAGGCTATCAGGAGAAGAAAGGAAATAATGGGTGCTTTTCGATAGGTGATGAAGCTTAGTAAACAATGACCTCAGGTGGGACTCTGATCCATGGTTGAAAGCGTGGACCCTTGTTCTTGGATACTGTATTCATTTGCTTTCTGAGTGCGATTCAGCTCCACAGGTCCCTCAACACCTGCATACTATTCTATTTCCTTTCCTCTTCTTGAAAGTGGGTATGTTTCTGAAGAACTCTGCTTTTTTACTCGCTTTTTAGACAAATTCATGGTTCGATCAGCCTCAACAGGGAAAGCAAGCCACTATTTCTAATCTATCTCACAGCCTTGGCGTACCAAATGGAAGAACCATCGACCGATTACATGATATTGACGAGAGCTCTACCGAGTTTTTCACAATTTCCCTGAATCACAGCCCCCAAAACTCCGACTGCCATCTATGGCGTCAAAATCAACTTACCCGTTGTTTTCCTACTCTGAATGTCCTCCGTAGCCCTTACAATATCGCTTAGAGGGTACACATCATGGATCTTGACATTGAAGCCATCCTTTTCGATGAAACTCCACAGCTCCTTTGCCGCAGACTGGAATTCCTCGCGTGTGGCGATGTAGCCGAAGAGTGTAGGGCGAACGAGCTTGACGTTCTTGGCTGCCAGACGACTACGCAATCTGTCAGTTACTTCTTTCTGCGACAAAAAACAGGGTAAAGACACATACGCAAGGCTGAACCCCTCAACAGGACCAGACGCATTCCCAAAAGACACCATTGACCCCTTCCGTCTCACAACAGCAAGTGAGCTATCAAACGTCGATTTGCCCACTGAATCAAAGACCGCATGCACACCCTCACCACCCGTAATCTCCAGCACCTCCTTTACAAACAAATTCCGATCTTCCTCATGGTATTCCAACAGCACTTCCGCACCATTCGCCTTGGCAAGATTTCTCTTCTCCTCGGTACTAGCCGTTGCAATGACATGCGCTCCAACTGACTTCAGCAACTGACATAGCCACAAGCCTACGCCACCAGCCGCGGCAGTAACCAGGACCCAATCACCTTTCTTCACTTCATGCGCGTCGCGGATCAGGGTCACAGCGGTAAGTGCCTGTAGGATGGATGCAGCTGCCGTTTTGGTGTCAATTGAGTCCGGGATGGGGACGGTGGAGTTTGCAGGGGCAGAAGTATATTCTGCGTAAGCGTGTTGTGCCAAGTATGCTACGCGCGTTCCTGGACTGAGATCGGAAGGTGCGTTCGGGCCTACAGCAGCAATTGTGCCGCTGCCTTCGCGGCCGAGGATATAGGGAAACTTTGGGGGATTGTAGACACCTGAGCGGAAGTACCTGGATGTCTGTTAAGTATGAGCAGTGTAAATGTCGCGGAGAAGCTCACGTGTCAATGTAGTTTATGCCGATGTACTCGTTCTTGACAAGTACCTCGCCTTCCTTTGGCTCGGGCACTGGCACATCCGCGTATTGCAAGACATCTGTTCCGCCGGTCTTCTGAATGAAGACGGCCTTCATAGTCTTAGGAAGAGAGGCCATTGTTCGGAATGTAGGTGGTCGCGGACCGAGCTGCGAGCTGAGGGAAACGAGTCTTGCTGATGCAGTAGTTGATCTAGAGAACAAATGAGCTGGCCGTGCAAGGCGTAAAGCTAGAGTCATGAACCACGAGAGATACCTAGGTAGATTGACAAGTTCAATGTGCAATTACAGGCTTCGGTAGCTTTAAGCTATCGTATGATGATAAATAGACGGTGTTAACTTTATGTCCGAAATTTGCGAGATGTCAAGAGAGCCCCACATCCCCCGCACACGTCATTAACGTCTCAATTCGCGACTTTGGGGTCCGTTCATCACGCCCTGTGATGATACATCATGACCGAATCCAGCTGGGAATGTACATGCTAGCAGAATTGACGTGGAACTTCGCTGATTAAGTGGCACGGCATTGACCGGGTCCAAACCTCGTAGTACGTAGGGCGCGTCAAGACGCTTGTTGATGGGTGTCTGGCCTAACTACTAGCCTAGGTTGGTAATTCCTGCCCTGTTGGTAATATGGGTACTAAGCCGATAATCGGCTCCAGATCCTACAACTAGCCGACTGCTTGCCCTAAGCAGTAAAGACTACAGCCAGGTATTCATATGAAATACAGAGGAGTTGATCACCGCTTGGGTCAATGACAGCGTAAGGCAGGGACCTTGTTATCTTAAGATAGAGAAATGGACTCTCAGGGACTCGAAACACATTGTTAGAATGTAATAGGTGAGATTACATTGAATCAATCATCCGACCAAGCAAGGGAATGTAAAAATTTGATGACTACAAGCACTCTAAGCCCCGTTTCATAACGATCCAAGTCCTCGCGTGTTCTCCAGAATGCCCACGGGCACTGCCATTATGTGCCATAATCCCCACTATATTTGCTAAATTCCCATGGAACGCATCCTGACTCCTACAGATGTAGTGCAGCATGACTCTCAAGAAGTTCTGTTTTTCTCAGTCCGTCAAACCAGCCATGCCCATATCGTCTCCAGCTCTACCCGCTGGCCTCCAATTAGTTCAGAGTGCCTACTCATAGGTGTGTTAGTAACTTCCTTGGCATTGCAAGCACACTGTTCATTGTTGTCTGTGTGGGGGCACTTGCATGGCTCCGATGATGCAGACGGAGTTGGTGGGGCAAGGAGTTTCAGTGTAGTGAGGGAAGTCTAGGGGTAAAGGGATAAGACAAATCTTACGCTTGTGGTAGCTATAATACGCCTCAATATCTTCATCGTTGGTGAGATACTCCTGTGCGTCAGGAAATTCAAATTCTTCGGAGTTTTCGGCAGCGATGTCCTCTGTGACAGTGTGCTCAGCCTCGGCCTTGGGCTTCTACTTGGGGTTGATATTGTTGAGCTTGATGCGATTGGACGGTTTGTTGGGTCCTTCCTCGTCATCGGCATCATCGTCGTCAAGCTTGTATGCTACCTCATCTACGGCAGGGGTAGACGTCTTCATCTTCGGTATCGTTGCCAGAAGCAGTGGACGTAACAGGTGCATCGGGCGAACCAAGGGCTTCAACCCCATTGTCGAGCTCCATTCCTACTTGGCGGTATTGCTCGACCACTGCACCCACAGTAGTCTCGCACTTTGCCGCAATCTCAACCCAGTTGATCGGCTATATTAGTTAGCTATCTGTAGTTTTGACAACAAGAAGGAAACCGAGTACCTGAACACCCGTAGTGTGCTTTATGCAGAGCCACAGAAACTGATAAGCAGATTTTCTGGGAGCATTGTCATTGTCCATGGACTGGTTCAGTCGGCTTAGGCGCTTGACCACTGTAGATACCCGAATATTCAATGCCGCAGCGACGGCGCTATAGTTAACCTTTTGAATGTTAGAATATCATGATTGTGAGTTGGCGATAGGTGGTACATACAGCGGGTTTGCCATCGTTGGTGAGGACAAGATGGAGGAACTGGATATTTTCGTCTATAGTTGGCATCTCAACTGTGCTTTAAGCTGGCTTGCTCTTGTTGTTTGGTTGAATGTGGTCGAGTGTGGTTAAGTGTGGTCCAGTGTGGGTGAGGGTGGTTTAGGGTGGTTAAGTGTGGTCAAGTATAAGAGGCAGTGCGGCTGATGAGCAATTATATATGACCAAGGCAGCAACAGGAAGCGACACGCTAACACATTTAGCGTTATTCTGTGCAGGGTTTAATGGGGTTGTAAGATTAATTCAGTGATGTTGAGGTGAAAGTACGTGCGGGTGGCGAAAAAGGTGAGCACACCTGTGAGCAGACTGCGGTCACTAGTAGGTAATAAGGCACAACGAGTTGCGACCATAGCAAATACAACGAGTTGCGATCATAGCAAACACAACGAGTTGCGATCATAGCAAATACAGCGAATTCCTAGCAGCATTCTCTTTTAATGGTAGAAACTTGAGGAACCTGGACAACGGTTGTGGAGTAGTCCGCCACGATTCTGCACCCACTAGAGCCATAACATAGAGACCAAGAAGACCAAGACAACAGAACTGTATCAGTGGAGGCCATTGCATGATTTAATTCAGAGGAACGCAATATGTACTCGACGTGTCATATTAGACGAAGCGATGGGAGATGCACCTAGAGTGTTTTCCAAAGCCTGCCAGCATACTTGGCAGTAACCTACGATACTCCTAATCCTACAGCGCCCTGGCCTCCTTCGGTATCGTTTTCCCCAATCCCATTGCCCACCAACTCTGTAAAGTCTAGACCAACGCCTCTCAGCATTTCGGCGTGCTCATGCGCTAGTGTTAAGCACTCGTTCCACACATTGCCCCCCTCCTCAACACTGCTCAACTGTCTCTTCAACAATATGTTGAATTGATCAATGTTCTCCTTGGCCCACTTGACACATGCAGACATTAGTTGTTGTGGGAAGCACTTTTGGAACATGTCGACGGTGTTTTTAATTATGGTGAAGTAGATGTAGGAGATTTGGAAGATATAATCGGGCAGGTTGCCCTCGAAGATGCATTGGCTAGAGCATGTTAGTGACTGTAGAGCAAGGTGGGGGAGATGGAGGACGAACCGTGAGCGGGTCTTGATCAGATTACCTCGAGCTTCGAGATAGGCTTCTCGAGCTCTATCTTCAAAGCCAAGCTGCACTACCCAGCTTGTATGCTGTTTGACAGAGGTAAACCAGTTGTTGTGCTCGACCATGTGCTTGACTAAAACGTTTGCTAGCCTGGCTGCGCGTTCATTGACTTTGTAGGTAACAATAGTCTTGGCCATTTCATTGCTCCTGATGTTCTTTGCTAGGACCTTTAACCGGTCGACTTTCACCACGGCTTCTTCGAAATGCTGGAGGGCGATCTCAATATCCAAATCGTCGAGCTGACTCTCTACCCAGCGGATGTTTCGTTGCTGACCGTCGATATCGACAAAGGTACTGACCTGGTCGTTGTTGATGCCGTCGGAAAGGTTGTCTAGTAACTCTGTCCGGTTCATGAGTGCGGGATCACGAGAGAGTAGATGGCTATAAGAGTCCTGCGTTCGGTCCTTTTCTTGCACATCCGCTTCTTGGGTCTTGCGCAGGTCGTCTTTGGTTTTCCGGAAAGTGGCTACGAAAGCAGCCTTGTCGCCGGTATCCTCCTTCTTGGTGTCGTACGTGTATGTTTCAGAGCCAACGCGGATGATGATGCGTTCCTCTGGAGTCCTGGTTACCTGGGTGTCCTGCAGCGGGAAACATCGCTGGGCGATGAATTCCATGTTCGGTCGGGCGCCGTCGCGCTGTTGGCCGGGAATGTCATTGCGTGCCTTCTTCTCTACGGCGATGAGGAGGTGGTCGTTGAGTAACAGCAGCCTTACTCTTCGCCTTGCCTTGAGGGTGGCCGAGTCGAGCTCGAACCATCTGGTCGACTTCCACACAATGTATCGGCCAGGTATGGGTGGGAGATACTTTTGGGAGCCCTCGACGTCCCTGTACAGCTGCTGCAACTGGCCAGCGCGCAATTGGTTGAGGTCTCCAATGGAGCTTCGGTTGGCTCTCCGGGAGCTTGCAGCGTCGTTGGTGGCACCAGTGGCTGATGCCGTCTGTTCCAGTGTGGTGGTCAGGTCAGACATCAACTGACGCAGGGTCCGCATCTCGCCCTTAAGCTTCTCGGCCTCTTTACTGATCTTGATGAACTGCGTCCGGTTCTGGTACACATTGTGCTGGAGATCCAGGGAGGTGCGGTGTTTCGTCTTGCGCAGCTCATCTTCGTAGCGGTTAATGTCTGCCTCGGAAGCGTCTGCGAGGATGGTGGATACGTCTATGCGCAATCAGTATGCCATTGCTGACATGTTTTGTACAGTGGCCTCCTCACATTGCTCTACTTTGAGGTTGGGATCTCTGAGGGCCCGTGGATCCACCTGCAACAGGCGCGGCCCATTGGAGCTCCCCGGCGGTCGCCCTTCCCTCGTCTGGCTCCGGTCCCTAAACTGCGAGGGCATCTGAGGCAACTGCGGCATGGGTGCGCCATTTCCAGCGAAGTCACTAGGCAGGGCCGTGACCTTTTTGCGAGTACCTTCTCTTGACCAGGTCGGCCGTCTTGTCTGGCCTCTGTGGGCGGTTCTGTGGCGGCAGAGGGGCATCCTGTCTCGTCCAAGACCTATTGGACTCTGTTGATGGGCGTCCAGAGCCGGGCAGTGAGGCAGCAGCGACGCCCGCTGGCATGGGCGCACTAATCTGTCGCGGCGCGCTGATGACGGGCGGCGCATTCTTCTTGCTCTTGTCTCCACGCTTCTTGCGCAGGGAGATGCCCTTTTGCTTTTCCGACATGGTGCCTGCACGCTGCACAGAGCAGGCGTGGGTGTGAGGTCAGTGTAGGTGGAGGGTGGAGGGAGGACAGGTAGGGTGCTTCATGCATGCGGGCCGCGGTTCGAGGGCAATGCGCTCGGACCCACTTTGTGTTGAGTCGTGCCTTACCTCTAGAAGGCGTCGAAAAAGTTGTCGGCCAACACGGCATCACCACCCTCCCCCTCCCTCCATTCCCCCAAGGCGTATCGCTGTGCCTGCCCCCTCCAACGCGCTTCTCACCCGCACGCATCCGACCTGCGTCATGTCCAACTCGTCATTAAAACCATCGACCATTGCCGTCATTAGCGCCGGTACCATCGTCACCGGCCTCCTCGCATATGCCGCCTACTTCGACTACAAGCGGCGAAATGACCCAGGCTTCCGCAAGCAGCTCAAGAAGGAGTCGAAGCGCACAGAGCGACAGGCCAAGGAGGAGGCCGAGGCACAGGGCGCCGAGCAGAAAAAGGCCGTCCGAGAGGCGGTAGAGCGCGCAAACGAAGAGGGCTTCCCCAAGGACCCAGAGGAGGTGGAGGCGTACTTTATGCAGGAGGTGGCGCAGGGTGAGGGAATGGTGCAGAAAGGTATGGCAGCAGCAATGGCAATGGCAGTGGCAATGGTATGGCCGCCGTGGGACTTTGTGCTAATCCTATGCCAGGTGCCGACAACGTCGAGGCCGCCCTATGCTTCTATCGCGCATTGAAGGTCTACCCGAACCCGAGAGAACTCATCAGCATCTACGACAAGACGGTCCCCAAGGTACGCCGTCTGCTCTGCTGCAATTCTGACCCTCCTGTGTGTTGACATCTACTAGCCCGTCCTGGACATCCTCGCCGAGATGATCGCAGTGGATACCTCGATCCCGGTTGGCGGTAGCAAGACGCCCTCTGAGGCCGGCTCCGCAGGCGACCTCGAGTAAATCTTGTTCGACCATAGCACTTCGATGAATTCAGCAAGCTTTCATGGACCCCTCTCCATCTCATGACGGCGCCCTGTAATATTCTTGTACATGTAATCTCGCCATCTCACATCTCGCACCGTCGGCGTTCCGGTTGAGCATGATGTACTTGGCTCGGGTACGTGGTGGCACATGTCGACTTCTAATGCAAACAATCCAACAGCACCCGGCATCTCTTCATTGACGTCATGCCCTGGTGCGCACGGATACGCCCTGGTACTCTACATATTACACGTTTCGACGTTAAGATGCATGCAGCCCATGCCCGAACGCCTTGCTGACAATGACTTCCAGACATGCAAAGCATGCCATGACCACAATATGCTCTAAACAAATAAACAGAAGCCGACTGCTCTACCAGGCCCTCGCTTTAGCATGAGCAGGAGCTGTCCTGTGGTGGCTGGCTGGGGTTGATGTTCACGTCGATCACTGCGCCCAGAGTTAGTGTCATGATCATCCCGACCACGTGTATGCTCCGACCTACTTTGACTCTGCCCTTGTTGTCCCTCTCCCTCCATGCCGGGTAGTGCTTGCGCGATTCGCTTGAATAACGCCTTTACATTGTGCCCGACCTTTGCGCTGGTCTCGATAAACATCAAGTTGTTCTTCTTGGCCTCCTCTTCGCCCTGCGCCGTCGTGACCTCGCGCTTGTCGTTCAAATCCGTCTTGTTTCCCACAAGTACAATGATGACATCGTTGCCGCGCTCGCCTCGTACGTCGTCCACCCACTTTCGCGTGTTTTCGAATGTCTTCTTGTTGGTGATGTCGTATACGACCACGGCTACGCTAGAATCGCGGATATACGAGGGGATCAAAGAGCGGAATCGTTCTTGGCCAGCTGTGTCCCAGAGCTGTAGGCGGACCGTTCGGTCCTCAAGGTACATTGTCTAGGCATGCAAATTAGACGGCTGCACGGACATGTCGCCTTTGAGCGATTGTGCGGTGAGCGTACCTTGCTCAAAAAGTCGATACCAATAGTCGCCTGGTATGTGTTGTCGAATGAATCGTACATGAAGCGGGTAATTAAAGACGTCTTGCCGACTGAAAGACATGTCAGCAGGCGTGCTTTTCACAAAAGTAGATATACATACCGCTTTGCTCGCCCAAGAATACAAGCCTACATGGAGTTAGTGTACGAGCTCCGTCTCCGCCGCGGAGGACACCTCACTTGAACTTTTTGAGCGGGTTCGAGTACGCTTGTGCCATGATGAATGGTGAGGTGGGGGTAACAAATTCGAGTTGTTGTATCTGAGCGGAATAGAAGAGCAAACTGCAGGTTGAGTGTCGTTGTCGGGCGCGATTGTACGAATAGGAGTCTTGGTCGGATCTGGAGGCCTTGCGGTCTACACCGACCACTACCGAGAACGGCAGGGGTCTCCGGTGCACGGACTAGACCCGCTTTCCCTTGAGCGGAATTTTGGATCGAACTTTTTGCGACAACGCGACCCCACAACTCCAAGCACGACAACGACACGACGCCATGTCAGATTCCGGAGCAGCACCGGCGCAGTACAAACAGGCCAGTCGCAAGGGCAAAAAGGCCTGGCGCAAGAATGTCGACGTCACCGAAATCAAGTCTGGCCTTGAAGAAGTGCGCGATCAGATCATCCAAGGGTATGCACGCCTCACTACTGCCATATTCACCCTTGTATATTAACAAGTCATAGTGGTGTAATTGCGGAAAAGACCGCAGACGAACTTTTCTCCGTCGATGTCCTGGGATCTGCTGAGATCCAGAAAGACGTTGCTAAGCGACACAAGCCTCTCAAGGTCGACGAGATCCTCGCCAAGCGCTCTGCCGTTCCCGCCGTCTCCACCAGGAAGCGACTATCCGACATCGCCGATGATGGCAAGAGGAAGAAGGCCAAGATCTCGGGCAAGGAATATGACCGGCTGAGGGCAATTGCGTATGGAGGCGAGCAAGTCAAAAAGGATGTAGTCCAGACTGAGGACGCTGCGTACGATCCATGGGCAGTGCAAGAGGTCAAGGAGGATCCCAGATTCGATCTCTTGGAAAAGAAGAAGCCAAAGGTCGAGCCCAAGACTCTGAAGCACGCACCCATTTCGCAGGCAAAGACAGGAAAGGCGATTCCGTCAGTCCGCAAGCCGACCGGCGTAAAGTCATACAATCCCAACTTCGACGACTGGAAAAACGACCTCCTGCGCCAAGGTGCAAAGGAGCTCGAGGCTGAGAAGAAGCGCTTACAAGAAGCACGTGAAGAGGCCGAGCGCATGGAGCGAGCAGCCGCTGAAACCGAATCAGACTCTGGTGAGGAGAGCGTCTGGGAGAGTGAGTGGGAAGGCTTCAGTGACAGCGAGAACAAGGAGATCAAGAAGAAGAGACCCGAAAGGAAATCTCTATCACAACGCAACAAGATCAAGAGGAGAAAGGAGGCACAACGAAAAGCTACACACGAAGCTAAGATGAAGGCCAAGGAGCAGCAGTTGCAGGAGGTCAAGCGGTTGGCCAAGAGTGTAGAGGAGAAGGAGAAGGCGAGAGCTGAGAAGATCAAGGTCCTAGAGCAGCTGAATGCCGAGCTAGATTCCGAGGACGATGGAGAAGAGATAGAGCTTAGGAAGAAGCAGTTTGGCAAGGCCCCGTAAGTACCTTTCTATGCTCACTGCACGCTTGATTTACTAACACGTCTTTCAGTCTTCCAGAGGCTCCGCTCGAGGTTGTCACAACCGACGAACTCACCGATTCACTACGCCTTGTCAAGCCCCAGGGTAACCTACTCAAGGACCGCTTCAGGAATATGCTACTTCAAGGCAAGGTCGAAGCCAGGAGACAAATCCCATATGGCAAGCAGAAGAAGTACACGGTATCTGAGAAATGGAGTTATAAGGATTGGCAACTGCCTAAATAGATTTACGATACCGATACCATCAGGAGCGCATGAAAACCCGACGGCAGTCCAATACTACTCTTTCGCCGTTGCCTTGTGACATCGATTGTGTTTTTAAACGTTCATACCTCTTTATTCGCTAACAGTCTGCGATGTGTTACAACGACAGAACTAATGTCTAGGGTGATTTATGAGCATTACTCTGCAATCTCCTTACTTGCCATAAACTCTATTTTCCGTTGCCATATGGTGCGTCGTCCACTCTTCAATCCTAAACAAAGACGCGGGTGTCTTAGTAGCTCCAGATCTAGAGTTCGAAGATATCACTATGTATTGATAAATGCAGTATTATCAAGATCATGTGCACAGATAAACAACGAGTAGGTGCTGCTGAGTTCATCACATGGACTGGAACGCATATGTCTGTTGACTACAGAAGATTATTCCGAACACTAACACAACACTATGGTAGAATCATGCATGTGCATGTACGCCAAACCCACATCCTAGATCTCTCATTAACCCTCTAAAGGCCCTTTGCGATGCGCCAATTGCAGCCAGATAGAACAGTCCACCAATCCTCTTAATCGATGCAGTGCCTGCCGTAAGCTCTTACTGCTCTAGACGCTGCCAAAAGCAATACTGGAAACCCGTCCACAAGGTTCTCTGCAGTAAAAAGTCGACATTCACCAATTCCATTAGCCCGCGCAACAAATGCTCGTCCGATTTTACTCCCACCTCAACATCAACCTTGCACAACTCTATGAAGGAGGTCTTTGGAACTTGGATAAGTTAACTACCTGCAAACTGCTCATGGAAAGCTTCCACGTCTGGAACGAGACGAAGCGCAACGGTCTAGGCGAGATGACCGATCCACACATATACTTTCCCTGGGGTATTTTGCAATGAAAGTAAAGGGGCGGGGATGATGTAAAGTATGCATAGAAGGTAAATGAGGGGAACGTTCCGGAAGAGTGGAATCTTGCTTGTGTATCTAAGGGGTAATCCGTAGAACGAGGGATTGGTTTTGAGCGTGAGTAAGATACGAATATTTGCGTGGTCTTGTATCGTCATAGAAATATGCAAACCTGGCGTGAACGTGGTATTTGCAAAGATTGACTTGGCTTGTTTAACTAGTCGTATGCATGCAGCGGGACTCTTCTTCACAATAGTGCTTCAGGCGTGACAGAATTAGATAGGGGTTAACATGTATCAATCTTGATCGGACATGCAGGCACGGGTGTGGGGTAGTAGCAACGCACGGTCATCAACGCGTCATCCCAATGATTCCTCACGAGCACCGGCACCGCCGGGGCACCCAGCAAGTTGGAAGATCCCTCTCACCTAAGCGGGTTCGCGAATCTTTTCCGTAAGCTATCAAGGCGGTCAGCCAGAGGCTCATCTCAGATGTGACAATACCCTCTTTTCCCTCCATGCGGTCTCACAATCGATTGAACGAATCCACGCAATGCCCTCCTCGTCCCGTCGCGGAACGCACCAAGTAGCTTCGCCCGGTACCGATGATAGCTCCCAGAAATTCACGCCGTCGCCGCGCTCGTCGCACGAGTCTGGTGGCCTGTCTGTAAGGCACGAGTCGAACTCGTTCGAACTGCGCACTATTCCTCCACGCGACGAGCCCCCTTCGAAAGAAGAGCCGACCGAAGATGAGGGCTTACTCCATAGCACACGGCGCGCCTCAATCGACTCGGTTCAGAGTTATGAGTTGTATACGCCAGATGAGGATCGGACGGTACTTAGAAAGCTTGATCGTCGGCTCGTAGCCTTCATGGCCTTATTATACATGTTGAGCTTTTTGGATCGGTCGAGTGAGTAGTTTCTGCACTTGGAAGGCTTCGAGGACGAGATGTACGTCAGATATGCATTGTGGGATGGGGACAGTGTACCACACGTATGCTAATTGAAAAACTAGATATTGGCAATGCTCGTATAGCCGGTCTTGCAGATGATTTGAACCTCACGTCTAACCAGTACGAATGGCTGCTGTGGGCCTTTTATATCACATACATTCTGTTTGAGTGGATGACCCTGATGTACGTTTCCACATCTATGACACGGAGCGTTGCTAAGCGTTATTAGGTATCGCGTAGTGCCGCCGCATATCTATATTTCCATGTGCATCCTCTCCTGGGGCATCATAGCGTCGCTTCAAGCGTTGGTGAACTCCTTCAGCTTTCTTGTTGTACTGCGTGCTCTTTTGGGTGTCAGCGAAGCGGCATTTTCATCCGGCCTGCCCTTCTACCTATCATTCTTCTTCCGTCGACACGAGCTCGCCTTCAGGATTGGGCTCTTCGTAAGCGCCAGTCCGATATCAGCATCGTTTGCTGGAGCTTTAGCCTGGCTCATCACTAAACTCGGCGAGCATAGCTCACTAAGACCTTGGAGATTACTTTTTCTGCTCGAAGGCTTCCCATCTGTACTGGTCGCCGTCTGGGCATGGGACTTTGTGCCAGACGGTCCGGGTCTGGCCAAGTGGCTGAGCCCGCGACAGCGCGAGGTTGCGGTAATGCGACTGAGATCAGAAAAGGAGGCCGAGGACTCAGATCTAGAAGATGAGAAGTACGAAGGCGGGCAAAAAAGAAAACGCGTCAATTTCCTCGAAGTGTTGCAAACACTCAAGGACCCGAAATGCTATCTGACAGCGTTCATGTTTTTCTCATGCAACGTCGCGTTCAGCTCCATGCCCGTATTCTTACCTACGGTCATTCGAGACATGGGCTGGACGTCCATCACAGCACAAGGCTTGACGGCACCTCCGTATTTGTTCGCGTTCGTTGTCGTCTTGACAACAGCATATTTCTCAGATCGTCTGCAGTCGCGCTCAACTTTCATCATCTTCCACTCACTTCTCGCGACATTGGGATACGGTACCATTGCTGTTTCCGGCTATCTCAAGTCCAACTACACCACGATCCGCTACATGGCACTCTACCCCGCTGCCGCAGGCTTCTTCAGCGCCGTCACAATTATCATCACGTGGATGCTGAATAACCAAGAAAGCGAGAGCAAGAAAGGCGGTGGCATGATCATATTAAATATCATCGGACAGTGTGGACCGTTGGTCGGTACGAGCGTCTTTCCTGACGAGGACGGGCCGTATTATGTCAAAGGCATGAGCATATGTGCTGGGTTTATGCTGCTTGTCGGAGTGTTGGCTGCGGTGCTGAGATGGGCGTTTATCAGGGAAAATAGGAAGCTGATGAGTGGTCGAAGTGCAGAGTATGCGGGTGTACCGTTAGATGAGGGTGGAAGCATGAGGAGAGGGAGGAAGAAGTTTACTTATACGTTATAGATAGGTAAATGCTGATAGCAGAATCTATTACCTACAGCCTTGCGCCTATTCGCATCGACCAGGTATCATTGCCCGTATTGAAATGATTGGGTTGAAGGCTGATCCGCACGCTCTACTCTGTGCATGTCAGCAGAAGGACGCATATCCTATTGCAATGGAGCAGAGCGGCACCTATCGGAAAATATACTGACCAAATGATTTGGGCAACGTATGTTATGATCGCCTATGTGCTAGCAACACGGTCGAAATTCTTCACGTGGACCGATAACTAGGCGCATCCATATATTGACGTGCGCCAAGCCCACTATCTGGAACCTTACATTGGAAACGACACCGCCTTTACTACACCACAGCTCTCGCAGCTCGCATAATTAAGCGCCGATCCCTGCACGGCCTTCTCATTAGGCTTGATAGTGTATGGGAACCTTTGAAAAGCCGTCCAGCGTAGAATCTCGAGTCAGCTGCGCGCACCATCACGCTATCCCACAACGCGCCCGTGACTACGTGCCAACTTTGTCCCTTTCTCACTCGTTCGCACACATCGTCATCTATTGATCGCCCATCATGGAGAAGTCCAAAGCGAGATTAGACTCGCCAGAAAGAGCCAGTTCTGTAGCATCCAGAGGAACAATATCACACGACAGCAGCCAAGAAAAGCTTGACGACATGGAAAAGGCATCAACTGCTGTCGGAAGCCCGCAAAGCTCACCACTTGAACATGACAACAACTTTAAGCCCGAAGCTGATCTGGAAAAACTACCCGGCCATGGCAAGCCCCGACGAGAATCTGCTTCGACCAAATTCGGCGGAGAAGAGGAGAACCCCAACGTTAATGTATCCTTCCACAGACCTTCGACGCCCTCGACAGTCCATAAAATCAAGGGAGCAACATATCAAAACGTCGGGGAAAACGGTATCAAGAGGATGCACAAGTTCTCACTTTACGAAACCAGTACCCGCTTCTATCTCATTGGTGCCGATATTACCGATAGGCAGTTTCGTGTCTTGAAAATCGATCGGACAGCTGCTCCTGGGCACTTGAGCATATTTGAAGATGATATAGTATACAGCCGTCGAGAGATGCATCAGCTTTTGGACACAATCTCCGATGGCAACAGGGCTACCGGAGGCATGAAACTCAAATGTAGTACATGGGGTTTACTTGGCTTCATCCGGTTCACAGAAGCTTATTATATGCTCTTGATTTCCAAGAGATCGCAAGTCGCCATGCTTGGTGGCCACTACGTCTATCAAGTCGACGGTACCGAAATGGTGCCTTTGACGACTGGTTCAACGTCGAGATATCAAAAGGATAGGAACCCGGAAGAAGCGAGGTTTCTGTCGATTCTGAACAACATGGACCTCACAAGATCATTCTACTTCAGCTACTCTTACAACATAACGAGGAGTTTGCAGCAAAACATCATCCATCAACGGGCGGCGATGAACGAAGGCATCTCCAACCCCGACCGTGACTATCAGGACATGTTTGTCTGGAACCACCATCTTTTGAACCCTGCACGAGATGCTCTGAGGAATGTATATGATTGGTGTCATCCAGTCATCCATGGCTATGTTGAGCAGTCTTCACTTGATGTCTTCGGTCGCCGTGTGTATCTTACCATCATTGCCCGACGTTCAAGATTCTTCGCTGGTGCGCGATTTCTGAAGCGAGGTACGAACGATCTTGGCTATGTCGCCAACGATGTTGAGACTGAGCAAATCGTCTCTGAGCAAACTACGACTTCATTCCATGCTCCGGGACCACGGCTGTACGCAAATCCCACTTATACATCCTATGTGCAGCACCGCGGAAGCATACCGTTGTATTGGACACAAGACAATACAGGTGTGACGCCAAAGCCAGATATCGACCTCAACCTCATCGATCCATTCTACAGCGCTGCTGCGTTACACTTCGATAATCTGTTCGAACGATATGGTGCCCCGGTCTACGTACTCAATCTGATCAAAGCTCGAGAGCGTACACCGAGAGAGTCTAAGTTGTTGATGGCGTACAAGCACGGTATTGACTACCTCAACCAGTCCTTGCCTAAAGACAAGAAAATCATATACGAGGCATTCGACATGTCCAGGGCATCTAAGACTAGAGGCCAGGATGTCATTGGCTCGCTGGAAAGCATTGCCGAAAAGGTCTTGCGAAAGACGGGATTTTTCCGGAATGGTGATGATGAGTTTGATTCTCCGCAAGTGCAGAACGGAGTTGCGCGCACCAACTGCATTGACTGCTTGGACCGGACCAACGCTGCTCAATTCGTGATTGGGAAACGGGCGCTGGGCAGACAACTACAGGCACTTGGAGTTATTTCGGGGAATACTGTAGAATACGATTCCGACTGTGTGGAGCTGTTCACTCAGATGTTCCATGGCCATGGCGATACCATCGCCATTCAGTATGGTGGCTCGCACCTGGTCAATACTATGGCTACATACCGAAAGATCAATCAGTGGCAGAGTAGCTCACGCGATATGATGGAAAGCTTCAAGCGCTATTACCATAACTCTTTCCTCGACTCGCAGCGTCAAGAAGCCTACAACTTGTTTTTGGGAAACTACGTCTATTCGCACGGCCAACCGATGCTTTGGGATCTCTCTACTGACTACTATCTCCATCATCAGGTCCCACAGTCTTTTCTCGGGCGAAGCCGACGAGATTATATTAATTGGTATACGGCCTCCCATCTCCAGCAACGTACATTACCGCCCTCTATCACGCCAGCTCGCTCAATGCAAGAATCAGCGTTTGACTTTGTAAGCTTCCGCGATGACTATTGGCTTGAATATTACCGACCGCTAGCGATTTCTTCTTACCTCAAGATTTTCGCCTTCAGGTTGGCAAAACCAAGGCCAGGACGTGACAGGGACGGAACATTGCCAGCCCGCAAAGATAACATGTCCCCGTTTGTGCCCCGTAAGAAGCAGCAGGAGTACGATGCGCAGGCAAGGGACGGAAAGAAAGCGCCTCGGAAGGGTGTCACTATCATTGACCCGTCGAGTGAGACTGATTCCAGGGCCAGACGGAGGGATCCACATCTCAACATGCATCACGTCCCCCACACAAACTCGCCAGTCCGACACTCGATTCTCAGAGACCCTCACTTTGAAACCCATGGCCCACCTTCCATGGCATCGACGTACCAATCCATGAACAACTCAGGCTCCATATCAACTGGATTATCATCAACCCTCCGACCGGGTTTCAAGCCCGCTGATAAGGCCCTAGTCCACCAATGGACGCTGACACAATTCTACGAAAACAGCATGAACCCATCTGTATCGCTAAACGAAGAACACGAATACTCGCGCTACATTGAACACCCGCTCAACCTGCCCCTCGTCGTCAGCAGCGAAATGCCAAGTGCAGACGACCCCAGCGCAATGGAATTCTACGACTACCTCTCCATGACCGAAGGCAGCATACCCGCTCCCAAGGACTTTGACGAAGACGGCATTCAAATCACCCTTGGCGACTTCCCCCGCCACGACAACACAGACGCCGCATCCGTCCGCTCCTTCAATCGCCCCATGACGTCGCAGTCGGTCAGCACCCCCTTTTCCCACGCGCCTTCTTATCCGTACCCCCAGTCTTACGGCTTCCATCCTCACGCTTACAATAATGTGCTGCCGCCGCCGCCGCAACCGCAGTCTACAGGCAACAAGTTCCAGACGCCAGAAGAGGATATCGAGGAGTTTGAGGAGTTTCTGCGGGTCAAGGAGAATCCGCTGGATGTCGAGGAGGAGGATACGGCGAAGAAACGGTATAAGGCTTACCGGCAGTGGTTGAGAGGTAAGAGCTTCTTCAAACAGAGTAAGGTCGATCCGGAGTGGCAGAATCAGTTACCTGTGAGATGAGGAGAAGGGGAAGTGGCAGAGGCGTTTTTGGGTGCACCGAGTTTCGTTTTAATCATGTTTCGTCTGCAAACGGGTATTCATGGGCGATGGGATGTTAACGAAGAATTGATCGTCTCACTAATACATTTCTACTCTTTGTGAGTAAAATTATCTACGTCTTATTTATACACATGTACTACTCGTACAACCATGAAGGTGCCGCAGTGAGATTTAATTTGGTCTCAACATGGAGATGATGGTGGCCGCAATGACGGCTCCTGCCGCCGCGCCCTGGAGAATGGCAGTCGTGTAATCTATCCTCCGCATCGAAATGACACGCTCGCTGACAATATCTTGAGCTATAAAAGTCGCCTTTTCCTGCCATGTCGCAAACTTCCTATGGGGCTCGCGCGAAGGAGCCGCTTCTTTCTCGACGGCGATGCGCTCTTCAGGTGTCATGGCAGCTTCTTCTTGGTTCAGAAGTTCGGGTTCAGACGTTGCTGACTCGGGCGCTGGGTCAACGAAGGTCTCGGTGATTGGTTCCGGGATGATTTCGGGCTCTACCGGGTCTGTAGCTAGGGTCTCGGCCGTTGGCGATTCTTCCACAGCTTCTTCCACGATAGCAGATGGGGTAGGGGCTGCTGTGGGGGCTTGCTCGATGACAGTGTCGATCGGCACTGAGGCAGGCGCTATTGCGGCAACTGGAGCGGTTACAGAGGCAGCATCCATGGCTACCTTCTGTTGCGTTTCTAACACGGTCTTGATTTCCCTTACCATCCTCTTTCTCCTCCAGGGCTCCAGGATTGCCAAGCTAAGCAATAGCAAGAAGATATTGACGCCCATGAGGCCAAACGTGACCCACGTGCTGTTCCTGCGTATAGTGTCGCTCCAGATTTGCTCCTCGTGATACTGTGCACGCTCTCTTTTCTCTAGCTGTGCCCTCGCATCTTCCAAAGCGTTTTCGGCATTCGCGACGGCGTCTTTGGCCTCGCGGACTGCTTGGTCGTTGATGTGCTCGGAGCGGATCAGGGCCATGTAGCGTTCTAGGTCGCCATTGGACCATGAGTGCTTGCGTTCGAGAAGGGCGACGACTTCTTTTTGGGATGTAGCTTGATGGGCGAGGGCGGTGTCAAGGGCTTGTTTTGCGGAGTCGATGGCCAAGCGACGGGCTTTTACCAGCTTTTCTGGGGGGGAGTTAGATGTGGCAGCTGGAGGTTGTTAGATCACAGACGCATACCTTGCTCCTTAATCTCTCTCCGTAGTGCTTCGACGCCAGAATAGTCTGTTCCCGTATATGTGTTAACCTTTTGTGTGACGACTGCAAGCTTTGGCAGAAGGTCGTCCATGGCATCAGAGAAGCGTTTGGAGAGACTCCATCGCTGTCTCTCGCGGTGAGACGGTAATTGCTCATCAGGAACGCGGGCTATAGTATCTACGGCTTCGTCTCTAGGTGGTGATGCCGCTGGGGGTTCTGGTGGGGGAGGTTCCGGGGCTTGGACAGGCGGTGGATCTTTCAATGCCGCCTCAGCATTCTCGGCAGCTCTCTTGATTGCTTTCTGATCCTCAAGCAACGCATCGAGTCTCCTTTGCAAGCGCTCCTGATCTTCTGGAGATGGAGAGCTTCCGGATAATTTGGTTGGTGGTTGTGGTATAGGCTTGGACTCTGATGCGGGCGGTGGCATTGCAATGGGATCCGAGGGTTTTGACGGCCGGTCTTCTTCTCTCCATCTTGCAGAGCTGCTGAAAGCACGTCGCGACCATGTTCGTGCCTCATGGGCGCTCAATCGCACCCCTCCATGCCAGCGAGATGCCTCGGAAGTTGTGCGAGACTGACACGAGCATACCGACGACGCGGTGCGGAAAAAACCGCCAAAAGACGACGATGGCGACACTACCTTGTTAGCGGTAAGCGAGCGTGAAGCATGCTGAAGCAGTGGCCTCATTCTTGCCTCTTCCCTTACATTAAGAAGGCGATGACGGATGACGAATGACGAAAAAGCGCCAACTGCGGACCCCCGAGCCAGCGGTGCATCGAGGACTGACATGCCCTGTGCGCGTGGGGTGCGGCAACCACAATCACTGGCCCTGTTGATTGCCGGGATTCCGTTTAAGGGTTTACCTAGTGCCCCTCCAGTTTTCTGGTTTTAGATATTGCTTGTTATCTGTCTTTTGCTCTGTCAGTTCCATAGACCTTCAATTGCTTGTTTGATCATTTCAAGATGGGTTCCGTACAAATTGACTTGGCCGAGTTGCCTGCCATGAAGAGCAACCCCAAGGTAACACGACAATTTCAACCATGTAATCCATATTAACCATATGAATAGTTCATCTTCTTCACCGACTTCGATGGCACCATCACGCTCCAAGACTCCAATGACTTTATGACCGACAACATTGGTTACGGGCAAGAAAAGCGCCGCGCCGGCAACATCGCCTGTCTTAACGATCAAATCTCATTCCGCGATTCCTTCCGCGACATGATGGACAGCGTCACGAAGCCCTACGACCAATGCATCCAATACCTGGTCGACAACATCAAGCTGGACCCTGGCTTCAAGAGCTTCTTCGAATGGTCCCTGGAGAACAACATCCCGGTCGTGGTCCTGAGCTCAGGCATGGAACCCGTCATCAAGGCACTACTGGAGAAGCTAGTAGGCCCTGATGCAAGTAAGATGCAGGTGCTGGGTAACTACGTAGGGCCGAGGGAGGGGAAGAACATCAACGAAGAAGGTGGCTGGCAGATTCTGTTCAAGCATCCAGACTCCGGCTTCGGCCACGACAAGTCGGTCGAACTACGAAAGTACTCTAACTTGCCGGAAGACGTTCGACCGACCATGTTTTACGCCGGCGACGGTGTTTCAGACCTTTCGGCCGCTCGGGAAACAGACTTGCTCTTTGCAAAGAAGGGCCACGACCTCATCAGCTACTGCGCAAGGGAAGACGTACCCTTTACAGTTTTTGAGGATTGGTCCAACATCCTGGCCAAATGCAAGAGCATCGTAGAGGGCAAGACTACCGTAAAGGCCGCTGCCAAGGAAGGCTACGAGGCGTACAAGAGCGGAGCTGCCGGCATCGAGGTCTAGACGAAGAAATAGATACGGTTTCAGAGATGAGATTAGGGAGATCCTTTCTGACATCGTACATCGCTTAGGCTGTCATGCAGCTGACGCAATATACGAACGACTTCGTATTTTGAGTTTTGCGGCCCGTGTGTTTTCTGGTAAGGCTTCGCGGCTCACAGAATACGATCGTGTCCGTACTCTCAAGATGGCTCATTGGGTACCGCGTAAATTCAGGCAGCTCGCGGCCTTGACTTTGACAGTTGTTATCCCACAGATGGGCTGTAGACAGGTGCGACTTTTTACAAGGGATTGCACTAGAGGGAAACTGTGGACATATACAGATCATAGACACACTTACAAGATAACTAGACTAGAAAATGATAACCTGTATCAATAAGATGTAATAACTATCGTACAATGCCGCAATTACATACCGATATACCAATGGCGACAAACCGTGCTTTTCGGGGGGTATCTCTCGCAAAACCAAACCGAAACCAGATCCATGTTACACACACACTCCGCTGCCTTCCGTTCACCGTGTAATGTTTACCTCGGTTGTTCTGACAATCATCATGCCCATCGGAACGCTCATACGTGCCCCATGAACCACGCCTTCTTGTTCAAGTATACTCTCCTCACTCTCTTCTGACTGACTCCGTACACAGGCTAGAGTCCCATTTCTGCCTCTGCTCGCTTCTACAGTATACGTGTCTTTGCCCCAGACAGCATCCTCGCCGTATGGATCCGGGGCGGTTGACTGTGACCTTTCAGACATGTTCTTCAAAGCGTAGCTAGTCCTCGATCGACTGTCGCTTTGCTTGACATATCCGTTTGAGCGGAACGGAGTGTTTCCAATAACATTGGAGCTGTTGCTACGGCCTCTAGTAGCCAAGGAACGCATTTGGCCAAAGGTACTTGCAAAGAGGGGTTTGAGTGTAGGAAGGCAAGCTGCGATGATGCCCACGTACATTTCGACTCTGCAGGGAATAATTGTTAGTGTATGTGATATGCCATTTGAGGGAGAAAATACGTACTCTTGCCAGATGTAGTACCACGCTCCATCACCAGACCAATCTGTCATCTTAAAGAAGTTGTACTGCATTGGCGTCTTGTAGATTGCGACTGCAGAGGCGAAAAGACCCAGACCGAGGATGACGGCCAGGCCGATGCGTGTTTGAATTGTGACTTGCAGTTTCCAGACCATTGGTATGGGTACCAAGGCGAAGATGAGGTCGGTCGCAATATTGATGGAAGAGTTGAAGACGCCAATGCTTTTGAAGATTTGGGAACTGTAGCATTTTGCGTTTCTGGTATGGGTGTTAGTGAACCATTGCAAGTACCGAGTAAGGTCGTGAGTGGACATACCCCGTGGGCGGACGCAATTTGTAGTCCCATCCTGCGCGTACAGGAGTACACTGAAAGATAATGGGGAATGTCGAGCCGATAGTGAAGATTCCAATGAAGACTAAAGGCGCTGTTAGCTTCTGGTATTTTTTTCTGAAGTCGCCTTCACGTACTGAGCATGCCAATCATAAAAGGTCGCCATTTCGTTCGATCCGCGAGTCGTAGTAAGAAGAAGCCAATCGACAGCTTGATGAAGCTGTATGCGGCGATGATCATGATGGAGTAGAAATACATGATCTTGAAGAAGGGGTAGAGATTTTCAGGAGGGAAGGCTTCGGCATGCCTTCCAAGTCCCAGATGAATGACCTTGACGAACAGTCCCAAGGTCCCTATACTTAGCGCCTACAAAGTGGTGAGTTAGCAACGGTTTCGGTTCCAATGTGCATGCTCTCGTACCAATGCAATCACCATCATGATGTCTGTTAACGGTCAGTGCTGCTCCACAAGGTTCGTAGCCCAATAGGGTTCATGGTAACATACCGTCCCAGCCGAACATCTTCAGCATGAATGTTCGTACGTAGAACCGCAGTAGCACTGTGAGCGTAGATAGCGCAAACAGTGGGCCCGTTACCGCCAGCAAGCGACCTGCTTGATTCTCTGCCAGGTACTCTGGTGAACGTTCCGGCATCGGCGGCGGGCCCGCTGCCTGCCGTGAAAGAAAATGATGTAACATGTCCATAATTTGCTGCAGTAGGAGAGAACAACGGGGTAGAGAGCGTGAGCCTTCGACGAAGGTTCTCTAGGCTATTAGAACATGTTTGAGACCCGCTCTCGGCAAGGTATTGGTAAGTAGCACGCAGCCACAAGCGCAGTGTAAAGATGCCGAATGCGAACATGTCTGGGGAAGTACTGGCTCGAGACCATGCCTGTTCCTTCCTGCATGCATGGCACTCAACTTTAATGTGAAGACGACGGCCCGGACGCATCGCGCATCTTCGGATCAGCCGGATGCCCAATCATCTTACACGGCCGATAGACGCGCAGAGTTCGACCCTGAATCCGTATGCTTGCCACTCGGCTGTCACGTCTTGAGATTCAAATTAAATTCATATCCCACGTCGTCATGTGCGACACATGGTGGAGGTACGGATAGGCCGTTGAGACAGCACGACGTCTGCCATTTTTTCCAAGATCGGTCCGGACTGGTCACTTAGGGATCGTGATCCAGGCTAATATCGTGATATGTAGTGTGCATGGGATGAAGAACTCGGCGGACCAATGCCAACCTTGGAATACGGTGCAGGATTCCGTTACTCTCAATCCGCTCCGTGGACACGTCAGTCAAAGGAACGATTGCTGCACATACAATCACGTCGTTCTTACCTATTCTCCTGCTGCGTAGGAAGTAGAGATTTCTAGAGTATTAGAGGACCGTAGCGACTTCCCTTTTTGCGTAAAGGCGTTATGCAGATCTAGCCGTGATTTACGGGAAGGCCCTGGTGGTGCGCACAGGGATTCCTCTAGCATACCTATCCTGGTCATCGCCAGGTTTTAGACAGCTCCTACCGTTCCTACATTCCTTCGAGAACGAAAAAAACGGTTCTGTAGGAACTTCCGCTCGGACATTCTTCTCACCTATCGAATACCCGTGATTTGCAGTTGAGATGAAACGAACAGCTGTATCAAGTATTTTCGTATTCACTCTTAGCTGCTTACTCGTCGCAGTCGAAGTCGGGCGTGGGGGCATCGTGGAATTACTAGCACTGTAGCACGCGCTCAACGTGACTTGCCCACAGCCTAGTGCACATAAGTCATGGTAAATCTGCCGTTGATGATGCAGTTGTCACTTGCCGATAGAAACGGGAAGTAGTTGCTTTGTTGAAGGGCGCTAGTCTTCCAGGCGAGCGAAGCCCGATACCGCGGAAGGGCTCGAGGCTTAGGATCATCCGCTTTTTGGCATTGATCTGGACCGAATCAGGGTAGCTCAATCAGGCGGCCCGTTATATCCTAAGTATCTTCCTCCCGTCCATCATACACAATACCCACCACGGACAGGCTAGGTATGGACTCCTCAGGACTTTTATTAGCCTTTACAGTACATCGTGGCTAAACATGAAGGGAAATTTGTCCGTCTAATTCCACGCCGCCACCCGTGGCCCAATCGCTTGTCCATCGGACTACAAGCAAAAAGGAGTAGGTACATACATCCTGCAAGAAGTATCGCACCATTCTCACGCTGTTCAGCCCGCATCCAAATCTGCATTTGATGCAGCCGGGTAAAAGAGAAGCACGATGCGGGGACCATATCTGAACCGCCCAGTCGCCTGTCCAGGAGACGTGCAAAATCGATGGACCAACTTTGCCTAAATTTGCGGCCGTTCCTGATAAAAATATCAAGAGGTGTTAAGTAGTAAGCATGAACTCATGCCTAAGTAAGCACACGCATCGTGATATACAAATGGACTGAGGCTTCGAGGCCTTCTCAGATGCCAATCCTATTACCCATACGAAGAGCAAACGCGGGATCTATACTGAACATCCGCCACGCGGGAGGGAACTCACCACATGAAGCCGCTTTTACCGAGTTGCTGGCTTCTGGCCTACCCATTTACCCCGATCCTTCAGAAAAGAATCCACAACCGAGGTTTCCAATAAACCGGCATCCAATTACCGCGACCCACTAACGCGTCTTGTATTCATTGACAGGCGACAATTACGCCACAACTCCTCTTTTCGACAACCCTACAGGCCGAGACTCCTGCAAACCCACGTGTCTCGGAGGTTGGGAAGCGCCGCAAAGGGCTCGCCCTCGGTATTTGGGGGCGTTTTGGTTATAGCCACTTAGCAGGTCATGCCTAAGGGACGTTTTCGAACCCCTTAGAACATGACTGGAATGTGGGCAAATAAGACTCTACCCTGCAGAGATAGTCGATATACCAATCTCAGTAATTCCTGACTCAAAACATACTCGGAAACAACAGGCCGAATCTTTGGGTCTGGAGAGAACATGGTATCTTGCGGCACAGGCTCCCGTGTACATGGTTAGACTTGAATGTGGCGAAGGTTGACATGCATGCTGCGAGTATTTGAACGCTCATGCAGCCTCATTCCTTAGGCAGGGCATCGCCACGTTTTGCTCGCACCTCTTTCATATCCTAATATTAATTGAGCAATAGTTGGTTCGTGTTGGCCTTTCATCCGGAACGCTATTCAAAGATCCTCGTGTCGCCGTCTTCATATTTCCAAGCCTCTTGCAACCTCGATCACTAGCTTTAACCGGCCGGAAACGCTACCATGCGTTCAATTGCACTCCTATGGCTTGCACCTGCGGCACTAGCCAGCGCCATTCCCGCATTTGAAGAGCCCTTTCCCGCCGCCTCATTCGACAAGCGACAAAATGTTTCTCCGAACGTCGTTGGAGTGAAGACTCTACAGGCTGATGTCTACGCGGGAATTGCTGCGATTAATCAGCAAATCTACCAGGGCACCCAGAAGTCTGATCAGTTCAAGAAGTGTAACCCGTTCAACATTATTGTTCGCAAAGAATGGTAAGGTCCAGCATGTTGTTTTGTTTGTAAGCTTATCGTTCCAGGGCAACTTTCTCCACTCCGGAGAAGAAGAACTATATCCAAGCTGTGCAGTGCATGTCTAAGCTACCTGCAAAAACGCCAAAATCGGAATGCCCTGGATGCCGGAACCGCTATGATGACTTTCTTGCGACTCATATCAAGCAGACATTCTTGATCCACAACACTGGAAATTTCTTGGCATGGCACCGCTACTTCACCTGGGCCTACGAGCAGACACTGCGGAAAGAGTGTGGCTACAAAGGATACCAGCCATACTATAACTGGCCAAGGTGGTCTGACGATCCGAGCAAGAGTCCTGCTTTGGATGGCTCTGCTACTTCCATGAGTGGCAATGGTGCCCCTGGCTGCTCCAACCAGACCTTTTACGGTATCCCTACCAATGCTGAGCCTCAAATCAAGATTCCCAAAGGCAACGGTGGAGGCTGTGTGGTCTCTGGTCCTTTCAAGGACTGGTCCGTCAACCTCGGTCCCGTCTTCACCGACTCAAACTGTGTTCCTCCCAACCCAATTTCCAACCAAACTGACCCCAACGTGGGCCTTGGATACAACCCTCGCTGTCTGAAGCGTGACATTTCTTCCTGGACCTCTAGCCAGTGGACCAACGACGAGCAGGTTGTTAACCTGCTCAACAGCGCGGACATCAAGACGTTTTGGTACAACATGCAAGGTGGCGACCCAGCCTTCACCAAGTTCATGGGTGTCCACACTGCGGGTCACTTTACCATTGGCGGTGACCCTGGGTCTGACTTTTTCACCTCCCCTGGTAAGCATCCCTGACACCGCTATTTTGCTCTGCATCTCTGTTTAGCCAGCTAACCATGATCAGGTGACCCGTGGTTCTTCTTCCACCACGCTCAAATTGACCGAGTTTGGTGGACCTGGCAAAACATGGACCCTGCCGACCGCACCAATGCCATTTATGGAACTACCATCATTGCGACACCAGCCGCACCCGAGACTAAGCTCACCGACACAATGACGCTTGGTTATGCTTACGCCGGTAATATCAGCGTTGCTGACGCAATGAGCACTATGGGTGGTCCTTTCTGCTACACGTACATTTAGATGCGGTTGCTGGAAGACTTGTTCAACATTCGTGTATATCTTTGACCTGTACATATTTTTCCATTGAGAGTTATAGACTGTTTGCCGTTAACCAAGTAGACCAAGCCTGTATAGTCGATACAGTATAAGTAGACTATCGATGAAAAGTACTGTTACTCTGTATGCCAATTTTTGATCCAGAATGTGTCCATACCTCTAGCCTGAGACGTGAGCCTTCTCCGGACTCGTATTCATACTATTTTAAACGTACATGTTGTCGCTGATTTAGCAGCATGAGGGGCAGCGAGCTCATTAGCAAGCAAAAACTAGCAACACTACGAGATTGGACACACAGATGCATCTTATGTATAACTTGCAAGCCTTTCCCTGACGGCACAACGGCCGTAAGAGGGCTGAAGAGACAGAAAAAAGAAGCTAGCACGATCTTCATCTGCAGCGCAAGCGACGATTCGACAATGTCCCGCAGCGCTAAACGGTCACCATACCTGACCTACATAGGTCCCGCAAGGAAGATGAATGGGCGGGGTCCTTGTATCCAAAAGCGCGGAGACCCTGCATTGCCAACGCATCACCGCTGAAGGAAGCAAGCAAGGCAGTCATGTCCTCCAATCCCTCTGACCACGCCCGTTCGGCAGCGTGTTTGAGATTGCAGCCGGCCGTGATCGCAGGATCGTCAAAGGCCATCGGTAACTGTATTATCGTGGAGTAACTGAGTCGTGGGTGCAATTGCGGTTCAGAGGACCCTTTACCCCACTAAGATATAGCTCCGCGAAAGGCACCGCAACTGGACCATCATTATTCACAACGTCTTTACTCAACAAACAAAAGAGCATATCTGATATATAACAATCTGCATAATTGGGACAGAGGTTATTTTGAGGAAAAAGCACAAGACGAACAAGACAGCACCATCCACTCAATCATGAACGTCGATCCCCTCACTGGGAAGCCCCTCCCTTCGACGGCCATTCAACGCATCCTCTACCTCGCGCCCAAAGTGCACATCTACCAAATCCCCCCCGCAACCTCGACAAAAGGCTACCAAGCCTCTACTTGGACCGCCAATGACAACAAGTTACAAATCTTCACGGCGCGGTTACGCGTCGTCGAAACATCGGTGCCCAACAGCAACGCCGACGAGCAAAGCGCCGACGGAGAAGACGAAAACGTCACAACCACATTACTGTTAGAGGACCCAAAGACTGGTGACCTATTCGCTGCAGCACCGTATACGAGCGAGCGAACAGTAGAGCAAGCCCTAGACAGCAGCCGCTTCTTCGCAATAACCGTTGTGGGCGAGGGCAGAAAAGCAATCTTGGGCATGGGCTTCGAGGAGCGCAGCGAAGCATTTGATTTCAGCATCGCACTACAAGACGCCCGCCGCGTCCTTGGTTTCGAGCAAAAACCAAACAACGCGCCCGCTTCGTCGCGCAAGACGGCGCAGTCTCCCGTCACAGAGGAACCAAAGCGCGACTTTAGTCTCAAGGCGGGCGAAACTATATCTATCAACCTTGGCGGACTCAAGGGAAGGCGGTCGAGGAGTCATGAGGGTGACAAGAGCGAAGACGGTCACAAGAGCGAACAGGATGCGCTGTTTAGTATAAAGCCGCCACCGGGGAGTGCGGGTGGAGGCGGGTTCCTGCCACCGCCGCCGAGTGCGAAGAGTGTCAAGGAGGAGCGGAGGAGGAGTAGGCAGAATTTCGATCCATCGAGCGTGCCAAAACAGACGGCCGAGGATCTGGGCTTTGACGATGGCGAGTTTGGTGAGTTCCAATGATGATATTGCCAAATGGAGGGGGGCTTTTTGTATGTTTAGCATGGAGTTAGTTTGCATTGGTCTGGGTCTTGAACGCATAGGAGGCGTCTCAAAATTCCCTTTATGATTTGAACAAAGCTACCACATGAGTTATGTCGTATATGTGATTGCACTTCCCAAGTTGTGTTCCGTGGATGGGTATCAGAAAAACGCCGTTTGCAAGTCCATGAATAAGTACGACTATGTCCGGCCCTGCGCCTCATCATATAGCTTCTCAACATCCCTGATCAAGTCCTCAGGCTTTTCGCCGCCCTCACAGTTCTTCCACTCGCCACCATCGGCTATACATCTGACCTTGTCGTTCAGTCTCACCGTGCAGCTGATCCCGGCGCCTACATCACTACTGTGCTTTACGCTATCCCTCAACAAGCCCATTCCGTATGCGCCGCTCTCCTTACTCATACAGTCATTTAGCTCGCCAAAGTCCAGCCCGTGTTCCAGTGCGCAGTCTTCGATGAGGGAGCGAGCGGGTATTTCCGGATAGTCGGTAATGAGGCAGTTTGTGAATCCGAGGTAGAGTTTGGGGTGCGGGTACGATGAGGCAGCACATAGCATGACAATGTCGCCTAGGCACTCTGTTTGCCCGTGTTTGCACTGGACGCCATCGTCTTCTGTGAGGCTGTTTCATCCCGTTAGCGCAGGACCTGACTGTTTCTTGAGAAGAAACGACTTACCTGCCAATCATGCTCAGCCTGAAGTCCACCTTGTCCGAAACGTTTGCCATGGCGGGCAACACTAGCTTCTGCAAACAATCCCGCGCATCCGGGCACTTGGACATGATGTGTACGTCCATGGAGACCTTGGTGTCCACCCCGACGTGCTCGTGCTCGCCTGGGCAACTCCGTGTCGTCGCTAGCCAAAACAAACTGAGGAATAGCGTGATGGCTGCCACTTGGAACCAACTGGTGCGGTGAGATGTCCGGGAAGGCATCGTCGCATCGGGATCCGTCCAAGATATGGTATGGTCCGGAATGAGGGGGACCTTTTCTTCCATTGTATGATACGGTCTCGGGGTGGCTTCGGTACCACGGCGGGTGCTTATGTCGTGTCTGGAGTAACGTAGTAATAGATGATGTTGATGTTGGAGATGTGACGAGTTGGGGTAGTCGAAAGAGGGACTGATAGGCGGCCGGCCGGGGATGCTGATAGCGCGCCGACTAACGTTAAACCTTGGAACGCGTATCGTCTCCGTGCACTGTGTAAGCCATCTATCAACCGTAGCTGAACGCGTCCAGGACGGCAAAACGTGTTCCTTGGTCTAAAGGTTTTCCATGATTAGCTCATATAAAGCCTGTGTATCACATGCGTTGCCCGCAAACATTTGGACTGGGCCGATGAGCGAATTAACACGGCAGAACTATTCCCCGCCCGCGATGCTGTACCTGCGTGGCGTTGAACATGAAGTAGCACCGAGCCCGGAGGGGGTTCCTACAGATCTTCCCCCATCAACTTGTGTTTTTTTAGGCCAAAGGTCTAGCCTTTCCGTCTCCTTATCCTCGCTGCCGATCTTCCGCCTCTCTGTATCTCACGGTCATGATGAAATGACTCTTTCGGTTGTTTACACTCCAATACCCCACCTTCCGACATCCACTTCGACGCCGCAAGGCTGTGCTCAACCTTCGAGCCCGCGTTTTCTTTTCATGGTACAAGCACCAGCCCTGCGTTGCCAACATCCACCCCTCAGCCTCGCTAGCACAAACTGAACATGGCGCTGAATGAAGCACCCAACGCTGCACATGCCATAGACACATTAACCGGCTTTATCAACACAAAGACATTGCTCGGTTTAGCGCATCGCTTTTCGGCCACATATACCGATCTTGCCAGGACCTCGACTGAGCATTTTCTCGTCACTCCAGTCACGGCATTACCCACAGGGAAAGAGAAGGGCAGATTTCTGAGCATCGATGTTGGTGGCACCAACCTAAGAGTCGGATTTGTTGAGCTAATCGGAGAGCCAGATGGCAGTGCTGAGAGTGAGCGTGAGCGGAGCAGTACTGTGGGCGAAAATGTCTTTGCTCAGATAAGGAGGAGCCATGACAGGAACTGGCCGATTGGAGATCACCTGAAGATGGATCAGGCTGAGGATTTGTTCGCGTGGATCGGTGACTGCATCGCTGAGGTCATCAGGGGTGCTCTTGAGGAAGAGAAGGCGGGGGAGGAGGTCAGATTACCCTTGGGTGATGAGATCCTGCTTGGCATCACCTTTAGTTTTCCAATGGCGTGAGTGTGAGCATCCAGTGTGCTAACACCAACTTGCTAACAGGTCCAGTCAAACCCGTCTCTCAGAAGCTACTCTGCTGCCAATGGGTAAGGGCTTCGCCATTACCTCTGATTTAAATCTAGGCAAAATGCTTCTTGCTGGCTACGCCCGACACTGTGAGGTCGGACATGCTTCAGGCAAGCAACCATTACCAAAAATACAGGTCGCCGCCATCACCAATGATACCGTAGCCACATTTGCATCTCTCGCATACGCAGTCAAAGCATCTCCCAATAGCCGCGTCGCCATGGGTCTTATTGTCGGCACAGGTACCAATGCAACTGTACCCATGAAGCCATCCAGCCTGCATCCGACCAAAAGAGAAGCTCTTCAAAATCCTGATGCTGTTGAAACCGTTGTCATTAACACCGAGTGGACGATCCGCGGCACTGACAAGCCACTGATCGAGTTCAACATCAAGACGCCCTGGGATCTCACGCTTGACGCCAATAGTGATGCACCTGGTTTTCAACCGTTTGAATACATGACGTCTGGCCGGTATCTCGGCGAAATTGTACGCTTGGTGTTCCTAGATATCGTTTCCGGAGAAGCAGATGCCGAGATCCCACCATCATTACAACAGAAGAACGCCCTACCGACACGTTTCCTTTCGGAATTCATTGCGCGGAAAGGTGGCCGCATCGTTCAAGGAGAGCTGGAAAGCAGATATCCCGAGCCAAACTCCTCTGGGGACCCTTTCTGGACAGTAGATCGAGTGGAGATGATACGGGACATTGCCGAGGCTGTTCAGCAGCGATCTTCGGCGCTGGTTGCTGCTGCCTGTGTCGGGCTGCTGAATTGTGTAGGTGATGTTGCACTAGACGAGTCGCCAAAGTCCAGTAATGGTACACACACCAAGGGCAAGCGGGATATCGAAGAGCTTGTGATTGCATATGCGGGTGGGACCATATCACAATATCCAAAGTGGCTTCAGACATGCCAACAGTGGATAGACATTCTGGTCGAGGAGGGCTCGTCAAAAAATGCATCAAAGCAAGTTACGCTCAAGGAGGCCAAGGATGGGGGCATTATTGGCGCCGGAGTGCTTGCGGGTATGGCGGGTGAAATTGCGTGAAAGGATTTTAGGTGTCCTTGTTAGGGCTGTGAGCGTGAGACTCCAAGTAGTTATGTAGCTGCTAACCAAAGATACATGATACCCTGGAGACAAGTTGGCTACAATCTGTATTCAAATTCTCCTCCTCAGCCTACTGAGATCGTGACCTCCACTTCAAGCTTCATATCTTCCACTCGGCGGATATACGTGGGGAAGGCTCTGCAGACTGTAGTTGATGCTTGATACGCCCTCCACTTTCCTCTCGGATTAGAATACAAGACTTGAAGCTGCAGTTTCGAGTCAGAATCTCAACCACTAGGCGCGAAACGCATTCCTAGCAGGTATTACAGGGTCACTATGTGCATTTGCAGTACACAGCCTCTTTGTAACTCCCAGATTCAGCCCCTACCGAAGCTCTATGCAAGAGGGAGCCCGGGGAGCGGGTGTTGACGTATTGACACCGCATTGAAGCGATCAGTATCCCACAGATCAAATCAAGGCAATCCCAGAGATGAAGTTTATCACCTCATATCAGCCTCGACTCATTCACTCATACCCTCACTCTCGCTCCCATCATCAACTGCGGCAAGTACCTCACTTTCGCTCTTCCTCTGATTATCCACTGACTTTGCAACACTTTGCAGCATAGGCAACTCGCCTGCCCCATCCCAAGCCTTTGCTCTCTTAACAATATGTTGTGACCTGCGTATAACTTCTTCCTCTGCCTTCCTAATCGTACCGCTGACCCGAACCACTCGTACCACGACTGGTATATTTATGGGCTTCGGGAGGTGCGTGATGTACGTGAGAGCCGCCCACACCATCTCGTAGTGGTCGCGCGGACAGCGGATAATAGCTGTACTGGTGGACGGGGAGTAGTAATTGACTGAGGGCCAGTGATTATTAGTCAGGAGCCAGTAGTAAGGTATGCAGACTTGACATATACCTTTCAGACCCGAGGCTACCATGCCCGAGCCATAGTCGCCAAAGAGGTCTTCGACACCATCGCGTATCATGCGGATAATGATACCCTGCTTGAGCGCATCTGGCGTCGGGGAGTGCATTTGCACGACATGAGGCAGTTGCTGCGTCTTGTTCTTTGCAAGAGGCTCCGGGTATAGGAAGTTGACTACCAAGTAGCGATTCTTGACGCGCACCATGATGGCTCAGGAAAGGAAGGGTGTCGTGTGTTTCCGTGTAACCCTCGGCGCCTCAAGAATGTGCGGGGAATTCAAAGGTGCGAACGCGAATACGGACCAAAATGGAACAGAACAGAGACCAAAAAAAAAGACGCCCCTACTTCACGCGAAAAACCGCAACCACAATTTCGACTCTGTGAAGCTGCCCCGCCCTTGAACCAAATTGATCTTTGCTGGCACAATTGGCGACGACGACTGCGACGCGACGCAAGAAAAAGACACGCAGCGCGCAAGACTACAGAAAAAGTACCGGATCGCCGTCACAATCCGCAGGCGCGGTTCATGCATTAGCGCATAGTCCTTGGCTTCCTATGACGCAGATGGCTAGAGGCAGCATCCCCAGCTTTGGCCTTAGCGGTGGCTGTTCTCCTTCCGCAGCAACACCAGCGACGGCTACAACAACTACAACTACAACTACGACTGTTACGGATTCACAGCATCCCGAAACTTTACTGTCCCGCGGCTTGATAGCACCCGCAAAATTCATATCCGCGAACCCCCTCTCCAAGCCCAAGTCCCGCAAACGAGCGCGAGTACCACCCGCTGAGCGCAGAGCCAGACCTCGTTCAAAAGCACAAGTACCAGTTTCCAGTATGGCGTCTTCGTCTACTACCTCTGGTCCGCTGCTTTAGTACGTTTGATATCTCCTCTAGTCTGACATCAGACGGAAGACATGTTGCTAACAATGCCCCCCTCCCAGCGCATGCATTGCACACAACACGACCGTTCTCGCCGAACACACAGCATCCGCCTCGTCCAACGCCTCATCCCTCGTCTCCCTCGTCCTCCCACGCATCGCGCACGATACTTCGGCCCACAAGACAATCGACCAATCCAAGTTCTTCATCCACTGCCTCATCAAGTCGCCCTCCGACTTCCCCGGCAACCAATCCACAGCCGGCGGCCTCACCTTCCTCGTCATCGCAGAACGCGATCTCGGCCAGCGCATCCCCTTTGGATTTCTAACCAACCTCGAGAAGAAGTTCTTCGCTGAATTTGAGCCAGCGAGCACGAATTTCCATGATTTACCACCCTATGGCTGTGCAAGCTTCAATGGCGCGTTGAAGAGGTTGATGGTGGAGCAGGGTGGCACGCAGGCTGGTCAGCAGGATGCTTTGCGTACCGCGCAGCGTGAGATTGAGGGTGTGCGCGAGATTATGACGGAGAATATTGAGCGTGTGTTGGAGAGGGGCGAGCATATGAGTGTTTTGGTGGACAAGACGGGTCGCTTAGGTGAGAATGCGAGGGACTTTAGGGTGAGGAGCAGGACGCTCAAGAGAAGGATGTGGTGGAAGAACGTCAAGCTCATGGTGCTATTAATGCTTGTCGTCATCTTCTTGATTTACCTCTTCGTTGGCTTTGGTTGCGGATTACCAGGTAAGTCGCTATCCAGGTCAGAACATTGTTCCATCAAGTGCTAACAACTAATAGCTTGGGGTCGCTGCCTCGGTCACTAGAGAACGCGGGGCCCTTTCCTAATGTTAATTAACTTTGAACAAGCACTTCACACCCCATATTTTGCGCGCGCAACTCGAGTATTGGCCTCTTTTCCACAACCCAACATGTCCGCGAGACGGATACTCGGTCTCGCGGACATCATGGAGGCAGAATGCTGTACGGTGAGAGGTGCGCAAAGATTGTTCATTTATACAACAGCAGCGGGCGTTTGGCGTCCGTCTTTTCCATTTTCCATAGCCACAGTACGAAATAAGCTACGAGATATTCCCAGTTTGATCTCTGATTCCCTTCCTCTTTTTAAAACGCCGTTTCCATGCAGATCCTTCCCCAGCCCTAGAGCCCATTCTCACTAGACGTGATGTGAGGACCCACCCAACCGTACCGCATAACGCCGAAATCGATCGATCCCTAGGGAAAGACCGACAGTGAGAAAAAAAAGTAAAAAGTATGTAAGAAAAAGCAAACGATGACTACCCGATACCCCGATCCCCAGCCCATCCAACCCAACAAACACCAGTAAATCAGACTGAAAAAAAAGTGAAATAGCTCCCCCCTTACCCGAATAGGATTTTTACATCAAGTGTACATAGCCAAAAACTCCTGGAAAATGCTTTTGGACTAAATCTATCTAGTCGTCTAAAGTGAATAGTCGTGGTATAAGCCCGAACCATAACAAAAAGGAAAGTAGTGAACAGAAACTTTTGTTGCCTTGTAGTCGTTTTCGTGAGAAGAAAAAACCGTTTCAACGCCTGCCATGAAATCGTGTATGGGCAACAAACCATGGTCCAACTAAGGAGCCATAACCATTGCAAGCAGCGCCATACGCGTGTACAGTCCGTACCGCATCTGTGGTTGAAGACGTTAGCTGATGGTTTTCTCCTCACCGAGCATTCTAGACTTACCTGTCTGAAGTACGCCGCCCTGGGGTCAAAGTCCACCTCCTCGTTAATCTCGTTGTTCCTAGGCAGCGGGTGCATGACAATCATGTTTGCCTTGGCCCCCTTCAACAGCTTGTTATCAATGACGAAGGAATCCTTGACTGCCTCATACGTCGCCACATCGGGGAAGCGCTCCTTCTGCACGCGAGTGCAGTACATGACATCCGAAGAGGCGACAATGTCTTCTGTCAACTCAGTCGATACCTTATTGAGTTGTCCACGAGCCTTGAGCGCGTCCGTGACGCCGGAAGGCATCGGAAGAGACGCAGGCGAGACGAGGTTGATAGTGACGTCGTAGTGGGAGAGGAGTTCGCAGAGGGAGTGCACTGTGCGGCCGTACTTGAGATCACCGACAAAGGTGATGTTGAGGCCGTTGACAGTTCCAAGTTCCTCTCGAATGGTGAAGATGTCGAGAAGGGCCTGTGTCGGATGCTCGCGGCTGCCGTTACCTGCGTTGATGACAGGCACATCAGAGAACTTGGTAGCTATGTCGATAGACTCCTCGGACGGGTGACGCAGAACGATAGCGTCGCCGTAGCAGCCCAGGGTGCGGATAGTGTCTGCAACAGACTCTCCCTTTTGCGTGGAAGACACTGACTCATTGACGACGATTACTTCACCACCAAGACGCTTCATAGCAGCGTCGAAAGAAGCCGATGTCCTGGTAGATGGCTCACAGAACATGGTGCAAAGGACGCGGCCCTTGAGAATATCAAGGCAACCCTGTCGTTGAGTACCAAGACGCATCTCCTGAGCAATAGTAAAGAGCAGATGCAGGTCGGCTCGGGTGAACTGCTTGACCGAAGTGATGTGTTCCCTCTTGAATGGAGACTTTGCGAGGAGCTGTGACAGAGACAATGAGGCGTTCAGCCTGGACATATGTCCAGACGACTCGTCATGTGCTCCGGGAGCTGCAGCGAACTCCTGGAAGTCCACCTTACTGATCTCCATGTCGTAGTGGCGAGCGATGGCCTCAATCAGCAGCTTGGCATTCTTCACGTTGGTCACCAAAGGAGTCTGGTAGTCGACCGCCATACGACGGGTTTGGTATCCTCGGCTCATGTAGTTGGCTGGTCGACGGAAGCGGTTGCTTGACGGCAAGTTGATGTACAGATCGATGAGGTTGTTCGACAAGTGCTGTGTGAGCGAGTACTCTTGCTTCTGCTCGTCGTGTTCGCCACTAGACAAGACTTCCAGGAACTTGACTGGGATACCGTGTTCTTGGATATAATCGGCGGTTCCAGCAGTAGCGAACAGGTTGTAGCCCATCTTGTGCAGGCGTTCGATAGAAGGTAGCATCTCCAGCTTGTCCTTGAAAGAACCGATAGAGAGCAAGATGTTCTTTTTTGGCAGCCTGAAGCCAGTAGCGATGAGACCCTTAATGTAAGCCTCGTACTTGGTGCGACCGAAGCAGGCGACTTCACCAGTCGACGCCATCTCCACACCAAGGACGGGATCAGCTCCAGAGAGACGAGAGAAGGAGAACTGTGGAACCTTGACACCGACATAATCCGCGGGTATGTTGGTTGGCGGATATTCGGACACGGGTAGGCCAGCCATGGCCTTGGTAGCCATCTCAATCAGGTCAACACCCATAACCTTTGACACGAAGGGGAAGGATCGCGAGGCACGAACGTTGCACTCAATAACCTTGATCTCGTTGTCTTTGGCGATGAACTGGATGTTGTAGGGTCCAGTGATCAACAAAGCTTGACCAATCTTCCTTGTTGCATCTTCGATTTGGCGTACAGTCTGAGCATGTTAGCATAGTTCGTGCAGTGTTGCGAAATTGGATCACATACCTCGGGGTCAAGATCCTGGGGCGGCAAAATGAGCGTAGCATCACCGGAATGCACACCGGCGTTCTCGACGTGCTCGGAGATGAAGTGACCAATCATAGTACCCTTGTTGGCTACAGCATCCATCTCGATTTCCTTCGCATTCTCGATGTACTTGGTAATGACGACTGGGTGTTCCTTAGACACGTCTGCCGCTTGGTTCAAGTAATTGGCCAAGTCGTGCTTTGAGTAAACCGTGTTCATGGCGGCACCAGAGAGCACGTAAGAGGGACGAACCAAGACGGGGTAGGACACCCTCTCACAAAACTCAGTAGCCTCCTCGATACTCGTGAGTTCTTTCCAGGCGGGCTGATCGACAGCGATGCGGTCAAGCATACGAGAGAACTTGTAACGGTTCTCAGCGGTGTCGATCATCTCGGGCGAGGTACCGAGCACTTTGACGTTCATGCGGTGCAGTGGTAGCGCAATGTTGTTTGGAGTCTGCCCGCCCATGGACAGTACAACACCGCTGGAGTTCTCCATGGTATAGATGTCCAAAACAGTCTCGAGGTTGATGCACTCAAAGTATAAACGGTCCGCTTCATCATAGTCGGTAGAAACTGTCTCTGGGTTGTAGTTCAACATAACGGTCTTAAATCCTTGCTCCCTGAGAGTGCGGATAGCACGGACAGAGCACCAGTCGAACTCAACAGACGATCCGATTCGGTATACACCAGAACCGAGCACCATGATACCCTTGTCATTGAAAGTGATGTCGTTCTCGGTACCGTTGTATGTGAGATACAGATAGTTTGTGACCGCGGGGAACTCGGCTGCAACAGTGTCAATCTGCTTGACTACGGGGAAAATCCCAGCATCGACACGTACGCGACGTACGGCAAGCTCGTTGGAGGCCCAGAACTTGGCGAGTTGACGATCGGAGAATCCCAGTTGCTTTGCCTGCTTCAGCAACGGCATGGTGATGCTGGTGGTGGTGTAGCTCGACATTGACTTCTCAAAGTCACTGAGGGACTTGAGACGGCTAAGGAACCACTTGTCGATTTGGGTCATTTCCCAGATCTTGTCGACACTGTAACCAGCCTTCATTGCGTTGGCAATGGCAAACAGTCGCTGATCAGAAGGTGTTTGCAGTTCCTGGTCGATTTCCATGAGAGCCGGAGTCTCGTTGAAACCAAGATTGCTAGGGTCAACTGAGCGAATGGCCTTTTGTATGGCTTCTTCGAAAGTTCGACCGATACTCATGACCTCACCAACACTCTTCATGGATGAACCGAGAAGTGTCGACACACGGGTGAACTTCTTCAAATCCCAGCGGGGGATCTTGACCACGACGTAATCGAGCGACGGCTCAAAGCAGGCGCACGTAACGCGCGTGACGGAGTTGGAGATGTCATTGAGAGGAATATTGAGACCAAGCTTTGCTGCGACGAAAGCAAGAGGATAGCCAGTCGCCTTGGAGGCAAGAGCGGAAGAACGCGAAAGACGGGCGTTCACTTCGATAATGCAGTACTCCTTGGAGAAAGGGTTCAGGGCGTACTGGATGTTGCATTCACCAACAACACCAAGGTGGCGGATGACGTTCACGGCTGTTGTTCGGAGCATGTTGTAGTCAGCGTCCGAAAGGGTTTGCGAGGGTGCCACCACAATAGAGTCTCCAGTGTGAATACCGAGAGGATCAAAGTTCTCCATGTTACAAACCGTAATACAGTTGTCTCGGGAGTCACGGACGACTTCGTACTCGATTTCCTTCCAGCCCTTCATACTTCGCTCGATCAGCACCTGGGGACTGGCAGCGAAAGCCTTGTTGCAAAGGTCAAGCAGCTCTGCTTCGTTGTTTGCAAATCCACTGCCGAGACCTCCCAGGGCGTAGGCAGCCCGGACGATGACGGGGAAACCAATGTCTTTTACGACACGCATGGCCTCCTCCACACTATTGGCCGAGGCTGACTTGGCGCACTTCTCTCCAATGGACTCCATGCTTCGTGCAAAGAGCTCTCGGTCTTCAGTAGTGATGATGGTTTCGATGGGGGTTCCGAGCACCTTGACACCCAGACCTTCGAACTCATCCTTCAGCTGGATACCGACTTGGAGTGCAGTCTGGCCACCAAAGGTGACGTAGATACCGTCAGGTCGCTCTTTCTGTATGACTTTGCGCACAAAGTCTGCGTTGACTGGTAGGAAGTAGACCTTGTCGGCAAGGCCCTTGGAAGTTTGAATTGTAGCGATGTTGGGGTTGATCAAGATGGTGTAGATACCCTCTTCCTTCAAGGCCTTGATGGCCTGACTGCCAGAGTAGTCAAACTCTCCAGCCTGACCGATGCTCAAGCCTCCACTTCCTAGCACAAGCACCTTCTTGACGTCCACTCTTGGGGTAAGCTTCCTGTTTTCCTCGAAAGTGCCACCAGGGAACTCGACTGCCTGAGACATGACTTCAGATGCGGCCAAGGCCTTTTGGATAGTGCTGATGAAGACATCAAACAGGTACTCGGTATCGCGTGGACCGGGAGTGTGCTCTGGATGAAACTGCACACTGAAGTAGGGCCTGCGCACATGTCGAATGCCTTCGTTACTCTTGTCGTTGGCGTTCACGAAGAGCTCCTCCCAGCCATTGGGCAACGTCTTGGAGTCGACCGCATAACCGTGGTTTTGCGATGTAATGTGGCACTTGCCGGTGAGCAAGTTGGTGCAGGGAATGTTGGCACCGCGGTTACCAAACTTCATCTTGATAGTGCTAGCACCCGCTGCGCGGGCCAGCAACTGGTGACCAAGACAGATACCGAAAATTGGTGTCCGTGCTTCGTCCATGGCCGCCTTGATGTGTTTCACTGTGGACTCCATCATGGCTGGATCACCAGGGCCGTTGGAGATGAAGAGACCGTCATAGTCCTTGCCAGCAAGCTGAGGGAAGTCGTAGTCCCATGGTACCTGCAGTACCTCGACTCCTCGCTTTACCAGGCATCTCAGCTGGTTGTATTTGAGGCCGACGTCAACGGTGACGACACGTACGGGGCGGCCGGAGGGATGCTTGAGGGCAGTGGCAGGGTCGGGGGACCAGAGCTTGGGCTCTTTGATGGAAACTGAGATTGTCAGGATAGGTCTTTTGAAGAAAGCGCATCTCACATACCTTCTGCAACCAAGTTCTTGGTGTTGGGGTCCAACCACTCAATCTGCTCGAAACTAGACCTCCAGTCCACCTCACCGTCGGCGAGGGTCTGGGTGTTGACCGCGCCATTGGTGAGGGCGGTTGATGAGGGTGTTGGGCCGGTCCTTTGTAGAAGACGTCCCAGCATACTTCCCTCCTCTCGGATGCGCTTCGTCAGCGCTCGCGTGTCGACGCCTGTGATGGCGGGCACGCCCTGCTCCTTGAGCCATGCGCCCAGCGAAGAGGTGGCCAAGTGATGTGAGTACTTTTCTCCAGCGTATGTGGCAACCACCAACCCAGCAATGTGGATTTCCCTGGACTCAAAGTTGGCTGGAATGCCCTCCAGCAGGCTGTCCATCTCCTCTCTCGAGGGCACACCATAGTTGCCGACTAGAGGAAATGTAATGACCAAGATCTGGCCTCGGTAGGAAGGATCTGTGATTGATTCGGGGTAGCCGACCATACCAGTCTGGAAGACGAGTTCTCCAGAAATGCTCTTTTCAGCACCGAAGCTGTTTCCGAAGCATACATAGCCATCTTGAAGCTCAAGAGCCAAGTTCTGGCTTGGGTCGGGCAGTGAAGCCATAATTGAGGGTATAAGTGACAGCTCTAGGGCTATGGAACCCTTCAGGTGCGAGGCTGCCAGGCTATTGTAGGAAAATAGAAGAGTTGAAGCCTGAGGGGAAAAAAAAAGTTTCGGACCCTCACATTGCAGCAAAAAAACGTAGTTAGCTGCGGCTGCATGGCGGGGTTGAGCTGATTGGTCTGCCCCACTCTAGCGAATGACGAAGTCGGGCCTGACTACGTACTTCACTGTTGGTTGCTCTCACGGGTGCACCGCCGAGAGGCATAAGCTTGCATTCAGCTCAGAATTTTATTATGTGTCGTGTGTTTTATACGAAGTCGTTTTGCGGCTGCTTACATAGATGAAGTGGTGAAATAGTGAAATGGTGGTATAGTCTTGTCTGGATGCATTGACACGTGATAAATACCCCGCGGAGAGTTCAAATGTTGTACAGTGTGTGCGGGTCTACAGCCGCTGCATCGGCTCCTCACGTACCTGGAGCGGTTTTGCCTCGATACTCGATGTCACCAGCTGCAAGGGATGGCACGGCGGTGTGAAGACGGCAGCACCAGAGCTGATGGTGTGCAGCGGGAACGGCCTTGACGAGGTGGAGCAATGATCAGCGCAGGATTCAACGGCCTGATGCATGGCGACATCACCGTTTACAGCATCCGTATTGAGCATTTTGTGAGATGCTGCGTGGGTGAGCTGAGGTGATATCGCAGGCCAGGCCGTGGTTTTTGATATCTGACAGCGGCTGCATGACAAATAAAATGAACTATTGCCTTGATGCGACATGCAGGACAAGCTTCGTCCCTGCGCCTGGGCGCACAAGCGAGCAAGGTTGCGGGTATGGATCGCGATGGTCTAAGAGGCTCAAGCTGACAGCCGTCTGGTGTCGAACAACATGCGCTGAAGGTGGTGCGAGATGCTGGACTGTGTCTGAGGCGGTCATGGGTGGCGTTGGCGTTGAGGCAAATGGTTTGTGCACCCGCATGTCAAGGACATGAGGTATTATTACTGTACCAGTACTGTACATGCACGCTGCACCCCAGAAAGCGCTCCGCATGAGCGATAAACCAGCCCACTTGCGGGCCTTCGCGTCGATGACGAACATCAAAATGGCGCGTCAAATCCTCACGGCTGTCTCACATGGCTTTCGTGACTTGCGTTTAGCTCCGGCCATCATCGCAAGCCCTGGCTGGCATGGCCTCCGTCCCGTCTTCTATTGGCTGGATAGTCGCCTGAACGAGGACGACGCGCGATAAGGATCGAGTCTTACCCTTCCTCATGATCCCTCGACGGCGAGGTGCCGCATGACGGTCTAGAGTGCTAGGCGGTGAACTGCGTGTGTCACGGAAATGGGCAAGAGCCCGTTCCAAGGTTCACTACTACTTTGTCGTGGTGCCTCATTTCCCACCCGTCATGAAACCTTGTCTACTCCACTCGACTTGCCCAGCCTACTCCCCTACCTTCGCCGACGCTGACGAGGAAGTCTGATTCCTTTAGAGGCTCGAGGTAGTTTCAATGTTCGCCTCATTCTTCTCCTCAAAGTCACGCAGGCCATCCGAGACGACGCCACTTCTCGCCGCAATCGACAGATATCGCCGTCGCCACAATGGGGAAGACTCGGACGCCGACGACAACGAGCCGGGCGCAGCAGGCCAGTACGATGGCGAAGATGAGGAAGAGTACGAAGACGAGGACCGCCAGCGAGATGGTCCCCTGTTGCCCGTTTTCTCTCCCCAGGTCTTGGGTAGGCGCAAACCATATACCACTATATTTAATCCCCTGGCACTAATGAATAATCCCACAGATCGCATACCCATCTACAACACCACCCACGCGATCCGCATAATCCTCGTCCAAAGATGCGAAACCACCTTATCATGGGACCAGTTGCGATCGCCGCAAGTCTCGCAATTCCTCGTCAAGCCCATCCAGCAGCAACTGCGCTCCGACCAGTTCTCGCGCGGGCTCTTATACTGCCTACTCGCAAACTGCCTACAATTCAAGAAGGAGGGCGAGGAGAACCCGGGAAATGTGGGCGTCAGTAAGACACGGGCCCTCATATGCGAACTGCTCGCTATGAGACTGCTAAAGGAGTACTCTACCCGCGAACTTATCGATGCTCTGTCGTACGACTTCGATCCGCTGCAGGGTTTGGTCGTGTCAGGACGCGGAAACGCTACTCCAGGCGGCGCAAACTGGTCGCGACAGGCCCCTCGTTCCGCGCGCATCTCTGCGCTGGAAATTGCCATTCGCGCCCAGGCCAAGAAGTTCCTCGCCCATCCTCTGGTCGTACGCCAGCTGGAGGCCATCTGGGCGGGCACCATTGTCTTCCACTCTGCAGCCGATAACCTCCATCGCAAGCCCGACTCCTCCCAGGAACCCGGGCACAATGCTCCTGGCAATACAACCCCAAGGAGAGGCCCTTCGCGTCGCATGTCGCCCACGAAGCCTGCCCCTCCTCTGCCCCCGCCCCAATCGCTTCTCAGGCGCACCGTCACCCTCTACGATCCACACGAGGCCTCGCTCTTCAAGCTCTCACGATTACGTGTTCCCCGTTATCGCAACATGTTTTCGACAATGTCGTTTGCCATTATGCTGGCCTTGTTCCTAGCTGTGCTTGTGGAGAAATCCGACGACATCACAGCTCTGGAGGTGCTCTTCTGGTTTTGGAGCGCGGGATACATGCTTGACGAAGTCGTTGGTTTCTCTGAACAGGGATTCGGGCTGTACATTATGAGTGTCTGGAATGCCTTTGACCTGGGCATCCTTCTCATGTTCATGGCTTACTACATTTTACGCCTCTACGGAATCCTCATGCCTGACGTCAGCCGCCACACAGTGGCCGCTATGGCATACGACGTTCTCGGTTCTACGGCCGTCCTCCTCTTTCCTCGTCTGTTTTCCGCCTTGGATCACTACCGGTACTTTTCGCAACTGCTCATCGCCTTTAAGATGATGGCTATGGACCTGGTTGCAATTCTCGTACTCATCGTCATAAGCTGCAGTGGCTTCTTCGTCGCCTTCAGTTTGGCTTTCAAGCGAGAGCTCGGCGCTTCGGATGCCGCCTACGCCATTTTCCAACTTGTCATGGGATTTACTCCCGCTGCCTGGGACCTCTGGGGCGAAATGAACTTCCTCGGCAAGACCTTGCTTGCCTTGTTTCTCTTCATCTGTCACTTCCTTATTGTCACAATTTTGATCACTGTCCTGACAAACTCATTCATGGCGGTTGTCAAAAACGCCGACGAAGAGCATCAATTCCTGTTCGCTGTGAACACCATCTCTATGGTCAAGTCAGATGCTCTCTTCTCTTACATTGCACCAACCAACATCATCGGGTGGCTTTTGATTCCACTCAAGTACACGATGCCGTTCAAGAAGTTCTTGCGCATGAATAGGCTTGTCATCAAGCTAACGCATCTTCCTATTCTGTTTCTCATTTTCATCTACGAGCGTGTTCTTCTATCACATCTCTCGTATGGACCAACTGATCTTGTTGAGCAGCGAGGTCGGGCAGATACGAAAGCACCTGTGCCAGCGTTCAGTATACGGGGTGCCACTGAGTTGTTTAGCCCTCGCCTACGCGAGCCCTCAGTTACCACGTTTCAGAAAGATCAAGCACTTGAAGAGGTTTTCCGCCGACCTTATCGCGACCCTAGTTTCCAAGCGAGTCCACGTTACCCGGCGCCCAGAAGGAACTCGGGCAATGTCGTATCAGATTGGATGAAGAAAATGGGTGACGATGATGAGAATACTCCACCCCAAGATGACTCGCGATCAGTACTGGATCGACTAGAGGGTCGTAACCGGCCATATCTGCGTCGAACTAAAACGGTGGGGCAGACAAGGCGCAAGCACCCACTCGCTGCAACTAGAACTGTCGTGTCAGACCCTGACGATGCCATGACTCCATTTACTGGTATAGCAGAGGAGGAGGAGCCTGACATGGACACGGCCGAGGCTATGGAGGAAGTTCCACAGCAGACTGACGCTGATGGAGACGACGAAGACGATCAAGCGGATACTGACCAGCAAATCACGCCGCGCGTCAACCAGGGTCAAAAGGAAAACAAGAGGCCAAAGACAGGATATGAATCGTCCGAAGACGAGTTCTTTCAGCCACCAATGGGCCCGCCTCCACGACCGCAACCTCGTACTCCTGCTATCGTGCCTTCGCTGTCTGGGTCAAGCTTCAAAGCGAAAGAGCCAATGTCACCTGGTAAGAAACGAGCGAAGCCCGGCCACAATCGCAATACGTCGACGGGTACAATTCTATTCAGCCCCGTTAAGGAGACCGTGAATGTATCACGTCCTGTTTCCCCTGAGAAGCGACCAAAGACAGGCAATCGTAGTGGGGCAGCCACTCCAGGACGTATTGATGCTTCAAGTGGGACTGGTACTCGCACCCCGAAGCTGCGAGCTCCTGCGGCTTCTGGTGCAGCCTCCCGGCCTCGTGCGATCATGCCACCGCGTGGAATGTCCTCTAATCTGCTTTCCAAGAGTCGAGATGATCCTTCTTTCAACACTATTGCCTTGGACCTGGCATCCGATCTAGGGGATAATAACCTCAATCCTAACTTTGGTAACCTCAGTGGACTCCCTGCGTCTTTTACAACGCAATTCGAAATGGCTGCTCGCATGAAGGCACATGAGCTGGCGAAGGGCAGTGATAACGATTCGGAGTCAAACCGAATGAGCAGAATTATGCTTGCACGGATGACGACACTCGAAGAAGGCTTCCGCGACATGCTCCAGGAGGTCAAGGGATTGAAGCAAGGAGAAAGCCAGATGGGTAGCCGAGGTACAGTATCACCGCCTCTGGAGCCCACGACGACTAAGAAGAAGGGTAAAGGCAAGAAGAAGAGTGTCAAGCGGGACAGTGATAGTGACAGGAAGATGGATTCCAGTCTATAAGACGTGGAATAGATGGATGCATTGCATAGTTACGGTGTTTTGTGGGCATTTGTATGGTTTATGTTTTTCGGGTTGGCATTTTGCTTCAGCGATACCCCAGGGGTTGTCGAGACTGATTCCGGTGTTGGGTTCAGTATGCATTATGCACGCCTCATTTTTGTATTATCAGTATCGCTCCAAAGCATGATGGTAATTTCTAGTCCAATACAGTGGTATTGCGAGTCTGCCTATGTGGAAGGTGAATAGGCCAGCTAGAAGTTGCGGTTGCTTGCAAACTAAGGAGGTTGCATCTTCACCTACTATGGTGCACTGGAACCATCAATTGCTTATCATGATTTAAACCCACATGCATACGCACATGAAGACAGTCTATGTAAGAGTTGCAGTCTAGAATAGTGTCCCCTGAACATCATCCACCACAGCCCCAAAATTACCCCTACCATAGACGCAAGAACACGCGTGTGCGTGTGCGCAAACTCTCTCCATGCCCTGCAGCAACCGGCTCCCAGCTAACACAAGCCCTGCGCAACAGGCCTACCGAGCGAGAATCTAGTATTCCGAAGAAAAAAGAGTGGAGTACATGGGATCAGCTCTTCTTTTTCTTCAATAAATGCATGTCCACGCAATTCCTCTCCTTAGACACACTAATATTATGTGTGCAACTATTGCTATACTTGTCGGCTATCTGCAAGCCATGGCAATGTTTTCTAAAATTAAAGCGGCAAGCCCACAGCCCACCAGTCGTCCGCCCAGAGTAAACTAGACGGATCTGGAACGCAGAGGAAAAGTGGGGTGCTGCTACTGCTTGTTGTACGGTACTGGGCAGGGCGAGTGGTTGCTCTGCATATGGAATCTGACGTCGACTTGGGGTCAAGGCTGCATCCTGTAGCTTGCCGTGACGCGCGCTCTTTTCCCCACAACAAACCAAGGCCACGATCGCTGGGGCGGACGCAGGGGGAAAGCCTGGCACACATCGGGCGAGGACAGCCATCGGTCCGGCGTCTCTTGTAGCTCCAGAGTTTCGTAGTCGGGTTGCTTTGTGGAGTATGCATTGCATTAAGAGTTGATCCGTGTGATTTGAGCTGTTTAAACAGTTGCTGTCTCGCCCTTTCCCTTTCATTTTACCTTCTTTGCTATACAGAGTTGACATACTACTTGCACCTCCACCCGCACTTGCATTGAGAGAATCAATTTCCCCCGCAATTCGACGTCTTGAGACGGATACCAGTTTATACTTTACCCCGCAAAACACACTACCTAAGCTTGTACCGGTATCTCGACAAAAGCTGTTACCTACACTCGTTCTCTCTACAAGCAAAAAAAAGCAATTTATAACAACAGCTTCAACAAGCCAAACCATGGCGTCCATGAAGAAAGCACCCAGCCAAGAGGGTAAGAAGCCAGCAAACCCACCCCTCTCGCATCTATCAAACCCTCTCCTAACAAGACCCGCCACAGAAATTGCAAACACGCTCGGCAACCTCGAAATCTCCACCTCGCACCCGCAAAAGACTGCGCAAAAGCCAAAGTCCAAGCCCGTAGCAGACAGCTGGGATCTAGACGACGACGCCCAAAGCGGCTCCGATACGGAAACCGAACAAGTCACGACATCAAAAAACAAAGCAGATTCCCCCCACGAGGCTCTCCAACCAATCTCCACCACCGACTCGCGCGACCTGCCACCGAACCCCCCACCACCAACGCCCGCTTCGCCCACGCAGTTTGAATACCCGGATACGACTGCGCCGTATAGCCTCAGCAGCGAGGGGCCAAGGAGTCGTGGGGCGGGTAGTCCAGATAAGAGGCCCGAGAAGACGACGGCGGTTGCAGGGAGGCTTATTGCGGGCGCGTTGGGGGTCAGAGCACCGAAGAGGACAGATGAGGAGAGGGAGTATGATCGTGTTATGAGGGATAAGGAGAGGAAGCGGAGGGCCGAGGAGAGGGAGAGGGAGAAGAGGGAGACGGAGGCTAGGGAGGCGAGAAAGAAGGCTGTTTGGGATGATTAGGCTGGGTTTGGTTGTGGTGGTAGCTAGCATTGGGTATGAGACGTAGGGTTTTGTGAGTGTTGTACTGTATATATTGTTTGCATGAATGTATAAATTAGTCTACGGGGAACAGAATGATTTTATGCAAATAATTCATGGTAAGGCCCTTGTATCGCTATAGAAGCATTGATCTAGGTCACCCTGCGCTATCATGTACGGGTGATATGTAGCCAAACCAATCTTCACATCCGCTAGAACCATACGTGTCCATGCGACGGTGGTAAAGCGTACCTTACCTCAACTCACACGTGAGTTTCGCCACCAAATGGTCTTTCCACACCATTCCTGGCGACGAACAATTCATATGATCTGGATAATGTCACTCATTGCTCCTACACAGCGCGTGGAAAAGTTTGAAGAGTATGATGTAAATTCAATCATGTCCGTATACAGCGCGCCCGCCAGCAACTGACGAAGATACAAAGATGCCGCACGATGCGGCCTTGCTAATACCGTGACGCCAGAACCCGTGATATCCGTATCAGAAAGCAAAAAAACCCGTATCTCTTTTCCGCCATCTCCACCACTGAGAGCTTCCATCTCTTGATAGGGGGGTTCGAGAGGTTGCGGGTATGTAAGGTGACTGCCTAGCCGCCGCTCGTCCAAGTGTGCAAAGTTTTGTACCGAGCTTGAACAACGTGGCCGTCCTTGGTTCGTCAGCAGCCACCAATCTGCTCCGAGTGAACTTCGAGGGTGTCGCCGTCCTGCATCTCGAGCTGTGAGGTGTTAGTGAATTTTTCACAAAAAAAATCTGACATGGACAGCCGAGGGCTGCGGCTCTACTACGTACCGTGTCTGGGTTGTCCGTAGCTGTCACGCGCTGACCATCGAACAAGAATCGTACGCTTGAGATATTCTTGCCCTGGCGATCGCAGAAGGCATTCATGAGCTTCCCGAGCGCTGTGGTGCGCTTGATCTTGAAGAAGACTTCGTTGTTGTTGTCGGTCACCTTGATGTTAAGGTGCTCGCTCTGACCGCCATCTTCGGGCTTCTGCTGCATATTGGGGGATCCACCGTCCGACATGTTCATAGTATTCTGGGGTGTATAGCTAAGTGATTAAGGGGTTGCGGAAAGGCTGGCGGAGGCTGTCGCAACGTCGGTCGGCTGTGAGAATGTGCAGTGGACGGGACAGCAACAAATTGCCGCGGGGAGACTGCTTTATATGGTGCGGATATAGTCGTACCTTAATACCGGCGCTTTTGTTGCAAACTAATTTGGGTAATAGGGAGGCTTTCGGGGCTTGAGACAGACGCGTCGAGGTTTTGTAGCAGCTGTGGCAACGCGTGAAGATAGTGTGAAGGAGGAAGGCGCAATCGTGAGGTGGGAGCACTGATATTTAACGTGTCCGTGCACCTCATGCCCGGATTCATCTCATGCCCCGCCGAACACCGACGCGTGTCTCAATACTACAACTTTGACGCGCAATAACTCCACAACTATGGCTCCGATTGATGAAGCGATTGCAGATTTAGAATCGCGCGATCCAGGAGAGAAATTCACATTAAAAGAAGTTGCTGAAAAATGGGGGGTTAACCGCTCAACGCTAGGGCGAAGATGGAGGCGCGTGACAGGGCCTAGGAGCGATGGATACGCTCAGCAGCAAGCTATCGGCCCACAACAAGAGTTAGAGCTTGTACGATATATCACTAAGCTCACTAAGCAAGGCCTACCTCCTACAAGAGAGATGATCAGGAATTTCTCATCAGAAGTAGCCCATCAGCAGCTCAGCGAGAGCTGGGTTACTCGCTTCATTAACCGACACGAGATCTATCTTATCTCAAAGTGGACCACCGCCATGGATCGTACGCGCCACCTGGCTGATTCTGAGTCAAAGTATAGACTCTACTTCGAGCTGCTGCACCAGAAGATCACCGAATACCACCTAGAGGCTCGAGATATATACAATATGGATGAAAAGGGCTTCCTTATTGGTATGATAGGCAGGAGTAAGAGGATATTTAGCAGGCGTCAATGGGATAAGAAAGAGGTTCGAGCATCTCTCCAGGATGGATCACGCGAGTTTCTGACACTCCTGGCCTGCTGCTGCGCCGATGGGAGCTCGCTGCCTCCAGCCCTTATCTACGCAGCTAAAAATGGAGCCATACGATCGAGTTGGGTGGAGGATATTAAGGCAGGAGAACATGAGGTCTTTGTCTCATCATCTCTAACAGGCTGGTCAAACAATGACGTAGGCCTAGCTTGGCTAGAGCAGGTGTTTGATCGCTATACAAAGCAGCGATCAGGGAGATGGCGATTGCTCATCCTTGATGGCCATGGATCTCACCTCACGATGGAGTTTATCAAGTACTGCGATCGCCATAGGATCCTCCTCATGATCCTTCCTCCCCATTCGACTCATACGCTCCAGCCGCTCGATGTAGTGCTGTTCAAGCCACTCTCTCAAGCCTACTCCAACGAGCTCACTAACCATCTCTACAAGGCTCAAGGCCTCATTCCAATTAAGAAAGGAGACTTCTTCCCACTCTTCTGGAGAGCTTGGCAGGCCTCGTTTAAGCAATCAACTATATTAAAAGCGTTTGAAGCTACTGGTATATGGCCAATAGATCCCAACGTTATCCTTCGTAGATTTGCCAGCACGCCAGAAGCTGAGAGAAGCTCATCTTCAGGGCTCTCTGATCATGACTGGAGAAAGCTCGATCGGTTAGTACGAGCTGCTGTCAATGATAGCCATCAGTATGAGGCAAGAAAGCTGCGCTCAAGCGTTCACCATCTCTCTGTGCAGTATAAGCTTTTACAGCATGAGAACGAGGGCTTAAAGGAGGCTCTTCAACATAAAAAGAAGCATAAGAAGAAGGGCAAAGCTCTTGACCTTCAACAGCGCCAGGAGTATCACGGTGGCTCTGTCTTCTGGTCTCCTCGCAAGATACGCGAGGCTCGAGCTAGAGAAGTAGTACGGGAGCGAGATAAGATAGAGGAGAAACTCCAAAAAGCACAGGCCAAGAAGCAGCGTGAGGAGGTTCAACTGCAGCGTCAAGTTAAGCTCGAGGAGAAGCGTGTAGAGAGGCAGAGGCTCAAGGAGATAAGGGAGCTTGAGCGAGCTGAGAAAGCAGCTGAACGCGCGCGCAAAGTTGAAGCTCAACACCAGAAAAAAGCCACCCAACAAGCTCAACAACGCAAGCGTAAAGCCTCAAGAGCGCCCTCTTCTAAGAACAAGCGTCAAAAACGAGCGATGGAGGATAGAGCTCGCGATAGAGTTGCATCTCCTCCATCGCCTCCACCACCAAAGACCACATCACGTGGCCGCAACGTCAACCTCCCACAAAAATTCAGATAGTACAAGTTAATCGCAAGTATCTAATTACTGCAATGCTATGTTTTTATTAATATTAAGCTATTGTGTGGTGTTGTACAGCTTCAAATTTGAGATCGCTAAGATGGTGTTCGCGGGGCATGAGATGAATCCGGGCACAAGGTGCACGGACACGTTAGTGGGGTCTCGCTCTCAAAGCATTGGCCGTTTCTAGCCAACCGGCTTCACCTTCACCACTTGCTTTGTGGTAGCCTTTACCTACACCCACGAAAACTGTTTGCTATACCTAAAGCCACAGTATCGCTGCCCTTTCCGTGTTTGCTTTAGTATCACAAACTTGTCTTGCCGGTTGCAGCTGTTCGGTTTTTCTAGTCATGGTACGCTCATGATGTCACTGTTATAGAGTTGTCTGGCAGCATCAGATTGACAACCCTCAGGGCGAGCTGAGTAAAGACCTAAAGACGGATCCACCATGTCATCCTAGAGCATGTGCAATCCAGAGTATGTGTTTTGGAGATTATTACCACTGTGTCATCTAATGCAGATGAATAGACTGCATTCAGAAGAACAATTACAATGAAGAAAAGTGTAGAAAAGAGGTCGACGCACTATACGAATGCTGCAACGCCTTCTACAAAGAGCAAGGAGAGAATGCCAGTACAGTGAGCTGTCCGAAATATACGCTTCTAAAGTGCGTTCAATCCGCTCCGCGTTTGCATTTCTAACAAGTCCCAGACTGAAGATGGATCAACGCGCTAAAGGCATCTCATGAACTTATGTAACCCTTGACCCGACTTACATAGGGGACACATGTACTTTTAGTATCTTTGTACACTAGACAACAACCTCCAGGGCCTGGATTGCGTGGAGGAGCGTGGCAAAAGAGTCGGTAGCATGCGCAAAACTTTCAAGTATCAAATAATCGAAACAAGCTGAACAGCCTACAATTCCCTGAAGCCACATTTCTCTTCATGAGATTGCGAAAGCTTACACGGCGAGCTGGCGAGACATGACCATCAAAGGCATTGGCATTGCATCGCGGAGGTAGAGTTGGTACCCGTACGAAACGCTGCGATGATTAGGATTGGAGCACCTCACCGGCTTTTGCACGCATTCGACATGAGATGTCCAGGTACATGATGCTGACAGGCCCCAGCTTTGGCATTTACGCGTTTTTGCTTCTGCTGTATAGCTCTGTATCCACAACACGGTTAGGTCAGGCCTCAATTCACGCTACAAGAGGATGTCGTCCAAAGGAATGTAACACTTGCTTTCTCGTCCGCACTGTCAAACCCCACGAGGGAGTCCAGCCAGGTTACCAGGAAGTGTGTTAATCTTGGATAGCATGAGCGCGTAGATAGCCACTGAAATTGACTTTACGAGACTCTATGTAGCATATCCTGGTTGATACATTGTGAAGAACTAACAGAGAGCAACGCGCAGATTTTTGTAGGTACCGCTAGCGCCGACTCAGCTTGGCGACGCGCTAGCGGGCAGGAGCGTCCGGGCGCGACCTCTGTTTTGTGATGGGGTTGGGGCTGGCAACCACGAGCTTCGCAACCCCAATGCGCCATTGGGGATACAGCCCCTTCACTCTCTTCTGAGCCCATCCCATCCATCTCATTTTGGTACATTCCAACTTCCTTCATTCAACCACCAAGATGATGCCACGGTCCTTGTCGCGCCAGTCGCAGTCGACTGCAGCCCAGGTAAGTTAGCAACTAGACTTTATTGCGCCCTGCACAGCTTCAACCTAGCGCAGATTGATGCTGATACTATACACCAGTCTCAGAATGGAAATATGCCCTCTTTTGGATACCCGCGAGTTAGCAACGGCGCAACCCCGAACGACCCTCTACAACCTCTGCGCGCAATGGCTGATCGTGTCGGGAAAGAGGTGGAAAAGTTCGCCGAGCGTGTCGACCACTGGCATACTCATGGCAACGAGTCGAAAAAGACAAAGTACCAGACGACTGTCAAATTGGTCGGAAGGTTCCAGGACGTTGCTGAAATGCATGTTAAGGAGCTGAAACGAACAACCGAAGCAGAGAACAAGGGAACTCTGAACAGAAGCGTTCGGAGACAGATTCAGAATATGGCAGATGCTTCAGACAACGCGGGCCAGAATGTCTTTGCCCAATCCTCCCAGTCCGCTATGCCGTCCTTCGAGTCCTCCAGCACCCCCGTATCTGCAAACGTCCGCGAGTTGCGCGAGTGGCAGGCAGAGCTTGCGACGTGGAAGCTGCTGAAACTCGTCATCGAACATTACCACTCTGAGCCGGGTACTGACGTGGCCGCGGAGAAGGCGGCACGATTAGAGGCGGTGGGGGAGCATGCACGCTATGGCAAAAACAGCGAGATTTGGGATCGGTTTCTATTCGAGGACGACCAGGCGAAAGAGAAGGCCCTCGTTCTTCGCTGGCTGGAACAGACGGCGCGGGATAGCGAGAGCGATATCAAGGCAATTATCACTGGGCTGGAGGAACACTCTGGAAAGGGCGTACATACCTGGACAAGCGGTTGGCTCGAAACCAAGTCGAAGATCAAGCAGGCAAAGCGCATGGAGGGTACAGAACAGCCTCTCAAGCCCATCGACTCCAACATCAAGACTACGGACAGAACTGCAAATCTCGTTACCCAACTGGACCCAGACGCTCCGTCGAGGCAAAAACGTGCACTTGAGAAGAGCGACGAATACTACGAGCGCTCGCTTTGGATGGTTGCCTACGAGATGATGCGACGTGGACTGCCCTGGAAGACCATTATGGACTGGTGCTACGAGCGGAATGAGTCGTGGCGAGGCTTCAGTATTGGGGCGGCGTACGAGGGCCATCCAGAACATGGCCCAAATGTCGCTGGGCCAACTGTTGGCTACATGTTCCGTCGCATGTGCTTCTACGCAGCAAGAGGCGCTCGGATACCTTACGAAGGCGCTGTCTACGGTTTACTCAGTGGAGACCTGAAACAAGTGCAGGCGGTTTGTCGATCCTGGGATGACCATTTGTATGCGCACTACAATGCCCTTTTACTGTCACGATTCGACCTATATCTGCAAAAGAACCATCCGAAGCGCGTGCCGGAGAGCTTGGCTCGGAAATTTCTCTTCCAAGACGCTGTCGCCAACATTGGAGACTGGGAGACATCGCCGCAGAAGGTGATTGGACTTCTAAAAAAGGACAGAAGCACGGCGAGCCAATCGTGCTCTCCTATCAAACTCATCCAAGGTGCACTCATTGGCAAAGACACAGATGAGCTGATGCTCAAGGTCGGCGTTGCTCTTGCAGACATGTTTGAGAACGATGACCGTCCCCACAGTCTGATCATACACCCCGACTCACTGGAGGAAGACCGGGGCCCAAAGCCTGTGGGGCAAGAGCGAACATACCAAGCGGAGCACTACTACAAGATCCTCGCCAAGGATCCTCATGCCTTTCGCATACTGGTACATCTCTTCATCGTCCTTCGCAATGGACTACACACAATGTTTGATGATACACATCAAGACAAGGCGTTCCTCGCCACGGAGAACGTCATTGCTGCTTACATTGAATTCTTGCGCCTCACGAAGCGGTTTGATGCGATTCCTCTGTACGCAGCGCAACTTCTCGAAGAGCGAGCATCTTACACGCTGGCGCGAGTTCTTCCCGATATCAAGAACAGTTCGGAGCAGCAACACTCTATATCTTTGATGGAAGCATACAGGATCGACGTCATCCAAGTAGTCTCCCAGAGCTTCACATTTGCTGCCCGGGATAGTGGTTTCACACACTTCACCAAAGAAGGCTACAGTGTCATCACAAACCCCATCAACCGTTTCGATATTCTAGAAGATGTCGAGAACGCTCAGGATCGCATGTTGTGGCCTGGTGTTCGCGTCAAGAAGACGTTTGACGGTGCAGTCATTAGTCCACAAGACGAGATCATTATCAATGCACTGCAGTGGTACAACTACATTGGGAAGGATTGTGAACATACGTTTGAGCACTTGAACAACGGACTGACCATATTCTTGCGTAAGTAGTGTCCAATTGCGAATCTGAAGATTTACTAATATGCTACATAGTCAACGGTCGTATCGCTGCTGCTGAGAAAGTCATTAGCGATCTCAGCGTGGAGTCACTATCACTATCGCGGACAGAGGCTCTACTCGGCTACCCCTTTGACTTCATGACTTCAGGGACAGAAGAACAGGACGAACGCCAACTCCACGAGCATCGCGATAACCTATCCACAGCCGCACGAGCTGCTGCCATCCCACTGGCACAGCTACCTGATGCAGATCATCACAGAGAAATGGTCCTTTACTTGCGGAAAAACAGCTCGTCATACTACGATCTCCAGCAAATCGTCCGTCTACTTGTCCTTTTCCGTGAATGGCGTGAGGAAGAAGAGGCGCTTATACAGTGAGTCACTCCTATCCATTTTCTACCAGGTCGCCCCTACTGACAACGCAAAGATTTCGTCGCGAAATTCTGAAAGAGCCCACGGCCGCAAAGTCTAAGCCTGACACGCAACATACGAAGGAAGTCCTGGACTCTATCACATCCATCTTCGACACCCTAATACCATCCATCAGTGCATCTGTCGCTTCTGACCCGCATTACCTAACAGAGCAAACCTGGGAGTTGATGAAGGCCTACGTTCCCAACATGATTATCGCTTATCTCTCTGTGCTTCAATCCGCATCATGGTTCCTAAACAAGGACCCAGCGATCAAGGCCATGGAGGTAGCCGTCGTAGTGGCAGACAAGGGCAACGAATGGGTTCAGAAGATCTTGCTGGAGACTGGGAGAATGAGCGATGTACTGGAGCGCTTGGCGCGCGTGAGCCACTGTATGCTGAGGCTCAATGAGAGTGGCAAGGACAAGGCAAGCAAGAAGAGGGGCGGCAAGGGTGAAACACTAAGGCTGTGGGACCTGGGTGCGCGGTAGAAATTTATTACGACAGAAAGGGGGGTTGGTTTGGCTGTAAGATTACGAGGGTGATATTATCTGAGCTATGTGGCATGTGTTCGGCGCATGTTCTGGGGAGCAAAACATGCATGTAGTCGGAATCCATTAATCAGCAGCACTCGGTAGTAAGAGAACAATCATGTTTGCTCCTCTTCTCTTTGGAGAAGCGAAAACTCTACGAGTGGAAACATTGCTTTTGCCAACACGTTCATTTACTCGACTGCTCAACCTGATCTGTCTCCCATTTTCGTATCATTGAGATGCGCTGCTGGCAATAAAAACCACGCATCCAGATACGAGGGGGGGCTCAGATACGAACTCATTATTACCGCCCGGTCGCCCACCCGCTTCTAAATATACCCGTACACACGATCAGCACATGACACACCTACTGCCCCTATCACGCACGCACGCACACATACTTACACACCTACCACCCACGCGCGGCCTGCACCTCCCACCCTCAACATATCCGCGCACCGTCCCTTTCCCGTCCCCACCACCAGCAACAATAATATCCGCGCTCCGTATCTCCTTCCGCACACACACACACACACACACACACTCAAAGCCTAAACAAGACCCGTGTCAAACATATCATGTTTTGATCTAAAAGCTGAGCTGAGCTGAGCTCAGCAAGCCCCTATTTGTTTCAACGGAGAATTTTTTTTAAGGTTTGCTGTTCTCCCCCTTTGTTCAATTATCACGCACATTCGCCTCTTGAGTTCACTTTTTTTGCCAAAGATGCAGTCTGTCGGGCATTTTGGGTTCCGGGAAACGTTTACGTGGCCGGTGAAGAAGGAACAAGAAGGGACAAGGGAAAAGCCATGTCATGGGAATCTAAACAACCAAGTTGTTAAAGTGGGGCCATGATGTGTAGCAGGCATGCATGGACAAGGCTCTCTCTACCGATATTCTGACCGGCCGCTAAAGGGGTTGGGGTTGGGGGTGGCCACGTCGTACCATGAAAGTCTAGGGTGATCCCTGGGATCATTGAAAGAAAAGGACGCGTAGTGGCATCATGTTGACAACAGATATGGTAGGGGTGGAGAGATACGCTAGTGGTATGAGGTGTCAATAATGGAGATGGATAGCGAATGATAGACACGGACATAGTCCATGTGAATATTTGTGTATTGTAGGCACAAAACGATGCAGTAATGCAAAGACAGACAGACTGGTTTTACTGCGTCTCTTGCTGACTGAGAAGAATTTATGTACAAAAAAGAACAACACATGCGTGTAAATGTACACGTGTGGTCTCGCAGCCTAGTGGTGGTAGTAGTAGTAGTAGTAGTAGTAGTAGTAGTGTGAAAACAGCCTGAATGGATTCTGACGATGCCCTTGATGCCAAATGCGTGTGATGCGAGGAAAGAACTGGCCCGCCTCCCTCTTCCCCTAGAAAAACGCCGTTTGGTTCAAGAAGTGGAAAAAAGAGGAGCGCTTCGTAACGTGTTCATGTCTATGCAGCAGAATGCAGGATGCAGGATGCAAAATGATGCGAATGTAGTTTTGCCTGCTCTCAACTCTCTCAGAAAGCAAGGCTCCAACAAAGGAGAAGGAGACAAAAAGAAAATCCAGAAAAAAGCGGTTTGTTGTTAAAGAGAAGAGGTCCGAGGAAAGAAAAGTAAAATCTGGCCAAGCCGATTTTTCGCTATGCAAATGCTAATGTCAAAGGATGCCGTTCATATGCCGTATTAGTTTGGCGATGAGAATTGGCGGGTTACAATGGAAACGCGACGGTATTCGAGTGGCTCGTCGCGTGATGAGGTGGTAATGGGAATCTAAAAGTCGACGCTCCACCTAAACCGGGGGTCTTTCTCCGATGGGCCAAAGTCTCGGTCGAATGGTACTCTGACGATCTCTTCTACCTCCTCGTCTTCGTCTTCCCATTTTTTCGACTCTTTGGTAACATCCTCTTCCGAGGGTGGTAGCCGTATCTTGGCTTCTACTAGGGGTGCGGAGACAAAGCGCGATTGTAGCAGAGCCTGCGGGGAGACGAGGTCTTCAAGACAGCTCAACGAAGCCATATCAGTCGATTTGAGGGCTGCTGAGCTGGTGGTGTAGCGGTGGTGTGCTGCGCGGGGCTTCTCGGGTAGGCGAAGAACGTTTTCGTCGCTGCGGTTAGTTCCCGAGTTGCTGGAAAGGACGGTTGAGAGAACGGGTCGGCTTTGACGAACGCGGGCTATTTTGATATCGGGGATGGCAGCGGTGCCGGGAATCGGGGTGGTGCCTCGGGTGATGGTGTCGCTCGAGCCGCCGGACGAATGCTGTGTGCTCGCTGATTCTGTTCGCATCATGGCATGGTTGTGCGACATTGTAGTATCTCTTCTCTTCCTGTATGAGCTGCTAGTGGCCGAAGGCGGCCGAGTTTGTGGTGTCCTGCACCGATCACGACGCTGGCTCTGGGCCGGTGTTAGGTTGAAGTAGGAGCCATTCGGCGATGTTGAGGATCCTTCAGGTGTTTGTCCACGCTCAAGTTTGTACATGAGTTGTCTTGTGCTGACCTGGCGACCCAAGCTCAGCTCTACCCGACTGCTCGCGCCACTTCCACTACGACTCCTGTTGGAAGCACGCTCCTTTCCTGCCATGACGCTAGCCTTGGGTGGGGGTTGGAGCATCCATCGGTTCTCAGAGGGGTCGGGAGACGGAAGACTGACGACAGGTGGGTGTAGTTCGTTGACGGGAGGTGCTCGCGCAGTGTAGTAACTTCCCGACCTCGACGTGCCTGGCCTCCGTATTTGGTAGCCGGCGCCGCCGACAGAGGAGCCTGTGATGGTGTGTTCGAGGTGCATGGGAGGCTCATCATGGCCCCATAGGTCCTCATCTTCTCTTTGATAGCGCTTGTGGTTCCACGTCTCGTCGTCCTCGAGCGTCTCGTCACTGAGACGCACCTGGCCGCCTCGCTCTACATCACTACTACTCCCGCCCTTGCTCATGGGCGGGCTTTGTGTCCCTCGTGTCTTGAGGCCTCGCGAGCTACCCGTGTTGGCAGTGGTAGCCCTCCGGGCTTTTCGTGGCGGCGGACCTGGGCCTAGTGTGATTTCCTCATTCCAGTACACATTGGTACCTGTTGGCTCAGGATGGTGATATTCTTCGGGCTGTTCAATCTCCAGCTTCTCCCGCAGCTTCCTCGCCGCTTTTGCCGTCTTCCGTCTCTTTCGGCCGTCCGAGTAGCCGGTGCAGGGGGCGCACGAGGCGTAGTGGAAGACGACACTCTGGACTCCCCTCATGAACCAAGCCATGGTGCGTCTGGGGGCTCGAGGCAGTGGGCGAGTTAGGGAGCAGAGGTGCGCACTTTTCGGGTGCGGGTGGCTTGCGGGGCTTCGGACGGGGGCTGGGAGGAGGAGGGTCGAGGATACAGGCAGTCTAGGGCGCAGGAGCACTCAGTCCTCGATGTGGTGTGAGAAGTCATTGCCGCTCTCCGTCATGGGAGCCTTCCAGAGATTGGTATCAGTATCAGAGTCAACGACGGTTGGGTCGCGCGAACGTTTCGTCTCGCTAGGCTAGGTGAGCGCGGTCCACGCATCCGGTTTCCGGCTTTGGTGAGTGGAGTAAGAGCGATGATGACGATGCACGTCTGGGCTGGGCGAGTGGGCGCGCGGCCAAGCACAAGGACTCAACTACCCGGGATCTCTCTGTGCCACTAGCATGACAATGACAAACTGGCTAGATGTCTGCTCCATCCAGACGACACTCCAGCAACCAAAAGGAAATCACGAGCAGACCGGGGCAGCTGAAGCGATCGCCCAACAACAGGCCCGTTTCCCGCGTAGCGGAAGCCGAGCCGTGTGAGTGTAAGGGCGAGCGCAGAGCGCGAAACGTTTACTTTGTTCTAGTGTACCATGGATGCACCGGCGCATTGTTGCAGCATGCGCCATTTATAGGCCCGCCGTACACTTCACGTAACACATGTCCTGTAGCCCTTGTCCACCCGACAACCCAACACCTACACCACACCCTTCCTGAACACGTTCCGTCTGAGGCCCAGCACCCACGCCTAGCAACCGCGGCATAGCAACCCCAGTCGTCTGCCCACGTCCAATGCACGCCCCCCTGCCAGCACATCACTACACCTGCATCAACTAGCGGGGAAGAGGCTAACTCCGCTTCTGGGCGAGGCTGCCACTATGCGCCGCTGACCGGAATCGAGCTATCCAGCTATGTACGCTAACCAGCAGCCGCCCAACACCACTTCATCATTACATCCCCCACCAGAGCCATGGTCCCTAGTCAAAAACATGCACATGGTATATTGCTCTAAACGGGGGACTTGCAGCCCACATAACGCCATGTCGTATCATCATAATTCCACCTCATCGCTCCAAACCTTCCAGAACCCCTACAAACTCGCCAAGCTATGCGCGCTGCGAACGCAAAAGGCATGCCACAAAAAGCAATACACCGCTCCATACCACACTCGTCTAAACCGCATCACACAAACTGCAGAAGCTCGTCAACGTCCAACTCACGCCTGAAGGACAACACGTAAGTAGAGCGTACAGAGCAGCCAAATGACCACTCACTCCCTAATCTGCGCCTTCAATCCAGCGACCTCCCTCTTCAGTCGTGCATTCTCCTTCCTAAGTCGCGCTGCCTCTTCTTCGCTCGACTTCAACCGACGTTCGACCTCTTCGCTGGCTCTGCCCTTGCGAGTATTGCTCGTCACCCTCTCGAGTTCTTCGTTGAACCGAGCATACAATGCCTCATTCTCAGCATTCACGTCGCGATACAACTGGTCCAAGTGCTTGCACCGTGCCTCCGACACCTGTAGTGACATGCTGATATCCGTTGATATGGCCGATGTACGTGTTGACAGCGTTGACAGCGCTTCAAGCGTCGACTTGAGTGTCTTCTCCAGATGAGCCATGCGAGATTCAGGTGTCTTCGAGCTCGTCGCACTAGATAGCGAAGGGGCAGAGTTCTGAGGCGTCAAGCGAGGAGTTGTTTTGCCAATCAATTCCTGGCCGATTGCACTTAATTCGCTTTGTAGCGCTTGCGAAGCCGTGTCGATGTCTCGTTGCTGCGTCTGCAGGCGCTCACGCAACTTCTGCGGCGATTGCATCCTCAGCTTCTTGGGAGAGCCCGAGATTGTACTTGATTTAGTCGGGGAGCGTGGTGTTGAAGGCGGCAGCTTAACGGCATTGCCAGATCCAGTTCGCTCATGTAAACCATCCCTAGTTGTGGGTCTCAGACTGGGAATACTTGAAATAGTCTCGCTTCGCTTCTTCGTTGGACTCTGCGATCTGATGATGACTTCATCCTTGGAGTCTGGCTTCACCGAAATCGACTTTGGCCGCGTGTGCCCTGGTCGATCTGGCCCTGGGCCCGTGCTCGACGAGTTCTCCTTCTTCTCTATTCGTACTGGCGATCCGAGTCGGGCGGGCGTTGGTATTGACGAAGACTGCTTTGGTAGCGTTGGTGTAGTGTTCGAAGGAGTTAGGGGCGATTCACCAATCTGGCGATGCTCGTGGCGAAGTGCGGTTTCGGTTTTACGAGGAGTCTGTGGTGACCACGCGGGCTCATCGTCAGCATCCTGCAATGTTTTGAGGTCGCTCAAAGAAGACCGGCGCTTCTTGCGGGGAGGCCCAACAGTGGGAGGTACCTCTCCAATTGTGCCAAGAGCACCACCACTGCCCACATAAGGCCGCCCGTTGGCATTTCCGTTTTCGAAAGCGAAGGCGCCGAGCACAGTTGGACGATCGCGAGAGGACGGGCGCTTTGGTGAGAGGCGGGCAGCAGCGTCCGTCGAGTTGGAACGACCAAGTGATCCGGGGTTGGCTTTCGAAAGGCTGCCTGGCGGGAATTCGGGGTGGTTGTTTTTGCTCAGCGAGCGCCAGAGTGAGCCTACCTTGGACTCGTTCTCCGACTTGCTATTCTCTCGTGATAGGGTGCTAAATCCAAAACGTCTCCTGAGTGAGTTGTTGGCATTCAATGAACCAGCCGCTAAAGACCGACTCTTTGAATCCATGGAGCCGTAATTGGGCGTGTTGAGACCAGTGGCCAAAGGTGGAAATAGGGCATCAAGGTCTTGCACCAAGCGGTCCATGAGCGAGATGAAGTCGTTTGCGTTGCCGGCAGGCACTAGCATCTCTGCAAAAGCTGCAGTGAGAATGCCTCGATCTCCGTCGTTACTGGTGCCTTCCAACAGCTCGGCTAGCAAGTCGATGATCGCTCGGAAGGCCCGTTGGTTCGGCGGCGCAATTTGATCGAATGTGTTCCTGAAGAACTCCTCAAAGTCTTCGGGGTGCATGCTGTCTGATCGCATTTGCAACGAGACCAGCGTGGCATGAGATAGCACAGGACCCATGCGCTCCTTCCAGCCAACGCTCAGGAATTTTTCAAAAACTGCAAAAAGAACGTCTACAGATGATTGTCCAGCAAGGTCGAGATTGGCAGGATTCTCGAGCAGAGTATTGTAGAGCTCGTTGACGACAAGTTCGTCTGCGACGGTTCTGGCACGGACAGAGCGTCCGACAATGTTACCTTTGCGAGCATGTAGTGCCAGGATCAGGTTCGCCAATGTTTCTTCAAGCTTCGGAATGCCATCAGTCAATGCGACAGCATTGAAGGTAAGACTCTTGTTGGTACCAGAGGAGTCAGGCCGTGCCGCCTCACCATCGTGGCTATAAGTGCGGCTAGGTGCAGGAGACATGGGTGGCGCCATGCGCGGTATGTCATTGAGAGTATGAGCGTTACGCTGTAGTCTGCGGGAGCCACCGCCTTCTCTACCCACACTGCCATTGAAGAAACTTGACAGCATCTTCACTGGAGAGTGCGGACGGCTCTTACTACCTGTTTGTTGCTCCGCTTCATACATCTCCAGGGCAAGTGACTTGAGAATCTGCTTGTTGCGGAGAAGGTATGCATCAGCTAACGTGTGGTTTTTCAAGCTGTTGCGCAGCTGGAAGTAGTTTGCCAAACGCTTCGTCAGAACGGGCAAGAACTCGATACTAGTCAACTTGTCGCGTGCCGCATATCCACGGGCACCGACTGTGTCGAGCAAGAAGAACCCATCTCCCAAGCTGGTAATAGTGACAGTCACCTCGATGCCATTGTCGCCAACTTGAATGGGCCGCGAAAACTCTCCTCCTTCCACAAGGATCTGAACTTTGGCGGGGTCTCTCCTGCCTTCGACTGGCCGACCACCGGTCTCTTCTGTAACAGACGAAAAGAAGCTCAGGTCACCGGGCAGGTTCCGAACTTCCCATTTGACACTCTCTCGTTCTGCCTCGGAGAAACGGCCTTCGACGCGGGCTTTTGTGAGTTCCTCAACGACCTTCTGTCCCTTGCCTTCATATATACCCTGTAGATAGTACATGCGAATTCCAAGCTGTCGTCGGTCTCGGCTTCGGGGTCGTTCCGCTTGGTTAGGCGGTGGCATCGGAGATATGAGTTGAAGGATGTTTCCCTCAGCGTGCTCAGTCACAAAGACGTCGCTGAGACTCAAGTGTTGATGAAAAAAGAGCTCAGTAGTACCATCAAACGATTCGACGAACTTTGGGTTGTTCAAATCGTTAAGCAAGCCGCGCGCGTTAGTGGAGCCGTCCTCTGACTTGTGGAGAAGCACGAGGAAATCCGTGAACAGGACCATGATGCCAGGGAAGGTGGCAGGCCCCGATAACTCTCCATGGTATGGCGGAGACAGCTCCACGCAGTCGATGGCTGTAATGAGTCGTCCTTGAGGATTGACTGTAGACGGCCAGGAAGAGACCATTTTCCGTAAGCGGTCGAGCACTCTGATCTGCTGGGCCGTGGGACCTTCTCTTGTGCAAATATCGGTCACAATGTCCCTCGCCTTGAGGAAAAGCCTGATTGCGGGATGTCTAGCAGGTAGTTGTTTGATAATGTTGTCGATGTAGAGGTTGTAGCGTGGCAGGCGTTGAACAGGCTCAATCAACATAGACATGAGTCGCTGCTCGCCCGTTTCGTATACGCGCTTGGAGAAACTCGAGGCTGTATCCTTGGTGAAGAGCTTCAACAGCTGTGAAAAGTCTCCGTGGGCAGCCATGTAATCGGTATAACTGTCGGCAAACTGTGGCAGCCACTCAACAAGGGCTTTTGCGACTGCGGCAGCTCCAGTAGCATCTGGTGGATTCTTTTGTCCACGCAATGGTGCAATGTAGACGTCGTCTGTGGCTGATTCAATGTCCTCAATGGCTCCATTCTCCGACTCTTCCAATATGATACGAAGAGCATCCAAGAACCTTGTATTGATGTCCAAGATGTTGTCGAGACTAGGTGGAAAAAGTCCTCGCAGTGCCTGCTCTGTTGGGCTTGAACTTGAAGTTGACTTGCTCCTCGCCTTCTCGCGAAACTCGACTGCGACAGTGTGAACCAACTCGTGCAGCTTGGAGACGTAATTTTCCTCGGTATCCAGCAGCTCACACATCTCCCGTCGAAGAGTCTCCTTCTGCTTCCTAGAGAAGGACTGTGATCGGTTGAGGGCGGTCGGTTTCGATGGTGCGCGTCGGAGTTTGGATGTTGGGAGGAAGGCAGCCTCTCCAAACAATTTGATGATGGGCGCATACTGACCATATCGCTGCTGGGTCAGGTCCTCTTCAATGTCTTCGTCGAATTGGGCCGACTCTCGGGATTCCAGCTTTTTGATACTTCCCTGGGGTAAGACTACGTCCAGGTCTATCCAGGACAGCGTCTGCTCGCCCAGCGCATGGCGCACGTCCACTATAACATCTGCGACATTCTCGACCTTGACCATCTTGGCAGCCACAATGGCAGCATGCGACTCGGAGAATAGCCTGGGGGCTGAGGGCAGGTTATCTGGCGGCCCATAGCGCTTCTCCCAAGCAGCCTTTATTTCCGGTGGCAGCTCGAGGAAGTACTTGTACAGGCTAAAGGCGAGGCCACGACATATCTCGTCGCCCTGCTCTTCACGAGGGAGACATGTGACGGCGTTGTAGAAGGTGGCCGTGGGCGATATGATCAGGCGGGCGTAGTTCTGGAGGCCGGCGGGAGTGAAGACATGGGCCTGGATGCGCGAGTGCGTCGCCTGCGTCGAAGTCGCTGTGGGGCCATAGAAGATGAGGACGGGCGAGTTGTGCAGCAGCTCGTCTGTAGTGTAGAAGAGCGACAGGTCCTCTGCGGACAGAGCAGCGGGCTCGGGGTTGATTACCACCATGGTTGGCAATTGCGCGAAACGAGTGACAGGGCTGGCTGGTGGCAGCGGGAACAGGCGGAGAAGACGACAATTATTAGATTACTTGCATGGTGCAGCTGTGAAGACAGAGTGGCGGGCAGTGGTGTCGACGTGTCAAGAGGCCCTGTTCAAGAGAGGGTGGTAGTTAGTGGACGCGTTGAGTCCAGCAAACAACAACAAGTCGTATGGACGATTTGACGAAGCCGTACCAAGAAAGCTGTCATGCAGCGGGCAGCTGGGGCCAAGCGCGGGCGGCAGTTGCAGTTGCGGTTGCAGTTGCAGCGCAGCGCCAATTGTCAATGTGCTACAGGTGCGACACGGAGGCGCATGTGCATGGGCTTCCTGGCCGTAATGACGATTATCTTGGGTTTCTTTGGGCTGGAGAGCGAGCGCCCTTGCAGCCTATCGCTCCCGTACCGCCTGAAGATGCGCCAGCACCCCGCAGTTGGTTTCGGTTTCGATGACAGCACAAAAACATCGAGCATGGTTTTAGTCAAGTCACGAGACTCTCCTACCTACATATGTAGCCGTATGTACATCATCATGTACATGACAAGGTTGAATATACAGAAATGGCCACGCAACAGGACGACGGCGGTGTGCCCGTAGCCATTGCACACGAGCAGCAGCATTTTCGCTTGCTGGAGCTGCCTCCCGACATTGTTGGGTTGCTAGACGCGTCGGATCGCCCACTGTAAGTTCGGTGCACTGCCGTGTCGATTGCATGTTATTGTTGATGCCCTTCTCACCAGTAGCCCCAGCCTCTCGCTCAAGTCCAAAGCCCCCGCCCAAACCTCAGGCACGCCTGCATATGCAGTGCTCTGTACGCCAAACAAGACATTCCAGCTGCGCCAGATTCAGACGTCCAACTCGCTCCTCGTTACCCAGCCCATCCTCCAGCACCATGGCAACGACGAGATGCCCACCCCTGCCACATGTGCAATTGCGTCGTGCGCCGTGACGCTCCAAGTCGATGCGTCCACAGCATCCGCCCTTGGCCTGTTGAGGGACGCGCTGGCCGTTTACGATATTGTGGCTGGCGACGTTGACGCTACCCCCAACGGCAGGAGCAAGCCCAACGTCTTCGCCGACATGCCCGTCTCGGACGGAGAATGCGAGGCGGCATGGACCGAGCTGATGGCTTTTGAGCTCGACGGTAGCTCCTACCAGCCGTCTGCCAATGCCCTCTCCCACGTCTGGCGCGCTATCAATGCTGCTGCACTGGCCGAGGGCATCCCGCTGAACCAAGATTTCTTGACCGACGACATCACAAGGCCTGCAGCTGAAGAGGGACACCCCCTCACCTTCATACAGGCCGTACTTGCGCACCTGTCGACTGATGACAGGGTCAAGACCGGTCCGTGGTCGTGTCTCGATCGCGCTAAGACGGTTGTCTTTACAGGCCGAACGTTGCTAGCTTCCAAGCGCGGTGCTGACTTTCTCATCGCCGACTTCACTGACACATGGGAGGACCGCTTGCCTGAGGTATGGCGCAAGGATGCAAAGCTCAGCGCCATCGAAGCCTTCTACGAATGCCCCTCTGACACGACAATCAAGGCAAAGAATACAGACGCTTCAGCAATGGGCCGAGACAGTGCAGTGCCAGCCATGAAGCTGTCAGCGCGCAAGTGGCACGACAAGTTTGCCATGACCAGAAAGAAGTGAGGTGCATCACATGATCGTGTCGTGAACGCGCTTGCCGGGATCGGCAGCTGCAATTGCCGGCTTGCTAATGCAAATTCTATACTTGTCAGTGGCCAAATGCCTCGACGATTCCACCACGAGCGCCGAATGGATACTTATATCCAGCCTTGATTGCACTTCATACCCCCACTTCATGTGTCTTCTTCATTCCAACGGATGAAGCGAATCCTATCCTTGGCAAGCCTTATCAGGACCCCACCTCCACTCCAACTTACGTCATTGAGAAGACTGTATTCTACACCGGCCTTTTCCCTGCAGCAATCAACACCTCGAAAGAATATGGCTACAGTCTCAGGGGATGATGGCCCAACGGCGCCGGCGCCTCCAGTAGTCAATGACACAGCGGCGACGCCCGCAGCCAAGGCAGAGAAGCCACTTCCAAAGCTCACGCCCGCTGAATTTCGCCAATACAACAGAATGGCGGAACACATGGATTATTTCCATTCAAACTTCAGGGCCACGTGGAAAGTGCTCTACGGTGCCTGTGAATCGCTGAAAAGACCAAAGAACATGTCTATCCGCCAGTTCATCAATACAGGCCAGCAATTCTGCCGTAAGTTGCACGGTGCTCATCTACACATGTATCTTGACGAAAATCTGAGTTTCCCTTGATAGACCATCTTACGGTACACCACACCATAGAAGAACAGCACATATTCCCCATTCTAGCCAAAAAGATGCCAGCCTTCAAAAAGGAACTGGAACTCTTGACCCAGCATAAACAGATCCACGTTGGTCTCGACAAGCTAGAAAAGTATCTCGAGGAGTGTGGGAGTGGAGAAAGAGAACTCCGCTTGGGAGAGATGAAGGAAATTCTCGATAGCTTTGGAACAGTCTTATGGCAGCACTTGGACGACGAGGTGAAACAGTTGGAAGCGGAGAACATGCGCAAATACTGGACTTTGGAGGAGATGAGGAGAATTCCTATGTAGTGGGCTGTTTCTCCCTCTCAAAAGTAGTGGAGACGCTGTATGATGAATGTATGGCCAAGTCGCTTTCCCAAACACCCCCTCTCGTAACGAGGTCCTCTCTCCCGCTCTCGCTTGCAACACTTACCCACCCATCCCTCACCAAACAGATACCCTTGTTTGCATTCTTCCCCTCCTTCATCTTTGTCTTTCACACATTACGCATCAAGATACAAAAAAAAGCGCCACATTGAGGCTGGTGAAGCCCCTCTGCAGACTAACAACGCTAAACACGGCTAGCGCCCCACTAACCTCAGGTTGAGACACGACAGCGGTCCCTGAGGGCGAGTTCAACATGCGTTTCGCGCTATTGATTTCGTTTTGATTATTTTTGGTTCTCGCGCGTGCGCCCGGAAAGAAAAGGGATGGGCGTGGTACGCCTTGATACGAGTTCATCTCTCCATCTTAGGATGGATGCGTCTGGGGTAGATTGTGGAGTTGGTGGCTGTAGGGGATAGAGGGTTCTTATGTGTGAGATTGGGCTTGGGGTGTGAATTTTGCGGGGTGCGTGGTTTGGTGTTTGGTAGGATTGGGGGGTTATAGTGATGGTGATGATGGCTTGTGACCGCTGGCAACATACATGTAAATACATCTACTAGATAAATAAACACAAGCAAACAAGAAGAGAAAAAGAGCTAATCTGTTCGCTCGGGTATGATACAACAAAACAAACAAAACGCGTCGTTACGCTCAATAATTAATCGTCAGCCCAAAGACACCTACGCTTTTGCCATGCATACAACATAATTACAACTGCTCATTCAAAGTAGAGTTTGAACCCATCCCCTTCCTCTTCGGTACCTGCAGGCCAACCATACTCCTCTTCTTCAGACTGAGAAACCTCTTCGGGTTATTGAACCCCCACTCAATCTTGGGGGTCCAGCCGCCCTCATTCACCACATCTGGGATACTAGGCGCGCCGGAATCACTCCTGTGATGCGAGTATGGGCGTGGAGGGTCCAGATTGGCTTCTTCGCCGTCTGCGGTGGTGCGGCTGAAGACGCTGCTCTTTGACGACCTTCTGCTTAGATTGATTTCCGAATCCGTGGGACTGTCGAGTTGCTCCCAAGGGCCTCCCAGTCTTCTAACAATTCTTGCTTCTTCGCTTTCTTGTCTGGGTTCGGCCGTGGTGTAAGAAGCCATCGAGTCAGTGGATTTGGTGAACATCCGAGAAAGGCGTTCTGAAAGTATAGAGCTGCGTGCTGATTTCATTTCTGCAATGGGTGGTGCGAGGGATTCGCTGTTCGAGTTCCTTGCTAGTGTTGTCGTTATTCCGGGTATGGCAAGGTCGTCGCTTAGGCCTTTCCCGATATCAATCTCTATCGTGGGCGCTATGGGCGAGATGGGGAATTTCTCTCCAGCCAACTCTTCTTCTTCAATTTCGGTGGCTGTCTTCAAAGAATTCATTGACCTTATCGACTCGGAATCCGCTTGCTCCTTCCTGGCCTCTTCCACGGTGTCTGAAGATGTTGGCCGTGAATCCTGCATTTCCAAGTCTTGCTGCGCATTCGGTCTAGCGTAGCTGCCCGGTCCTTTTGCGCCATTGGGTATGTACCAACGGAGATCTACGCGTAGGATTGCGTACATTAGTACTGTCTGAAGTTCTACCAGGAAATTGAGAAGATAAAACGGTGCTTTGGCGAGGTATCCTGGCATAGGTGCTGTCCGTGCCACTGGTGTTTGGAAGGCGACACCACAGCGGAACCAGGCACCGATGGAAAGTAGTGTTGTACTAATGAGCAGAACAATGACCTTTGTACGAAGTCGGCCGATTCCGAAGCGGTCGAGCGGTGAATACGGAATGAGTAGCGTAATCATGGTCATTGGCAGTGGAAGCGTAGCGACGATGGCGAGGAACGTTGCGCCAAATTGTTGGAAACTGTGGTCCATAGCCCTAATATCAGGGTCGAGAGTGTAAAAGCTCTGGACTGTGGACGCGATGACTGCGATGAGTGCCAGCCCAATCACGACACAGAGAACCTTGAAAGCAATGCCAAATGCAGGATGCCAGCCGACTGAAGAGTGTGTAGACCTAACGAGGCGCATGGCGAAGATGAGATTGATAATAAAGAGTATGAGTACACCTGCTGCAACTAAAATTTGCGCTGCGATAGCAAATGTCGGGTTTTTTGGGTTGCACACTGATGCAATGCGTACTATTGACGTTAATATGCGCTCCATGCAGAATCCTAGCACAATCATCAGTCCGTAGTTCCAGAATTGCACAACTGTTGTCATACCAAAGATGAAAAGATTTGGTAAAAACTTATGACCTCTTGCTTTGTTCTTTCGAAAGATGGTCATGTGTACCGCCGCTCCTATTATGAAGAAGATCATGAAAACTGTTTGTGCAGGAACATCGACGCCCTTCACCGGCAGTCCACCTAAAGGCCATACCATGGGTATATATGGCGGGCCTTGTGCATCCTGTGTACCGTTAGATTTTGAAGCCCAAGTAGCGGTTGGACCTGTAAAGACGGCCGTTCACTCACCTTGGAAGGAGCCATGGTGTCCTGGGACGCCATGTCACAGTCTTTCGGGTATTTGTTTTCACCAAGACGCTGTATTCTACTCAAGGATAGAGAGAAAAAAGCAGAAAGTCAAGCCGCAGCTATTAGTGGACGGTCAAGTATTCAGGAATCGAAGCAGTAACAGGAGCAGTGCGCAGTGGGCGCGGCGCCCATCATATACATGGCGCCGCACCATGGCAGCCATTCCAAAGACAACTCCACACTCGTATCAATACGCTTGCGAATCAGTCGTTTTCTGTTTTGTCCATGTGCCCAAACAGTAGTGTGGTGTTTGATGTCGCTGTATGAGTCGCGACGAGACACCGATCGCTGCGCTATTTTAGGACTGCCGCTAGAACAACATCTGACGTCGCCATCTAGGTTCATCCAGACTCGACCCTGTCTATGTACTATAGATCTGGAGAAAGCACTTTGTTCTTGAAAGAAGTTCACATTTGATGGGGGAATGCGAATACGACGTGTTAAAAGCGAGCGAAATGAGCGGTTTAGTAGCGGTTACGCCTGAAAGAGCAATTGATGTGCGCATGTTGCAGCGCTGATGCTATGTTAGGGATTAAACGTTAAATTACAATGCATCAAATATACAAACATCACATTGCTGATAGAGAGAACACCGAACAATTGGTATTCAGTGAAAGCTATAAAGGCGTGCCTGATTCAGACGTTCGTAGCGCGAACCCAAGATTTGCGTCATATGTCATGCAGAGTGAGTTAGTGACTACTTACTCGGTGCTTCAAAGCCAACCTCTATAATCGCACATAAAGCCCGGTCCCTACCAAATCCCTTGCACAGCGTTAGAGTACCAAAGGCACGATGACAGCGTATTCCGCGCATCTTCCAATGCGATCTTTGTCTCATTGGGCCGTACTATAACAAGTAGTCATCATCTCCATCCATTTTGAATAACTTCTCACTGAGATTCTGCATAACGGTTGCCAAACAGCTGCCATCGTCCACATATGTAATAGCTTGGTTTGAAAGAATATAGCGAGCGTTGTCTGCAGCATGAACACCATAGGAGTTTTCCGAACAGATGAAGCGCTCTTCTGCTCTTTCCCATTCGGAGCTGTCACGCCGGGGAGGTGCCGTTGTCCCGGAGAGCTGGTGGAAAACTAAATTCAATGTGTCTAGATCGCACATCAATCCGGTTATCGTGAGCCACAGACGTAGCTCGAAATTCTTCAAGGTATTGCGTGCTGCCATGTTGCGCAGCTGATCTTGTGCTAACATCATGATTTACAGGTATAGGGAGAAGTCCATTACTCAGGACGAGTCCCCGAACAACGACAGGCTTTCTTTTCTTTGCTGATCTATTTATCCCTCGGCAGATTGGTCGTATCGCGGATGTGAGCTGTAGCTCAGGCCCCACAAACCCGTCACAAAGGTTCCGGAACCCTGAGCAAGGTTGCGACAGGCCGTCAGACATTGCTACGGTTTTCTGGTAGGATCTAACAGGGCTATCCATGAACTTGTTCCTTAGCGGGCTGTTATTGTTTGGTCGTTGAACTCTGTGAGGCGAAAGCATGCTTTTGGACAGGACTGGGTCACGGGACTTCTGTATAATTGTTAAAAATACCAAACTCATAACACTTGTAAGACACACCTGGCTAGTTCCCATGGCTGCTATGCAGCTTTGGATTTGGCTGTCTTCTATCGGGTCAACGACTGCGGCATGAGTAGCACAGGCAGAGGTATTGTCCTAAGATCGAGAAACATTAGCTTGAACCAGGGGGGAGAGGGGGCCGAGTGAAACTTGTGGAGCTCCTTACACTCGATTGAGGCAGTCCATCTGCGGTCGTGGTTCGCAAAAGAGCGAGCTCATGCACCGGTAGACGCCTTTTCCGAGCGTTTGAAGGCTTCCGAGTTTTGATATCCGCTTTCCTGACCTTGGCCTTCCGCTGGAGCCGTGAGGGAGTTGTTGAGCCACGTTGTTTTTTAACTTGATGTAATATTCTGCGATTGTATTGTTCATCGTCACTGGTACGGCTCACGTGAAGTTTATGGATTGGCGAGCGTGGAATGTTGTAAATCAATGCTGCATCCATTCGGTCATCTGAGGACTCTTGGCGGCTTGGTGAAACTTTATTGACCATGTTTATCGGCGTGATAGCCGGTATTTTGAGTCTTCTGGCGACTATAGTGGGGAACTTGTGAAATCAAGAGTAGATAGTCTTACCGTGTGTGGTGTGAGCGTAGTGGAGGTGAGACTAGTAAGTAGTAGTGAGCAAGAGCGATGGCTGCCAAGGAAGCCATGACGCGGGTCCTGCCGCACGGCAATTGCGCGCCTAAGTTATGTTACGCCCCACGCGTCGCGAATGTTTGCCCAACCTGCCGGTAAGCAAAAGAAAGTCGATTGCACGGCATATAAGAGTTGAATGAGCATGTCGCACCCACCTACGCCAAAATGGCCTGCAGATGAAGTTGGTGTGCCCAGTATAGAAGGCGACGAATGCTTCGGAGACTTGGTAGACAAACTATGCCAGTCAGTCCGAGATAGCCGATGCAGTATTGATGCAATACCCTAATCGAGGCATAGGTTCTTCGAGCATACGATTAAACTGCCACATGCTTTCGAAGACCTGCGCCGGTCGCAGGAAGGACGCGCTCTACAGCCCCTGATTCACTACCTCTCCAACCAAGTCGACCACCCTGCCCTCGTGTCCGCCCTCTTGTACGTTGAAACAACACTATACCTCTTGCACTGGGTGCAGATGCGATTATAGCTTCTGAGAAGGAACGGAGCTGACCAAAGCTAGGGCTCTGAAAGGTCATTTTTCTGCACTGGAAGAAGCCAGCGACGAGCCGGGAGTGAATGAGGCGCGAGGCTATGCATGCGAATTTGTTGCTTGGCAGTTCTTGACAAGTCTCAAGGAAGCTGATATCATCGACTTTTTGCTGGTCGAGCTACCGCCTGCTGCCGATGCAAGCACCCCGGATACAAACAACGGATTAGGTCTCGACGAAAATGGACAGGGCTCTACACATCCGAGCGAGCAGTCGCCGCTGCTGGCCACCTCCAATACCGAATACTTTGATCACGGCGACGCTAAGAAGTCCCGATTTGCGTCGTTGATGTCGCAATGCGAAAACCTTAGTGCGCTGGAGCTTGCGACTGTATCTGGTACGTACCTTCAACTCGCTTCACTCTTACTGCAAAGCTTAAGCGATTACAGGCGCGAAGAAGTTCCTCTCCCAGAGACCAGTTCAAAAGATTATCAATGGCCTATGGAAGGGGGATATTGTATTCTGGGAGACCCTTGGCCTACACTCAGTGAAAAAGCCGAAGAAGTACAACCGCAGACAGGCTGATCCCTTCTCTCGTTTACGGGTTCCGTTATATCTGAAGATATTCGAGACGCTGTTCTTCGCAGCGTTTCTAGCACTGTATTACGCAGTGTTGGTGAAGCGCAACAACACTAGGGTGACCATCCCCGAGCTCTTGTTGTATGTGTGGATTGCTAGCTTCGCATACGATGAGTTCGCCGACTGGCTCGACGCTGGACAGACATCCTTCTATGCCTCGGACTTTTGGTAGGCTTCTCCTTACTTTTCTCTCTTTCTAGTACAAGCTAACATGGATAGGTGGACGTGGGACATAAGCATTGTCGTCGTCGGCTTTTCGTTCTGCATTATGAGTAAGCACTCCTGACTTGGCCAAATCGAACAGCTCTAACAAGCTACAGGAATCGTCGGTCTGACAACAGCAAACGCTGCCACGATCGATCTTGCGTACGATGTGCTTGGACTAGAAGCTCTCTTCCTTGTACCACGTATATTCTCTCTTTTGAGTCTGAACCGTTACTTTGGGACCCTTATTCCTTGTCTCAAAGGTCTATCTACCTTTCTCTGCTACATGTCGATACCCTACTAACTCGTGGACAGAGATGACGAAGGATTTCGTGAAATTCCTCTCCCTCGTTGTAATCCTATATCTAGGTAAGCCGACTGACGCTCTAGGGATGGTCGCCAGAATCTCACTATTGCACAGGATTCTTGACTACGTTTGTGCTGCTGGCTCGTGACAGCAGATTCAACCCGAAACAGATGGTGGGTTATAGACGTCGGCGTCCATATCACACCCCTGCTAACTTGCCGATATAGAGCTGGATTCTGGTCAAAGTTTTCTTCGGGTAAGTGAGGCTATATTGCTACTGGTATCACTCCAGCTAATGCTTTCTCAGATCTAGCTACCTAGGATTCGGTGAGTTGATACCCTGGACAACAGCTAAAGGAATGCCGACACTGCCTCCACCAGTTGCTAACAAAGCGGTGTACAGATGTCGCCGAAGAAATGTACGCATATCTTTGACTAGTGGTGTTACTGTTGCACTAACTTCGTACAGTTCGCCGTTCTTTGGTCCTCCGGTTATGGTAAGAGGATTTGGAATGCATTGCTTCGCGGTCTGCTGATCTATATGCTAGCTCATTTTCGTCACCTTGACGAATATTCTGCTCATTACGAGCTTGATATCGCTCTTGAGCAACTCATTAAGCAAGGTACTTGAGATTTTCGTTGGTTGTCAGTGCTCCATTCACACCAGGTCGCATGCATGCCAAGCGCAGCAGAACAACGGCTCACACCCGGCTGCGCCGCTTCAATCCCAACTGCAGTCTCTCCGGGATGTGTTGCAACTGACACAGCCCTTGTTATTTTTCCGGCCACTGCTTTTGGGGTGTGATACAGCCACATCGGGGCGGCTCAACACCAGCATCATCACAATCACATCTTTCCCTGTTACCCTGCCACCCATGAATAGTGTGTCGCAGTTGGCCGCATTGGATTTGTTGTGGTAATATGGGGCATTTCTAACGTCGAATAGGTGTTGGATCATGCGCGAGACGAATATCTCTTCATGTTCGTACCCACTGTACTCATTGCCCCTTCTCAAACACTGACCGCAGCGACAATGCAGTTATTCCGTTTACGTACTCGAAGCATCGAGTTCGAAAAGGTTGACATACTTCCTGCCTCCACTCGTAAGTATGCCTTTCGTACTATTATCGGGTTGAAAAAGCGGGCATTAAGCGCCGGCCCGCATAACGGCCAATCGACATAGCCTCATCACCACACTGGGTGATGCACTCGAAACCAACCAGTCCAAGCTTTGTGCTCGGTTCCTGGAGGCAGCATCGTGCGGGTTCTCTGCCGTCGTCATTTTACGGACGAGCCTCGTTCTGCCGCCCAGGCATCATCCTCGAATCAAGACTGCTGCAAATCCTTGTGGGCCCTTGATGGACTCATCTCCACAGTGGTCCTCACCATTGCAAGGCTGACCAGGCTCCAGAATCTCATTCCGCTAGTCATTCGACCGTTGCGGCTCATTCTGCCTTCTGAGCGGCTTCGGGGTGCTCGCATCGTCTTGCTCAAAGCTACTCATCTACCCTTCGTATTCGCGATCTGGGCGTTTGAGCACCTTGCCCATGCCCGCACACGCGACGCTAAAGTGACGTCGTTTAGCGGTCCTCAAACACACGCACTGCCCAAGAGGCCCCCTCGTCTGCCTGTGAACTCGCCGCGCCTACTCATGGCAGATGCGCAAAGCAATGTGGGAAGGATGCAACAAATGAATTGGTCCCACACCCGAGCAGGGTTTACAGAACCTGATGCTCAGTTGAAGACACTAGTTGCAAGACTCTCGACGCAAGTAGAAGAACTCACCGCGATGGTGTCGCAGCTCCAGGACCAACGCGAAGCGAGCACGTCGGCCGCTTAATGGCCGGCGCTTCCAGCCGCGGGAATGTAGGTAGATTTTGTTAAGGATGAGCAACACGAATACGGTTACAAATCAAGACGATCTCGCATGTTCCTCATGGAAAGTAGTCCAACAGGTGCACATGGGAAGTGGGGTGTCGTTGTCTCACTTTCGTGACAACTTTGGGGCCAGAAATGGATGAACGATCAACGACAGACACAGGCAGGTCCTCTTCGCAGCTGGACAGTCTCATGGGCACGTCCATCGGGCAAGGGTACAACCGCCCTCACCCTCTTGCGCCTCAAGCTCCGGGCGGCGCAGGGATTTTGTCTTCGGCCCGCTAAGGCCTAGCTGTTAGGTATACCCGACGGAATGGTTCACCTACAGCCCGGTCAAGCCGCCACCCACTGCATACCCCTGTACACTGCTTCATAGCCCCATCAAGCTAACAACAGGCGCCTGCCGCGTAGGTAGGCGGCTCGAGCACTCTTCATGCTGTCCATGTCTAGCATAATTTCGGAGTCTGCCTAACACTCAAAAGCCCACTGTTTGAACGTATGCTTCGAGAATGCACTGGCGCGGCATCCAAATCGACGTTTGATCTCGGATCTGGCAAGGCTGCTCACGCACTGCATCGCACAGATATAACTCGCCCTGGAACGCCCTGCAGTTGCTATTCTCATTCAGCTTCTACCCCATCATTCCCCTCTTTGCTTGTCTCCATACCGCACCAATCTGGTTCACCACAAAGACTTCATAACTTGTTTGCATCCATCCCTTCCATACCTTTTCATCATGATGTACCCGGACCAGCCTACGCCACCCTTCAACTCACCCTACCAACACCACGCATCACGGACAGGCTCTCTACTTGAATCACCTTACCCTTCACCAGGACAACAGGACCCGCGATCAAAGTACCCGCAGGGGCTTGGCTTATATGAGGGCCCGCATGCATATGCAAACGGTCTGCCACCATCACCCCAACCCTCAGAAGACTGGTGCAACCAGTTCCATCACACTGCCACACAAGAAGTCATTGCCGACCCTTATGTCTCGGGAGCTTTCGAACATCCAGTCTCTCGATCTCCTCAACCTTGGAACCCACCTCAGACGTCTCCGCGCTCCTCTTTATCCTATACTCGCGAAATGTCGGCCTTCTCGCATGATGGCTCAGAGCATACATACTCGAGGGCCAAGATCGAACCCTCCGGGTGGGGTCCAGATGCCTGCTACGGCACTGAAGCACCTGTGGAAATGACTGGAATTCCATCTTCAGGCCAATCGCCACTCACAGTTGCTCCAGACCGGCTCAGTGCAAACATGTACTCATACGAGAGCGCATACACATCACCCGCCATGCCCCGATACGAACAGCTGCCAGTGTTTGATTATTCCAACCGCCCATACGAGAGACAGCCCTCGGAAGAAAGCATTGGTAGCCAGCGCTCGCGACGCACACGCTCTAGCTATAGTGCTGCTCGTGGACGAACTCGTAATCGCAGATACACGGACCCTGCCCATGCGCCATTCCACTGCGAGATTTGCCCTGAGAAGGGCTTTGCCAGGCGTTACAATTACAACCAGCATATGCTCACGCACGATCAAGACCGCAAGAAGGAAAATTTGTGCCCACACCCTGGATGTGACAAGCGATTTGTACGCAAGACAGATCTGGCGCGGCATGACATCAGTGTGCATCAGAAGGTCAAACCATATCATTGCACAAGGTGCTCTTCAGCGTTCCCTCGCAAAGACACACTGCGCAGGTAAACAACACTCGCACGGGCTTTCCAATGGATTGCGCTAACAAGTTGCTAGACATGAAGATGACGGTTGTCCTCGCCGCAACGAAGTCATGACCGCGGACCCCATGATATCCCATGACTCGTTTTCGAATATTAGCCCGCGAATATAAGAGATACGTGGATGTATATGGCATCTGATCAGAATGTGCTTGAGGCGGGGTAATGGTGTCAAAGGGGTTACTACTGCATTCTGTCCAAGTTTGAGTTTTTGATGATATTGTTTGTTTTGCGTGGGAGGAAATTTGCATACATGGCGTTTTGGGGGCTAGGAAGAATGCGAGCAATAGACAGACTCCAGTCGCATATCGAGGTTGCCTGGCTTCGCTCCATGTTGGCCCCTCAATTTTCTCTGAACAACTATGATGACGCTGTTCCACATGTGCTCAATGACCTGATTGCATGGTAGAAAATCAAATCAAGACAGCCTTGCCTAGAAGCCTTAGCATCTGAAAATCGATTGGGCGACGCCACTGTCCTGAGTGCCTGGCTTTTGGCTGCAATGAGCCGGCACTGCCCACAAACGTCTTTCTTGTACCACCCATCGCAAACGGGCATGGCGTGGAGATCACTACCACAAGCCACCGTGGACGACCCATGTCAAGCAGACTAAAACCTCTTGGATGGGTCCTGTTTGTGAAATGCTGCAGGTTGTGCAGGCTCTAAGCGCCTTCTCGCCCACCCCGCCTCTGAGTGGCCCACGATACGCTGGGGCTGCGGCACGGCGATGCCGCTTACAAATGGGCCCATTTGTTAGACGCAGGACGCTCCTTTGCTGGTTATAGTACCTATATTTCAGCGCAAGGTTCAGTCGCGAGCGGTCTTCGTAACAGGCATAACGGGCGCCTGTTGCTCATCAGTGTTGGAGCGGTTGTTCGTGGACCGCAGCGACCCCGGTCCACCATGGCACATCAACCCCGGGAGTTCTCTCTGCAACTTACCCGTCTCTCTCAAAGACTAGAGCATAGCGTCGCGGCGGGCGCTTAATGCTTGGTCGTCTGCGCTCGTCTTATCTGGCTCGAGCCACGTCGGTTCGCACGACCTCTAGCTGCAGCTGTCAAGGCCGCTAGTCCTATTGCGTCACGGCAACAAAGCTCTTTCACCCTAAACCCCCATCGACCTACCCGTTCTGTCCTCCTCGTTTCGACGCGTCTCTTCGCTAACTTCGCTTACCCTGAACGTTGCAGGACCCGTTGCAATAACGGTCATTTGCTGCTTACACCCGCCAGTTTGGTCGAATCACACCCGGCCCTGCACGCTATATGGCCCCTAGCACCCTTCACTTTCCTGCCGTGTCGTAGGCGACATCGTCCGCGTCCTTGCTGGCCGCACCGACTCTGGAATGACGGCACTGGAGGCTGGAGAAAAGAGGATGAGTCTGGGCGAGACACGCCACAAGTTCAACGCGCGCCACTCAGGTGACGGCCGTCACATGCGAGTGACAGCCGGTGCGGTACCCTCTTCACGTCCAAGTCGGGCTAGCTCTGTCGCTCGGCATTACTAATTCATTTGTCTATGTTCCTGCCGCGGAGCGAAGAACAAGTCACCCGGACTGGACCGGTCTCTCGTCAGTAGCCAAGCCCTCTATGACTGATACCTGCTGCTGTAGTGCATCGCAGCCAGATCGCTGGGACCGTCTCTGCTAATCGGCACATCTTCGCAATCACCTCCACTTTCACTCTAGAGTTCTGCCAATATCCGTCAGTCAAAGTCCCTGGTGACATGTCTATACCGGCATCGCTCCACTCCTTCATTGGGTATCAGCTCGTGAAACAATCACACCCTGAGCGGTTTGGAGCCAGTCTCCGTCCACCACTGTAACTCATCTTTGCTGAGGGGCATTGGGCACAGTGTCGAGCCTCGCTTGATGCAAAATGCACCGTGCCCGACCCAGATAGCACCGTCAACATGTTACTCAAACCCAACAATACAACACACGAACCGATAACGGGGTTGTGTGTGCAATATACAGCAATCTACCATGCGACCAACCGCCCCATGATACCGGGGAGAATGGCAGGTGGTACAGCTGCGAACACCACCCGACACGATGCAGGAAGTCGCATACGCTCATCTCCTCGAGCTGCTCCGACCAACGCCGGGGGCGAAAACGAGAAATGCTTTGACAACATCAATACTTACTTTGTTTCATGCTTGCGCATCGAGCAGCCCAGGTGTTCCTGTTGTGACTGCGCTGAAGGCCCGCTTCTGAGACGCACAGTTTCGCACTGGGCAGCTTGGGAATTCCTCACATGACGCGGGCTCATTTGGCGTCTGACAGATGTGTTCCTTCCCGCCCATTGCAGTCCGCTGCGGGGGCTGTGGATGTGCAGCAACGAGCCGCAAAATGAAAAGGTCGCCCTCCTATCTACAACACAAATGCAGGTACGTGTCGAGTCAGCGATGAAAATCTCGCTTGGCAGCTGTTTGCATCTTTGTAGCGTACAATGATCTGGGCACATGGAGGTGCTTAGTGGCAGCCACTTGTGCTCCAGCAGGTCGGCATTCAGGTTGCTGGGAAACCACAAACATGGCGCTGGAAACACTTGGTTGACACAGCATCGCGCAAATGCCATGCAAGACCTCTTCCAAACGCCATGTTGCGCAAGTAGCCATGCGCAAGGCGCTAGACGGGCGTTTCCAAGAATCCAAGTAAATCGACAAGGCGTTAAGAGCCAGGAGCCGCGATGCTTCCGCCGCCCGCGCGAACTGCCTTATCCCTGCTAGCGAAGCGCATCACGGCGCTTATATGCCGCGATAGACGCCCACTCGCTAGAGTCGTGTACAACGCAGCTAAAAACAACGTCACATCTCGGATCTCTATTGCCCCGCGCTTCCACATCTGGCAAACCTAGATGACACTATCCCGAACACAGATGCACTTCTCATCTTATCTCGGCATCGTGTAAATGCTTGGACAGTTTCGGATTCGGACACCTTGCCGTGACAGTAACAGGGTTGAAGGAATGTGAGGTTACGACTGCCTACCGTAAGGCCTCCCATCCTCCGCTTGTCAGGCTTAGGCATTCAATGCCGAAACTATGTACACACTGCGGAGCAGCCCGCGATCCCCTGCAGAGCTAGTGTCCTTACCGCACGCCATGGTGATCTCGTCTTGAACATGGCAAACCGCATTTCCAGTCCCATGGTCCTTGCGTATTACAAACACGAGTACCAGAAGACATCAGACCCACGAAAGAGAACGTGCGATCTCCCAAGTACAGCGCCATTTTTTCATATCCTCTCGGGAATCTAACGGATAATTTTAGCAGTTTTTTCCGGACTTCGCTTGGAGCTCATCAGGGTTTTCGCATGTACATCACTTCGATCACAAGCAAGCCAACCGTTCAAGCCCCTTATGATAGCCCGCTATCTCCGGATATGGCTTGCGCCTTCCCCGACCAATCGTTCGGCGCATTGCACGGACTGGTTACTGGTTGTAGATGCGGGCCGAACTGTATGTGGTATCGCGAAAACTGACATTATGCAAATGCCCACCCCAAAATCCGGGAGCTGGGTACGCTTGTTGCCATGGTTCCTTGGCGAAACACATCCTACGATTGAACCGGAAGGCGACGAGCTGCATACTATTTGTGGTTAGTTTACGTGCCGTGCATCTGTGCATGATATCTCCACAAGCCGGCAAAGATGGTTCGCCGAGATGATGCTAGCAACTATGCCGAAGAAGAACAGAAGGCCACAAAAAATATCGTGCAGTCAACAGGCCTGCGATCATCCTGGCGTATGGTATAGCCAGCCGCCGTGCTTCGTGCTGCTTGGGAAAGTCGATCATGAAATATTGGGGGCTCGGCGGGTTTCCGAGCCGCCTGTTGAAACACGGATGTGATGCCGCAAGAATGGCCTCTAGTCGTGCACATTTTGTGTGCTAGCGGCTTCGGATACCGACTGTCACAACCAACCTCGCCAGGTTCGGGGTTGTCCCCAAACAGCTAGAGCTCTTGGCACAAGCTACCGCGTCGACCTCGCCTCGGCACTCTTGTTGCAATCTGCCTACTTGAGTACTGTTTGTAGTCTCTCCTGTCAAGATCTAATTCAGCTGTGTCAAGCTCAAACAGTCTAGCAAAAGCGCTGAAGTGTGGGAAACAGCCAATGACCCCCGGACCCCTTTTCATCCACAACGTTGTGGCACGGTCAGATCTGAGCGGTAGCTGGGACCTCCCGCAACCGTTTGCTTTCGACAAGCAGCCGTTCCTCCGAGATCCTCGACTCAATGTGTCGTACGTGCAACATTGGCGCACCGTCATGTCGAACGACGAACAAGGCGTATGCGGAAAGCGTTTACAGCCCGTGGGGAATGAACCTAGATCCTCTTCATTTCGCTTGCGGGGGAGCACTACTCTGCACTTCTAGCTCCATCATCGTACCACCAACGAGAAACACAAATAACTGCAAGATAGGTAGAGCTATGCTCGCATGCTGCACTTGGATGACACCACGTCCACTCCGCTGGTAGCGATTGAGCTGTACGTCACACAATCCTACACCAATGATCGTCTCATACATCCTTTTCAACCAACAGCATCGGAAACGTGCGCATCCTTAAACTTGAGGCCTTCCTGGTGGTGACGTCCTTCACCAGCAAGATCACCAACGGGTGGAGAGGCCAACACATCGACCGTGCAGTCCAACGCTCAGATGAACCGCAGCGAACCTATGACAATAGGGTTCGCCTCTCCCAGGATTATCTCGTACATACCTGTTATAACACGTGCTAAACGCTGTGCCTTCTCGTGGCCATTGATTACGCGCCGAGCGCCTGTCGATCTATAGCACCAATGGAATCATCAACCGCCCTGCATTCAGCCCCTCACATTTCGTAAAAGACAACAAAAATGTGGGTATATGCGTTAATGCACAGGATCTTGCCTGACCTGGATGAGCTCTGTTTGAAAAGAGTAAGTGATAAACGGACATTATCGTTAATTGACAGGCGTGAATGGCGGCAAAATTCTTCACAACTTTTCGCGCCTGGGTAGATCCCGAGTGCAACGGCACGCGGTAAACGAGGACGGGAAGGGAGATTACCGGAAACCGAGATGTCCGTAACTCCAGCATCCCGTACGCAATAGGCTGTGTACTTCCGTCCAGGACAGTAACACAAGCTGACCGGTTCATGTGGGGTAGTGGTAGTCTCGGTAACATGTCCAGCCAGCTACCTGCAGCATACAGAGTGGAGCTACTCGGAGAGCGAGCAATTGTGCGCTTTCAGCCACTGGTAGGCTGCAAGTGAGCAGGGAAGAACTAGGACTCAAGGACCGTGAGGACCTTGCAGGACGAGGAAGACGTGCAGGTAAGCTTCCGTGCCTCGTGGGTGAGGCTACTGCCTACGATAGGGCGACCGTGAGACACAACACCACCTTTTCTCTCGGCCCCACGCACACTTTGAAGCGATTGTCAAATAAGCATGGTTCAGGACTGGGGCGATAACTCATATCGATACGAGTTCGTCATCTGCCTGTTTTGTTGGCCCACCACCTCAAGCGTCCCCACGCGCCTAAAGCCGCTGAAGAAGCGCGGCTTCCGCCCCCACGTTGTGTAACTTCTGTATGTTGCACCTCTGCGTAGCAAAATGATATCAAACGTCCTGTACGATGATGATTCTAGCTAAGAATCTGCTCTGCATGCTGCGCTTTCCCGGCTGCTTTGAGCCACCGGCAGTATCCACTGTGCCATAGCCACCACACTAAGGGCCACCCTTTGCACCAAAGTAGCACACCAGCCGTGCGAAAACCCAAGTCTACGGTACCCTTCCACCCCTTCAGCCTCATACCCCCAAGGCATCACCTCAGCGGCGAGTCAGTTGAGGCCTTGGTTCCCGTGGGGCTCTCAAGTTTGACCAAGGGTCATCGTACGATGATGCTGCTCAGCTGAACGAGAATCCGCAACAAAAAAAGGCCGATACATGTGATTGACATGCTGCGGATCATTGGGAATGGGATGGGAGAAAGGGAGGGGGGAGAGCAACCCTGCACGTTCATTTGATGGGCGGAATAGTTCGCTTGTCACACCCTTCATGCGCGATTTTAGCTCAGTCGTGACCAATTTCCATTTCCCTGCTAGGGCGGAGAATGTCACTCGTGTATTCTTTCCCTCTCCAACCTCATGCTCGGCGAACTCACATGTATATACGTATAGTGAAGAGAGGGGCGACTCGTTGGGCATCAATGCTTGTGGACCAGCAGCAGCTGGTGACAGAGAGAGCAAAGCAGCACCCTGTTAGTCTCATGTCCTGCTTTCCCCAGAACATGGAAAATTGCTTTATTTGCTGCGCGGACCTCCCTTGTGAACAAATGGAAGTCAGATCACAGAAGCTCCCCCTTCCTCTTCTCGCTACCAAACTTTTTCCTTCAGCCCACGAAACAGATATACCTGAACTCGATTGGCGTGGATAGTCTATGCATGTATAGATCGATACGTCCTAGTGTTTTTCTTTCATGTGGGGGAATGGGGAGGACATGGGACTTTGCACAGCCGAAATGCTGTCCTGCATCTACCGACATACTGTATGGCCTCTCGTGGTGTGGTACTGGTAACACTGCTCTAATGGCGGGCATACGGAACTACATACTATTCTTAGAGCATTAGGGGTTGTAGATTGGGAGATGGGGTTGGAGTCAGTACAAACAACTTGTACATGTGAGAAACCCAGCACTCTACCTGCAAGACAACCAAAGCCCCGGGCTCTGCTCTACAGACCAGGTTTCGTTACACAAGCTGCGTAGAAGCATGCCTAATGTGCACTAGCATGTCATCTAGACACTGTTACGTCGAACAAGTTAATAAATCATATATTTGTTACCCTCCTAGACACTGCACTCGAGCAATTTTCACTGAAAGTGGCGGCATGGGTAAGGGTTTGACACATGGTATCACTTGCTCCAACACTGACACGCTTCACTCAATTAAAGGACCAGTTCATAAGGCGATGTCGTTTAGTATTCTATTCATATCATGGTAGACTAGCTATCATACTGGAATCGCACGGCCTGCGAGTAGAGGGGCAGCACCGCCACCTCACCTGTGCCGCATGCACATCAACCATCTGCGCCCTATGCTACTGTCGTTATTCGTAATGTCGTTAAGCCTCATCTCGCTTCTCTAATCATACAATATCATCTTCCACCTGCTGGGGGTGAAGATGATTAGATGAAATCACCGTCCCCGAACCCACCGAATGGATTGGGCGGCCGTCCACCTGCTCCGCCAAAGGCTCCAGGTCCGCCGAACGCGCCTCGACCAGGGAACATGGGACCTCTTCCTCTATCCTCCCTCCTTGGGTCTCCAGGGGCCACTATATCGTATCTTGCGCCCGGAGGAGCCATAGGATCATATCCGCCCTGTCCGCCCTGGCCGCGGAACAGCGGGTCGTCGAATGTGGGATGCATACCACCGCCGCCGAAACCACCTGGTCGTGGCAGTCCTCCAGCTAGATGTGCACGTAGAGGATCGTTTGGTCCAAGACCTTGTGGGTATAAATCGTCGTGGCCAATGTTGACGGGATATCGATCCTCTGGAAGGCGGCCCGGTCGTTGGTTTATTCCTAACTCGTCGTCGAAACGCGGAATGGGCTCGGGCAAGTGTCGGCCTGAGTGCGGTCGCGCAGCAAGAGGGTCGTCGAACGGGTGGGGTCGCGCAGGACCTGGCTCGGTGGGAGGTTGGCGCGGATTGTGAGGTTCGCCACGTTCTGGTTCATGTCGATCTGCTGCTGATGTGGGTTGACTATCTGTGCTGCTCTCTTCGTATTCAGGTTTATTGATACCCGGTGCTAGCTTCTGGATCACAGAGATCTTGAGAAGCGAACCAAGGTCGTTTAGTCGGCCTGCTGAGATGAAGAGCTCTTGCACCTTCTGTGACACTTGTTCAGTTGGTGTATCTTCGGAAACGCTAAAGGGCAGCTGTGACTCGGAAATGTAGTCTTTGGTCGTGACTTCGAAATTTGTAGTCTTGTCATCGCCCAATGCAAGAGCGTATACAACAGCTTTGCCACCCAGTCGGTTGACCTTGACGAGGTACTCCATGGCGGATTGTGCGTGCGCATATCGGAACTCGTATGTGGAAGATGCGTTCCACTTTGCGGGTAGTGCCTGTGGGTTTTCGGCGTCTGCGTATGCTTCTATGAGCAACCAAGTTATGACAGGTGATGCAAGGGTGAATGTGCGTGCCTACCTATTCGCTCGTCCTCTCCAAGGCCAATGAGGCGGAAGCCCACGGCAAGCATGCCCGCATGAACGGCCAGTGCGACAGCTTCGGTGCCGTTCTTGAGCTTTGATGCATCGCCCTTGGGGAAGGATGTAGCCATGAAGAGCGCGAGCGAACCTGCGCTCAGTGGATTGCCTGTTGTGTTTTCGAGGACCATGGCCACGTTTTCTGTGTGTGTGATGTTCGTATCTGATAGTTTTGTAGTTGCTACGGATTAATTAGAGGATGCAAAAGCTTCGAGTGTGAAGGATTAAAAGAAAGATTTATAGTGAGAGAGTGTGCTGATTCATGTAACGACATTTCGCGAACCATGAGGCAGAAGCATCAACCAATGACGCATAGGCGGGGTCCGGGGCGCGCTAGCAATGCACATGCGGGACTGCCATCTTTGATCTGCACGCCCAACGCCTCACGATATCTGTTCATGCACGATTATAAGCTGCAAAGACCGATTAGCTTTCTTCAGTGTGACTCCATGACATCACGACTGAAACAAAGGCGTCGTTCAGAATCAGGTTATATTACTGAGCGACGAGGTTGCTCAATGTGCGCCAACACGTATTTGTGAACAACGATACTACAAAGGGGAGATGCGCCAACCCATGGGGAATAATGTGGGATGAAATAACGCCAAGTGCAATGCAACAATAAGTCATGAACGTATTCAAAGAAAATCAAATGGATAGGGAATTCGAGAAATCTACTCTGGGACATCTTGTGACGTGCTTGCGGCAAGCTCGTTTGGTTCAAGGAGTCTGCAAAAGTTAGTAGGCGTCGCGCAATGAGAAGCGAACAGGCGACTTACGAATACTGCTTGTATAGAGTACCCTCACCTCCTTTCTCGAGATCGACGTTGAAAACGTAGTAGTTGCCTTCGCTTGTGACTACCATGATTTGGGGGCCATTGTTATTCAGTGCAACCACGTTCCTTGGGGGACCCGATGAGGACGTCGTTGGCGAACGTGGTATTTTGACCCAAGCAAAATCGCGCGAGGGCTCCCAGATCTCCGCTACTGCGCTGGGTAGGTATCCGCCGACAGTCGCGGCAAACGACTTTCCAACCGTTTGTGATGTGCGTCGGATCAAGCTTCCAAACGTGGGGTTTATCGCTTTGCGCTCTGGAAACGATACATCTGCTATGCTCGCATCAAACTCGTCGGCAGTCTCCTCGCTTGCCCGGCTACTGGTGCGCTGATGAGAAGCGGCCGTCGGTTTCGTAGGCCCAGAGGATACGCTGTTACTTCTACTGTTGGGCGCACCCAGGCGGAAGATGTGAACAGTCTCGGTTGCCGAGGATACGCTGAGCAGGGTGGACGTCGAATTAAACGACATGCTGTAAATCCTAGCTGGTATTGAACCCCGTCTGAACTGGTACAGCTTCTGCGCATCCGGTATCGAAAAGACTCGGATTATGGTGCCCTTCTCAGATGCCGTAGCAAGCAAAGTACCGTCATTGTTTAGTGCAATGCACGAAAGCGGCGAGTTGTGCGCCTCGATGACATTGACTGCCTCCATCTTGGTTGCATCATATATAAGAACCTCTCCGCTGGTTGGAGCAATATGATCGGCCTTGGGCGGAGCATGTGAAGGCGGCTGGAAGGTAGCAGGCGCGGCTTTGGTGGGGAGCGGGTATACGAGGTAGTTGTTGTCCGATGATGCTGACAGGGCGCATATGGCTATGAAACTTAGTGTCTGTAGACGTCTTGGTCTGGTGGGCTTACCGTTGGGGTTCGGGGATGTCTTCTCAGTCTTCAGCATCTGCATGTTGCTTATATCGTAAATGTAGAGTTCTGATTCAAGCACAACTACGAGGCGCTTTCTGTTCATCCGCATTGCTAGAATGGCTGTGCGGAACGTCATCTCGCATATAGTCGAATGCCTCTTGACAAAATCAGTGGATGTCGGGCCAGGGATACGCGTCTGTGAGACGAACCTTGGTGTTTTGTATTCGCAGCACGCGAGGCGACAGTGTTAGGGCAACGAGCGATGTGGAAAAGAGCATCTCGAGGCTGGAAACATCTCCCTCACGCGACTCGGACTGCTTGTTGAACGGGTCGGTGGTATATATGCGATAGCCATTTGTTGTACCTGGGAACCAAGCTCAGTATATCACCCCCAACTATATTCTAACGTTACCACATACCGACGCCCAAATGGCTGTGATCCTGGTTGAATGTTACGAAATTCATGGCTGCCGTTGGTATTCGACTCGGTCTTGTGTCGGATGTTCGGGGAGCTACGTTATAGCTGTGGGTGATGGCTAGGCAGCTGCGCAGAAGCGGTCAGCCCTGTGGGCGACGTGGAGAGGCGATGTTTGCCTGAGGCTATAGCGATGCAGTGGCCAGCTTGTACAAGTGCCTAGTCAAGCCAAAGAAGGAAGCCGTTGAAAACGCTGGTCGCCAGCTGCCGGCTGACGGTGTTGAACCGATGTTCACGCGCGCATGCAGGGATCCTGGCCATGAGCTTAGCCCCGCGCAGTGGCTGTGCGCTAGAAAACATTACTCGTTGTAGTAGCCATCCACACATCAAAAAAGTCACCACGTCAACAAACATGGCCATGATGGGCAATATGCCGCCCAAAAAGAGCGCTCCGAAGCGCAAAGGCAACCAGAAAACCTTACGGGAGAGACGAGATGTTGACATCATGAACGTGAGCGCTCCCAACCTCACCCAGCCGACCATGTCTCTACTACTACTGAGTCTATTTCCAGCCCGAATTGATCTCAAAATGAGCATGCAGGCTATCCTGCTTGGAAAGTCACTGGACTGACATGGTAGTTAGACAAACGACAGCAGCATTGTATCCAAAAGGAGTGTTTCTAAACTGTACCTCACAAATGAACCAGACTTCTATGAGCCATTCGTCCCGAAATTTGTTCGACGCAGTACGCAGCTTCTCGCTCACCAATTTGGCCTGAGACATGCACTGACTTCGTACATCAACAACCAGACCCTTTGATCAACCGCGGATATTGGCTACGCATGCACGCCATTGAACAGGCTGTCCGTAGATTTCTGGAATTGGAAAATGACAAGCAGAAGATTGTGATAAACTTGGGATCTGGCTAGTAAGACAGTAGCAGTTGGCTCCTGTGCCGACACGAGACACTAAATTTGAGTAGCGATCCGTTACCTTTCCAATTCTGGCATAGGTATGCTTCTCTTGCAGAGTCGGCCACATTTGTAGATGTCGACTACCCGCAGTTGATGGAGCGGAAACGAGATCGTATGCTCAGTAATAGCCTTCTTCGAGACGCTTTGCTCAAGACCAAGCTCCGCACATCCGAGCAGCCTGTTTACCTTCGAAGTGACGGCTATATGGCACTGGGCTGTGATCTAAAAGACCTTGTAACGCTTGAACGTGTTTTACGGGCCGAGTTCGACATTCCGGCGGCCTCAGTCCTGTTCGTCGCCGAGGTTTCTGTGACTTACATGCCGCTAAAAGACTCTGATACTCTCATACAGTGGGCTAGTACCCTGGAAGACGGTATTTTGGCCCCAAGTCCTGTTTGACAGGGGTATACTGATCATCACCTACAGCTCGCTTCTGTATACTGGGTATGCAGCCCTTCTACATGCAGCATTGAACAGACTGATCTTACACCATCTAGAACAATATCTGCCACAGGGCCCGGAACATCCCTTTGCCAAGACTATGTTGTCTCACTTCGACAAACTACAGGCATCAATCAAGGCGGTCAAGTTACACTCCTCGCTGGCTCAGCAAGCGTCTCGTTTCCGCAACGCGGGTTGGCCAACACTAATCATGGCCCGCAATCTATGGGACCTTTGGTCGGATGATTCCTTTACTCCTCCCACTATCAGGCGCGGGCTAGATGCCTTTGAGCCGTTTGACGAGTGGGAAGAATTTGCGCTTTTTGGCGGTCATTACTTCCTACTTGTTGCATCAAATGCGGAACAAGGGACATCTACCGAGAAATTGTGTGATGAGACAGCCATCAAAGAGTGCAGCAAAGCTACCGATGCGGAGAGTATCACCTTACAATCTTGGAAGCAACCAACCGGTGAAGCCCTGACAGCGCGACGTTTCACAGCTGCATTCGCTCTTGACAGGGACTCGGTGGCCATCCATGGTGGACAAGGGACACAGGCCCGTCTCGCTGATATGGATGTGTTGAAGCGACAAGATGATATCGAGGATCGCACGACCCAACCTTCTAGCCAGCTGCCTACTGCACGCATGTGCCATACTATCACATCAATGTCCAACGGTGAAGCACTGTTGGTCGGAGGACGCGGATCGCCAACGCAGGCTTGTGCAGATTCATGCTGGCTGTTCAAGGACAGGACTTGGACCAGAGTGGATGGCCTCGTGCCAGCTCGCTACCGGCATTCTGCCGTCGCCGTTATGTTGGGGTGTGGGGACACACAAGAACACGGTGTCCTTGTCTTCGGTGGCAAAGCCAGTGACGGCACAGTACTCGATGCCGATGACTGCTGTGCCCTATGGACTGCCAACAACGGATGGCACAGCATTCCCGTCGACGGAGCGCGTCCGTCTGCACGCTTTGGTGCCGCCATGTCTACGATCGACTCAGCACAAAATCGCGGGTTGCTGACAGGAGGTGGGAACCAAAGCGGCGTGGTTGTGGAGGACGCCGTGTGGGAGTGGTCCATTTCCGCACCAACACCACGACTAAGATTTAATGACCGCACCAATGACGTCCGCAGCAATCTGGAAAACTCTGCATATGCACGTATAGGTTCCAGCCTGGTTCCTTGGGGCAAGTCGTTGATGATGATTGGAGGTGTTTCAAAGAAGCATATCCACAGTCTGTCAGACGACTTTCTACTTTTAACATGCAGTGACACGACTATAGAGGTGGAACAACCCAGTATGCATGTGTTGCCACCAACAACATGGCCTTTGCTAGTGGGTGTAGGGGCCGTTTCAACCTCCGCAGGCGAGATTGTGCTTACAGGAGGGGGAGCGGTATGCTTCTCGATGGGAAGCTACTGGAACGAGGATCCGCTCATTCTCACTGCTGGGTCTAAGCAAGGGTCAAAGCCATGGCGTCGTGTTGTGCCGAGTCATAGCAGCGGCACAGCAGGCACGGTACAAGCGAAAGTCGCTGGAGCTGCACCTCAAACTCGGCGAAAGCAAGTTTGTGCGAAGAGGAAGCCCGATATCTCTGCACGCACTACCGAGATCACGAGGGTACAGCTCAAGTCGTCAGATGACTTTGCAAGCCTAGTTGCAGCTTCCAAACCCGTCATCATCGAAGGTCTCGATATCGGGCCGTGCACAGACCTGTGGACTCTAGACTACCTGAAAGAAAAACTTGGCCCCCAAAGAGAACTCGTGATCCACGAGTGTCCGTCAGATCGCATGACGTTCAAGGACAAGAACTTTGCCTACGTAAAAAAATCGGTGGCAGACTTCTTAGATGGGATTGCACAAGGCTCGCACGCATATCTTCGCGCCGTATCATCAAGCCAACCAAACAAGCTGCCCACTAAACTTGAAGATGACTTTCCCAACATTGCCAGCGACTTCAGGTTGCCCGATGTTTGCAGTGTAGTGAAGGAAAACTACCATTCCTCTCCCCTCCGTATCTCGGGCCCTGTATCCCTCTGGCTCCACTACGACGTCCTCTCCAACGTCCTCTGCCAGATTCGCGGTAACAAAACTCTTTATCTCTACCCTCCATCTGATGTCTCATATCTAGACTACCCGCCTGGAGGCTCATCTTCCAACACTGATGTACTAACCTCCAAGCACCCCAAACTGCGGAACACACATCCCCATGTCGCTTCCCTCAAGCCCGGTGATATTCTCTTCATACCGCCCATGTGGAGTCATACCGCTACGCCAGAGGATGGCGTAAGTGTAGCAGTCAATGTTTTCTGGAAGGGATTGGACAAGGGGTATGCGGCTGGTAAAGATGTCTACGGAAACAGAGACTTGCAAGCGTATGAGAATGGTAGGAGGGATGTCGAGAAGATCGTGAGAGCGTTCAAGGACATACCTGTTGATGTATCACGGTTTTACCTGGAGAGGTTGGCCGGCGAGATTTTGGAAAGAGCCAAGAAGATGGGGGAGAAGAAGATTTGAGAGGATGTTGGGAAGGAGTGATGGTTCATGTAGACGTTGAGAGTTTCTGTGGCATTTGTAACACCGATGTCCTTTTCAACATTGATAAATATTAGTCCATGTCCGTAACTTAATATCAGTCTTGTGCAATCTTATCTTATTATGTCTGATCATTTGGTTAAACTACCTATGATTATTTGTATCATACACAGTTATGCCCATCTCAGCCATCCTGCACACTCATCTTCCCACACTTCCCCCCACCGCCTTTCATCCAACTCCACTGGCCCATCCCATTTCCCGACCCTTGGCGCGCCCGTCCCCGGTTCCGGAAGACAGATCCACTCCCTGATACATCCAGGGACCTCCTGTCTACTATGACTAACACAAAGTAACGCCTGATGATCCTGCAGGCCGTTGACAACAACCTCCCCGTCCCTCTTCACCGGTCTCAGCCCCGCCTCCGAAGTCTCCAGAGCCATGGACTGGCCTTGACTTAGGAACAAAAGACATTTATCTCTCACCAAATCATCCATACCACTGAACGCTTCGTCGAGGATAACAATATCGGGATTACGAATCGTGGCACGGAGAAAGAGTAGAACCCGTTGGGCTGAGAATGACAGTTCACCAAAGAGCGTTTCGCTGGCCCATCCAAGATCCTTTGAGCCTTCTTTCTCACTCGCCTTGAAGCCAGTAGCCGGTCTCAGTTCTTTCTCAAACCACACCAGAGAAGTTTCCACGCGCCTCCTCGCCTCATCATCAAGCCTTGGTTTCGTAATCGGAGTATCGCTCCACGCACTCTCGAGCGCCGTTCTTATTCTCAGATGTTTAGGAAAGAGGGCATGTACCTCTGGGCTCGCATGACCCATGCGAGCCTGAATCTCGAAAATCGTGATGCCTGGAACACCTGGCTCTGGGAGACGCGAGCGCTGGAAGAGCTTTACGGGCACGGAGTAGGTTTGTGGATGGTCGGAGGTCACGAGACTGAGGAGCGTTGTTTTGCCTGAGCCGTTTGCGCCAAAGATACCCCAGCGTTGGCCTCGGTGGACGGTCCAGTGGAGGCCGAATTGGGGTGTACCGGTGTATTGGTCAGGCTGTTGCCAGTCGCCCAAGACAGAATTTGTACCATATGATATGCGTACGCCTTGCATCTCGACGATGGGTTCTCCGATGGGGGTATCCGACGTGTCAATTTTCTTGTATCCATCTCGACTCAGTGTTGTTGTAGTCTGCAATTCTGTGGCTGATTCTTGCTGTATGCCTACTGACATTGACGCTTTGTCACCACCCGTTGCTTGTCTTTCAAGTCCTTCATTTCTCGCCTGGAGAATATTCAAAACCTCATCTTTCGGACCCAAACTCTCAACTTTCCCATCTTGCCCCGCATACACAACATGCGTGACCCAGTCCGGAATATCATCCTGCGGTCTCAGCGAGAGTACAATACGAGGCGCGTTAACTTCCGCAAGACGATGTAATACCTTAGAGATATGCCTTGTAACGATCGGATCTAAGCCAACTACTCAGAAATTAGTATACCACTTTTCTATACGCATACACCTGAACCTACTGAACGGCGCATCCAAACACAACATTTCGGGCGCACTCAACAACGCCTTTGCAATCCTCGCTCTCCTACTCTGCCCATTACTCAACATATTGACTGGCTTCTCGATAAACCTTTCTAGCTCCAAGTCCCGCATGACCCTCTTCATGTCCTCCTCTCCCACGCTTTTAGCTTTGAGTTCCTCTTCCCCAGGATTCATCGTTACGATCCCGGTTAGATATCGTTGCACTGTGAAATCCGTGTCTTCTTTGAGTGACTCGTACCGGGCCGAGAGATAGGCACCACCAAAGGCCTTACGTTCCACATCAAAGCCCACATACTCTATCGCACGCTCTGGAAACCGAAGTCTGGGCTTCTTCTCCGTGATGGCGGGACTAAGGAGGTAAGGGAATGACCGGGCTGTCGGTGGAAAACAAAGTAACTGCCCACGCAAAATTTGGAGAAACGCAGTTCGGATATCAGATGAGGGACTGAGGATGGCCCAATGCTCATTTGGCGATGAGAAGGAGGGCAATGAAATCGTCAAGTCGGGAAATAAAGCTGGGTTTGCAGATGCATTCTGTCTAACTTTGACCGAAGGATGTTGCCGATAAAAAGTACCATTCGTGATGCTCACAATGGGCAGCGAAGAATAAAGTCTACGTGAAGCATGTAGTCTTGCGCATCTTGTAGCTGCAAAGAACAGCGCTGGTGTTCTTCGCATGGCGGAAAAATCAGTGTGTTGCTATGGCTCCGCGGTGGAAATAAGAACGAAGCATGACGTCGCGGGATATCATCTGCCGAGGTACGTGATAGCCGCCGCATCACGATCAGAGTGCACGGTGGTGAGTATACAAGTCCTAGACTATCACACGAGCAAACCGCCATGATTCCCAGCCTCCAGCCCTCAAGGCCAAAAGTAACTACTCTCAAACCCGCAGCAGCACAACAACTAACGCCCAACCTCCAGCCTCCACAACACTCCTCACACCACCCACCCGCGCAACAACAACAGCGACGCGTCTTCCACTCCCCATCCCATGTCCCCTCCCAACAATCACAACTTCCTACAAATCCGCCTTTGAACTCTGCGCGACCCCGATCGCAAATCGAAGCCATGCCGCCATTCGGTCCCGCTCAAACACCCGCTACTTTCTTCACACCCGTCTACGATAGCGCGATACGGCATCCAGTCTTCTTCACGCAGAATCTAAAAAAACCGCCGTTTCCAATACCGCAGGTTGCTGCTCAGAGCTGGAATCCGGTGGCGAGCGGATATGTTGCGGAGCAGAGGAGGAGCGGTGAGGTAGCTGGGAAGACGAAGTTGTGAGAGTTTTGGCTTAAGGGCTGGATGGATGTGCATGGCATGGTGCTTTGGAGTGTTGAGCGAGTTATAATTGGTTATGATGATTTGATAAGATATCAGGGGCTAGTATGGTTTGTACTTTGTGATCGAGTTTTTGGACAGCGAGCTTACGGCAGGTGTAATTTTGCGGGATTGTTCAATCGTATAACATTGCCATCTTGATATGTGCTACTTAGTGTAGCGGGTATCTTACTATTCCACACGTGTCCGCTGCCATGCAATCTTAGTTTCACCGACCATCATTTCATCTCTTGTTGCGCCTAGCGCACAGACGACCTATTCCAGCTCTACAAACTCTGCCTGCCCACGAGTTGGCTAGGTAGTAGTGCCGTTGTGATGACACAGCCCAGTGTCACGCCACCAGCCAGGTATAGCACACTGTTGATATCCCTTCCTGTACCTCCGCCGGCATATAAATGTTGCGCGATGAGCGGACTGACAATGCCAAAGAGTCTGCCCCAGAAACTTGCGATACCACACGCCGTGCCTCTGATCGGTGCTGGGAAAGCTTCAGGCGTCCATCCGTACAAGACCGAGTTGAACATGGACTGGAAGAAATACTCCATGACATTGAATCCGATGTTTGACCCCGCGGAATTGACGCTGCTGAAGAGGAAGATGGAGATACCCATCAACGCAGAAGAAACAACCATAGTCCACTTGCGGCCTACTCGCGATGCTCGGTAAGATAGCGTCCCGAGGACAACGCCAAAGACACCAGGGAGATAGATGAAGATGTAGGATCGGTACGTGTAGCGAAGGGAAAGATCCAGAGCGCCATTCTTCACCGCTAGAATCTGCGGGAGATAAGTACCTAAACGCATGTTAATACATAAACTCCATTTGCGATTCAACAAAACTTACCCGCAACTGTGAATCCCCAGTAGTCACAAATGTACGTCAGCCATACCAAGAGCGTCAGCCTCGTCATCTGGAAGTTCGAGAACAGGAGCTTGAAACGATCGCCTTCTAGTTTGAGCTTCTCACCCCACGTAGACTCTAGCTGTTTGGCACCGCCTCCAAGTGTGGGTCCAATGCTCCGAGCGGATTCGAATTGGCGTTCCAGAGATTCGAGATCCTCTAGTCTCAACCTGCATGTGGTATTGTTGTACTGAGCTATAGTTTGTAGCACTTTGATAGCGTCGGCGTCCTTTCCTCGGTAGATGAGGAACTTGGGGGACTCTTGGAAGTCGAAGAGAACTGAACGGAGAAGGAACACAACAATAGTGACGCCTCCCAGAGTGAACAACAGGTACCGCCATCCCATGTTGTCCTCTCTCGAGCAACATGCGGCTCCTTTGGCCACCATTCCGCATGCAGGCAGAGCTCGAGCACCCTCTGAAAAGTTGGGGCTACAGGACCAGTTGGGTATGAAACCGTATGCCAGAACTGAACAGATAACCACCCCAATTGGCTGGAAGATGGATAATAAAGGCAGAAGGTAGCGTTTGCTCTGCGGTGTTGCTTCCAAAGTAATGGTTGTGTCGATTGGAATGTTGCCTCCAACGCCAAACCCAGTAAAGGCCGTGAGAATGAGAATGCCGTTGTAGCTGCTTGGGGCTCCGATACAGGTTCCGAAAATGCAAGCAAAGAAGACCGTCAGGTTGAAAGAGAACTTGCGTCCGATGACGTCCACTAGGACACCCCAAACGAACGCACCGGCTGTAAGTCCGATTGAGAAGGCCGTGGAGAGTTGACCTGTCTGATCAGCCCCAAACCCAAGCTCTTGCTGCATTGGTGACAAAACGAGTCCAAACTAAAGATGGGCGAACAATGTCAGCCACGTCTCACACGCATTGCACATGTGAAATATACTTACTGCTTGTGCCCACATCAGGTCAATCATGTAACCTGCCCCACATAACACCCAGATCGACCATTGATATCGTCCCATGCCCATGAGATCGATTTCACGGTTGACAAGTAGGCATTTCTTCTCGTACAAGGAAACATCACCATCTCCCAACTCTTCCACTAACGAATATGAGCGCTCAAGATCGTCAGATTGATCATGCACGATAAGCTTCTCTTTGTCAGCTTCTGAATGTGTTGCTTCTCCTGGCGTCGGTTTGTGATAAGAGTCCGCGTTATCTAGAGTCGAATAGTTCCGTGAGGATGAGGGAACGACCTCGCTAGCGTTCAATAGCGCCTCATGTTCACCTGTTGCATTGTTTTCTCGCGACATTGTTGATTTTCGTGCTCACGCTTTTCGAAACTGGGATTCCGGAGAAGTCCCTCTTTAACTCAATTCTCCCCTCTCACATGTGTACTGTAGGCTGCCACACGGGCGGCAGTACGCTCCGCGGCGGCGGAAGGACTAGGGTGTGTTGGGCGAAAGCTAAGCGACGCCTGATAAGCCGCCTTGATTACGCCAGGATACGGAGTAGCTTCGGTGTCATAACTTTCGAAGGATGCAGCCAGGGCGTGTCCGCAGGTGTTGAATACCAGGCGCTAATGCCTGACGGCGCAGAACTGGTAGGTCATGCTCCTCAACACTTGTTTTTCTGCCAACAACATGAGACAGCAACGACTCCGGCTATGCAGCAAAATAGTGGAAAGTCCATGGAGATCGCCATATTCCTTGGTATACAATGAAGAGTACGATCGCATTGAAAACCATCAAAGGATGAGTCCTTCTGGAGAGTATGGTAGGCATCACAGTGATATGAAACGAAAGCCTCAGATAGTCAGAACCTCTGAGGAACCTCTTCAAGCCGAATCAGCAAGCACTCACATCAAGCTTATCCCTTCAACTCTTGCTGTACGGCGACCTGATGTTGTCGCGGAGAAAACAGTATCGTACACTGTATGAGACAGACGCCGACCCCGGCGGCTGATATGAGGGATGGGATTTTGAAAGCGGACATGCATATTGTGAGATCGCGATCATGTACATGACGAGATAGCCCTCGAACTGAGGGTGCTGCGGTGGAAGACTATGTGGGGGCCTTAGGTCTCATCCGGACGACATCCAAATTAGGTGGGGATGTGCAGATTTTTCTACCGATCAGGAGGGTACAGCATGCAAACCATCTCGATCTGAAATTGGTCACAAGGTCAAGGACATGAAGGATTGAATGAAAGACGGAGAGAGTGAGTTGCTTGAAGTGTACGTTGTGCATAGAAGGTGCAAGTGTCGCCGTAGATGCAGCTTTTCGCAGAACGGGACTAGCTCCACTTTACGTACGCTCGCCAAGAGCGGACGGGGAAGTCTGTGCGCCGCGACTGGAACTTTTTTTCGAAGGCATAGGCAAAGAACAAAAGTGCGAAGACTGCTTTGAATTTTACATTTTGCACAATGGCTCCCCGTAGAAAACGCCAGCGCCTCTCTCTAGATGGCGCAGAAGCCGTCACCGCCACTGCCGACGCTGAACCGTCCTCCAATGCCGCCAAAGTGACGCCCAAGGAAGTCGCGCGCAGACAACTCTTCGTTCGCGGACTTGCGCCCAATGTCACCAGCGAAGACCTGACTGAATACTTTTCAGAGTCATATCCAATTAAAAACGCCCTCGTCGTCCTGGACAAGGAGACTAGGGAATCGAAAAGCTACGGCTTCGTCACATTCGCCGATGTAGAGGATGCACAGAGGGCGAAGGAGGAGCTGAACAACACCGAGATCAAGGGCAAGAAGATCAAGGTCGACTTTGCCGAGGCAAGACAACGCGAAGGCGAAGAGAAGCGACCCAGGGCTGGTGATCGGGCCAAGGCAGAGCGCGAGCAGCAAATCAAGGAAGCGCAAACACCAAAACTCATCATTCGAAATCTGCCGTGGACAATCAAGACGCAAGAGGACTTGCAGAAGCTTTTCAGAAGCTACGGAAAAGTCAACTTTGTCAATCTGCCCAAGAAACCCAACGGCGAACTGCGGGGGTTCGGATTCGTGTCGTTGCGAGGAAAGAAGAACGCAGAGCGGGCGATACAAGAGCTCAACGGCAAGGAAATCGATGAAAGGCCCATTGCTGTTGACTGGGCTGTAGACCGGGATACGTGGCAGAGTCTACAAAAGACTGAGCAGGAGGGGGATGACGAAGCTAAAGCAGGAGCCGAGGATGAGGATAAAGACATGGACGACGCTGAAAGCTCTGTGGTCAGTTCCGATGACGACTCTGAAGCCGACGGGAGCGACGAAGATGAAGAGGACGACGACGACAATGAGGACGACAGCAATACCGATTACGAGGACATATCGGAAGATGACGAGGAAGGTGGCATTCAGCTGGATGATAACCGACCGAAACGCGAGGAATACACACTTTTTGTACGCAATGTACCTTTCACAGTAGACGACGAGCGTCTCAAGGAGCACTTTCAGCAGTTTGGTGGCATACGCTTTGCGCGCGTCGTTGTAGACCGCGAAACCGAACGACCAAAGGGCACCGGCTTCGTATCCTTCTTCACGGAGGAGGATATGATCAACTGCCTAAAGGGCGTCCCACGAGTCAAGTTACAAAAGAAGAACCTTGACAAGAAGGACGGCTCCACCATCACCGTTACACACTCTGTACTCGAAGACGAAGATGCCGACCCAACAGGCAAGTACACCATCGATGGCCGCATTCTACAGATAAGCCGTGCTGTCGACAAGAACGAAGCTACTCGTCTCACTGCAGAAGGCGCGGCATCCCGCTTCAACCGCGACAAAGACAAGCGTCGCCTCTACTTGCTCTCAGAAGGAACCATTAGTTCGAATTCTCCCTTATACCAAAAGCTATCACCCTCTGAGATCAAGATGCGCGAAGAGAGCGCAACCATGCGACGCAAACAGATCCAAGAGAATCCTTCGCTTCATTTGTCTCTAACCCGTCTCTCAGTCCGCAATATACCCCGCAGCATCACTTCCAAGGACCTCAAGCAGCTTGCTCGTAGCGCCGTCGTCGGTTTCGCTGCCGATGTCAAAGAGGGTAAACGCCAGAAACTCAACAAGGAAGAAGTCATCCGCGGCGGTCAAGAAATGCTCGTCGCCGAGAAGATGCGCAAGAAGAAGGGCAAAGGTATCGTGAAGCAAGCCAAAGTTGTCTACGAAACACCAGCTGGTAGCAAGGTCTCTGAGGACACCGGCGCGGGAAGGAGTAGAGGCTACGGATTCATCGAGTACTACACACACCGCAACGCCCTCATGGGTCTGCGCTGGCTCAACGGCCATGCCGTAGACTACAAGATCAAAAACGACCCTTCCATCAAGAACAACAAAAAGAAGGCCCAGGAAGCCCTCGAAGACAAGCGAAAACGCCTTATCGTTGAGTTTGCCATTGAAAATGCAAATGTGGTAAACCGACGCTCGGACCGCGAGGAAAAAGCTCGCGAGCCACCAAAGCCGAAGGGCGAGGCTGACAACGTCGACGATGTCGAGCAGGGTGCGACGAAGGGTCGGAAGCGTAAGCGAGATTCAAGTGCGGTAGGAAAAACGGGCAGAGGCAAACCTGATGCGAAGGGTAAGCAGCAAGGTTCGGGTGCGGATGCTGGCGCGGATTCCGCTGCAGGTAAGACCAAAGATGGAAAGCTTGCACAGAGAACTAGGATTATCGCGAAGAAGAGGCAGGCGCGGAAGGCAAAGAGAGCTGGGAAGTAAGCAATTAGCCGTTGTCCTGTAGGGATGTCTTTTTTCTTCTCCTCGCAAATGTGCAAATGTAGCATCAGTTGCCGTATTGATACCATCAAATGTGAAAAGTGATTGTCGTTGGAGCTTTTATACTATGACACTTCCCTACATCTTCTCTATTGCAACAGCACGTTCGTCACAACATACTACAACGTGACCAAAAAATACGACATCTGTCTCCTCGGACCATTATGCCCACGCTTCATGACCGAAGAATTGCCCCACCCATGCACGCGCGACTCGAGCGTTGCTCTTTACTGCATCTATCCGCCACTTCTTGCTCACCGATTACGGCATACCCGTTATCTTGGGAGCTCGTTACAGATTCGTTCAGTTAGCGATAATGTAGTGCGACGGACCCTTTATGGTGATGCGTCCACTACGGTGGCTGGATATGTAGGGGCGGAAGTGGGATGTCACATCCGCAGCGTTGGAGGTGGGGGTCAAACGGGGATGTATGCGGGTTGAAGGACATCATGGGCGGTAATGGTGATGGGAGGACGTGGGATATTTATCTGTTAGGTTGTTTTGCTGACAGTGGTCCTCAAAGCCTTGTCCCTCATATAGGATATTATCTCATCTGCTCCCGGGGAATTTATAGGGATAGTATGCGTGAATTCTGTCAAATTTTGTATCTTGTCGGTATGGCAGCCCAGCGATAGATACCTGGCCTGCCAGCTATTCGGTGTTTTGACCCGAAAGGCATGGCTTGGACAGGGAGATTTTCATCGGAGAAGTGACGAAACAATTTGGGAACACCACATGGGCCAGTACGCCACAAACAGGCCCCCTCGTCTCGTCTTCCCGAAAGTGAACTCACGCATATGCTCGTGCTCAGGCGGCTGGTCCCGACGGTGCCCGTAGATGCAAACCCACTGCATTGGACCCAGCCATCATTGTACTGCCGACTTGTGTATGCGGCAGATGTACCCGGGGTACTACATATGTTTTATCGAGTCAGTGAACATGATTAGAGTTCCGATGCATACTCATTCCATCGCGTGCAAATTTTTGCTACGATCGATCTTGTGTCTGGGAAATGTGATTAATATGTTACTAGTGTTAGAGGAAAGTCGGCTCTTGTACGTGTATATACCAGAGGTAGGCTTTTCCAGCATGGTAGCTGTCAGCTCCTACGCTAAAGCATGCCACCCGACTGTTCTGGAAGTAGTGCGCCACCACACCAACCAGAATCTATATGCGGTAAGCTGACACCATGCAGTACGGAAGGAGCCGGAAAACGATAGTGATCCAAAAGAAAACGTCTTATTCAAAGCATTCTAACTCGAAGCAAGCGAGGTAACGTAGTATAACTTCGTCAAGACAGCTAGAAGACTGAGCACTCGACCTGAACCTACGTTACGCCAGTATGGGCAAATTCACTCAAATCTTAGCGATGCATTTTTGTGACTTCAAATCATGCCATGTGTATTGCACTGGCGCACAAGATTCGGTTCTTCCTTCTCGTTCTTAAGGTGTTGTTGCACTAAACATACCAGTGAAACGACAACCATGCTGCTGTGGAAAGGCAAAACCCATAGAACTAACTACCTACACCAGATCGCGCGGACCTCTTTCCATCAAGCACAGTTGTATTGACGCCGCTTTGGAACCCTGTCGTGTACCCCGGCTCATCAGCCGGTTCCCCGCCTTGTTCGCAATATTGTTGAAAAACAGAGTCGCGTGCTTGAAGTTAGTGTTCCTTAGTTAGGGTTACAAGCGAAGAACATGATTTCCATCATACTAAATGATAGGTCGGCAAAGATGGACGAGATCCATACTGACATTGCAGCATGATCGTAAGCTTAAAGAGTCCAGTATTGGTAGGTCGGCGATGCTTGTGACAAACTTAGCCTTGTCTGTAGCTGAGCAGTTTGTGGAGTATGCAGGTAGGACACATTCAAACAAGCGGGGAATATGCTTTTTCATCGCGAAGGCAGACATATGCTTATCGGCCTTGGACACTGGTGTTGAGTTGTTCCTGTGTTCGCTCCTGCTTCATAGTGAATGGATGAAATTCAGCTCGACCCTCACGTGCTGTCACATTCACCTATGAAATATTGAAGGTGACATATTGACTAACTCGCTGGACACATGTCGATGTACATAAGACCTGCATATCATTCCTAGCCTAGCGAGCGTGTCTGAAAAGCAGAAGCCCAGATCGCACTGAGTTCTCTAAGAGAAATTTAGTGTAGCCTCACCAGCATTGCACGGTCTGAATAGAGAGACCCCCGAAGAAACCATGATGCTGTGGAATCAATTCTCATCCAGCATGGTGATGTGGTGGCATAGAACCCAACCTTGGAATTGTTCTGCATGGTGCCTAGGTAGATTCAACGAAGCCGCCAAGAAAGTAGCGTAAAACCGACTCCATACATGCGAGTGTGATGTTGGCTGTATGTGTTGTGTGCTGCTACTTAGAAGTACGGTGTTTGTCCGGTGCGTGACTATTTGCTGCTTCTGCAATGTAAAACGACAGATATCTTTTTCGATTCTACCAAACACGCGTGAAGTTTGATAGACACAACTTGCACCGTGATGCTTATAAAACTAGGACGGATCATATGACGCGTGTGCAGCAGCTTGCCGGAACAAGCGCGACAAGGGGTCTTCTACCTACCTAGTCAATACAAGGGTTGACCACGTCCCAGGTTCGCGGATCGAGTATCCTAGGAGCCGCTCAAGCATACGTTCGATACGACCAAAACTTAGACAACGGCGCTTGGTGCGGGCCGTATACCAACACGCTGATGCACAACGATGGCGCATCAAGCCTGGTACCAGGCTATGTCTGCGCCTCTTCATGACGTGTTTGTGTGGGGGGAAACACGTTCTTGTCTCTTGGAAACCCTGGCCGTTGAGAGATTGAGGCGCCTAGAATTGTGAATCTGATTATGTTTGTGCATGTGACACTCTAGTAGTCAAGGATATGTACTTGGAAGCCAACACTGCGGGCGGTGGTGTGTTACCTACTACTCTGCATGCGTTCTCTTCGAATATTTAAATTTCTCTGCGGAGCGCGCCTGTGATTAGTTGCACAAACCACATTCTGTGAATGTGGTGCTGGGTTGGTGGCATATAAAGATGGTGAGATCGCCTCGAGGTGCAATCCCTATACTTCCCCAGATCCCGTACACCAAAGTCCCGCTAGATATCCTGTCATAGGGTATATTCCCACGAGAATCATATACGGCGTACCACCACGATCACGCACCCTCAATGTATGTTGCTAGTGTGCAAACACAACAAGTAGACTAACGATTGTAGCGTCTAAACATATCCTTAATATCCGCCACCAAGTTTCAACCATGTGCGATTTCGAGATAATCCATTTTGGATGTGGTCACTCTAAGCGACGGCTCATCAAGTACTGTCATTTCGCACGCAACGACCCAGGCCACCAATGTTTCGGCGTTTGGCGAGTCCCAAGGGAGTGGTCAAATCCTACCGCAAGTTGCGAAGACTGTATGAGGGCAGCTGGATTGCCTTGTTAGCGGTTGATACAGGGCGCAGCCAGCTAAAGCCTTTATCTTGCTGGCCCAACGCCAACTTCGGAGCGATATTGAGTTGTGCGAGCAGGCCTCGCTAACACAAGACAAGGAGGTTAGCTTGTAAGGTAATATGTCTTGTCGAAGATGTAGATATGCCTCTCTCGGCATGCTTGGGTCTAGTGCCTTGACATATCTAGTTGGTTTGTGTTTCACCTCGCGGCAAGCTTCGATGTTGGCGCACCCTGTTTGGGAATCTGATGGGCGCTTGGAAACGGTGCATTCACTGTAACTATTTGTTCCTGTACGTAAATACCACGAAGTATTGAGTAACTATGCGAAACTGCCACGTGATTCATGCAATGTTGAAATTGGTCGGAATGAATGACTCAATTTGATTGCCTGCTCGGCGGGCGCGACGTGGTTCGGAATGCATTACTCGTATCTCGCATACGCAAGCATAGGAGCACCCGGGTGTCATAAAATACTTAACATACTTAACAGTAGGTGAGCGTGTCTGGCGACTAAAGGGACCTTTTTACACTAGTATATTGAGTATTTCATGACACGCAAGTGGGAGTGAAGATATTAGAGCGAGAAGCGGACAGCAAGTTGCCATAACGAATCCGAACTGTTTTGTAACTCGCCTAAAATGGGATGGCGTCTAGCCCCACTTCATGCCGAGGTCTTCATCGTGACTTCCCGTTGAAGCCTTGGGCAGCCACCCGACATCCCGCAACACAACACTCACCCGCTGAAAGTTTAACCATGTCTGACGCCACCGAACAACCAAAGAAAGAGAGGTTCGCGCCCAAAGAACCAGTCACGTTGAATCCGCCAAAAGATGATGTCATCGACCGTGCTTATCTGGCGAAGTGTGATGGTGCGCTCCCAAAGACTACGCACTTCTACATGCACTACCTAGGCCATCGTCCACTGATACTGCAAGCAGGCACGAATGAAGGCTACCCTACTCTAGTTGCTATCAAGGTACTTCATTCCTTCTGCTGTATGACGTTCCTATGCAGGCGCAGTCAAGTTGACCGTGACTCAGGGCGACGTATTTGATGTGAGCGGCAAAGAGACATACGCACCTGGGAAGGGCTATCACGGTTCGCTACTCCAGAACCCTCGGATCATCTACGGCGAGCAGCTGACCCACTTTAATAGTATTTGCGGGCAAAGAGCCCAACCGTGCGCTTGGTCTTTCCTCTCTGAAGCCAGAAGACTGCATATCGGACTACTCGGAGCTCACCGACAAGGAGAAGCAAGTCCTGAATGACTGGCATACATTTTTTAGCAAACGCTACAATGTCGTTGGCCGACTACAACCAACAGAAGGTGTGAATCTTTAAGTGCTACGAGTTTCCATGATTGGTCAGCACGTGCCGCAAAATCGGGCAGGGTGATCACATTTACGGAGGATAATCACACATCTTATAAGCCATCTGCAAAGATTCTTCACAGCTACATGTCTTTACTCAAATAGTAACGCTGACATTTCCACTCGATCTATCACCGTTCTACTTTGATATCACTGGAATCCCATTGTCGCTCGTACAGTTTTTACATCCATATTTATACATTCAGATAAGTTCTACAAAAAAATTTGGCCTGCGCAGTAGATGGAGTAGGCAACGCAGGCATGTAAGAGATGCGGCACGTGGCACAGGCACGATCCTCTAGTTCCTTCCCGGCCATGCCAATACTCTACTGCATGTCCCATTCGATCATGACCCCGCATTCAATCTCTGAAAGAGCGGCGTCAATCTGTACAACCATGTATAGTATGCCCGCTAAGCTGGTGCCTTCACCATGAGTCCGATAAGGGACAGGACGACCTCTGCAGCAGCCAAAACGGTGACCTCACCCGGATTGTCATAAACAGGGGCTACCTCAACTTTGTAGCGCAACTCAGTTAGCGTTGTGTTTCCCTTCTCTTGGAAGTATAAGGAGCCAAAATACACATACCGACATCTGCTCCAACGACATCCAATCCTTCGAGACCATCCAAAATGGAAAGTAGCTCTCGTGTACTCCAACCGCCGACTTCGGAGGTACCCGTGGCTAATCACTCCATTAGTTACACAATCATCCAAAGCCAGGGATTCAGGGTGGTGTTAGGGAAGCGGATATCACCGCGCCGTCACACGTCAATCCGCACGCGGACTGGCCTGTAGCCACTTACCAGGTGCGAACGCTGGATCAAGAACGTCTATATCCACACTAATATAGACCTTTGTGCCAGCCACACGGGACTTCAGTCTCTCAATCACTCCAGACACACCGAAACGGTCGATCTCTCTCGCCTTCAAAATCTCGAAACCGCATTTACGATCGTTTCGCAAATCGCCCTTCGGTCGTACCATTGGCGCTCGGATACCAGCGTGGATCGAAGTGTTACGGATCAAGCCTTCTTCGTGGGCAATATGCAGGAAAGTGCCGTGGTTTACACCACTGTTTCAGTTTTAGCAACTCGCCCGGTTCAGCAGTTCTGACACCCAATGTTAACACTTACGCGTAATGGGAGATACCTCCACCTGATAAATGTCAGCAATTGATCACCTACGCAAACGCGCAAGCATACCTAAAACTTCTGGGTCCCAAGTATCTGTTTTCGAATTAGCTGGATTCGATCATGGAAGGCTTTCCCAGCTTACCCAGATGGCTATCAAAGTGTATCACGCTCACAGGACCAAAATGCTGATGGACTGATCTCAAAGCAGATAACGTGGTGGTATGGTCACCACCTAGGGTAACGATCCTCGGCGTGGTATGCTGGCTCGAATTGGTACGTCTTGCCGATACAATCTTGATATGGAGAGTCAGAAAGATTGCAAATCGGGTGGATGATTGATACACTCACTTGATGGGCTTTGTCGAGCTGCTTGAGAGCTGCTGTGTTATCCTGACCGAGAAATCAGCCATGTCCAAATTTGAAGATATCGGAGTACCAGTACCAGCACAGTCAACGGAGCATCGCCACAGTCGATTATCTTGGCCCAATCAAGCAGCACGTTCTCTCCTGGACAGCATCAGTAAAGAACATCCGCATGCGTCACCATTGACCTCATGCTGTAGCCAAAGCAGTACCAGCGTGCGGTTGGTATCGAGTCCGTGTGTCAGCACCCAGTCATACAAACCTAGCCTCTCAAGCGCGCGTCTTCCCAGTCACTACTCGCTAGCTTCGCCGTGCGACTGAAGGCAGCTTGTATGTCACCGTTGTGTACCACATCCCCCGCCTTCCAAGGTCGTGCATGCGGGAGCCAAAGGAAACAACTGCGGTGAATACCGTAGCTTCAACGTACCTGTATAGATGTTCCACCCAGCCTCTGGTGCCATGCGCCTGGACCCCTGTCGTATCCCACTCGGTCCGAAACGCGCTCCTGGTCTTGCGGTAACGGCCTATTGACTGTCAACACAACGCTACGCACCCGATTGCAGTCATGGTGATCTCGCTTCTGCATAGTAACTTTGAACTTACGGTATCGAATGGCGCACCAAGGATCGCAATATCGAAGGGTTCCACTTCCTGACCTTGGGGCGCTAGACAATGTACATACTGCAAATTGGCATACGTCGTCAACCCCGCGAACTTTGCATGCGTGATATCCGGTTCCATAAACCCTTGGGGGATAATCTGCTGCGACGCGTACCCTGCAATGGGTGGGAACGTGATTTCGCGAGCGCGTGTCAAGGATACGAATAAAACGACCAAAGGTTTGAGCGCCATGGCGAAGAAACGAGGCTTGGGATGTGAAACTAGAGGAATAGACATAAAAGTTGTTGTGCCATGTCTATATCTTATATCATAGCTATCTTGGAGACCGAGTTGGTACGGTGTATGATGGTTCCGCTCTAGCCTTGAAACGGAAGGTCCACGCGACAAGTACCCCTCAATTGCAGCAACGGCTGATAAAATCTTACTCCATCGAGACGCGGAGTGCCGGAAGTGTTATCCGTCTAGATAGTGTACAATTGGCAGGATTAGGCTTCTTTCTTAGCATGATTTGAGCGAATGATACGTAATGTGCTACTATGGCAGCTTGGGGAACGAGACAAACAACGTCAGCTAGTCTACTATCCGGACTAGAAATACATCGGTATCCCATGAATTGGGATCTAGGTTTCATATTTCAAAGTGTTGATGAATTCTTACGCGTTCATGCTGTGAAACTCTCATATTTCTCACAGGCACGTACGTTGGTGCTTGGCTCGAAGCACCGGGAGATCATGTTCGTCATTGATTCGTGATAAGGCCTTGGGAATGTCAGAGATTTTGCTCGTCTCGTTCGAATCGTTGATGGGCCTAACTGTTTTAGGTAAACGTTTCATATCTTATACGTTTCAACGCATGGCGTGTTCAAAGAGTTAACCATTCCTTGGCGGAAATTTTGCACGGCGATCAAACACGTTCACATGATGTGGAGGCCTTTTGGTCAAGAAATACTGAAGCTGCGTTGACTAATTTGTATTTTACATACTTGTAAAGACATCATTAAACGCCCATTGTCCCGTGATATCCTCCCAGACACTGTCCCACAGCAATAGTGTTCAATGAAATGCTCTGAGCGTCTGCTCAACAGCAACACCCAGTCCACCTACCCCCAAGACAGTCCACAACCACTTGTTGCTTAGTTCATCCACGCTGGGCCAAAAGGCGTTCTTGTCAGCGCGGAACTTCTCCAGTTCGCGGAACTTGTCGGGATGAGACGCAGAGTATCTGCGCTCTTGGTGTTTCTCCTTCTCAGCGTCACCTCCAAAGAAACGGAGAAACGCGTAGTTTGCAGCGGGGCCGAGGAGTTCAATAGGGGCGAGCATATCGGAACCGTAAAGCATCACGATGAAGGAGATGTGGACGAGGGCGTCGCCAAGATAGCTGGATAGCGTTAGTAGTTGCTGCATGTATTGAAAGGGTATGCTTACTTAGGGTTGCGGACGATACTCCATACACCCTCACGCATGATGCCCTTGTTGCCTTCAGCCTTGTACTGGTCGAGCTGGTAGTCGGCTAGTGTTTCCATAGCTAGACCGGACGAGAACAGGCCCACGGCAAACATCTGGATGAAAGGGTGGTAGCCAGTCATAACAGCACCCTCATGACGGAAAGGCGCTGTAAAGGGAAGACTGATAAGCATCTGGAAGAAGGCCTCTGGGATGAAGACCTTGAACAGCGCGCTGTTCCAGAATCCTTCTTCCTCTTTGACCTCAGCGTATCGTGGGTCATCTTCGCCTCGCTGGATGGAGCGGCGGGCAATGCGATAGAAGAGGCGTCCTCCCCATAAAGTGACACCAGTGAGCATGACGCGTTCGTGCCAAGATAGGCGGGTGAAGGCTTGTGAAACGGTATAGCCAGCAGCGATGCGGCGTCCTACAGCAGACCACCATGCATTTACCACCTGACCGCTAGGCCAAAGCCAGTCCTTGGCTTCTACACGGTTGGTATATCGTGCAGCCCCATAGGCGAGAACTGCCAGACCAGAGTGCAGAGTGAGTGAAGGGACAAGGGTATCCTTCAAGATGCCAACATCGAACAGAGAAGCACTGTGAATATGCGTCTTCGAATGTGTCCTGTCAACGTACATGGTCGATGTCGCGCGGCTTGGTCCCGGAGCATGGCCACCAGAGCTGGGCTGCAGATAGAAGTCGTGTGGTTTCTGTTCTGCGACCTGGACGCGAACATCCGGAGGGCGCGTCGGATCGCTGGCCGATGAGCTGAACCAGCCAGACGCCATGATTATTGAAGAAATGTCTCACTCAAAGGTGATGTAGAAGACGTCGCGCAAACTGTCGCATGCAGCTTGTTTTATCCTCTTTCTCGTTCGAGCTTTCCCCGCATTCTAACGGAAGCAGGCGCATAACAGCCCACCTCTCATTCGTCCGGTTGTAGCTCAACATGTCTCAATCGATGAAGTCTTGTAGCGTGACATCTGATGACACACATGTACTTGGCCGCAATTTAGTATTTGTCGCGTCGGCGTCCCAGTCGGGCTGCGTGTGAAAGCCAGTGGTGATGTCAGCATGGCCCGTGCAGAAGTGGGATAGTACCCACATGTAATAACGGCAAGTGGACCCAACATACCCCTCCATGCCGAGATACGAACTCCTGAGGTATAAAGTGACCAACGTGTAAGACGATGGGCATAACTCGTGCATATCTCTGGCTTCGTTTCTGGTATCAATTAGACAATTAAAATGACGTCCAACAAACCAAATGGATTCAATCCACCTGACGTCCCACAGCCTCCACCAACCTACTCCCAGGTGTGCGTTACCCCCATACTGCCATCGTCAAAGCTTGTCACGCTTGCCGGACAAACAGGCCGTAAACTAGATGGCACAATTCCCTCTACCATCAAAGAGCAGGCCAGAGTCGCTTATGAAAGCATAAATAAATGTTTGGCAGCTGCCGGCGCAACACCACGGGACATTGTGCGTTTCCATTCCTATTATTATCTTTCGATGAAAAGAAACACGAACTGGACGTTGGGTGGTGACATGCCGCTGACTATAGCTGCCGTATAGATACACGTCCGGCATTACATCATGAGCGTAACAGGGCACGTAGAGGTAGATGCAGAGGACATCGTAGACCGGGGTTGGGGAGAACTATGGACAGAGTACATGGACCAGAGCGCTGGAGGGCACAGACCGTCTGATACTGTAGTTGGCGTTGCGTCTCTGGCGAAGAAGGACGTCCTGTACGAGTGCGAGGTGACAGTGATAGTCAATGGCTAGTGCCAGAAATTGGGATGGATGGCATAATATGAAGAGCTATAAATCGTTCTTAAAATCAAATGAAATATTCCGTATGCATACTATATTTTGAACCAGCAGTCTTGTATCTACATGCCTCGTGAGATCTATCCGGAGCTGGCCTTAGTCATGCATGACTCACCGTAAGTTGATGTTGATAAAAGGTAGATTGAAGAGTCACAGCCGAGTGTCATCTCAATCATGGCCGCCATCCTACCACCAACAGCAGCTACGATAGCACACCTGAAACAGGCCTACCATGCATACCGGCATACCAAAGATATAGATCGTAAAGGGGCCTTCTTCTCTCCACATTGCATGCAGATCTGTCGGCCTGAGCCTTCCTATGCGGCCGCTACTCGCCAAGAGATCGTGCAGTACCTCCGAGATGCACAGCAAGGAAACACACCGATCAAGGAGCGATCAAAGGCTTCTACCGAGGCATCGGACACCTTGAACAAAGACTCAAGTCTATACACTATTCGTCCCCTGGGTTCATCCGAATTCGATTTTGGCACCGACGAGATCACGAGAGCAATCGGCTTGACAATCCTGGAGCTCAAGCGGAAGGCCGTCCGCGAGGAATGGGTTGGCATGCGCGTCGATTTGTGGGATGAGGGAACGGAAAGCGACTTGTTGGTAAAAGTCCAGTACTGGTGGCGTTTCAAAGAACTCTCGGATGGCGAGCGGATCATGGATGAGAAGCAATCCATGGGATGGAGGCAGTGCTTGCACGATATCATGTACCTGGGCCCGAAGGATGGCAGTCAAGGCGCGGATATGCTTGAGGTCAATAAGTGAGATTGAATACATTGGGGAGATACAACACTGCAGCTTGCGAGTCGGACAACGGTGGGGAGAAGATGGCTGGCCATGCTTATGGAACTGCGCGCTCTTATCAGTCATGCTGCAAGTGCCAAGTCCCTCATCTATCGTTAATGTGCGGACGGTACACAATGCGGGCTTTCGGCTACACCTTTCCAGCAAATGCGGCGTGGTCATCTTGGAGTCTTATATTAAGCTTGTGTAGATCAGTAGAACAAGTCATTCTATGCATGCTTATACGTGCTGTTTAAATAGCCAGGCCAACCCTCGGGCAATTGTGTATATCAAATTTTAAAGCTGAGTGAGGTCTTCTTAGACGTACGATGAGCAAGGATGGCTCGGTTTCACAGTTCCATGGCCGGCCAATGGCGAGAGGATAACGGCTGCTCCCGGGTCATGGATGGAATTGCCCCGGGCGTGCGTAATTCTCCGAGAGAGAGCCCGTCAACAGTGCGCGCGGGTACACACACCCACAGCCACCGAGGTCCACGAGTTGTTCGTACGCCCACACGAATGCAAGGAAAGGGGGACCGTGAGAAGCAGACAAACAGCAGTTGGCGTGACTAACGCGCAGAGGATTTGGCGTCAACGGTGTGCATGAGCAAACACGAGTCGCGAGGCGGACAGGGCATGAAAACGGATAGCTGGCCGGGCGTGGGATGGGCAAAGTCGAAAATAGACGGGCCAAATGGGACCAGATAGGCAGGCGTTTGGCGAAAGCAAATAAACGAATGCAAGTCATGCGGCATTGAGAGTCGCTACCTACAGTAGGTAGCCAAAGTCCAAACCGCGGTTCGTGGTTAGTAGGGGACGCGGTGATATAGGGAGGGGTTTGAGTTCATATGGCGGCCTAACTAAGACTAGCGCATGGCCCCTGCCCATAGAAATCCACGGCATCAAGTTATCCCTGAGAGGGCTCCGGTCGTCTCGCGTCGCCCGATGTGTAATTTAACGCTCGCCGTGCCCATCTCCTTGGACGTCCTCGCAACAGTTTTGCTTGTTGTCGTCCTTTTGCTAACGTTTGGAGCGTGTCCTCACCATCTGGCGTCGCCGCCGTCTCTTTCTCCCTGGATTCTGGACCTCCATCTAGCCCGCGCAAGTTTCCGTACTGGGGCGCCTTGCATGCCGACCATGCACTGATCACCAAACCGGCAGCAATTAACACGCTGGTCCAGCTTTTCTGCAGTGACATCGATGGCGCACCAATCTGGGCTACCGTCGTCTCCTGCAGCTGACGCTGCAGCAATGGAACTCCATCAACCCTCTGGTTCCTTCCTCGCCGATGCCACTACCACGGCCCCGGCGAGCCAGTCTCTCAGGTCGCGACGGCGCGATTCTCTACCACTGACTGTGAAGACTGCGGAGGTCCGGTCAGCCAAGCGCACTCCAAACTATATACGCACCACAGCCGCCTCGCCCCAGGTCATCTCCTCCCTGATCGATCAGCTATCAGCCATTTCCATCCCCACGCGCAATCATTTCGAAAACCTGCTTGTGGGCTACGACGACCCCGTGCCCGCATCGACGTCGACCTCTGCCGCCCCCAGCGTACACGCGCATTCCGAGGGGAACTCGCTGAAGGGGCATGATGGGGCTGGCCAGGACTACGCAAACTACCACCAGTCGTTGAAAGACCAAAACGACCTCTACCCGGACGACGCATGCGAGCCGCCCGTCATCCGCACCTCCAAACCACCCTCGGGCAAATCCCCGCTTACTGCACCAAAGAAGCCGAGCAAAGCACATTCCCTCAGCAGCTACATCGGCCGAAGTGGCGGCAGCTCGTGCTCTCTGCACTCGACCCACTCCAACGCAAGCAGTTTTGGAAACATTAGCATCGAGGTCGGTGCGCCGTGCCGATTGTCCAGTAGCAGCAACAGATCGTCTGCGGAGAGCAAGAGGAGCTCAAAGGGTTACAAGAGCTTAATGTACATGAGCTCGCGCGAGCAGCTCAGGCAAAAGGAGACGGACCGGAAGCGTGTAACAGTACATCACCCCATCGACGACAGCGCGTCCATCGACTCCCCCAGGAAGGCTGCCTTCCAACTGTTTCCGTACGAAGACACAATCAAGGAAGAGCCTTACTCTGCCAAGGACGAGCCGCAGATCAAAGAGACTACTCTCGAGTCGCCCCGACACGTCCAGCGATTTTCTCACAGCCCACGGCGACTCCGTCTGAACTTGGTGGATGGTCCGCAGGGCGAAAGCCTCTCCGACAAGGGCCTGATTCCCGAACGCGGTTCATCCCTGAGGCATACGGGCAGTCCGACTCGCAAGGCCAAGAAGCGCCGGTCCGAGGAGAAGAATCGTCCCAAGTCCCGCAAGACCGACGCGGTACCCGAAGTGGAGGAGAATATGGATCCTGAGGCCCAGAGAAACAAGACCATCTTGGACGAGCTGGAGCAGGAAGAGAATGAGGTCGCTCAACGAATTCGCCAACTCAAGGAGCGGAAGATGCGGAGGGATGAGTTGGCCGGGAGGATGCCTGTTAACTCCGGCCTAGGGTCAACACCCGCCAGAGCGTCGCATGTTTCATCCTTCCCAAGTCCAGAGTCTTCCCCCACAACGACTGTATCAAGCGTGTCAGAAGATGAGCGAAGGGTGCAAGACCCCACCAAAGCGCACAAGGTGCTGGGAATATCGCACGAAACTGCCTTGGCGGAGAAGCTAATGCTTAGGCCACAAGACAAGCCTGCCGAAAGAGTGGAAAGTGACAGGCCCAGCCCTTCAGTGCTACCCCAACCACGCACTTCGCGCCAACCGCGGCCTCGAAGTTTAACACTAAACGACAGTAATGACCTTACCCCGCTTCCTCGTAACTACGCAATTGCGCTCCAAACCTTTGCCGAATCTGCGCTTTCGCCAGCTCTAGAGCCAAGTCGCTCAAGATCGCCTGGTCGTCCCTCGAGCACAACAACCAAGTCGAATAGCGACACTTCTGTACCCCAGCGCTGCAACTCACTGGCTGTCAGCGGCAGAACTGCACTCGGGCGGCGCGCAGTGACCAGTTCGGTCATCATGGAGGGCAAGCCACTTGGTCACAAGCATTCTTCTAGCGCATCCGAAGATGCAACAAACAACAGGTTATTACCGCCCTCACGTGCGGCCAGTGAGGAGCCCATCAGCCGACACCGCTCAATGCACGTATCACCGCCACCAGATTCCCATAGCATGCAACTTCAGCGCAAGCGCACAAGCGCGAAGAAGAGATGGTCGCATCCCGATCTGCCACAAAAAGCAGAGAAAAAACACAACGAGAGGGTGGATCGAAGGGAGCAGCAGTCCAGAGCGGCGGCAGTACAGAGCCCATCGCATCCCATTATTGAAGAAAGGCCTGCAAGCATGGATTCCATCGATGTAGAAGTGCATCAATATCTCGACTCGCCGCGCCTATCGCAGAAGATCCGGCATCCACAAACGGGAAGGCTCATCTCCTTCTCTGAAGTCGGCGACCCAGAGGGCTTTGCTGTCTTTGTCTGCGTCGGCATGGGGCTGACAAGATTTGTCATGGCCTTCTACGATCAACTCGCAGCCACACTAAAGCTGCGTCTAATCACACCGGAGCGCCCTGGTATTGGAGGTAGCCAACCTGATCCGAATGGCACTCCTCTTAGCTGGCCTGGTAAGCAAATTAACTCTATCCTGGTTATATTTTGACTAATCCGATCAGATGATGTCCTCGTGATTTGCCAAGCCTTGAAGATCACCAAGTTCTCTATGCTTGCGCATTCAGCTGGTGCTGTCTATGCGCTGGCGACATCGCTACGAATGCCACAGCATATTCGTGGTAGGGTACATCTGCTTGCACCTTGGATACCACCATCCCAAATGGCACCAATTGGTATCAGTCAGGATTCTCCTCCAACCCAACAGCTTCCGCGATCACAACGCTTTCTTCGCGCACTTCCTCCCTCTCTTCTCAAAGTGGCCAATTCAACTTTCCTCAGTGCCACAAGTGCTAGCCTTCAACGCACCGGGCCAAAAACATCCCCCAAAACAAGACGGAAGAGCATGGCGCCTTCGCCGGTTCAGCCAATCCAACCGCCAGTCCGTCCATCCGTGAAAGACTCACATCGACACTCGATGATGATGATGGATCAAGTGCTTCCCAACGCAAGCACGCTGACCTTGGCTAATGCCACAGAGCCAAACCACGACGAAGCACAGCGCATGCAAGAGATGAGCGGTCTAGCCGAACGTCAACGTGCTTTTGATGAACGCCTTACCTTTGCAATCTGGGACCGCGCAACGGCAAACGCAAACCCCGCAACCGACCTTATCGTCTGCCTCGAAACCAAGCAGAGTATTGGTTTCCGCTACGAAGATATCAATCGTCCTGTTGTCATTCACCATGGATCCAAGGACTCGCGTGTCCCCGTCGACAATGTTCGGTGGTTGGGCAAGCTGATGCGCAAATGTGAAGTACGCATTTTGGAGGGCGAGCAACATGGACTAATGGCCAGTGCGCAAGTCATGGGCAATGTGCTCACGGAGATGGCAGGCGATTGGGAAGATTGGGCGAACATGGTACAGAAGGGCCACGACGAGCATCGGTCTGTTTCAAGGAGGAGGACGACAGAGAGGTTGAAGAGTCAAATCAGTTTCTCTAGCTGATCTAGATATCCGCGTCTCTCGGGCCTGACAGTCAAACCGGACTGCACACTTACTGCTACCTCTGGATTGGACCTACGTCGAGCCAGAAAGAAGCTTTGGTCTTTTCCATGGATGACTTGGCTATTGGGCCATCTTTTCTGCGACGACTTGTTTTTTCCTTCTTTCCTTGTCTTGTTTTGCCATTTGGGACGAACCACCGATACCCCCTCTGAAATCCTATCTCGTAGCTATCATCCTCCGAGTTTTCTTCTTGTCTATTGTCTCATATCTCGCGTTTTGTTTACACTCCGCATGCTCCCCTTTTCGCACTTTTATATACCCCTGACTAGAGCGATTTCGGGCGACTACATGACGACGTTTGCTTTTTTCTTTTCATCTTCCGGTTGCTCTACTTGTTTAGTTCTCGATGCATATATATATTTATTTATAATAAGTGAAGAGGGGTGGCGGCGGCAATCTGTGCACGCGCGCCCGTTGAAAAAGAATAAGAAATCTGTTATTGGGCCCACAGCTGGTAGGGTCTCTGCCAGCTTTTAGTCCAGACCCCCTTCTTTTGTCCCGTGTCATACATGTAGAATTTGGGTGTGTAGTTGGAATGGGTGGAAAGTTAGATAAGGAAAGAACTTTAATTTACGATTTGGCCCTGATCGTTGGAGAGTGTTAAGTGGTGTTTTCCAATGTGAAGGGAGATATGCTTGTGTCATGAGTGCGTGCGATGATCGTAGTCGGCGCGTTGCATGTATGTTCAACAATTTTGTGAGAAGAAAACGGTATACACACTAGGATATCTACAATATGATGTCGAAACAGGATTTTGGTCGCTTTCTTATACCGTTGCTGCCCATACTACTTAATGAAATCACTGTCAATCATATATTGGTACGGTTTCGACACCTTTCACAAAGTATACGCTTCACCGTCGGCCCCAAATAGCAAATGCGGCTTCCTCTGCGCAAGATCAAGGATAGTTTGTGCAAAGACGGAGTTTGCCCACGCAAACCAGCTGCCTATTCACCAAATATCATCAGTATCTGACCCTGCCACTCAGGAAGTGTTATCTGCAGGAAGACTTACGTGAATACGTCTTCGAATTGTTCACATTCACACTCTCGTGAATCAGCCCATTGTGACTAACACTCTTAACCTGATGCAAGCATTCCATAATCTCTTCATCGTCATCGCTTGTCATGGCCTGCACGAGGATACTCATGGGCCAGGCGTTGCGCAAGCCTACATGCGGGCCGCCGATGCCGTGCAAGTCGCTGCCAGTGAGGTAGTACGGGTTCCCGTTCTTCTCTAGAACCATCTTGCGGGTGTTCTTGTAAATCTTGTCATTCACGTCGCAGAAACCGAGCAGCGGGAGTGCAAGAAGCGAAGGCAGGTTGGCATCGTCCATGAGGATGTGTGAGCCATAGCCGTCGACCTCGAAAGCGAAGACCTCTCCGTATTTCTTGTGCGTTACGACGCCATGTTCCCAAACGCCTTTTGCGATTTTCTCGCCCCATTTGAGAACTGTGGCAGCGATGGTTTTCTTGCCGGCTTTGTTGAGGAGGGCGGCAGTGCGCTTGAGTTCCACGGCGATCATGGCGTTGGCGGGGATGAAGAAGCCTAGAATTGTGGCATCGTCGCTGGGGCGGAAGGCGCTGCGGACCAGATTCGTGCCGCCGTTCAGGGGATTGCCCAGGCCATTGAGGCTGAGGGTTTCCGTACCGATATTGGTCTTGCGCTGCCATGTATACTCGTTGCCCTGGTAAGCTCCGGTTTTCTCGTCAAAGGTAGGTTTCGATTGCTCTGTCAAAACGTTGAGTAGGGTGTCTAATGCGAGCATCCAGCGTTCATTGATGAACTCTGTAGAGTCAGTGTGGTTGTGGAACTGATTTGACAATGAAAGAAAGTGGGCGAGAGAGTCGAGCTCGTATTTACACTCGAACACAAATGATTGCTCGTAGTCTGGGGAGACGGTATCCCCATCGCCCTGGAACGTCGGGCTCAGGCCACTTGGGGGAGGCGGCTGGAAGGCGTTGCAGTAGGGAGATCCAATAACATACTCGGCTTGTGTATTGATAGCTCCGAGAATCAGCTGGTGTATCTCCTTGTCTTTCTTGGCCAGGAGTTGGTACTGTGCTAGTTGGTTTGTCGAGTCGCGCAGCCACTCGGCATTGATATCTCCTGTGACGATGAAGCTCTGCGCGCCCTTCCATGCATGCGGATCCCATGAGCGCTGCGACGTCTTGTGCTTGACGGTCCCGTCGACGTGCCACCGTACGGTCGTATCGAGGGTGTTTGGGAACGCGTTTTCAAAGAGGCGGGCGAGATCCTTGTCAACGATCTTCTTGTTCATGTCGTCGATGACTTTCTCGACAAGAGATGATTCGAAGGTTCGGCAGTACTTTGAGGGCCTTTGGAAAGGGAGCGCGAGAGGTCCTTCGCTATATGGTGGACTAACATGTGTTCAGTAATTCGTGATTAAAGGATTCGTAGACAAGTCCGACGTACTGTGGTCGCATGGCATAGTTCTTGTAGTCTGGACATGCTGCCTTGTACTTGAGGGGGTCAATACCCGCATTGAGAGGTTCTTGTTCCCTAACATTGTTCAGACCAGCAGAGACATATGGAAGAGTGAACAAAGTGCCTAGAGACAGCGATGCTAACGATGATCTCATGGCGCGTGAGGTTGAAGTGCTCGTGAGGGACTATCGTGCGACGATGCTAGAGAGCACGAGGGAAAAAGAACAGGTTCGACACGTAGGAATAGACTTCCACGCGGATACGATCTTCATTCACTTGGCTTGCAGGTGAAATTAGATCGCTCGTGTTGCTTGTGTCAGATGAGGTGGCTCTCCATGGGGACACCCCCGCCAATGGGAGAGCGGCAAGTCCGCATGGTTCGTGCGCCAGCTTTCGCAGCTCCCTAGTTAGTCGCAGTACAAAGCAGCCTTCCGTTCACATGCACTACGTCCAATCTATAGCAGTATACCAGCTCTCTGGACACAACTTCAACTCTCGCTTCAAATCGTATATATTCAAACTATATAGAGTAAAAGCTGATCTCGGAAGGAAAACTCAAACATGATATCATTACCAGGCCTCAACCTATCGTCGCAGTCTGTCGACCCTCACAATACGCCCACCTCGACCGCCACACGAACACAAGAACTTGCGGCAAATACGGAATATCGCTTCGAAGTCGCCTTCTCGCATACCCTCACTATCAAACTGCAGTCAGGCACTGCAGAGTTCTTTGGCACAGAACTTGCGCCCTCAACGACATACACGTTTCAAGGGACAAAGGGCGCCATTTTCACATGGCATGGTTGCAAGCTCGACATTGGCGGGCAAGCCGAGGGAGAATATGTTGCTGAGGAGACGCCTATGATGAGTGCTGCGAACCTCCACTTCGCGCTGGAAAACCTGCGCGACAAGAGCGTTGCAAGTGGCAGCGTAGAGATGGGACCCAGAATACTGGTCGTAGGGCCGGAGAACTCTGGCAAGACGTCACTCGTCAAGATTCTCACATCATACGCGGTCAAGATGGACAGGCAGCCAATGGTTGTCAACCTGGACCCTCGCCAGGGCATGCTCAGTGTACCCGGGTCCTTTTCAGCCGCAGCATTCTCGTCCATTGTAGACATCGAAGAGGGCTGGGGCAGCAGTCCAATCTCAGGACCCAGCCCTATTCCAGTGAAGATGCCATTGGTATACCACTATGGTTTGAAAGACCCGGAGGAAGGCAGAGTATTCAAGCCGTTGGTCACACGCATGGCACTCGCGGTAACTAGTAGACTGGAAGAGGACAAGTTGAGCAAGCAAGCTGGCTTCATCATTGATAGCCCAGGCGCCATCAGTCAAGGGAGGAATGGTGTCTACGACAACATAGAACATATTGTTTCTGAGTTCTCTGGTGCGTGTGATGTGTTCATATATTCTTTTGCCTGATATTCCCACGCTTTCATCCACTTCCCATGCCTTCGCCCAATGTCCCCCATCACTCAAGAAGGTACGCATGGATATTCCAGAACGTTCGACTGACATTGTCCCCAGTAAACGTCCTCGTCACCATAGGCTCCGAACGCCTGTACTCGGACCTCTCTCGCAAGTTTACCTCCCGCCCCGGCAGCGACCCCTCCGAAGCCGTTTCCGTTATCCGCATCGATAAATCTGGCGGCTGCGTCGACCGAAGTGAGGAATACATGAAGACTCTGCGTCACGCCCAAATCAGAGAATACTTCTTTGGCAAAGGCGACGAGACACTTGCGCCCAGCAGCCAAAACGCAGATACTGCCGACCTCAACATCTTTCGCGTTTCAGACGGCCATGGAATTATTGTCGACGACTACGGCGTTACACAGGAGCGACAGGTGTTTGATAAGGTCGCACCGACAGAGAGTATGGAGAACCATATCCTCGCTGTCACAACAGCCAGTCCGAATGATTCGCAGACTGTCATCAGGGACAGCAGTATTAGGGGATACATCTATGTCGCTGATGTTGACGATGCCAAGAAGAAGGTGAAGCTCCTGAGTCCTCTGCCAGGACAAACACCTGGGAACGCCATGATCTTGGGGAGTTGGCCAGAGGCTGTCGAGGGTCTGGTGGGATAGTGATATAGGCAGCGTAGGACTGGCTGCAGAGATTTCTGGAAGAGTTTGGACCGAAGGGCTTGTGGAGAAGTATGGAGAATAGGAAGAGGATGATTGATTCCAAGAGACAGGGTTATGTTCCAACAGGTGGTGAGCGGTGTGCTATACTATCCAAGGTGAATATGTGACAAGGCACCTATGGCTGGCAATATGAATTTATTGCTACCTAATTAGAAAATGTGCAAGACTGGCTAAGCTGGGCGTTTCTTCCACCTGGACATCATGGAATACTTGACAGTGTGGTTAAGCGCCTAATAGGCGTGTCTGGCGACTACAGTGGCCTTCTTACACTAGTATGTCAAGTATTTATGACACCCTGGTGCTACAGGTTGGAAGAATCGTGGAATCAATCATCCCACTTGAGCATTCCCTCCCTCCCACGAACCTCAGTCATTCTTTCTCTCATCGTCCAATCCCGATCATGCACTTTCCACCCAACATGTTTCTTAAACGAGTTGGGCTCGTCCTCAGCTACAGCAGCGTCTAAAAATGGGCACTCTGCGTCCCCATATAAAAACGCATCCACTTCCTCATCGATTAGTTGTGAGAAACGCACAGCAGTGCCGAACAAATCTTCGATTTCCTCCAATGGGATCGGCTCGGCAATGGTGTAATGCGGCTTGGTACCCTGCATGGAAGTCGCGTAGTACTCTTTCAAATGTTGGAAGAGATGGGCCCAGTGCACGGCTTCACCGCCAGCATGAGTCACATGATACAAAGTGATGTGCTGCACGTTCTCCAGCGCAATGAGGAATTCGTAGAACTCATCGACTGACATGGCAAGATTTCGCAGGGTCAGAGTCTTCAGATTCGCCTTGCCCAGGTCGTCGATGAGGGGTGCTATTGCGTGGTTGACACGCATGTCCCGCATGTCCAAGTCGAGGTGCTCAAGATCTTTCAGCTCCGCAAGTAGACCCTGGATGATGATGTTCGGTTGGCCATGTTCACTGCGTGTTGCGTGGGTGCAATAACAGGGTATAAATGACAGTCGAAGGCGCTTGAGTGGCATGCGTCGGAACATGAGCGTCGTGTCGTTGAAGAAAGCTAATCTGCGGTCAAACACATGCTCCGGTATACCGGTTTGCGCGTTTTCAGAGTCGATGACGAATTCCTCGATGCTGGGAACCTCCATAGATAGTAGAGCGGACAGGATGATTGTATAACCTCTGCATACTGATTGATCGGGTTGAGGTGGTCCGTAGGAACCTGAATGCATTCTCACCGGCCCTGGGTGGTCACGGTCAGAGAAGACGAGTGGTTTGCGGAAGCCCGGGGGCAGCGAACGATGGAATGGCGTATTGTATCGAGGCCGCTCATTCCACAACCACCACGCTTCGCTCGTAAGTGTGATTCGTTTGACTTTGGGGAAGCCAGCGAGCGCCCGGTGCAGGGTTTCTGAATCCAGATTCTGTTGTACAATTTCTTGCTCTTGGTCATACAGGCTTTGATAGACCAGATAACTATCTTCGATGCTCATCATTATCGCATTTCTAGCAAGCACATCTCTCGCGAAATCATCCTCATACCGTAGAAGAATCTCCTTGACGTTGTCGGTGAGGTATCCGTCTCCATTTTGGTACATGCCTTCCTCCTCCAGCAAACGGGCTTGAGGGCTGTCATTGCCGTAAATCTCAATCGCCTCGTCTAATCGATCGGCAATGGCTGATCTAGTATCTCTTTCATTGGAAACTATCGCCTTGTGGAAGCTCTCGAGCGTGGGGTATTCTTCGAGTCGCGTACCATCGAAGACAATCTCATGGACGCGACCCTTGTACCTAGGATGAGCCAGAATTGTATGCAGATAGGCCAGATTAGCTCGATTTGGTGAAATGAAGACACGGTCGATCCTAAGATAGACACTGTCGGCTAGACGCTTGCTTGCGAGTCGCAGTCGCTTGATGTCTAGCTTTGATATGTATTCGCACACAATCTCGAGGAGTTCCGATGGCAGGTCCAGGATGGTTTTCTTGTTCTCAGCCGGACGTCCATCGGTGTTCCCAAAAGCCTCTGGAAACTCGGCACCAAACAGGTTTTCCATGAAACTTATGGATGGCACATTGTTGGCAGTAACGGCAGAGACTGCTGATATTCGGCGCTTTGTGACACCCGATCGGATGGTCAAGCTAGGCTTGCGACGATGAGACTTGGCAGGTCGTATCTGGAGGTTTTGGAACATTATGCGTATATTATGATGACAATTGGTTCGGCAACAGTCTTATCTTGATGCTTGACGTCAAGGTGTTGCGGTAGTACTGTGAAGAGGCGGAGATGTCGGGGTTTGCTAGCTATAGTAACATGTACGTATGGCGTGACAGCATGTGTAGAGTCATATAGGGATGAGTCAGATTGTGAAAGAGTTGATCTGAAGATGGATAGAAGAAAAGATAAGCTTGCGACATGCCAAAATACGGTGTCGAAGGGTAAAGGGCATGCTAAGGGTGGTGAAACGCAAGCGTTTGCAGCGCTACCAATGCGAAGCTATAGGCTACCCCATCCGCGAGCTGCAGAGCTATCATCATAGGCTTTGGGTCACATTACACGTGCAACGAGCTAAGGCTCAAACAGGTCGATACCGAAGACATGAATTTTGGCACGCACATTGGTCAATTAGTGGGCAATTCAGGCAGCGGATGCCCACAACGTGCCCTTCGCTTACAGTAGGGGCGTCGCAGTGGGGCCCGCCCCAGTTCACGTCTGAAGCTTTCAACGACATCACGACAAGCACCACAGAAAAGTATCACGATAAGCAGCTCTTCTTATTACCTCAGGCGCTTTCCAGCAACCCGAAATGTTACCTAAGAGCCTACATAAGCTAGTGCTGCCTTGTGTCTAGCAAGCACTTCGCGAACGGTTCCACGACGCATATCTACCTGGCGACGACAACGGCCAACAGATCACCTACTTGTACAAGTATGTGGTGTGCCAGCTATGCCATTGCAGCAGAAGCGCTCGCTCTTCCCATATCGATACGAAGATTGACCAGCACTCGAGTGCATATCCATACCCCGCACAAACCTATGCCGAAGCATGGAAGTATGACAGAGGCTGTGTGTAGAAGTCGAAGTTTGGGAAGGGGGCGAGTTCTTCATTTAGGAACCCTCCTCGCCCTCGGCCTTCTTGCTCTTCTTCTTCTTGCCACCGGAGCCGAACGAGTTGGGCGCGGTTGGTACGGCCGACTGGTGAACAATGAAGCGAGTGTAGCACTCCTCGGGGTCCCACTCAAAGCCCATTAGGTAAGGCTTCTCGAACTCATCGTCTGCCTGCGCCAGTTGTCAATAAGGCTTGCATGCAAGATCCGGTCGAGGATACTTACACGCTTCTTGAACTGCTTGTGGATAGCGTCTAATGCGTCTTTGATGGTAACGCCCTTCATGTTCCGTGCGGTGACTTCTAGGCCCAGCGGGAAGTGCAGGGCAATGGACTTGAGCTTAGGCTCGGTGAGTGGCAGCTTCAAGACAGCTGGGTCCTCGACAGTTGTGGGTGACTTGTTGAGCTTCCTGTGGCATAGTAAGCATCGCGTCTTATCAGTGCATTCCGCCGGAACCCTTCGGACTACGGTAGGCTTCACGGCGATGACTTGTCATGTTGCAGGACGTTGCCGTATCAGCAATAAGAGAGTCTTCACCTACCAGTTGAGCTTCTGTGTCTCGATTGAGATCTCAATCTTCTTGCCCTCCTTCTCTGTTATCTGTTAGTCCGGCCTACCCCTCACATGCATCATGGACATGACGGAACACTTACCTAGGTCTTCGATGCGGTAGACATCAGCAGCCATAGAGCTGACTCTGCGGTGGCCCTTCTTGGCGGCGCCATCCTTGTGCTCTTCGGTGAGCGAGTCGACCTTCTGGAGCGTGTTTTCTGTCTCTGCGGCCATTGTATTGGAGAGCAGTTGTAGTTCAGTTGCTACTGAGGAGAGGAAAGTATGATGAAAGAGCTAGGAAGCTGTATAGTGATTGCTTGATGCTGCGGCTGGTGAAGGACTATCAGGCACAGTGGGATGAGGGAGGAAGAACAAGAAGGGAGGGAGGGCGCAGCTTATGAGGGGTTTCGTCTGTCGCCGGCACGCACAGGAGTCGGTCACTTGATTGATCACCACATATGATCCAATCCCGGCGTGAGACATGAATGGACGGGCCAATGCGGGGAAGGGGAGCATCGCCCAGAATGCGGGGAAGGAGGGAACAAACGCCAACGACCAAAGCGTGTCAACAGTAAACTTTGGCATCACAATAACATCAAACTTGAGTTAAAATTAGCAATTGAGCCGCATTTTTCGCCTCAACATCACTTGCAACTTTTCTGCTCGCTGTGTGGTCTTGTCGGAGCTCATCGGAGCTCAAACATGGTGGTGAGATACATCACGCGACCTACGTCATTGGCCGGCGACTTAACAAAGCCACTCATCGACGCGCATCGAAGCGCATCGTTTCAGCGCCGGACTCTCGTACGGACCGAGAGCGCCGGCCCACTTGGTCGTTACAGGGAGCTATGGTCCACGCGGAGGTGCATGGCAGCGTACAATTGGATAGCTGAACGCTGCATGGTACCGCGATACATGATCCAACGGCGACATCAATGTTGTTAAACATTGACGAACAGAATCTTAGCTTAACACATGTCTGCTCATAGTCTGGCCGACAGTACTCAAACTTTGTTCATTTGCCAAGTGATAAAAAGCAAGCTCAGGATGATCGCGCCATCACTCTACGAATGACCCACAATCCTGACAGGCTCATACAGCTCCTCAAGATACTTGTCCTCCTCCTCACTCAACTCCTTACCTCTCGCACCAAGTGCTTCGTCCATCCTGTCGGTACTGGAGAACCCAATAATTGGACTTGCGATACGCTTGTTGATCCATGCCAGTGCAACGTGGCTCATCTTCCAATCATGCTTCTTTGCGATCTCCTCAACGCGTCCAATGATCTTCTTGTCACGTTCCGTGTTACCAGTAGACTGGTCGGCGGCCTGTTTCTCGCCCTCTGAACGCGTTGTGGAGCCAAACGCGGACGGTGGACGGGCAAGATGGCCTCGGCAGAGGGGTGCCCACTGAGAGTAAATTAGCATTGAGAACCGGCATGAATACCATACGAGGAAACTTACAGGTATAAGACCAACACCAGTATCGTTGCAGAAGCGGTTCATCTCACGCTCTTCCTCCCGATATAATAGGTTGTAATGGTTTTGCATACTGATGAACTTTGTCCAGCCATGTTTCTCTGCAGTAAACTGCAATTGGGCGAATTGTACTGCCCACATAGAGCTGGCACCAATGTAACGGACCTTGCCACTCTTGACCAAATCGTGCAGTGCCTCCATCGTCTCTTCCAATGGCGTATTGGGATCGAAACGGTGAATTTGCAAAAGGTCAATGTAGTCCATATCAAGACGTTTGAGTGATGCATTGACGGCATTGAAAATTGCCTGCCTCGATAGACCACCTTGATTGACGTAGTCTTTCAACTGAGGCATTTCCTTGTTGAACTTGATCGTGCGTATGCTGGGATCTTCGCCAACATACCCGAAGCATTTTGTGAGAATGACAAGCTTATCGCGCGGGAGGTTGTACTTTTTGATCGCTTTGCCCACGATTTCCTCGGAAACACCATTAGAGTAGACGTTGGCTTTAATAGTATTAGCAAGTTTTATAAACCACAGGAATTCTCTAGACCCACCAGTATCCCAAGTGGTGATTCCACGATCATACGCTGCCTTCAAAAGTGGCAGCGACTCTTCTTCTTCAATGACCCAAGGTTGCCATTTTGCACTTCCAATGCTCATAGCCCCCAGAATGGGAACCGAAACTTTCAAACCACTCTTGCCCAGGCGCTTGTACTCAGCCTTGGACTCTCCGAGGAGGCCCATGATATCTGTCTTGTCCGCCATAGTTTAGACTGTGAGTCAAGACGAATTAGTATATGGTGGGGCACTGATCTTCCAGTACAATGGTAAAAGGCAAGAAAACAGAATCGAGTTGCCGAAACGTTGGGTGGCTTTCTCTTCATATACCTGTAATGTCGGCAACTCCCCCGTGTCTACACCATGGCCACCTGCTTTCTAATCTGTGGGGACTATGGGCTGTGAAAAGCCGGGATTTGCGGCGATAGCTTCGTCATTAGGGCCGGTGGCTATGTTATCCGTACATACCACAAAGCCATGTGCGGGGTGTAGGCACGACGTGCCGCAATCCTACCTCATGACGACAGAACAAACCCGCGGAATATGACTTGCCTATTTGGGAGTGATCAGCCCTACATGGATATTAGTGGGATGGCACTCTGGGCGTTTACCACGCTATACACCGGGCGTATGGGATGATCAAGCACATGTCAACTGAGTATACTTGTTGGAAGTTAGGAGAAGCTCTTTCAGAGGTTACGAAAGTGTATCATCGACCAAGTTCCTCTCGTGGTACAAAAGCGAGTTCTGATCATCTATGATTCCCGGCAAGTATCAAACTTGTGGACTTTCCTTCACGTCACTCTTTGTGAATGCGCTTTTCCATCAAGTCATGGTGGTATTGTTTGAACATCGTTTTTGAGCGTAACCCCCCAGGCGCCAACCGCATGTGATGCAGAGAAGTTCATAGATGCTCATATGCCCGTAAAGAAACCCGACACCCCAAAACCGTTTACGCGTCCTCGACAATGTTGCCGCGCTCCGACACGTACAGACCGTCCAAGAACTTTCGGATATCCTTGTTGCGGACCTTGCAGATTTGCTGGATATCGGCGGCACCCTGGGAGACGTCCTCGAGCGACTGTACACATGTTAGCGTTGTGGAGTTTCGTGGTTGCAGCGCATTTCTTACGTTTCCGGAGAGCTCGAGTTGATCCTTCTGGTTCTTTGACGCCTCAACCTCAACACCGGGCCTCATGATGACCCTTCGTACGAGCTTCTCGCCAATGAAGTTCCTGATCTCAACCTCCCAGCAGCCGGTCTCCTTGTTCTTGTCTAGGTTGACGTTGATGGGGAAACTAGGCAATATGTTAGCTGTGCTCAGTTCCTGCAGAGAGCCTCCATCGCAATAACTCAATACAGCTTGTCCAGATTCCGGATGCCTCTCAATCAACCACCCAATCCTACCAATGGCAACAGAATGCTAGACAAGCCACATCAAACCAACGATGATCCTTGGCGACCCTGGAAACATATATGGATGGAGTGACATACTGGGCATATACGTAGCGCATCTTGTACTTGTAACCCTTGGTAACACCGACGATCAAGTTGTTCTGCTTCCAGTCAGCCCAGCCCTTGTATCCTGCCAGTATTGAGACTCATTCGGTGGGTGCGACGTACGATGAGGGTGCGGACGGTACGGAGAGTGGCGACGCTCTTGCGCGAGCCGTGGTGGAGCTCGATCTTGATGACATTCTTCTTGGGCTGTTCCAGTCTTAGCATATGCCTTGGATGTGTGTCGTGATTTCGAACGTACGTGTGTGAAGCTGACCGCCAAGTGGTTGAGAGCCTTGGAGAGCTTGCCCTGTGTTGTGTAAGAATTGGATCGTCGTAATCATCGCGGCTGTCTTACTCGGGGACCTGTGAATGCTATTAGTATCATGCTCACAGACCATTCGCGAGAGCGCACTTACCCTCAACAACGACAAATCGGTTCTTGATGGCGACCTTGACGCCCTCGGGGATCTCGAGCTCTTCCTCGGAGTGACTGTTGCACACTGGTCAGTATGCATTCCCGGATTCCATGTTTGCGATTGTTGGATTTGCTATGGAGGCGTCCATTGACCGTTTCGGGGGGTGAAAATTGTGTATTGCGGCGTTTCGAGAGCCAGAGGCAAAGGGAAGACGTACATGTACTTCATCTTGACGGTTGCTGCGGGTTAGCGGTGTTGTCGAGAAGCTGAGATCGATTTTGACGTTTCGATGGTCGCAATGTGTGCTGGAGGGATGGCGGAAAAACGATAGCCGAGCCACCGGCCTAACCCACTTTTGTCGCGCTAGTACCGGCCATTTCCTCGTCATATCAAACGTTTGGAGACGTCTGCATCACCGAATTTGCGGCCTGCAACGACAATGAACATAGTGTAAATACTTTACGACCACTATCAGCATGTCATAGCAACTTGCTAAGACAGGTCTTGTGTCTCTGAATTCACCGCCCAATCACACGGACAACAACTCACGTGCATCTCGACCAAATCTTGCTGTCACAGTCGCAATGGCCGACAACAATTCGCATATCGCCAAAACTCTGCTCCAGCGCGCTTTCTCTCCCTCAACTGCAGAATCGCACTTCCATGAGCGCGTCATAAAGCGACCCCTCCAAATCCGTGCTACGTCTCCTACACCCTCTGCACGCGCAGTTCGTCGCCGCGCCCTGAACGACCGCAAAGAAGTCAATCGCAAGCGCAGCAAGAACAAACCCCGTCCGCTCTCTGCTGCCAAACAACGTGCGCTGTCTCTCAACGAAATTCCTAAAGAACAGCAGAATTATGCCATATATGAAGGGCTACATAGACTGTGGGTTGGGTATATGAGGGAGGTCTTGGGCCTGAACGATGCAGCCAGGAATGCATTGATCACACCTAACGCAAGCGGGCAAAACTTGGCGACAGCTGATATGCATGGTGCGCTCGTGAGCGTCGTGCGGAGCCGGTGTGTGAGTCGTGTCGGACTTGAGGGCATCATAGTCCGCGATACTAGATTCACGTTTGAGGTCATTACGAAACACAACGTGGTAAAAGGTAAGCTTAAGACGTAGGCATACGGTAAGTGGTAAGTATGACTAACAACTGTAGCAATTCCCAAGGAGCACACAATCTTCCGCTTTGAGGTGCCCCTTCCTGACTCAGAGGGAGACACGCCCAAAAAGCCACTCGTCCTTGAACTAAACGGCGAGCAGTTTCAGACTCGAGCGGCCGATCGTTCAAATAGAAAGTTTCGGATGCACTACCAGCCCGATATATGAACCTACCCGGGTGTCATAAAATACTTGACATACCAGTATACAAAGGCCACTGTAGTGGCCAGCACCTTGCCATGTGGCAGCAGCGGCACCTATGTTCGGGTGTGTGGTAATGCTGTGACGTCTGTAGCGTACTCTCTGGCATCGCATTGCCTATCGAGGAGTGTCATTGATCGACAGGGGGTTGCATTTACTATGCGGCGGCGTACCATGGTCCAGCTGATAACACGGCCATGTTGCTACAAGCCACCATGGTCTGAGCTTCATCAAGCACCTCATGATAATAAAACCATATCGCGTCGACGATTAGCTCGTTATCCTCAATACAGTTACATAAATCAACGAGCTCCCTCAACGTTCCGTTCGTTTCTAAACCATAAACATACTCTACACACTTTATCCATATCCAACCATCTCATACAATGATTCCTGGCACTGTCCGCGCCATCGCGCTCCAAGCACGCACCGTCCACATGGCGGCTTCCGTACCCAACTCTCCACGTCATTCAGTCGCCAATACAACAGTACCTCAACCCCAGGCCACAAACTCCTTACCAACATGGCAGCGCCACCGCGACATCTTGCTCTCGTCACCCGCAAAAACCAGCTTTCCGACAAAAGCGACGTCAACAAATCCTGAACACGCACCACCTACAGTACAATCTAACACTACCGCTTCGACGTGTGCGCGGTGAGACATGATGTGTAGGACTGGGTGTGACACAGGGAGTGGCTTGGGGTGGGGAAGAAGAAGCACATGTGAAGCGTTGATGAAATGGTTGGATGGTGGTTGTGTTGTGGAAAGTGGGCTATCTTCAATCCGTGTAATGATATCTAGGGTATACTCCGTCTATACTGTACAAATCGCACAACAACGTAGCCCCAAGCTCTAGTCCTTGTGGGCTTTGTCCAGCAAATCCTTCAATATCTTGGCCGTACTCCTCATACCCTGGAGCGCATTTTCGTCGGGCCCCTGTCCTGGAGTCCACGTAGCGTGAGCGAAATCAATCATCTTGACTTCAGCCAGCTTAGGCAGCGTCTCCTCGTCATCCTCATCCTCGTCCACAGGGTGCGCAGATCGTAGCTTTTGCTTCGTGTTTGCATATTCTTCCACGTCGCCCTCGTAAACGAGGAGTATACTTGCGCTGTACATTCTGCTCTCTTTGCTCTCAAAGACTTCTTGGATATCTTTTACCTCACCCAGGAAGTAGGCGAGCACCTCCCTCGCCCTATCGAGCTCCGCTTCTGACTGGGTGCCGGGGAAGATGTAGTCCTTGAAGCCCTCGTTGATGTCTTCGGTGTTGAACTTGCGTCCGTACATCTTGTTGTATACCCAGTATCCCTCCTGCTTATCTGCCTCGACAAACTCTTTCAGCTCATCGGGAACATCTGGTACCTCAGCGCCCTTGTACGTGCGCATGCCAGCTATCCTGAAGCCTAGACTGCCACTCGTCGTCTCCTTACTCACAGCATCTAGTCGCGCTCTCTTCTCCGGTTTCGCAGCCTCGTCCCACAACTGCGCGCCGAGTTTTAGATCTAGCACATTCGGCTTCTTGAATCCGTGTGTGATGTTCTCAAGTACGATGTGTAGGTCCGTGGCGAGCTTTTTGCCGTGCAATCGCTCAATGGTGCCGTCGGCGGTTTGTATGGTCCCGCTCTCAACGCTTTCTGTTGCTGCGGCCTGGTCAGCCGAGAGAGACAGCTGGCCCATGTACGTGGGGAGGTGGCGCGCGAGATCGGGGTGTGCGCTGAGGGACTCGTAGAAGGTGATTTCGGCAGCCGTGCATGGTTTTACCACTACACCGCCTGATTCGTCGCTGAGAACGCCGTCGCTGTTGCGCGCAGTCAGTGTGGTACTTTTGTACGCAAGGCTGCGTGGTATGTGGGGCACAAAACGTACTGTCCCGCGGCTGCGCTGCCGTATGTTTTGAGGTTAGACGCGTCGTATGTCTTTGTTGCCATGGTGGGACGGTTTTCTAGGAATTTAGGCTAGGAGGTTGTTGCTTGTGTTTGGTGTTGGAGTGGGAGATGCACGGTGAGGCTGCGACAAGGCTGAAGTACCCCACTGTCTGTCGCGTTTCAGGTACATGGCGAGTCAATCTATGCTGTCATACATGGTGCCATGACTCGCATTTGCTACAAGAACGGCGGCATCGTCACTATTTCGTGTTGTATGCTACTGCAACCCCATAAGTAGAGGCTTCCCGTGCTCAACTTGGAGCTATAGTATTCTCCTGGTTGCCTGGTGGTTTTTTTCCATGGACAGCCATGTTGGCATAGATGGGCGTAGCATAAAGCATCATCTAAATCCATATATCGTCTTCTCTAAGCCGCAGCTCATAGCTATCTTGTTTGTCGCGCTAATTCAGCATGATGGCACTGTCAGACCGAACAAAAGCCAATGTCTTTGCACGTGCCTGCCATTTCCAAGTTGTGGCCCCTCTCACCGCAAACTGCAAACGCAGTTATCCGCCGTTGCTACAAACTCTCACCTGCCTAGCGCCTTCTCTGTCATACTGCCCTCAACACATATATAACTGCTCTCAGCCTCTTTCCATCTTCCAGTCGCCAAGTTCAATTCCCATCTGCCAGCCACCGAAATGGCAGTCTCGACTAATGCGCCTGTGTTGACAACCGCTGCAGCAGCATCCAATGAGACTCCCAGCAGCGACAGTGCCAATCCAGTCAAGGACTCGGAGGTCCAGGATCCCCCAGATGGTGCAGATATCCGTCGTCAAGTGCGTATTTCACCTCCCAATCTCTCGACAAGTACTGCATGCTAATTCCATCAAGGTGGAGTTCTATTTCTCCGATGAGAACCTTCGCTATGACTTGCACATGCTGCAAAACTGTGGTGGACGTGCCAACAACCCTGTGTCAATCAACCGTCTCTGCGGTTTCGGGAAGATGCGACAGTTCAAGCCCAAGAGCAAGGTCCCTATAGCCCTTCGGTTAAGCGCCTTTCTGGAAGTAACCGATGACGGAAAACAAGTCAAGCGCAGGGTGCCTTTGCAGGGCAAGTGCCTCCTAGATCCTGACTTTGATGACGACCCTGATTTCGCCTACGATGAGCGTGTGCAGAAGAAACCCATCCAGAAGCCGGCCCAGTTTCCTGTACCGCCCCTGCCCCAAGAGAAGACAAAGTACCCCAATGGCCTCTCCAAAAACATGCTCAAACCCACCGGATTCGAGGAAGGCTTTGTTGAGCTTGCCCTTACACCCAACGAAGCTGAAGTCGAGGAAGAAATGTACAGCCCGGACAAGCACTTCGTTGAGCGTTACGAGATTGCTATCCAGCGTTTCAAGCAGAAAGCGTCGTATGCACGAAAAGTATGCAGTTGTATTCAACAAGCTGATGCATTTTGGGGGCGTAGAATCTGGCCCTCGTCTGTATCAGGGACATTCGAGAAAAGAAATGGATGGCATGGGCGCTGAGGAAATTGCACGGGCTCTCGCTGTCCACCACGTACCCTGGGACCGCTCGGATGAGAAGCAGTGGGTTGTTGACTTTGTCACTGTTTGTAAGGCTTTCCTGTAAGTCCATCATGGTTTCACCGCATCAGAAGAGCGAATAATCATGGGTGTTCAATGTCGAGGCAACCAATGCTGACTACAACAGGTCATCGTGGTACCCTACTCATTACAGCTATGGTGTGGAGAGCACCAAGAACGCTTGCCAAGTGCCGCGCTCGTTCTTCAGATACCTTCGCTACCACAGTGTCTGCCCTGAGTACGATGACCAGCTTGCCGCCGCCCTGAAGATCTGCGACCTCGCCGAGAAAGAGCTCCCTAAAGTCAATGACATCATCATCGCTATGCCGGGAGACTTCAACAAGTCTGCGAGTGTTGTCTTTGGCGGCGCTCAAGCTGACATTTACCTTGGCAACAAGCCTTGGGCTCAGGCATTCAAGGAGGAAGGCGTAGACATCGAAGAAATTGGCATGCGGGACGAAGAGGCAAGGGTCAAGTTCAGGACTGGCATTGCTGTTCTGGGCTCTGATGAGCAGTTCGATATGCTCGAGGGCGGTAGCCTAAATGTGCTCAGCAAGGTATCTGCATGTCTTGAAGTCACCGCTATCCAACTCCCGACCGAGGAAACCAAGATCAAATATGATGAGATGAACCGGATGAATAGCAAGCTCATTCTCAAGCCTCTGGGAAAGCTCATTTGTAAGGATTACGAGTTCTGGCTAGAAGAAGACATTCTGGAGGATTGCTTCATCGGCCTCAAGATAAACGCAGACATTCTCGTACTCCCAGGTCTGACTATCCTCGACGAGGTCAAGGACTGTATGTGTAGCTTCTACACTTGGATTCCTAACGAGCTCGGAATGCCCAAGGAAGTACGGTGGAGGGAGGATGCGGTATAAGCAGTGGTTTTGGTGAGAAGGCACATCTTCATAACTTTGTGAGAGATTTACTAGGGAAGTGGCTAGATACATATATGCTTCTCAGTCTGCATCGGAAGTTTCCATATTACAGCAGGGGTACTATGAAGAGCTGAACAGGAAGCCCAGTGTCCGCCAACTTCCGATTGACTCAAAGGGCAGAAACGATAATAAGGGTCAACTAGTTTTACACATCTCAAATAATCTGTTCCCTAGTGCTCCTGAAGTGAACTACTACTTTCGAAGCGGCACAAAGAGTGAGACTTGTCCAAGGAAGAAAATCGCGATCGAGGCGACAGCGACGGCGCTATATGTAACAGCGACCTGATTTACGGGTCAGCATAATGCCAATGTCCCACAATGACAGAAACTCACCTTCGTGTTGTCGTCCCACAAAGAGGGAGAATCCAAGTGTGACGTCGCAGACCACACGTGTAGGAACATTCCGACAATCATACATATAGTTGCAGAGGTCAAAAACATAACAGGCATTTGCCAAGTGAAGATTTGGAGTAGACTGGGTGTTCGACGGCCAGTCTTTGAACTATGGCTCCTCTCGCCGTTTGTCTTAGACAGTAGCTTACGGATATTCTCGAGACCATCACGGTGCGAGGAGAGCCGATGTAGTCGTACAGTTTGATCGGCTGCCGTAAGGATGCTGAAAAGCGACAGGATTATGCCGCAGTACCACGACGTGCGTACGGACCATGGCGACTTTTGCCCATTGGGCAAGATGTTCGGCCAGCTACCGGTTGATGTGAGAACTCCAGCAAGCAGTGCAGCCTGGTACATGTTAGTTAGATTGACGTGTAAATTTGGCTGAGTTTCCCGAGTAGAACATTTGGATCTTCCGTAGGTCGCCTACATGAGTATCACGTGACCGCAAAAGAAGCCTTGGAACCGCATTGGATACGTACCACGACACCCACAAAGTTCAATTCACTGAGCTTGTTGTCTCGCCATTTGATGGTAAGTTCGTCTCTATCGTCTTCATCCTCGGTATTGAGCAAAATCTCGAGAGGGTCATAGGTAGTCTCGTCTGGAGCATAAATGCCTCCACCAAAGAACTGCAGTATGTGTACGAATGTCAACCTATCGCCATCTCGCTCGTTTCCTATTCTCTGATGTGATGAGCTCCCTAGTAGTGGCGTTCGCGAGCCCGAAGTAGCTCTGTCTTCCACGTCGTTATCATACGTCATGGCTCGCAAGACCTTCTGGCGTGGCGCTTGATCGCAATCCGGTGGTAGTTCGTTCAGATACTAGACTGAGATATAGAGTAATAAAGAGCTTAGGAAGCTTGAAGGATGCACGGGATCGTTGCAGTTTGTGTATGATGTTTAGCACCCCTCATCTGGAGGATTGAAGTAGGCAGGAGGTCTCGTGCGGCCACCAATGACGCACGTCGGCGCGTGATCCTTGCCAACCAGCGCGATCACCACTAAGCTTACCACATTACACCACGCTACTGTCGAAACAGATTTTAGATATGAGTCGAGACACAGGAGATGCAGCATGTTGGGGATGTTGGTGTTCACCAGTGCCTGGCCTATTGCCGGGTAGCAGTTGCCGCCCCCGCCCCCACCCCACGCGTTGAGATGCACCGTTTTTGTGGAGCTGTTGCATATTCACAGAGGCCAGTGACGTTTATGATTCCAGAGGACAGCTATCAAGCCTACCAGACCACAGTTTTACGATCACTGATCAACTATATTCAACGAACACAATCACAATGTCCGTTAATCCACAAAAGAAAGACCTGTACGTAGGAACCGATTTGCATCGGTGGTGGAAGGAGGCAGTGGTATATCAGGTATCTATAGTAATGCCTCGAGTTCTACATCCCCTAACACAACTAGATTTACCCAGCCTCTTTTCTCGACAGCAATGGCGATGGATGGGGTGACGTTCCAGGCATCACGCAGAAACTCGATTACCTCAAGAGCCTCGGCATAGACGTGATATGGATATCACCAATCTACAAGAGTCCACAAGCAGACATGGGCTACGATATAGCCGACTACGAAGACATCGACCCCAGCTACGGAACTTTGGCTGATGTCGACAACATGATCACAGAGATCAAGAAACGCGGGATGAAGCTCGTCATGGATCTTGTAGTCAACCATACGTCGGAAGAGCATGAATGGTTCCTGAATTCTCGGTCATCAAAGGAGTCATCGAAACGCGACTGGTATATCTGGAAGCCCGCAAAGTACGATGCTGATGGCAATCGCCAACCGCCAAACAACTGGGCTCAGATTCTGGGTGAAGCCAATTCAGCATGGACGTGGGATGAGAGGACACAAGAGTATTACTTATCGTTATTTACTCCGGAACAACCAGATTTGAACTGGGAAAATCATGATGTCCGCGAAGCTGTGAAGAATGTTCTCCGGTTTTGGCTCGATCGTGGAGCCTCTGGGTTCCGCATGGATGTCATCAACCTGATCTCGAAGGTCCAGACATTCCCTGACGCGCCTGTCACCGTCAAAGGCAACAAGTACCAACGAGGCGACAAGTACTTCGCCAACGGCCCGCGATTGCACGAGTGGCTTCAGGAACTCCGTCGGGACGTATTATCGAAATACGACACCCTCACGGTCGGCGAGATGCCCTTCGTCCGTGACGACGACGAGGTCATCAAAGTCGTTGGTTCCAATCGTGGAGAGCTAAATATGATATTTGTGTTTGACCTGGTCGACATCGACAACATACCCGGAGACTTCAAATATACTCTGTATCCCTGGGACGGCCGTGACTTCAAGAAGATAATCAACAAATTCCAGCGCTTGATGCTCGACCGCGACGGTTGGAACTCACTTTACGTGGAGAACCACGACCAACCAAGGAGTATAAGCCGGTTTACAGATGATAGTGACGAGTGGCGTGAATGTGGCGCAAAGCTCCTTTGCCTGATGCAAACCACACTCGCTGGAACGCTATATGTGTACCAAGGGGAGGAAATCGGTATGCGCAATGTGCCTAAAGAGTGGAAGCCGGAAGAGTACAAAGATATTGAAAGCATCAATTTCTTCAAGAAGTAAGTTTCACCTCCCCCCCACCGAGATTCACTGTACTAAGTACATCTGCAGATACCGCGACCTCTACCCCAACGATGCCGAGAAACAAGCCCTAGCCGCTGAAATAATGCAGCGCAAAGCCCGCGACAGCGCCCGCACACCCATGCAATGGAACACCTCCGCACAAGCTGGTTTCACCACGGGCAAGCCTTGGATGCGCGTCAACGACGACTATCCTACAATCAACACTGAGGTCCAGATTTCCAACCCCACACCCTCACCCGGTATGCTTTCCGTTCATGCGTTCTGGAAGCGTGCGCTGGAGTGCCGGAAGGAGAACAAGGATGTTTTCGTGTATGGGGACTTTGAGATGCTGGACATGGATGATAGTCAGGTGGTTGCGTATAGGCGGTGGAGTGAGAAGAATGCGTTTATTACCGTGTTCAATCTGAGTGGGGAGAAGGCTGTATGGGGGAAGATGGGGGCTCTAAAGGTAAAGAAGTGGGTCGCAGGTAATTATGATGAGAGGGAGTTGGAGGGAAGAGCGAAGAGCGGAGAAATGGAATTGAGGCCTTGGGAGGCTGTCTTGGGTATGCTGGAGTATGATACAATGGTGGCGTGAAGAGTCGAAGATATCTTGTAAACGTCGGTAACAGGAGAATACCGTATTCCCACATTCTCTCACGGCATTGTAGAATAAATTCAGAGAGATAGATGTTTGTGTGAGAAGAGAGATTTCTATATGTATGCCCCAGTTAGCCTCCGACTAGCTCCATCGCTATACATGTTCACATCCTATCACTTTCTTTGCGCCCAGACTAATTATGAAGAACCTTTTAGTGTCCTAAACCAAACCAGCCTCTCATTTCGGGTCCAAATCGTCGAACCCGCAAAGCTCGTCAAGTAAACCGCAACTCCGGTAATCGGTGAGCCCTACTCGCAGCCTTCGCTTTCCGAAAGGGTCAACTAGTCATGGTTAGCTAACAACAAAGAGGTGGGGTTTTTTTTTTCGTAGCTACGAAATACGTACTCTACTTACCCTGGATGATTGCACGTATGAGATTTGTTTGAATTTCCATCTGGGTATTTATCATGTTGATCTCGGTCTCCATCAGCTTGACCTTGGTCTCAAGCAAGGACATTCGGCCCTTCAACTCGGCGAAAGCGCCGTAGTGTTGGATCATGTTCGCTGTAACCAGAATGGCGGTGACTGTGGCGTACGCCAGGAAGGCTTGCATGACGTCGTTCTTCTTGATGGCTGCAATGACTTTTGACATGCTGGGAGACTGCGGTTGGGTGGTATGGTAGGGTACTTTGAGTGATGGGAGTAGTACGAGGGTTGGTGTGAGCTGGGGGTGGCTGCTAGAATTGCAGAATGGTGGAAGGTGGGAGGCAGAAGGTGGCAAGAAGGAGGGTCACGATAGAGGTTTGGTTGCAAGCCAACCGCAGTGACGCCGGGACCAGCCTCTTGACTGTGACTTGAAAATAACTGCCGCTGACTATTGCTCTTCTTATTAAAAGCGGTCCATAGCTTGTCATCTGTGAAACCGTGGGGTTGAGGACTTTTTGTAATACAGTACTCGGCCATGTGCTGTTTGAGGGAGAAGCCGGGCCCATGGACAGCACTGATACATATTAGTAACAACATACATTAGCTACTCAAAGCTTCGCCATATTCCCCTTCTTGCGCATACTCCTTGCCTTACCCTCCACAGCCCCAACCTCACTCTTATCCAACACACTAGCATCAAAAACGGCATCCGCCCAAAGGCCCTCACCCACTGTATCCACCAACCCCAACACCCTCGTCTGCACCGTCGCGCCATCCCTCCTATTCTTGCCCTCGCGCCGACTCGCACTAATCCTTTCTGCAAACCGCCACAACGCGCCATCGGCCACGATACCTTTGGGGCCCCTCTGCGGCACCCACTCATCCGCCAAGCGTATGGTAGCAGGGGTCTTATCCTTGGATTTGGTAACGAGCACCATGCCTTCTTGCTGGAAGCGCGTGTAAGCGTTCTTAAGCGTTTCCTTGTTTACGGCTTCGAAGTAGGAAAGGTCGCCTTGGTGGTAGAGGGTTTTGCCTAGGAGTTGTGCGCGGTCTTGGACTTTTTTGAGGTCGAGCCAGGATGGTGATGGAGGTGCTGGCGCCGATGGTGTTTCCGTGGTTGATTGTTGTGATGATAGAGGTGGCGTAAGCATCATCAGACTGATAGCACCCAGCCACGCGGCCTCGATGAATGGCCAGATTAGGAAGCAGTAGAAGTCGTAGTTTTCTCGCCCCTGGGTGCGCTCGGCAGAGGAGAGCTGGATGTAATCAACGACTTCGTCATCGGCTTCAGTGGTCGACCGTGTGATTTCGATGACGCCGTCTTTCTCGAGACCGGCGAGTGTTTTTGCGAGGTTGCTGTCAAGGCCCTCTGTTGGGAAGATAAACTCGCCACGGAAGAGCTGTGAGAGGAAGTGAACTTGGGCGCGCAGGTCGCCGTACGACATGCGTTGATACTCTGGTCCACCGCCCTGCTTCACGTGCGTATACAGTGATGCGCTGACAAGGCTTTGTTCGATGAAGAGATGGATGGTCATGTTTCGGTAGAAGGATAGTTGGAAGCGGTCGACGGCGTAAAATGTGTCTTCTGGGAGGCCTGGGACGAGTCCAACAAGCCCGGGTCCTAGCACCTCGAGCGCCCGGTCGACAACTACGCTGCTAGGTAAATTGCCGAAATGTGCAACACGTCCACCTTGTGCGCGCACGCGGTCGCTGAGCCACTCTACACGGCGGATGAGTTCGGTTTTGCCTACACCACGGCCGCGGAGAGTGAGGAGGACGGTGCCGACGAGGGCAGTGGGCATTACGACCGAGACGTCGTTGATATCGGACAAGACTTTGTAGCCTAGTGTTCGGAGGAGGCGTAGTCGATCTTCCTGTGTGTTGATTTGCTGGGGCAGCTTGCTGAAGCGTTCGCGTTGTTGGGTGATGAACGTCTTTAGAGACCATGGCTCATGGAAACGAACGTCTACGCGGCCAAGTTTCAAGGAGAGAACTGAGGAGGCGGAAAGAAAGTCCATGAGATTTTCCTTTGGTTTCGGTTGGCCTAGGAGTTCACTAATGTAGGAGCTGTCGCATCTTAGCCTTGAAGCGTCCGAGTATACTCGGGATGTAGGGACTCCTTACTCAACCTCGATAACTTTATCATATTGTGTTGATACTGGGCAGATAATGGCGTCTTCCACCCGCCCGCTCGCCACGCTATCCAACATGTAACTCAGGATTCCAAATTTCGGCGGCAGGAGCTTGCCCGTCCGACTTCTTCCGCCTTCAACAAAACACTCAAGGTTGTAACCGCACTGCATTAAAGTATCGATATATGCCTGCACCAGCGTAATGTAGAGCTGATCGTCTCCAAAACTCCTCCGTATCCACATGGCGCCGGCATGCTGGAGAAAAGAACCGACGACGGGAAAGTTGAGATTATCGCCTGCTACGACAGTTGGGAGCGAGATTCCCAGTCGGTAGCAGATTATTTGGAGGGATACGTAATCAACGTGCGAGCGGTGGCACGGGAGGAAGATGATGGACTGTTTGTTTTTGGCGGCTTTCTCAGCTACAGCGCGCAAGCGCAAGACTTCTTCGCTCGATACGTGGACGCCCTGGTGGTAAGCTCTTGTCAGAAGCTGTGTGGCAAAGTAATATGCGCCTCTTATAAAACCTTTGCTTTCCATCTTGCAGATCATGGAATCGGTCCATCCCTCGCTGACTTGCATGAGCGACTCCTCGATCTGCACCCTCCTCTTCTCTCTCTTATCATGCTCATCGAGCAATCCCTCATTTGCCTCAACCTCGACTCTCTTCTCAGCCAGCTCTCGCACCTTTGCCAGAAGCATCGGACTACTCAGCACTCGCCCCTTCATATCCTCGCTGAAGCCAGAGTAGAACTCTGGCTGTCCGATGTGGTTATCGAAAGACCGCCATCCTGTGCCAGAAAAATGCAGGGAAACTTCGCGTAAGAAGTCGAGCGGCGAGGAGCGGAAGCGCGCGAAGCTGTGTATGAGGCCTCGGTCAGGCGACTCGTTGTAGCCGGCTGCGTGGAGGTAGACGTTGTCATCGGCGGTTATGCTGAGGTCGGGGGCTTGCTCCGACGTGGGAGAGGACGGATTGGAGGATTTGCTGTTATCGCCAGAGGACGCCATTGCGCTTGAGATGCAAGTAATTGAAGCGGCCAACCAAGGGATGTCTCCTTTAGGGAAAGGTGCGTGGGATGCGCATCAACCGGACGCGCTTGTGGGATCAGGGACAAGTTCGGGATGATGAGCATTCACTATGTACAGCCTTTCCTTGTGGATCATTGGGAGACTAGCGTCGTGGCATGGTGAAGTGTGTCCACTTGTTGGAGATGATGCCTGCGCGATGGATGCGCGAATGTCGAGCTTGAGACGGACCCACTTCCCCGGCTCAACGTGCCTCGGCTTGTGGGGAAGCCACGCCGGCGCAGCTTCATCTCCGATTCGTTCTCATCATTTGCGACCCACGAGCTCATCGCCACTGTGCATTGCCTCATGGGCTGTCAGTGTACATCCCTGGAGCTACATGTATCCGTAGAAACGCTGAGAGATTCACATAGAAAAGAGCGTAGTGAGTGCTACATTGGTAGCAACGCTCCTGAAGAAGCATGTCTATGTAATAATACAATGGTGAGCCATGCCGTTGTTCACCGTGTCGAGAGAGACGCGAAGCCTCCCGATTCCCACTCAATCACTGCGATATAGACACCAATCAGTACATCTCCCACAGACTGATCTTCCCATCTTTAGCTCCCGCAGCAACCCAATGCTTCAGCTTCACTTGTGTTTCTCGCGGTTCCGCCTGTCCTCCAAACACTCTGACATAGTCTTGTTTTCTAAAATCTTCCTCTGTCAAGATCTGGGAAAAGGCCACTGCGTAGACACCTTGCTTATGCCATTTCAATACTGCCACCTCCTTGAGTGTTTTGCTGCTGTAGATTCGAATACGGGCATCCCAACCACCGGTGACAATGAGTCGGCCATCTGAGCGCACACGGAGAGATTGCTGACCGGCATGTTTGGTATTGACTATTTTGTACGGCGCTTGTACGGTTATTGGCTGGCATGGCATAGTACTTTTGGCTCGGGATTGCTGGTCGGACGAGAGCATGGAGGATAGCCCACTTGGCTTAGAGTCCTCTTTTCTTGCTTTGTTAATAGAATGCTTTGCAAAATGGGCAGACAAGTCCTCTTCGTGTGTTTCGTATTGCATCCCTGTGTCTTGCGATGCAGTCGACAGGGAGGAATTTACGGCATCTTGCTCACTCAAGAAAGATGGCAGCGCTTGGGGGATAAGTGGCGGATCGCTACCGGTATTTTGTCGAGAATCTAACGAATCCTGCCCTTTGCTGATTTTGGGTAGCATTGGTACAAGATGCTTGGCTATCACTGCATCTGCTGAAGATGTGAAATAGGAGCTGCCGTCTGACGAGGCGTCTAGTGACAGGATAGGCTGGCTGTGGGGCTGGCTGAGATATACGAGCTCGGCACTCTCTATACCAGGGCCAGTACAATTTCCTGGAAGTCTGAAAACGGCTGTGACGCCACCTTCGTACCCGGCGAGAAGTAGAATATCCTGTGAATGTGAATGGCGGACGAGCTTTACAGCCATGGCCATTCCTGTTCCTGTCAGCATTATTCCTTGGATATACACAAGCATTTGAAGACATACCTGTGGCTGTAACTTGCACTCGAGGAATGAGGATCTTGAGCCGCTCGTCAGGGAATTGATATACTTCTATCGTTGTGTCGTCTCTGCCTGGGACGGCTACTAGGATCCCGTCATCTCGCGCTGCAAGATGTGCACTGGGGTGTTGGTAGCATACGGAGAAGGCACAGAAGTTCAAAGTGTTGACAGGAAAGGCATGTAATAGCCATGGCTTCGTTCTGCCGTCCTGATGTTGTAGATCCGAGGGCAAGGGTACACGCTCAGTAAGTCCAGATGGCCCCGGATGTAGTTGCCATATTCTCAGAGTGTTATCCCGGCCGTGACTATGTACCAGGTGGTTAAGTCAACAGGATTGGCTCGACTGACGAAAACAAGCAAGGTGGCTAGAGCCAAATACTGAACCAGTATCGAAGACTTACGTTATCATCCTCCCGTGACCCCATTGAGCCACGCCTAGAATGGGGCCATCATGGGCTTTCCACGCCTCGAGTGCTCGCGAGGTACTGAGGTCCCAGTATACAACATAGCCGTCTGCATCACCCGTCAATAAGCAGCTGTTCTGGCGCACGAATTGAACGCAGTGTATCTGTGAGGCATGGCCACGCAGAATGCAAGTAGGCAAGGCCGGTGGCCGAGTGGCAGACTGTTGCTCGACGGCCATGTGTAAGCTGAGGTGTTAATTTCGGGCAGGCCGGCACGAGAGCAGATCGTCGAGGAACGATAGGTGGGGCGCTAACCATGAACGGCGCTATGTCGGTTAAAACCGCACTACGGAACAAACGATGGGTACGTACACGACTAAACGCTGATCCTAGCCAGATGATTATTGACCTAATGTGGTTGTATACAATACTTGGCTCATTGAAGCCCCCCCCAGACAGTGTTTTTTTGCCACTCTTTGGATACGGAGACGGCTCAAGCATTCTGATGAAGGATCTGCTTCCTGGCGGGCTGGGCAATAGGCGGGCTGAAGCTTTTCGGCCATTGCTGCAGGCGCCTGACGTCAAGCGGCACCCGTAGACATATTGGACAGTAACTACCTACATACCTGGGTTCTAGGAGCGGGAGGGTGCCAGATTGATACATACATATCACTGTTGAGGCGTCGTCGCTTACAGCTCTCCGAGGGTGCACACGACGCTCGGACTGAACAGAGATTGCCGATGCATGCAGGGGTGGAGCTATTTTGGTTGCAAGCTCATTCGCATGCCATAAAACTCTACAAGACAGTTAATACCAAAGCTAATATAACCAGTCAGCACCGCTCGGAGCGTTCAAGTCGGCCGGATATGACGCAGCATGCAGACGAGCCCGACTATTCCCACGGCATTTCCTATCATCAGCCCGGCGTAGACAGTGGGTGCAGTGTGCGCCACAATCTGTCGCTCGTCGGGCATGCACGATTCATGAATACCAGTGGAGCCATGGCGAATGCAACCAAGTCCAACCAAGTGCGTTCATGATTGCGCCACCGTTCAGACCATCCACCACATCTCTGGCCCGACAGCTGCTAAGTGGCTGTTTCAAGTGAGCTATTGCTGTCAATGTAACAGCGCCCGGATCCACCCAGCCTAGGCTATACCTGCCCCTCTTACACTGGCCACCCCGGATCCCTGACACCCAGTTCCAGCATCGCTTCGCTCATGCTCCCTATTCTTCGTCATCGCCCGCCCGCTCAGGTAGATTTCAATACTCCGTCCTTCTCGCGACTCGTGTTCGCTCCCTGCACCTACGTCTGCCACGCCCCGAGCGGCCTCTTGGATTACTGCCCTTCCCGACCCGCCTCGTGTACTTGTATACTTGATACCGTCGCATTTCCGCTTCTGAACCAACACATGTCAGCCAACGCCCTTGAACAGCCTTCGTAATACCCGACACCATACGAGACAAGACGAATCCAACGCCCACGCCGACCGACCGTGCGCCAACTTTGCATACTTTACTCTTCATGTTTCCACAACCACACTTTGCCTCCACTTGCTGATCACCCGAAACAAGACCTGTTCCGTCCGTCTTACACTGCGGCGTCGCGTCCAACCCTCCTCGGCCACGCCTTCTTCTCTCTCTTGCACCCGTTCCAACATTATTATATCGAGACCGAATTGGAGGGGTCAGTCCATTTTCCTTGCTGCACGCCCTAGCACGGGGTCGTGGTCGCCCACCGTCCGGCGCACCTACGATACAGCGACCCAATCCGGACGAGCCGCGTGCAGTAAAAGGGCGCCATCATGACGGGCACCGCTACACCACCATCCAACAATGATTCGCCCGGAAGCAAGCCATTGCCCACTAGAAAGAGAGCCAGCGATGCAACGCCCGAGGACAAACCCAAGAGGACGCGCACTGGCTGCCTGACATGCCGAGAACGCCATTTGAAATGCGACGAGAGCAAGCCAACCTGCCATAATTGCCTCAAGTCGCAGCGCGAGTGCAACTGGGGCAAGAAACTCAATTTCCTCGATACCACATGCGAGAAAAACGCATACATAATACCACAAGGCATAGACTACCAGGTAGCCTTCATGGACGAATCGAGGACTATCGCATCTGAATATGTGGGTGGTCGAGAAATGTATCCGGTAGAGGATGTGGACTCGCACTCGCACCTGTCCGTGGCTAACAACGGATTCGACATGGGCCCACCAGCAGCGTCGCGTCAGCACATCCCCCAAATACAGGGCATCGCACAAGAGTCCTATCAGCAGGCCCAAATCAACTACAACTTTGATCAACAGCGGACACAGCAGCAGCAGCAACAACACGCGCGATCCAGTAAGTTGATCCCGACGCATATGCAGTGCTTTGCTGACCCGACTAGTGTCCAACTACTCAAACGGCCCCACACCATCCTCCTACACAATGGAACACTCGGCGAGCCCAGGGGCCATGCCAAAGCGTGACTACCTCAAAACTCAAGAAGAGGTACTGTATATGCAGGTCTTTGTTGAAGAGATTGGCATATGGATGGACAGCATGGATGCCCACAAGCACTTTTCGCGTTTGCTACCCTTCCATGCGCTCAACGAACCTATGCTACTGCACGCCTTCCTCGCATGCGGTGCACGCCATCTAGCTCTTGTTAACCCCAAGTACAGTGAAGAGAAGGCACTCCATTACTACGATGTCGCCACACGCGATCTATTGCACTCATTGCAGGACCCCGACCGTGACACCATTCTCTGCGCAACCACCGCTGTCATTCTCAACGTTTACGAAATCATGGGTGAGCGCGCGCTACAACGGATGAACCACATTGCGGGAGCTCGAGCCCTGATCAAGGAATGTCGCTGGAATGCTAGGTCTACTGGCATCGGAGCCGCATGCTTCTGGTTGAATGTAGGCATGGAGATTTTGAGCTGTCTGCACTTCAATTGGCAGGTCGCTTGGGACCCAGATGAATGGGGCATTGAAATGGACTTTACACCCGAGACCGAGTCTGGCAAGGAAGAAGTCTGGACACACCGTATACTGTATGTTGTGGCGAGGATCTGTAATTTCCGCGCTTCGATACCGCGGAACCAAGATATCGCGAGACAGACCCTCCAAGAACGACACAACGAATGGCTTCGGCTCAAAGACATGGCTGACAGATGGAACGACAACATACCGCGCACTATGCATCCAATGGCTTACCTGTACCCGGGACAGACGATATCCGGATCAGCCTTCCCCGAAGTCTGGCTGATCAAGAGAGCATCGATCATTGCGCGGCTCTTTTACCACACTTCCATGGTCTTGCTAGCGCAGATCAACCCAATCCAGGGGCCGAGCGAGCCTGAGATGTGGGCTATGCTAGAGCAAAATTCCAAATTCGTTTGCGGCATTAGCGCACATGTTAAGGATCGTGGCGTCGCTAGTGTAGCGCTCCGATCACTTGCAATTGCTGCTGAGCCTCTAACAGATCGACGAGAACAAGAGGAGGTACTTCAGATCTTCGACAAGATCCGTCAAGAGACAGGCTGGCGAGTTGGTTTTGTCAACACGGAGCTGAAGCAGAAATGGGGTTGGGACACGCCTCAGAGTCAGGACCAGAAGCCACAGCAGCAACCGCCGCCACAGCAACAGTCCCAGCAGCAGCAGCAACAACAACATGTCAATGGCCACATGCAGGACGGAAACGTCATGTATCAGCAACAGCCACAAATTGTAGTCCAGCAACAGATGCCGCAAGTGTCAATGGCACCGGCTCCAGTACCAAGACGGCCAACGGGCTTTGGTAACCCACTCTTAGTGGCAGACTTTAGTATGCCACAACATCCCTACCAGACACATTACGTACCGGCGAACATTGTCCAGCAACAGCATCCACCGACATTACTCCAGCCACCACTAAATGGTGTCAACGGATATGGTGGACAACATTTCTTCTAGATATCTCTCTGTTGTTCCCCCATTGCCCAAGACCTTCGCCCCTTCGCTCTTGTATTACTTGAAATTCATGATCCACAAAAAAGGGAACGGCCCTTGGATATCCTCTGTACGGGATTTCGGGTTCCTATATACGGTCTCACGCCGCTTTTTCCTTTTACACTAACGACGTCACGAGTAGAAAACTGCGATAACTAATAGTATGATCATTCTGGCAAAAAAGTGATGGGGAACACACGACTGTCTGCGTAGAGCTTCTCCTGTTGTTTCAAAAAGAATCTGAGCTGTTCTTTTTCTTTTCTTCTTGTTAATAATATACCCTCGGATTTCGACGTCCTTTTCATATACAAACAATTGCATTTGCCAAACTTCATGTCTTCTTTGCTTCACTCATGTTTGTCGTCGACTACTGGTGCCTTCCAACAATGCAAATGAACAGAAAAGCCCTATTGCCTCCTTCCCTGTTCCTCTATCCTAATCTCCCCACACGCAGCTAGCTCGTGATAACATACCGTGCCCTGGACCTCGCTAGGCTCAACATAAACTTCATATTGCACTCCCTCATCCTCCCTCTCCTGCGCATACACCGGTGGCCCACGCAACTCGGCCACGTCTTCGTTGCTGTTCTTGTCGCGCGCGAACCGTTTTTTAAGCCGGAGGAGGGATAGGTTGTTTCGACACCGGTGGAGGAAGTAATAGAGACATAGGCCTACGAGGAGTATGTCTGCTATAGCGAGTCCGACGGCGAGGCCGACGATGCGAGCTTTGGTGAGAGGGGAGGGGGTGGTCTGTTGTTGTGGTTGTGGGAAGAAGATGGCGGTGGAGTTTGGGTATTGGGATTGTTGGATTTGGGTGGGCGGTGGCGAGGGCGTTGGTGTTGATGTTGATGTTGATGTTGACGGAGTCGTCACCGTATTGGCCTGAACCACAAGACTAGATGTCTCATCCAAAGACCCAGTTGAAGAAACCGCTGCAGCGCTGTCAGATTGAAATGCTCGCCCTTCTCCAACCGAGGAAGTCGCAATGGCTGTCGCGGTCGCGGTCGTGGCACAGACTCCATGCAAGAAGCACAGCACCACAGCCAACAAAAACACCAAGCGCCTCATATTTAATCCTGTCCGCGCATCCAGGCGACGACGAAAATGGAAAGATGCAAGTAGGATTTGGGGGCGGTTTTTGGTCTCTCGTTGGGACGCCTGATGTGCGCAGCCGTCACTTTTGAGGTTGGGTACATGGCCAACTGCGCCGCATGCCGGCCCTTGTTTCAGGAGAGTCGGCGAAGATGGTGATTTACCCGTACCTGCCGCCAATGGATTGCTGGATGCGGTGGGAGATTCCACGGGGATTGGGCGGGGTAAGGGTAATTCGCTGGGCGTGATGGTGGTGTGGTCTTGTTGGTTGGTGTTTGGTTGAAGAAGATCACTTTTCTGTAGGTACAAGACTCATTGCACGTAATTTCCGCTAGAATGTCAATATGTCAACATTTTTTTTTAGTTATCTCTATCATGAGTTTTATTCATTAACTACTACTACTATTTTCGCGACTTCCTATAGAGTCTAGTAGCTATGTCTTCGTTCACATTCATGATTAACACATTTTAAAAGCCGGTTGAGCGCCGTCATTCCGGAATTATTACGCCAAATCTATGCACCATCTATTCTACTCTCTACTACTCTTAGGACGAACTCAGTTCATTGTATTCGTGACAGCAACCTCCTCAACACATAGACCCAAGCCGGCGTACCTACATGATTCGGGTGTATATGCAGGTTCCCTTATGCAGTCTAGCATTAGTAGTACACTTTACTCATGACTACCCTACATACACTAGTTTCAGACGGCGTAATAGTTCACTCATTCTCACCCAAGCTTTTAAACGACCCAATTAGCCGCTTCACCTTCACCTTCACCTTCACCTTTACTACACAGGCTGTCCATGTTAGCCACATACTTTGATAGCCTTTCCAGCATCCGACCAGATTGTATTAAGCCGGAAAACTGCGTGTCCTCTTGCCACCGGATGCATCTTCCAGCCGCACCCGAGTACTCCATACAGCGTACTTTTGCACTTTCTCCGAGCTTGAAGTCTGCGGAAGTCGAGCACTTGCCAGCGGCGTAGGAGAACTGGAGGCAATTGGCTTTGGCCTCGTATACTAGTTTGCACTCCTCGAATGCTCCTTTGTCGCTGGATTCAACACCCATGGAAAGATTATCCCAGCCGTATTCTCTTGTGGTGAATTGTGGGACGATGTATTCTTGGAACACGTCTCGGTGAAGTAGTCCAGTCCTTCTACTCTGTTGAAGACTCTGTTCAAAGACCTATAACTTCTGGATATCGACTTGGCGCATATGGTGGTATGTCGTTGGGGCATAGCACCAAGGCTTAATTTCTCTCGGGTTCTCTTGGCCTTCGAAACGTTGTGATTGAGCGATGCCACGGGATCGCCTTGGAAACGGGGAAAGGCCCAAAACAACTCCACGTCGACGTCTTGGAGAGCTTTGCCATGCACCATATCTCCTGTCCAGCTTTAGGTCGTGAACTCGTCGTACTCAGCAAGATGCGTATTCCGATAGTCAGTCACCCTACGCATGGCGGCCGAAGAAAGCGCAAAGCCAGACCCCCTATGCGCAAACAAAGTCTCACCAATAAGCATGGGTTTGCCGATGTAAAAGGCTTGCCTGCATCGAAAAGGCTCAGGTGATTGAGTAGGTTTTGCCAAACAAGATATGTATCGGTTTCCATAAACAAGAACCACTTTGCAGTCGGTCGATATTTGTGAGCCGTGTCCACCATGGGGAGAAACTTGAATCGGTCCAGCTTCCAATAGGGGTTCTCTGGGGATCCTGAAGGGCCACTTCCAAGGTGCGTAGTGTTCTTCAGGTCGGCTCTGCCACGGCTACGGAGATGTTCATAAAGTCGAAACCCCGAGGCTGACGCTTCGAGCTCATCTCTCAGCTACTCAAACACACCGTACACTTGGTGACCGTCAATCACCTCCTCGAAGTTAGAGTAGATGACATAGTTTGTAACACAACGCAGTGTCGTTTCGAAGTGAATGGATAGCTTTGCAAGAGCCTCTGTTGCACCTGTCCGAACGACTTCCAGAACATCTTCTGCGGTTACTGATCTTGGGCATATCGTTGGTATAGACGCCTCTGATCCTGGCCTTCTGGTAGATCCTTCTGGACCACGGATCTCGCCAGTGCCGGTTCGAAGAACGTCGTTGTGATATCCAGGTACAAAATACTCATAAAAGAAGAGTATACAAAGAATAACTCCAACAAGACCCCATAGCCGACCGCGCCTCCGCAATCCTATCGGTGATCGCGGTCTAAACGCATAAGCACAAGCTTTTTTGCGACCCATTTTGTGATCAACGACAAGGAAGACAGGCGGGAGTGTAGGTTGGGACAAAGAACGAGAGACATTGCGGAATGAATGTTAGTACCCAGGTTTCTGGAAAAGGGAGAGAGTCAAGGATCTTTGGTCTGAATGACTCGCACGTTCTCGCAAAAAACGGGCGCTTACCACGATGGCATTGTATCGTATATTGGATATTGGATATTGCGGCACCGACTAACATTGACCCGTAAGGTGTGGTTGGAGCGCCACCAACTTGCCAACGGTCAAACCGACTAACGAGAGAAACGTCTCCGTAGGGGGTTCTGGGTTTTGATAGATTGACTTTATCATAAATATATATAGTCATTATCATGGTTACCGACGAAAGTATGCTACGCGCATCAAGGGGCATACAAACTTTGCATTGAATGGACCACCACGGAAGCAGTATTGATTAGAGAACGTACCAAAAAAGATATAGAGAGGAATTAGACAACATAAGTTGCCACTACTCCAGGCTTTAAACCAGTCCCCTAATTTGTCGACGAAAAGCGGGACTTTCGGTGGAGCCAGGATCTACATACCCAAAGCATTCCCAAGCCGAGATCGTATACACATCTGGGCGGCATAAAATGATTACAGTGTAAGTAAGCACCTAACAGGCGTATCCGGCGCGTACAGTGGCCTTTTTACTTTAGTGCAAGTATTTTATGTTGACCAAGTGTACACATGCATGATCAAACGAGCAGACATGTTTGTCTATATTGCACCAGGAAATAGTGGTGACATATCATCTTTAACTCATTGTGTTGGATCATCGACCATTATATACAGTCCCTTCCTCCATCCTCATGAATCATCATCATCACACTGTGTTTACTTCGATGTGTCCAAGACGTAGCGTCCAACAATGGCGCCCTGGTGCATCTTGTCGTAGACCATCTGCAATTCGGATAGACCAACGATCTTGTACGGAGCCTTGATCAAGCCACGACGGAAGAACTCGATGGCCTCTGAACTGTCCTTGCGGTTACCGACATACGAACCCTGGATCCTGATCATCTTGATGACGGTCTCGAAAACGGGCGCCCTCAGGTAGGCACCAGCTGGAAGACCAATGCAGATGACGGTACCACGGGGTCGGACGTACTCAGCAGCTTGCTGGAACGGCTTCTCGTTGACAGCGACAAGGATGACGACATGCGGGCCAAGGCCATCGGGTGTTGCCTTCTGTACGTCTGCAACGAGGTTCTTTGATGTGGAGAAGTCGACGAAAGCCTCGGCACCAAGGTCCTGGGTGCACATCTTCCTCTTCTCATCACCGGTGTCGATAGCGATGGTTCGTACACCCATAGCCTTTGCGTACTGGCAAGCAAGAGAACCTAGACCGCCTCCGGCACCAACGATAGCAGCCCACTGTCCAGGCTTGACGCCGGACTCTTTGAGGCCCTTGTAGACAGTGATACCAGCGCAGAGGACAGGAGCAATAGCAGCAAGGTCGCATTCCTTGGGGATACGTGCTACATGGGCGGCTTTGGCGATGCAGTATTGCTGGAAGGTACCATCGACAGTGTATCCAGAGAGAAGAGGCTTCGGGCACAGGGGCTCATCCGCTTGCTGGCAGAAGTCGCAGGCCAAGCATGAACCGTTGAGCCACTTGACGCCTGATGTGGTGTTAGCAATGTTCTTTCTGTGAGAGACGCATTACATACCTGCATAGTCTCCAATCTCAACGTCGTTGACAAGCTCTCCTCGTGCAACTACAACACCAGCACCTTCGTGGCCACCGACGAGAGGTAGCTTCGTAGCCTGGGAACAGTCAGAATCTGCCACGAGCAATCGTTGATGGATATGCTTACCAGAGGCCAATCGCCGTTGACAGCGTGTAGATCAGTGTGGCATACACCAGAGTATTTGATGTTGACGAGAACCTCATCGGGACCGGGCTTCTGGACGGGAATCTTCTTGTACTCAACGGGACCGCCGGTCTTCTCGATGACTTGCGCCCATTGTTCTGTTGGGATCTGTGGCATGTTGACGATGTATGTCTTGTTGTTAAGTCGGGGAATGGTAGAAGTGATGGCAATAGAAGTGGAGAGCTGGTTGATGTAGCACGATTTCACCGTCATGGAGAAGACGGGCTTTATATACTCACTGGTGAGGTGAGAACCCCCGCCGCCTTACCCAATGTAGCGACAGACACGTGATACTACCTAGGTAGTATTTGAGTGCAGTTGCGCCCTCTCAAAGGGAGCCATAGCAACGCGTCCCGTTCATCCATGACAATCACATCTCACTATTCGGGATCCCGGAAACTCGGAGATCGGTCAGTTGAATTGTGATTGGTCAATAGTCGCGAGGTAAACATGTACGTGGACGTGTAGAGGGGTCAGTGCATCAGGATTGGTTGGCCTTCCGGATCATGATGATAGCGTGAGCGTGGAACTTCCGGGACAGGGCGAAAATCATGGCTAAGAGTTGCCAAGTTGACGTGGTCTGACATTAGCGTGTGCAAATCAGCTCAAGAATCATGTATCAGCACGATGTTCTGTTTGCTGTGGTGTGAGGGGTGCCTTGGAGGGTGGGTCGAGCGGGTGGGGGTGGCCTTGACGTCAAGCAAACTAGCTTCTTTTGGCAGAATATGGCTTGATAGTCGTCCGTTCGGCGCTGCCAGTCCACGGCCACCACCGACAAAAAGAAATCAGTTGTTATCTGTGAACTGCCGTGACGAGTTTTCGCGAACTGCTATGAACATTAATGGCAGATGCACCGCCGTCATCCGCATGCTCCCAGCTTCGGGCACAGCTCGGTTCCACCGCGTCTCGACTCCATCTCACGTCTCCACCAACCAACCGCAGCAGGTCATGTGAATGTACATAAAGTTCAACAGAAGTGACGACTGGATCGGACGAGCGCAAAGTACCCACTATTCCCAAGCTCTTCCAGCCACATGTATCCATGCATCGATGTCTCCTAATGAAGAAAGTCGGGGACGGCAGGAACCAATAGGACCGTCCAGGGTAGTTAGCCTCGAAGCAGATCCGCCATATGCGGCTCCTGGTGTACCATGCGGGGATCCAACGTCTTATAGGTCCAAGAGTGGTTGTCATAGCGCGATCCGCAATCGCGGGGTAGTGCGGAAAGCTGCTCACTGGCGTATTCAACGGGTATTCAGCACCGCGCGGAGCAAAGGAATCGAAGAGGGTGTAAGAATGCGGGGAGATTCGTGTGTGGTAGAGTTCGTGTTCAAGCCGGCTACCGGGCTGGTTCAGTATGGCCGAAACGAAGGAAAGGTCCCGGGACACCGATGCTAGGTACAGAGGGGAAAGGGTCTCCTTATATCCGTGTCTCCTTGAGAACCCTGATGCACACTTGAGCACCGTCATGACTTCTGGATAACCTGGTGAGACATGACATGACATGTCATTTCACATCCAGAGCGGGAGGTTATTCATACATCGATGTTCAGACATAGCGACACACACCAAGAGTATTAGTATCTCGAGAAGAATCACACTACTTCACAAACAGGTAACGTCCGCCACGGGCGAGTGGCAGGATCCGCCAAGACCCCACCAAAACCACGACTTATCGCGATAGTATTGCACTGTACAGAACGGTAAATAAAAATCGTAGTAAGCTATTCTACTCAGAATCTACCGCTACATCTTGCTTGCATGTGCGCAAGTTATGCCTAGTCTCGCCGCAGCGTCCACAGCGCCTTTGCGACGGCTCGCCTACCTTAACGCGCGCCCTCTTCTTCGCCTTTTTCCCATCACTACGCGCCCCAAACTCCTTTAGAGTCGTTAAGCGCACGCCTTCGTTAACTATAAGGGTCCCTTCCTGCTGTATCTGCTTTCTTTTGTGCGATTTACGTCGCGTGGCGGCTTCGTTAGCTGCTCGAAGCTTAGCAATCTCTCTTTGCGCCAACACAAGCTGATGCGCAACTATCGCTGCGCCCTTTGAGCCCTTCTTAAAAGCCTTAACTATAGAAGTTGGCGAACTATCTATATGTCTCTGAATCCTCTTCTTCACAAGTGTTGATTGCGATCTAAATTCTAGGGTGTTACTTGGGGTTTGCGACTGCTAGGGGGTGTCCTCGGCGGGAGGTTGTGAAGGAGTGCGCAGGCGGATATCTATCGTCGATATCACAGCCTCTAGGTTAAGAGGGACTAGGCTAGCGCCCTGAAAGCTTCCTTGTATATTAGACTTTGTAAAGGTAGCGTCAAAGGCGCGTTTAAAGCACGGTAGAAACTCTAGTTTAGTGATATAGGTGATCCGGTTGCGCATCACATCCTTGGCTTAGCGACTATACGCCTTCTTCAACGGCGCAAAACAACCCACATTAAGTGGTTGTAAGAGGTGCGACGAGTGAGGAGGCATACAGATAGTAATAATCTTATTATCCTTGCAGTACCGCTGGAAATCGAGCGAGTTGTGGCTCTTATGACTGTCAAGAACCAGCAGGCGATAGCTACTAATAGTCTTCCCCTTTATATGCCTGTCAAAGTGCTCCGGCTACTGTAGGCCGAGCTTATTGTTTTTCTAGCCGTTCTTAGAGACCCTAATAACCTAATCCTGTGGCAGGTCCTCCTCTTTAGACTATGCGGAGAGGTGGTGCTTGCCCTAGAAGATAATAAAGGCTGGGATAGCCTAGCCCGCCGCGTTGATGCCTTGGATGACTGTAGTCCACTCTCGGTTGCCCTGCTGCATTGTCTTCGGCCGTCCTCGACGCTCAGAGCTAGTAACTACTGCTCCTGTTGATATCTATCCCATCATAAAGCCAGGCTCGTCAAAGTTGTAGGTGTCGTCGTCAAGGATACCATGCTTAGCCTTAATGTTCTCTACCAACTGGAACCAGCGTTGTATAACCTTAGGATCTTCGCAGAGGGCTCTCTTATAGTCGTACTTTCAATTAAACTTGACTTTGAGCTTAGGGCGACGTTTAACAAAGGTTGCAGCCTAGTTGATACCGACTAGTAGTAAGTAGCGCTCCGCTCGTAAAGAATTGGCTATATCTTCAACAGCAGCAAGCTAAGGGGGAAATCCTCGCGCGTCAAGGTTAAGAATAACCCTAACAAGCACATCCTCCTCTGTATCTAATAGTCTCTTTGAGTTGGGCCTACAATCGCGTCGAAACATCGTTCCAGCGCGTCGTCGGTAGAGGGTTCTTTTGGCAACTCTGTAGATCGCTGCAGCGCGTGGGACTGAAAGATTCGCGTCGCGTTTAATAGCCTGAAGTGCAAGCTGCAATTGACGCTCTTTTAAAGCTAGTGGACTGTTTGGATGTTGGCTCATCGCGATTATAGTATTGGAAGAGTAATATTTGGTGGGGTCTTGGCGGATCCTGCCACTCGCCCGTGGCGGACGTTACCAGGTTTTGGGATTGGAAGAAGGTATTCATGAATTATTGGGGTTATCCTTAGCAAATACCAAGCCCTGTACTCGTATTGGAGTGTGGCATCATAGCCAACATGGAACTCCTGAAACGGTGTTACCCGCATAGGTCATTACTGGAACAGGCATAGCAATCAAAACCCTTCACGTGGCAATATGCCCCGGGAAAGTACCAAGCGCACAGCGCCGGCAAGTGTCCTCTCTACTGCACCATAACGTCGGCAGCCTCACTATTCCCATTGGCAGGCCTCTCATCAGCCTCTTGCAAACCCAGAGGAAGATTGGGAGGGATATCCTTTCCGGCCGCTCGTGCCTTTGACTCTGACCATTGTCGCAAGCGTACTAGCCTCCTCATGCGAGCCTCTCCAGATGCCCCCATACTCGTGAGTATCGCTTCATTGACCTTGCTTGCGACATTTCGACGAAGCGAGGGCTCGAGCAACTCTTTGAGCTCCTTTTGTAGCTCCCCGGATGGTGCGGGGAGGAAGATGAGCAATGACATTGTAAGCTCGAGATCCTTCAGAAAGTCTGGATTCGTGGCTGCACGAGGAGCGAGTTGAGACGAAGCGAAGTTGAGTGCGGGGGTGATAGCAGGGGTCATATCTGGGGTAACAGCAGACGTGCACGCCCGAATGAGCTCGATGAGCTGTAGGCGGAGCAACGCGAAGTGTAAGGCAGGGTCTGTGTCCAGAATCTATTTATACACATTAGCCAAAGCCAGCAATAAGTGTGTGAGATGAGTATATGGTAAAGCTTGCAATCATACTGAGGACTGAAGGTTTGATTATCATCAAAGAAATTATGCGTGGTGCATGAAACTGAGTTTAATCCGGCAAGAAGGGGTCTGGGGGTATGGATGACACACGTACCTGGGGATTCAGATCATTGATCTTAGTGATAGCTGTATCAATATCACCAGCGTGAATAGCCCGGCGTATTTCTACGCGGGCAAGAATGGACTCCTCTTCAAGAGGTAGTTGGATGTTGGCTTCTTTGGCGAACTTTTCCGCTGCTCGAGGGTAGCCTTCACTGACCAGGTAGTCCATGATGACAAAGTTGATGTCCCTGTAGAGAAGTCGTTAGCATTGCTGTCTTGGGTCATGGCAAGATGATGGTAGATTGGTGCGCGGAGCAGAAGCTACCGCTAGATCAGAGATACAAGTTAACATGTTCTCCACACGTTTTTTCGGAGAGATTCCCAACTTATTTTGAAATCATCATGTGAAGGAAGAGGGGGTAGCAGCGTGAATAGGTGGCGACTTACGTCTTTGACAGCTTGATGTCATCAACCTTCCTTTGGAAGGAATGTTGCGTCGGCGTAGCAGCCGACACAGAAACGGTGGATGAGCTCTGCAAAGATGTCAGTACGTGGGAAGGCTGCGACAACGGACGCGATGTAGCTTACCATGGTGAAGCGAGGCGCCGAGCAAGCCTCAGCCGACGTCCATCAGTGGATGATATGAGCTGCCCGACCGGTGGTCGAGTGTGCTGGCGGTCACGCAAAAATTGCTGCGTGAAAGGAAGAAGAATGTTTGCGAGCTTAGGTTGTGGAAGAGAAAGACTGAGCTTGCAAGCTTGGCGAGACTAGTGCGGGTGGGTCGCAACTTATGTAAGCGGACCAAAGCCTACATGTGCAAGTCCAGCTGCCCACAAGCGCCTGTTGCAGAAACCTAATCGTGTGAACACTGAATACCACTCTATCGATATTTTCAGATTTCTCCACAAGACGTGCAACTTGGTGATAGATGAGGCAGACAAAGTGATATACACACAGAGCACTATCACACTACGACCATGGCTTCTGCAGGCAGGAGGACACATTACGAACCGCCCTGGGGCAACGCCAGCATCATTGGCGTGGCTGGTAGTTCGGGATCAGGCAAAACATCTTTGGCAATGGCTATAGTGGCCTCTCTCAACTTGCCGTGGGTTGTCATCTTGTCTATGGTTCGTACAGCCTTGCGCACTGGCCACGTGCTCCAACCAGCTAAGGAACACTGCATGTAGGACTCGTTCTACAAACCCCTGACACCCGAGCAATCTGCCGCGGCATTCCGGAACGAGTTCGATTTTGATTCCCCGGACGCTATAGACTTCGACATTCTAGTCGACCGCTTGAAAGACATCAAGAGCGGCAAAGTTGCTGAAGTGCCTATTTACTCGTTCCAAAAGCACGCTCGTCTTCCCAAGACAACTACAATCTATTCTCCGCATGTTTTGATTCTAGAAGGCATATTCGCCCTGCATGACCCCCGCGTACTTGACCTTCTGGATCTCAAAATCTTCGCAGAGGCCGATGCAGACCTATGCCTCTCCAGACGTCTTGTGCGGGACGTCAAAGAACGAGGTCGCGATATCGAAGGCTGCATCAAGCAGTGGTTTGGCTTTGTTAAGCCAAACTTCTACAAATACGTTGCTCCACAGCGAGAGATAGCCGATCTCATCATCCCGAGAGGCATAGAGAACAAGGTTGCGATTACTATGGTGAGCAACCAGGTTCGACAGACGCTGAGAAGTAAAAGTATGCAGCACCAGACGGAGCTGAGACGTCTGGGTAAGATTGCGGAAGATAGCCCTTTGAGCGAGAATGCGATTGTGCTCAAGCAGACGAATCAGGTCAAAGGAATGCATACGCTGCTCCTGAATCCGACCACGTCGAGGGAAGACTTTCTGTTCTACTTTGACCGCATGGTAGCTCTGCTGATCGAGACTGCGGCGGACTTTTTACCATTTGCGCCGCGCCAGGTCACAACGCCACAGGGTACGACATACCAGGGGCTAAAAAAGGACGCAGAAGTCAGTGCTGTCGTGGTTTTGCGTGGTGGAAGTGCATTCGAGACAGGCCTACGAAGAACAATCCCAGATTGCCGGACGGGCAGAGTTCTGATCCAAACCAACTACAGGACTGGTGAGCCAGAGCTACATTTTCGGGCTCTCCCAACGAACATTGCTGAGCATGGACTGGTCTTGGTTTTGGATCCCCAGTTTTCCACCGGTGCAGCAGCGCTGATGGCAGTCAGAGTGCTTGTCGATCACGGCGTTCCTGAAAACAAGATAGTTTTCGTGACGTATACTGCAGGTCGGGTGGGTGTAAATAGGGTGTTGAGTGCGTTTCCAGACATCAAAATAGTGATTGCGAGGCTAGGAAACGACGAGGAGGCACGGTGGGTGGAGACCAAGTATCTTGGGTGCTGAGGCAGGATCGCGGTGTCGTTTTGAATGTGTATAGCGGCAAGCTTGGTCACATTGTGCTTATAATTTTACATGGTCATATGTTGAGCTAGAATGTAAACAGCTAACATCTATGTCTCAACGCCGTCTCTATTGCCAACGCCGACGAATGCAAGGCTTGCGCCGAAATCATGACGCTCGTTATGTACAGTGGATATCATAGAAAATACTCAGTCGTTACTTCCTTTCCTTGCTGTTGCTGCTGCTCCGCCCGATGGACATCGTTATCAGGGCTTGCATCGAAAACGTTGAAGAAGCGTTCTCCCGTGTCGCTAACTTCCAGCACGCTTGCCATGTTGCCGCACCGATAACAGTAATTCGGCGCGCTCCAGACGGTGCTCAGTCTATCGTCGTAGAGGATCTGGTAGCCTTCTTGACACAGCTGGTGTGCCCGCAAGATATGTGACATGGAGTTGACTTCAAGAAACTTCTTGACGACCTGAGCGCCGAATGTATAGCCTGCGCCTCTCGGGCTGAGCGAGAACTCGTCTCGTTCTGGATCTGGGTCGCTCCATACCAAATCTGCCATTGGTCCTTCATGGGGTATCTCTCGGAAGCGATCTATGATTTTGATTTGGTCGATGGAGTGTATGGACGGTGACAGGCCGCCGTGTACGCAAAAGATCTGGTCATTAATGACAACGGAGAGGGTGAGAAAGTCGAACATGTCGGTGAAGTAATGCCATACGTTGGCATTGCCGTATTTGCGCGAGCATTCTGTGTAGAAGCCATAGGATTGTGTGACGCCGCGGGACTCGTGGTTGCCGCGTATGAGATGGACGCGGTGCGGGTATCGGAGCTTGAGACACACGAGGAGCGATATGGTTTCGACCGAGAAGAGTCCACGATCGACGTAATCACCTTAACAGCGGTTAGCCCCGTGACTAGAGGTCAGAGGTCGCGTGTCGCGTGTCGCATGTGCGCATGTGGGGGCAGTCGAATACGTACCCAAAAAGAGATAATTGGTGTCAGGACATGGCCCACCAATTTTGAATATTTCCATCATGTCGAAGAACTGACCATGGATGTCACCAACAACAGTGACGGGTGCTCTGATATGCACCACATTGCTCTCCTTCATGAGCAGCTCTTTTGTCTTTGCGCATATCGCCTCGACCACCGACTCGGCGAGCAGCTCCTTCTTGGACAGGCGCGAGATGCACTCATCGAGATCCACGCTAGCTGCAAGGCATCAGTACATGTGCCTGGCTGGCAACTGGCTACTGACGTACACGGTAGACCAGGCATGGTGGTATTTGTAGGCTACCTAGGTAGGCGTAGGAAATTGCAGCATTCGCGGCGCAGCTTAGGGTATCGAGTCTATACTGGTCGCTAACAGATGTCTGTATCGTACAATCATCCTCAGAGGCGCATCGGGGGTCGCTAGGTGGGCGATGGCGCAAAGACGAACAAACACGAGCTATTGGGGGGGCAATATCGCCCTGCTGAGTGCTCGTCGTCCGACTTGCGGCCACATCCCGCAGTCCTGGCCCATGCGTACAGCACGTGACCACGCTCCAAACTTCATTTCCACAGCGCGCCATCTTCCGTTTGTCATGCCTCCAAGAATGTAGCGAAGGCTGACTGGCCCCTCACGTCCACTCTTCTACCGCGCCCACAGTGTTCTAGAAGGCCTAGGCATTTCTCCTCAGGATTCTCTCATTCCGCCATTCGTCTCCTGTTGTGCTCACAATCGCTACTTCCAAGCGTTTTCCTCACATCAGCAGTCTGTCCTGTTTCACACCTCCCGTCACCTCAGTCCCGCCTCCCCAACGTCATAGTTGCGACTCTTTCTACTATCCTCGCCGTATCAGGGTAATTCTGACTTGAAAGCCCCTCCATAAGCTTGGGCTTCTCTTTTGTCCTGGCTCGTGCGCTTAACCAGACCAAATTTTGAGACGCGCACCTCTCACTTCAAAGAATCTCTCCCCAACTCCACGCTCACTCTCCACCATCGCCCGCGACCAATTCATCGAATTTCATTAGATTTTCTTCAAATCGATTCTTTTACCTCCATTGTACATTTCGCCAGGTAAATTACTTGGGGTGGCATGTCGTGGAGCGGCGGGCCCGTAGCGGGTGCGGCGCCTTTCCAGCAGCAACCATATGCAAACGGCCAACCTTCATATAACCAGCCACCACCCTACCAGTATGGACAACAACCAGGACCACAGCCAGGCTATGCACAGTATCAAACCGGAGCTGCTTATCCACAAGCTGGACCACCTCAACGGGCTTCCCATGTTCAGTAGGTCTCGCTCTTTCTTCGGTCATTTCTTTCTCACCTGCCCAGAAGCAATTTCGTAGCCCTGATAGTTCCAATGTCAGTACCCTATTCTGACTTGCCCATAGACCCCCCAAAAAGAAGGGAAACCCAATAATTACTCGTTATCCCCCTCCTCCAGGCTATCGTGGACCTGCGCAGCCTCAAGGTCCTTTTGGTACTAGTACTTTTTCTACTCAGAGTCAAACGCCGCAGCCTGGATTTCCACAGGCCCAGGCACCTCCAGCCTATTCACAAGGAGGTTATCCCGCTCCCCATGGTTATCCGCAGGGTTACGGTCAGCCACAACCTCAAGCCGCAGGTTATTCGCAGCCGCCGTATTTACAGACACAGACCAGTTATCAATGGCCGCAGTCAGGTTATCCGCCTAATCCAGGCTACTCGCAAGCTCCGAGCTATCCTCCCGCGCAACCTTATGCTCCGCCCCAAAACAGCTACCAAGGTTATCAGTCCCAACCAACTGTTGCCGACCCTCACCAAAAGGTCTTTGGCCAGAATGGAGCGTGGCCGCAGCAAAACGCGCAAGCACCATATCAGCCAAACCCCTTCAACGGATTGCCACCAGACCCTCATGCCACGCCTACTCAGGCGACAGCGCATCTTGCCACGTCACATCCCCATGCCCCATCCGCACAGCCCACCAGCGCCGTAAGTGATGGAAGTTCGAGCGAGAAGCCACAGTTGTTTCTCGCTTGGGATGACTGGGATTTCGACTTTGACGGCGCTATCTGGCCCAAGAGCAATGAGCCTGTCGATCCGGCACTCAGTCTTGGTGTGATTACCTGGCACCCTGCGAAGCAAATGACGCGTGCATTGCCATCGACCTTTGCTGAAGCTGAAGAAGAGTCTCTGAAGCCCCCGCCAGAGAAACTGAACAACGGAGATTCCGTGTCCATGTACTTTACGGCTGAGAATTCGCACGAGGCTTTCTTGAATGTTCGGCAAACGGATGAGTGGGAGGCAATTCAAGATGACCCTGTCTTTGTTGTTTTTACAGATGAGGAGATGCAAAATAATCTAGTGACTTTAGAAGACTGCATTGCGCAACGGGATCGTCCGGATGAGCCGCAAGACGACGAACGGCCGGATGAAGATCTAGAGATGCGCGATGCAACATGGGACATCATGGATAATCTTGAGCAAGCTCTTGCTACGAACAATGGATCTACAAGGTCCAATGTCATGAGGCGCGAGACAGCATCACCTGCACAACTTAGTCAGGATGATATTCTAGCCAAATTGGGCGTGACTGGGGCCCCGAAACCGCCCTCAAACGATCCGATATCTCTGCCTTTCTCGGCATCTGAAGTTCAACCGCCAGTATCGCTTCCCGAAAAGCCAGTAGTGGCTCCTCTCCCCGCCAAGAATCCCGAGCCTATCGCGCCGCCACAACGGGCCCAATCGTACGGTGGGCATCGCAATAACGGGTATGGACCTGCTCAGCCTCGTCCGTATGGCTCCATGTCATCTTCGGGCAACTCGAGGCCTCCGCCGCCACCACCTCCTCCAAAAGAGCAACAGTACGATCCTTGGAATGCACCCCAGCGTACCGGGCATGGTTTAGATGGCTCTAGAGGCAGCCCTGCATTATCTGAAGGAAGCAACCATACTATGGCTGGATCTGATTTCGGACCTGAGAACCCGACAAATGGAGGACAAGAAGAAACGTCTGCGGCACCTTCATTGTACCGGAGCGATAGTTCGTTTTCCCGGAAGAGAAGCTACGAAGATGCTGATCACGAACATGAGCGTCAGCGGCAGCAAGAGGACCACACCAAGCGGAAGAGGCGTTCTCAGGTTGATGCTGTCTACAGGTAGGCCTTTCTTATTCAACACCATCTGACTTTACCCTTGTTCATCAGATTCTTACATGTTCACAGTCGCCGTTAACCGTCTCCCCGCCGTTTCGACATCTTTCTACCACCCCATCACTATCGTCATTCGCGTCACACCTTAATCAAGTCATCATGATGCAGCTCGCCGACATAACGATTTCCTTCAACGTCGCAACCACGGCCAACAATACGCACATGGCAAGGCATGGTTGATGTCACAATGCTTGATGCGTCGAGAGATTTCTTCATTTCTTTATCCATTAACTTTATTATCTTATCTTTTATGCCTGCAGGGGTACCAAACTACCGCTCTCTTTTATGTCTTCAATCATGTTTCTAGGGTCTATTAGGATGAGAGCGGCTTTTGGGTTATGGCGTTATCCTGCACCTACGTATGTCTTCACGGGTTGCGCTTTATGCCTTTCTTTCACCCCCATTCAATCAACGTCTTTTTCAGACATGTTGTATTCTTGTTTTTCTCTTCTCCTCCCCATTCTCTCTTCACCAATATTTATATTAATCTCATTTGATTCGTCAGGACCCTTTCTTGAGTCAAACGTCTCCCCATAAACCCCACTTTTGAGTTTCCATGTTTATCAACTTCATCTTGGTCACCCACGTATTCTTTTCGTCATCCAACTCCTTTTGCTTTATCCGTGCTCTGAATTCGTTGTTTCTATTCACCAAAACAAAAACCAGGGCATGGTTGTTGATTATGTGACACGCGACGCTCCAGGTATATGAGAGCAGCAATGACCACGTAAGATTATGAGGGGGCTTGCGAGCACCACGTCTGTTATGACTGCTTGTACCAATAGACATGAATCATAATGTAGACTTGTGTCGCGGTGATGAATGAACTAATCTGGAAGTGGCACTATATGCCGCGCCCTCCTACTTTGTAACATTGGTGTATCTCGATAGCAAGCGATGCGCAGTGAATGGTGCGCACCATTTACGTTGAATGGAAGATTGTAAATATTTTTGAATGTTGAATTGAAGCTAAGTATTTATGTCCTAGAATAATGCGTATCAGTTTACATCAGATACGTGACGGCGACTACTCTTGATGCGTATTTCAGCTTTATCGTGCGCTTCGCACAATCCTTGGGTGTGAACTTCAATCTTTTTTTGGACACTGGGATGGTGTTCGGTCCGACACTAACACTGTGTTTCCTGACCTGTAGGAGGTACCGGTGGTCAGCTTCAGCTTGGATGCTCCATCCGATGGTCATGTATGATAAGACCGATGACGCGAAAACGCTGCGTACAACTAGGTGTTCCATGAAAACACGTGTTCCCCATAACTAATGTCCTCGCCACATGGCCCTCACATTCCCATGCTGGATACTACCCGCACACCTTGATTTCCGACGCTACGTTTGCGAAAGCCGTTCGAACTTTCAGGTGCGGGGCCCGCGAATCATTTGTGGGCATTGGCCCGTTCCACCGTAGTGAGGACGGTGGTGGGTGCATCGAAGTCTCCACTGATGAAGGAGCGCGCACTACTAACACAGAACTTCAATAGCTCTCTGTAACCTATCGATCGTTACACGAACACCTGAGATTATGTCAGTGATATCTCAGCATCAGAGGGTTCAGACATACCGTGTTTGGTTCTAGTATGATGCTGACTTGCTTGCTGTAGCTCAAGCTGTGAACTGCAAAGCCTGCTGCCAGCAGTCCAACATCAACCGCCGCCGCCGAACTTCAACAGCTCTCCGTAATGCGTCGACTGCTATGTAGCCGCTCTGAAAGTATGTCAGTGACGTCTCAGCTTCGTAGAAACAAGACATACCGTGATCAGCTCAGGCTGTGACCTGCAAGGCCTTCTGGCGACAGTCCGCCAACGACCGCCGCCACCAAACTTCAATAGCTCTCCGTAATGCGGAACAAGGTGTGCTTATTCGGCCGCCAATGATTTGCTTGGCTAGCCGGATCGTGTAGGCATGTATAAGATACAGGTCGAAGTCGGGAAGCAGGAAGGCGTCCACATGATAGAGGGATCACCCTCCGACGGCGAGCTTCAATAACTCTCCGTAACGTGTGATGCGCGGCGTTGCCTAGGATACTGCAGTTTCGACACCGACGCGCAACCGGTATGCTTGGGTGAAGCCAAGGTGAGCGACGTAAGCTTCAGAATAAAGATGACCGTGTATTACGACTGTACAGTGTGCAAAACCATGTATCTTTGAATTTTCTCATCGCTGGAGACACGGCTCGGGCATCTTCGTGGTGATGTCGTACTTTGAGGGAGGCTGTCATGCAAAGCTTGCTCCGGGGGCATGGGTGACAATCGTTCTGAGGGCAGCGTCAGCATCGATTGATAACCACGGAGCTTGCTAGTCTTACTCGTACCACCGAAAAGCGCATACGCATTCTTCACACCCCACTCGCAACACGAAGCGCGTTGATAAGAGGCAGTATCTGTGTCATTCGTTTGGTCGTGATATACCTTGCACAGCCTCGAGGCAAGAGGTGATGATGAAGATGAACTTGGACGTTGAAGGGAAGGACGGAGCTGTGACGTAGCTACCAAAAGATTTTGGGGATAGTCTAGGTACAGGTTTGCGAATCGTTGTTTATTCACAGAAGTGGGGCATTAAGTCAACTGGGAAGTCGCTGTCATAGCATGACACCGTCACCTAGAAAACGTGCAATCGTAAGAAAGAAAGAAGCTCTGTTGTTACTAAAGGTATATACGCCGTGAATTGTAATACATTTCCGACGCCCACTGGATCCCAGTCCATAGTTTATCGAGAATGACAAACAGCGGCGCTAAGTCCGTTGTAGCCGACAGAGGCAGTAATACACGTATCGAAAAGATCAGTGATAAAAGATGCCCCTATCCTATCGAAATCCAGATGGTGAGCCTGAACCGAAAAGATTCAGGACAGCCAAGCCGTGTGGCTGAGTTCTCGCGCAAATAGACCAGACAACGCGAAACCGTTCCACCGTCCATAGTGAAGATCAGCACTTCCGCAGCACGAAATCAACGCAACAGACAAACAAGTGGGACTATTAAAAAAAAAGAGTGTGAAGTGAATAGAGGGAACACATCGCAAACGCCGGTAAGTAAACAAAGTTGAGAGAACATGGCCCGAATTGAGCCGAGAAGTTAAAGGTGAAGGTTGCGTAGTCGTACATGTACGAGTTCGTGTCGTCGTGAGTCATGGCGAGATTAGAGGGGTCGAGAATTTCGTTAAAGTCGTCATCTGGCATAGGGCTTGTTCATCAACGCGATCTCGCGCGCGACGGTAGCCCATTCCAGTTCGCGGCGAAGAGGCTCGTTGCGTCTCTGACGCTGATACTCTTCCCATTTGAGTAGTTCATACGTGAATCGAAGATGGGGTTGGATTATTACATTAAGACGCCGGGCCCGCACGAAGCAGCTGACACCATGTTAGGATTGATCGGATATGATGATGCGGACAACTTACTAGGCACGAGGAAAGGATAGGCCCATTTCCTTCATAACTTCGGCGATGCAAATAGTTGCCGAACGTGACACACCAACACGGCAGTGCACGAGTGTAGCTCCACCTTCGGTCTTTCCTGCTTCTGCATCATGTTAGCGGTGGTAATCTCTGTCAAAGCTGCGGTACGTACCGATGAACTTGAGGCAGCGCTCAAATTCGCCCCAGAGAGGATCAACGCCATTGTCTTGGACGCGGTCGATCATCAAGAAGTTCTCGATAGGCCAATTGAGTTGCTTCTGGAGATCCTCCGGCCAAGACAGCGATTCTCCAACGCTCAAAATGCGGGTGATGCCAAGGGCGCGGAGCAGCTCCGGGTTATTGGCATGACCAAGATTGCCGAGGTACATGTATGGCAAGATCCGGCTGGGCAGACTACCATCGAGCTTGGTAAGCCAACGTGGTTGCGGAATGTCCAGAATACTCTGGTTGTAGCGAGGTGAGTTTTGGAGAATGCGAGGTTGTATCGCTTTCAATAGCGCAACGTCAGAAGGGTATGCAAAGAAGTTTCGGCCTTTGTCGCAATGCATCTGAATCCAAGCATCGTGAACGGGCAGACCTTCGGCATACATAAAGTACGCGAGTGCAAGAAGCGTCGTCTCGGTGTAGCCATCCGTGCAATGTATCAAAAACTTGCGTGGTGTGGTAACATCGTCCATCTCGATAGCTTCATCTTCCTCTTCCCTTCTTCGCTTGGTTCGTCTGACCTCTTGTGGGTTCGCTAGTTCGTACATCCATTTGCACATATCCATGAGACCGTCGACTTCACTATGCGACCAAGTAGGCGGCATGATGCTTCCGGACGACGGGAACTCCATGTGCAGGGTAGACTTGCGGTGGACTCGCTCCAGACCCATTCGGAGCGCTCGTAGCGAACGTGCTTCGGGCACGTGGGCAAGATCAGTCGCTTCGATGAGCATGTCGTACGCCTCCTCGCCCACACAATCTGGGTGCAATGCTTGGTCGGGCGTGGGACCCAAGAAAACATTCCTGCTGATCTCCGAGGCTTTGGACATTGCGCTCATCTCATATCGTTCCCAGTAAACTATCCATCGAGTTAGTGGCTGGAAATGTGCACTCTGGTCTGGAAACTTACAGAAGTCCACAACTTGTCCCGTCATGTCCCCAGTAGGGCTGATGGCAACCAATTTTGGGTACTTTTCTTGAACAACACTAAAGGCATCTTGAGAAGTCAGTAAATGTGGTATACGCGCAAGCGGCCAACTTACCGCAAAGCATGAAGGTATTGAATAAGCAGCGTGGAAACCCGTTCCTTGCTTCGTACTGCCTCTGAGCCTTTGAAATCTTCTGAGCCAGTGCAATCGTATCTTCCTGTTTCGTCTTGTGGTCACCATACACGATGATATCCGAGACCATGCCCAGTTTACAGGCCTGGATCTGGAAGTTGCGCACAGAGAAGCCATCTCGAGGGTCGCACTCGAGGAATTTGGGTGTATCAGAAGACGTAGAATCAAGCAATTCATCTGGCGAGATGGCACCCTTCAGCTTGGAGGCAGACAAGTTCCCGCCAGTCTTCACAACAGTGATACTGCGAATGCACCTGGGGACTTTTCGGGCGCTTCTGCGACGACCTGAAAAGAAAGCGAGCTGGATCGAATTCTCAGCGTGAAGTCCATGCATCCATGGGAACACCTGCTCAGGGTTTGGGAGAGGCTGGGTGGCAAGGTGCTCTAGTGCCTGTGCCATGCAATCGGCAGTGATGGTGTAGACGGGCGGATCATCTGAGAATTTGGAGCAGTAGGAATCAGGCGGGTATGTAATGGATGATGTCTCGATAAGACTGTCCTGTCGCGGAGGTGTTGATGGGGGAGTCGCAGGCAAGCCACCAGGCGAGCATTCCGGGATGTGCTTGTTGGGGATAGGAGCAGGCACACCATGAGACGTAGTGTTCAGGGACAGGTGCGGTGGAGGCGTCGAAGAACGACGTGGCATAGAAGGATACCTGGCGACAGCAGCAGCCATATTGGCGGTTCCAAGGTTGGGCGGAAAAGAAGCGATGAAGGGCACGCAACGTGTTCAGTGAGTGCTCCTGGAAGGCAAGGCTTCACTGGGGCAAAACGTCGGCAGTAACAATAGGCAGGGTAATGTTGACGGTCGCTTCCCGATTGCAGAGGATCCGGGAGGAGGGGTCAAAGAAGGACCAATGGATGCGGGGGAAGGTGCGTGTCACGGCAGGGTGGAGTGACAGCAGGTAAGAGTCTGTCGCGCAATCTGATTAGTACATGTAATTGGAGTGGCAGCGAGGGTCGACTTGGGAGCTACGGGACCTACAGTGTTGAAAGATGGTATAACAGGGCGCACTTCGGTTGTTGAGTTGATCAACAGCCGGGGTCAAGAAGGTTGGCAAGAGCCGTGGGGAGCAGCGGCCCTGTGTGGAAGTGACAGTCTACAGCGCTGCGGTGGACATGGCGGGAAGAGGGGCTCAAGGCTCAGGGTGATGGTGATGGGGAAAGAAACAAAGTTGGAGGGGAGAGGGGTGTTGATGTTGGTGGTAGCACAAAATGATATGGGCCTCTTCTAGTGGTTCCCCGCTATCTTACTTTCCCACCACCCTTGAACAAGGCGCCGTTTGATTTCACCCAGTCCCGGTTGGAGGCTTCAAGCCACCATGCAACGCTTGCTCAAATTGAGTTTTGCGGTTGGTTGCAGTTGCAGCTACTTCAGGGTGAGAGGGGCATGGCACACAGCAACCACGGCGGTGCCTGTCCCAGTACAGTACAGTACAGCCGCTGGGATTTCGGGGGCATGACGGCGCAGCTGTAGTAGTGGCGATAAGGAATGCAGCGGAACAGGCATAAGAAGGGCCAGCGACCAGGCGAGCTGGTCTGCCCAGGACTTCTAGGAGGGCCCACCCGAGGCGACAAGCCATGCCCGGCTGCGTGGAATCGGGCTGACAGCTAGCCCGCCAATTCGCATGCGGATCCAGCAATCCTGCCCCGCTCCCATGCAGCTTACCTTTTTGCCACTCGCATACTGTAGTTGCATTTGCCTGCATGTGTCTGCGAAACTGAAAGTCCAAGTGTGACTGGTCTTCCATGGACGATTGACCCCGCCTCCTCTGATACTGGAGCCCAATTGCTGTCAAATGCACAATTGCATCTTGCCCACTAAACACCTCGCCTTGCCAACCACCGACTTGACATGGACCCATGGCTTGGACTGGGGCTCCCTCGTCAACTGGTCCAACCCCGCATCTCAGCGAGTCCACCCTCCTGCAGCCCCGTAGCGCCCCTATTTACTACCACCTAAACGGGATACAGGACCGGCTGTCTTTGTTAGTTGGAACTTTCCGACCTGCGACTGCCACCCCTCCCCATATTCTGGAGACGTAAGCCTATGCATGCTGACGTGCAACGAGATGAATGAAACCTCTCTTGTTAGAGACTGACCGACTTGAACTCTCATGGCCATAGCAGTTGAATTGCAGACCAAGTCGTCAAGTATGGGTTGGAAAGTCACACCATGGCTCGGCTTTCTTGACTTTGGCATTTGTATGGCTAGCAGTAAGTGCTCTGACAATGTTTCTGCCTCCATGGCGAGAAATGCCCAATCATCATACTCCGCTCATAACTCCGTAACTCATTGTCGTTACACATGGTCCAGGTGAATTGGCAACCGACCCGCTCCTTATGCCCCGCCCAGGCCCCCATCATACATCCATCTCGGCCTTCGCATTCAGCAGCTCGTCCACGACCGACCGCTGACTAGCCATCTTATCCAAGTCCTTGTCATCCGAAGCATCCTGCTCCCTCAACAGAACCGCGAGCACTTCGATCGGTGGGTCGAGATTGAGCCGTTGCGCGCGCTTCCAACGCTTCAATCGAGCGATTCCTGTGCATGGCTAGACATTGCAGATCATGTTAGCCGACATGTCGTAGAATTAAACACTGTCTAGCCATTAACTGCTACGTGGTCAAACTTACGCCATAGTGGGCGCTCATGTCGAACTCCCGAAGCACCTTGTCGTGAAGCTTCACATCTTCCTGGTGCACTCTGGGCGCTAGCCTCTGCTTCTCTTTCGCGGCCCAGTATTTTTTGATGGCTGCATCGGATATGCGCCGCGCTCCATCTTCCTCCCGTGTGCTCTCTGCTTGCTGCGCCTTGACCTCCTGCTCTGTTTGCTCGATTATGGCAGCTTCGATGGTTGTAGGCTCGGTATTTGATATTTCAACAGTTTCTGGCTCCAAATCCTTCGTCTTTGCTTCGAGTATGTTTTGCTTTGCGCCCGGTGCTTTGATGCCCGACTTGGTGACCTTGTTCGACGAGCCGTGGAACGCAAGCGTCGACTGCTGCGGCTTGACTACGGGACCGCTAACTTTGCGTTTGGGAGGCATATTTGCGTGGATGCGATCGAGATTGTGGCTGATTACTGGGTAACTTATCCAAGGTTGTTGTACTTGGATGCGACAATAGGGAGGCCGGAGCTGGGTGCGGTGACCTCATGGCTTAGCGTGGTACCTGCCTTCCGAAAATGGTTGCTAGGTAATACGCGAGATCAAGATCGCGCAAACTCGCAAACATGTGATCTGCCATAGCAATCTCCACCCCCACACTCGTCCCGAATTAGCGGCCAGCCTCCGTGCCGTGCGCCAAAAAATCATCCGAATTTGTGTTTGAGTGAGTAACTACAGTCTCTGCTTTCCGTGTCTTGCATTGCCGAAATGTCTCTCCGCCGTGTATGCTTCTTGGCAGTATGCACCAGGAAGCCTTGAAGGTTACATGCTTGACATAACAGGCGGGGCTACAGGGTTATAATTGACTCGTCTTGTTTGCAGCAAGACCATATACGCACAATTGAGTTTTGTTACTAATTTAGATGTACCCAGACTGATAGTACGAACATATCCCATCTTTCACCCCAACCATGACATCTACAACACCTCCAGATGTCGCCCGCCATGTCGAATCCCTCATCCCCAAGTTCCGCCTAACCCGCCTCCTAAACTCCGACCAAGCCGGCCGCCGCATCTCCCTCTTCGGCACCATTGACGACAAACCCGCCCTCCTCCTCGCCGAGCGCGCCGCCTTCGACACCACCCCAGACAACCTCTCCCACTTCCCGACCTCGCTCCGCAACATCAAAAACCTTGGCGCAAACGACATCTACGCCTGGTTCCTGGCAAACTCGAACCCACAGCAAGAGCACCCGCCCCCAGACTTCAAGCTCAACCTCATCTACCCCTGCACGGAGAAGCATGTCAAAAAGTACGAGTCGCAGCGTCTCCGCCTTGTGACCGAGACACCAGAGATTTATGCGAATCACGTGCGGCCGTATATGCGGGCGCAGCGCGAAAAGGGCGCGTTGAACTGGGTGTACAACATCATCGAAGGTCGTACAGAGCAGGAGGATGTCATGTACCGTGAGTCTGGTGACGAGGGCTTCTTGCTGCTTCCCGACCTCAATTGGGACCGCAAGACCATGGGGAGTCTGCACTTGCTAGGTATAGTGGAACGAAGAGACATTTGGAGTCTGAGGGATTTAGAAAAGGGAATGGCGGGGTGGGTGAGGCACATGCGGGAGAAGATGGTCGAGGCGACGGTAGGCTTGTATCCTGAGATTGAGAGGGATGAGTTGAAGCTTTATGTGCATTGTAAGTTTGAGTGTCATGACGAGTGGGGTTCACACGCTAATTGTGATCATAGATCAACCGACTTACTACCACTTTCATATTCACATCGTTCATGTGTCGCTAGAGGCGGGGAGCACGCAGGCTACCGGTAAAGCACTTGGTCTGGAGAACATCATTTCCCAGCTCGAAACTATGGCACCTTCCTCGTCTTCTGCGTCTGCGGGTATGCAAGATGTGAGCTTGACTTATCATCTTGGCGAGAGGAGTGATCTATGGGAGAAGGTTTATTTGCCCTTGAAAGAGGGACGAAGAGTTAACGTAGACGATTTCTGATGTGGCATCAAATAGAGATAAATTAGTCCGGTATTTCAACCGGAAACACGAAGAAATAAACAAAGTATAGTACACTTGGACTGTGACCTATGATCATTAGCTACCGTTCCACAAGCCTCCCTTTCCCCTTTTTCGCAGTCTCATCCTTCTCCCCATCCTCACCTTCATCAGCCACATTACTTCCCCCTTCCTCCTCGCCGCTCACCCCATCCCCCTCACAATCCCTACTATAACAACTTCCACTCTCCTCACTCACCAACCCCTCGCTCTCCACTCTCTCCCTTAACGCATTAAGCCTCTCCTCCTTCTCGCTCTCCAAACTAGCCCTTGCCTGCCCCAACGCCGCTCTTGCATAATCATTAGATCCCACACTCGTCCCCACACAACTCTTAGACCTCTCTAACCCCCTTTCCCCACCATCCATACCCCCCTGTGCACTCAGCAAACTCCCTGTCGTCAAACTACCCACCCTCCGATGATTCCGTCCCTTCCACACCGCAAAGCTACCCCAAAGCGTCCCATCGGAGCTCGGAATCTTCCTCCACGGCTTCTCTCTCAGCGAGAAGATTACACAGTCTACGAATCCCATGCTGGTGATACAGATGGTGCTGCCGAGGCGTAGGAAATAGATTGGATGCTGTACGTAGTGGTCTTGATAGTTGGTGCAGTGCTGCACAAAAGGCAGTAGCCACATTAGTGTGTAGACGAGGGGATAAATGAACATGAGGCGGAGTTGGCGGTGGATGCGAGAGCGTTGACGCGCCATTTGGCGAGCGCCGGGAGATCTGGGGGACGTGTTTTGCGAATTGGGTGGCTGAGAGATGATGGGAGTGGGTTCTGTGTCAACAGAGTCAGGATCTTGAGTTGTGGTCTTGGTAATGGTAAGGAGGATATTATCTATTGCCCTTGATGGGGAGCAAATCTGTATGTCGTCGGTGGAGATGGCAGTTCTGATGGTGTTGCCGGAGGGAATGGCGAAGAGTGGTGGTCTGATAGTGTCGTTGCGTTCCAGAGGGAGGTGCAATGTGCTTGCTGGCAGAGACTGTGTCTTGGTAGAGGGCGTGGCCGAAGAAGCGCGGTTCAGTGTTGTCGCTGCTCCAGGTCCAGCACAGAGGAACGAGACCGAAGACCCACGACGCTGTGAAATCTCGTTATCATGACCCGTAGACGGCGCCCAATCTCTTGAACCCAATATGTCCGGGTTTTCTGGCCTTGTCGCTCCTCTATAGTCTTCTTCTTTCCCACTTAATGAAAACCGTGTCTCTCTCGTACCTGTCCCTATATCAGTGGTCGAGTTTCCAGTACTTTGACTCATTGTATCATATCTCCTAAACTCATAGCCAACATATGCATAAATCGCAATGGCCAAGCCAAGAATTATGAGCGCGATCATGTATCTCGGAATCCAGGTTAACGCCAGTCTATACCAAAACGGGCGGATAGGTAGAGTACAAAATGCCCCTAGCGAGATATAGCCCCAGTCCGGGTTCACAAAGGCCAGACTGGCCATAAGTCCAGGAACAAGGAATGCAAGGGCGTAGACAAACCGCCGGTACGGGTATAACCCGTCTGACGTCATTTGGCTCGAGGGATTGAAGACTTGCAGGGCGCTATGGACTGCAATGACGAGGACGGCGAAATCTACAATAGTCAGGAAATGAAGGGAACCAGAATCAGCCATCTTACCACTGGTCTCGGTTCCATATTGTATGAGAAACCCGCTCGACTGGCAAAAGGCGGATTCTGTTCGCACGGTACCATGAACCAGCATTACCACCGCAGCGATGAAGAACCAGGAGGCGCGCATCAAGTCGCCATACACAAGTAGCATGATAAGGCTGGGAGAAGCAGTCAGCCCAGGAACTTGTTTAGTAACCACACTGACCGATGCCGAAAGCGCTTCTCCATGCGGCAGAACCAGTACAAAGCTGTCAACGACGCTGTTATGCTCACGGAAGAGCACACGAGAGCCGCTATCCGGACTCTGAGCGTGCGCTGCACGTCCCTAGTGTCGAGAGACGTATATTCCGAATGGTTGATGGAGTTCATGAGGAAGCACGACACCAAAGGGAGGAAAGCCAGACAGCGAAGAAGCGAGATTGCAACATTGGCCATGATGAATGGGGATGTTTCGAAATGAAGAAAAGCCACGGGGTTTGACTCGATGCGTCCCGGTCTATTAATGCGGGGAAAGCACAAGCGTAAAAAAGAAAAGAGATGGTGGCTAATGTAGTTCTTGCGAGGATACTCGCATTGGTATCCAGAACAACAAAGAGGCTGCAAGCAGGTAAGACACCAATGGCTGATTCAATGGTTGACATAGCTCACTGAGACATGAAGCCAGCACGTTTCTGAGCTGCAATCTCAGCTCCGGTTTCTCCTGATTTTCAAAGCAAAATCCCAAGTCTTTTGATTCCACGTCACTTGATCAACCAGGGTACCCTCAGACGTCACATAAGTGGCTCCCCCGGGTTGTACGTGCTGGCAAACTCGCGATTTTCCTTTTCTTCTCGGTTCTCCTAAAACGGTTCGACGAGTGCGATGAGGCTGAAGCGTATCTCGCCTTCACCTGCCTCTTGCTCGCGCTTGAGGAAGCTACGTACACTAAGGTCGAGAGCCTTTTCGCTGAGGACATCGTCTGCGGGATCCAACGCACCGCGGTCAAGGGGGCCCTTGCGACGGCCGTCCAACTCCCACAGATGGTTATTTTCCGACTTTATGAAGCAGACATAATGTAGATCGACGTCGGAATCGGCTGCGGGCGCAGCAGTGTCACCACCTGAGGCAGCATCCCGGTGTGCGCTCTCGAGTGCTTGAGACTCGTATAGAAGGTCGGCGCGCTCCATGGGTTTGAGCGGTATCGCGTCGTCGACTAGCTTGGCGAGATTCGAGTCGGGCCCTGAGTGAGCTGTTAGCATACTGAGTCTTGTCTAAGCAGGGCGTGGCTACTTGCGGATGTAGGCGCGTGCTGTGCCGTTGGAGACACTGTGGAGAAGACCGATCAGACCGCAGGCGTTTCCAATTGTCTGCTTGTACCAAACAACCTCCTCATCCGGGCCGTGTCCCTCATACTCGGCCTTGTCTTTGTCTTCTTGCACGCGGAACTGCTCATATGTTTTGCTGACAGGAAACACGAGGAGCAGAGCATGTGCAGGGCGCGGGACAAAGGCGAGCAGTTCGGGATCGTCAATACTGAAGACGTCCTGGAATGCAAGCTTGTCGGATAGACCGAGCTTGTGAACCAGTCCGGTCATAACATCTGGGTTGTTTTCTGCCGCGTCTTAGTTGCCATGTTCGCAGCTGAAGCAGACGTGTCTTACCTAGAGGAATGAATCTTTTCCTGCCCTTAGGCACATCCGGTGACGCATCCGAAGCCATGTTGCTCTTGTGTTAGGAGCGATGTTGCGAGGTAAGAGTACTGTGCTTTGCAAGGTTATGGGTGGACGTGGGGGGTAGGCAGCAAACAAGTTAGGTATGCTTGCGTCATTCTAGATATTTCGACAACCAGCAAACATGGGTCGCGATGCAGTCACTCCCGGTTGTTGCAACCATATTGTGAGAAAGCACGTCAATTGCTCCTGCACCGGCACTCCAAGACGATCGAAGCGTGTTCCGGGTGGTAGAGCATTTGGCGTCATCGGCGCTTGATGCCTAGTACCAAAAGTCATTCTCATGAAGATAGCCCCACGACTGTCGAATGAGTGAGGAATGGGGCACGCGACTTGGGATGGAAACGCGATCGCGATGGCCTGTGCGGTGGACATGAAGCCTTGGAGCCCCGCGGTGACCTGAATTTGACTCAATCATGCATACTCGCGCCTCTCCTTCAGTTGCACCCTTTCTTCGCCTACTACACACCAGACCACGCCAATTCTGTAAAGCAGGACCCTGTCGGCTCATAGCACACTCGACAACACTCAAAGTCCCCCGCAGAGCACTAGCGACGGCTGCAAGTAGCTTCACGGCGGATTTCTTTACCCCACTACGCCCACTTGCCTTCAACTTTTTCCAAACAAGACTCCCAACACTGCCCACCATGGCCACACTCGACGAGAGCCTGGTCACCTTCCTCAAGTCGCATGCACCTAACAATGCCGGCGCCGAGACGGATGCTGTCAAGGCCTCGCAGGCTCTCTATCCCCAAGTCACCTATACCGACGCCGAGAAAACTGAACTCAGCCAATGGCTCATCACTGCATCACACATAGCCTCGCCTTCTGAAGATGCCGCCAAATCTGCCGAGCGCCTCTCATCCCTCAACACACACCTCTCAAGCCGAACCACCCTCCTCGGCGCAAAGCCCTCAATCGCAGATATCGCCATCTACCACAAACTCGCACCCGTCGTCTCCAAGTGGAGTGCAGAGGAGAGGACTGGAGAGCAGGGATACCACCACCTTGTCCGCCATGTCGACTTTGTCCAGAACTCGCCTGTCTTTGGCCTGAAGCTGGATGACAAGGTCAACATCGACCAGGACAACGTCGTCTTCAAGATCAAGCCTGTAGACGCAAAGGCCGAAAAGGAGCGCAAGAAGAAGGAGAAGGAGGCGGCTGCGGCGAGCGCTGCTGCTTCAGGCGCCACACCTACAACTCTGACTGGCGACCAGAGCCAAGGTGGACAAGGAGGTCAGGGCGGCAAGAGCAAAGCGGAAAAGGCCAAGGGCAAAACAGAGGCTGCTGGATCTGCCGTCGCATCAGCAGTTGTGGGCAACGCTGCAGGAGCCTCTGCACCTGGTGGCGTTCCAGAAGGTGCCCCGACGGAAAAGAAGAAGAAGGAAAAGAAGGAAAAGCAGCCTAAGCCTCAGAAAGCGTAAGTCGAAACAGAGACATCCAAGTTGCATGCCAGCTAATAAGACGCAGCGCACCAGTCGAGAAGCCCCTCTCCCCCGCCCTCATCGACCTGCGCGTAGGCCACATCCTCAAGGCCGAAACCCACCCCAACGCCGACTCGCTCTACGTCTCCACCATCGCTTGCGGCGACGCTCCCGGCACAGACAACACGTCCGAGTACGAGGGCCAAGTTGTGCGCACAGTGTGCTCCGGTCTCAACGGCCTGATTCCCCTCTCAGAAATGCAGAACCGTAAGATCGTAGCCGTGTGCAACCTGAAGCCCGTCACCATGCGCGGTGTCAAGAGTTGCGCCATGGTGCTCGCTGCATCACCGAGAGTTGCAGAGGGTGAGGACAGCCACAAGGGACCTGTCGAGCTGGTAGATCCTCCCAAGGAGAGCAAAGCTGGCGACAGGGTATACTTTGAGGGCTGGGAGGGTGAGCCGGAGCCTGTGCTCAACCCGAAGAAGAAGGTCTGGGAGATGATCCAGCCCGGCTTCACTACAACCGATGGCCTGGAAGTTGGATTCGATGTCGGCGTTGTGCCACAGTTGAGCGGCGAAGGCCCGGATAAGAAGACGGGTGTAGCCAAGTTGAGGACTGCGGCGGGGCTGTGTAGCATCCCAACTCTGAAGGGAGGTGTTGTGCGGTAAACATGTTTCTTCTGTGCTACAAGAGAGCAAGAAGGGATACAGTGCTTTGGACAATACAAATAGTACTCTGTGATATCGCGGCTAAGCTACTACAATGCATGTCTTAGATTTAGAGACATACAAGTAGACCTGAGGCACGCCAGCATATCCAAACTACACAAACAGACACATCATGCATCACTATACTCCTTCGCACATGTTTGTTATGTTATCTTAACGTGAATTCGTAGTTTTCTGAAACTATGCTGGGTATACAAAGACAGTCGTTAATAAAAGCCCCCCAAGGGATATCCACAAAACGCCAACCCAGTCCAGCCTCGGCCCTTGCCCAATCACTCAACTCCCCCCAAGGTAAACTTAGTCCATCAGTCCCACAGGGTACTCGTAGTCACTGTCGGCGTCTGTGCCATGCAGCCTCACTTGGTAGAGGCACGTGTGACTAGCGCCCCAATTGCTCGTCACACGCAAAATGGTGTTGCGAATAGGTTCAGACGGCTCACCCGCCAGGTCAAACGTCTGAAGGTGGTTGGACGCGTGAATGTTGTACTTGAACGATCCTAGACACTTCCAGCTGATGGCCGGGCTGACACTCTCTGGGGGTGGGTCTTTGCAGCTCACTTGGCGGTGGGAGTAGTAAGCGTTGATCGGCGTGTCTGTCTGAACCCAAAGCTCGATGTCGCGTGGAGCATTGGAGATGTTGCGTGCTGGTACCATACTCATTGGGATGTGCTCAATCGTGACTTGTTTGGGGATAACGGGTCGTGCGAGCTTGACGGCAAGCTGGGCTTGGCCAGTCGATCCTTGAGATTGACCGGCAGAGCACCAACAGTCGCCTGGTTCTTCCCACTTGGTGAGTGCTGCCACGGGTGGATTGCGGCGCGGGAGCCAAGAAAGGCGACGAGCGACCTCAGCGAGGCGGCCGGGGCGATCGTAAAACGTGGTGGATGACATGTCCGGGTCGATGATAGCGCCCAGGCCAGGGGAGAAGTAGTTGGGTTTAGTCAAGTGAGACTCGTAGTTCGCGACAAGGTTGGCTTGGGCAAGGGCATGAAGGTGAATCTGGTCCATCATCATCTTCTTAGCTTCTGCTTGCATCGTCGTCTTGATTTGAGCACTCTGGGCTCGGATGGCCTCCTCGACCTTCTTGTCAACTCGGCTGGTAATGTTGTGATATTGTTTCTCCATGTGGCGGACGAATTCATCGCGAGTGACAGCTTCAGCCCAGGTCTCAGTGTTACCACGCTCATGGTGCACAGATGGGTCGAAGAGATCGCGGAGCTTGCCCTTGGAGTCTGCCAGAAAGCGAGCCCATTCTGAATCACTCTCACTTGAACGCGCCTTGCTCAGCAGTGCATGCCAGAACTCATCGCTGATCCGGAGGGAACCGTCCTGTTCGCGTCGCATGAGCATCATGTCGGGTAGTTGGTCCTTCAGTTCCAAGAGAGCCGTTCGTAACTCTGAGATTCGCCTGTCGTTCTTGGTATCCATGTTGCTCATGCGGGCCCAAAGGAAGTGGTCCTCGCCATTAGCTTTGTAGGCTTTGACGCGGTCAATCTCTTGATCCATCTCCGAAGGGCCAGTAGGAGGCGAGATGTACGCTGCGACCTGATCATAAGTATAGACGACGCGATCACCGACAGCCTTCACCAAGCTAGGTGTCCTCAGTGAAGACTCAGCGTGTTCGGTAGCCATCATAGAGGAGAGGGCCCATGCGAGCAACAGAGAGAGTGCCAAACCCCAGAACGCCCATGTGGAAAGCTTCTTCCAAGGCCATACTGGCTCATCCTCCTCGTCATCAGAGGCCTCGACGTCACCAATCCATGCATTGAGCTCGGCAACACCTTTATGGTGCGGGCGACGGCGAGACGGTTGTCGCAGGGACTGGGACTGGGACTGTGGCTGCGACGACGGCGGACCATCGCGCTGTAACCTTGCTTGCTCCTCTGCAACAACTTCATCGATAGACTGTTCGAGGCCAGTGGGAGTGACGCGAGCAGGTACTTGTGCTGGGGCTGGCTTGACATGCGCCTGGCTCCGGACGAATGACTTGATAGGGATCTGGGCTTGAGTCGGGGTCTTAACCTGAGTCGGAGTCTTGGACTGGATGGAAGTCTTCGCAGGTGCGGGAATCTGAGCCTGAACGGGGGTGGGTGCCTGAGTCCTGGATCCATTGATTGTGCGCGATGCAGGTCTACGGATCGGTCCAACAGGCTTGGTGAAAGGCGACTCGTCTGGGATCTGGAAACCGGCGAACGGGTCCTGTGAGACCAGCATACCAGTCTCATGGGAAGGACCGAATGATTTGGTAGTGTTTCCAACAGACGACGCCGCAAGCTCATCCTCGCTGGGGGTCAGATCATCGCTATCGATGAAGGAGTAACCGGGCGCAGCTTTGGACTTTGAGGACGGTGCAAACTGGCCTGCGTGATGGGCTTGCTTCATGAAAGCCGTCTGTGGTCTACCAGCAAGCTCGTCAGTGTCGTTACCCTTTGCCTCCTCTTCCTCGCTGTCATCGTCCTCTCTGTCGGTGGATTGACCGCGCTGATTCTGGAAGGCTTGCGCAAAACCCGTAGTCGGACCAGCCGTAAGTTTGTCGGGGTTACCAACACGGCCACTCGCGCCGTAAGCATTAGATCTTCGAGCGCTGACCTTGGTCAATGTTGTCTTGCTGCGCTTTACACCCGAAGATGTGGCATTGGTGATGGCAGATTCCGCTGCGACAGAGCTCGCTCTGGCGCTGAGGCGACTTGAGCGGCGATAGGGAGTGGGTTCATCCGCGTTGACACGTGAAGACATTTTTGCGGTTGAGAAATTGAAGTTGAAGATGGTTTAAAGTACTTGGGTTTGAGCGTCCAGAACGACCGGCGGCTGGATTGGAGTGAGTAATTGTTGTTGGAAGAAGATTGTGAGAAAGAAGATGGGTTTGAAGATAGGAGGAAAGGTTGAGGAAGAAGGCTGGGCAGAGGCTATTTACGAAGTCGCCCACCAATGACAGGGTAGCTTCGTAACAATAGAGCTGACAATAGAAGAGATAATAAGGAATAAAGCCAGCTGCTATTGTGGGCAGATAGGGAGGACTTGCTGTGTGAAGACGAAGTGAAAGTGAAAGTGAAGGTGAAGGTGAAGAGCATGTTGAGACGTGCATGTCGACTCGAATAGTTTAGACGAGTTGCTTTTACAACGAAGTGACAGGGGTAGGACTTTGCGCGAACTTACACGTCGTCCTGAGACACAGCTCGGTGGCTTTCGCACTCTTCCAACAGCAGGCGCGTCGTTAAAACGCAGCCTTTGGTTTTTCTATAGTTCCAATGGAGATGAGATGGACGTCGGGTTCCTGCAGCCAGGACCGTAAACACACGTGGGCCAAACTTTCACGCGTCGAAGTCGGCAGTCCGGTAGTGCTTTTGGGGTCGCGGTCGGGTGTTTCGGCGATGGTGTGTCCCTAGTGCATAACTCGCGATCATGTTCCTGGCATATCGCGCAATGGATTCAGTGAGTGTTGATGGCGACAATGGGCTCGGTGAGAGTTGAAGGTCGCGCTTTCGAGGTGCCAGGGTTCGGCCTGCACACCAGCCGCCGCAACCGGGACTTTAAGCGAGCGCGTGCTGGATCCGGCGGTGTGTGACATGGCAGTGCTTTGACGAGAAAAACCTGGATAGACATGCAGATATGCGCGACAACATCGAGATGGAAAGAACCGAGCCTCTCGTCAGGACTCGAAAGCAATGGGTGCTAGTGTCTCCGCTACCACAAGACATGGATGATGCATGATCGAATTTCCGGGCCCCATGGAAGCGGAGTACAAGACCCTGAAGGCCGCCCGCCACCACCAGGGCTTTTTTTTTGCTGTAGGTATTGCATGTACCTGCGTATCTAGTCTGGGGTATGTCACACAGCGTTTACGCCGTGTAGCTCGCAGACTACCGTATGCTCAACCCGTCGAATTCGGCTCGTCCGATGTGGCTTTAGGTGTGAGTATGCCGTGCTGTAATAGCCCACCATGCCAGGATCCATGGCGGCTTAGCTATCAAACAATACGCTGGACTGGAGTCGCAATACTGTTGCTGATATCCTAACACCGCAGCAGAGGTGTGTTGTAGACTTTCATCCTCCTGGTACAACCGCATTGCATCACCTGGTACCATGTATCTGTCGGCCACCAAAACATGCACTTTCCCTTTCGCGTCGCTGTACCTACCCGTAACATACAGCATCAGACTAGTGTCGTTCAGTTACTTGCATGATCGATCGAATGGCCACCTTAACCATATGCCGGAGATGAGATCGACTGGTTGATTAACAAAACACTGGAGCCCCAAGCTTACAGTAAAGACGCGATTCAGACGACAGGTAAGTAAGCAATGTCACTGTTGGGACATAGCTGGATCGAAAACGACATCTGCCTGTTCATCATCATGAGGCGCTTACCGCATCCAGTAATCTATCCGTCATCTGGTCTTGCATCCCTAGGACAGCCCTAGGAGGTCAACAGCCTCGTGCTGCCAACTTTTATATAGCTGTAACATCGTAATCAAACACGAACACCAGGTCGCATAAGAAGAGCAGCCGTCCCCGCGCTTGCGCCTTCACAGTCTTCACACTAAAAATCTTCAAAATGGTTGTAGGATCCGTTCTCGTCACTGGGTGAGTTACCCCTCTACCCCACCATGTATCCAGAGGTTATTATCATGCGCAACCAGGACTGACAACGATGCAGTGGTACCGGCTACATTGGCTCCTTCACAGCCCTCGCGCTTCTTGAGGCAGATTACAAGGTCGTCATCGTCGACAACCTGTACAACTCTTCGCCAGAAGTCGTAAACCGCATCGAGCTCATTTGCGGCAAGCGACCAGCCTTTTACCAATGCGACGTCACAGATGAGGCAGCGCTCGACAAAGTCTTCGAGGAGAACCCGGATATCGACAATGTCATTCACTTTGCCGCTCTCAAGGTCAGTCCATTCAAGTTGCGACTGAGTCTCCGCCATCTAACACTTTCAGGCCGTTGGAGAGTCTGGTGAAATCCCCCTTACATACTACCGCGTCAACGTCGGCGGCTCCATCGCGCTCCTCTCCTCCATGGTGAAGCACAATGTCACAAATATTGTCTTCTCGTCATCTGCAACCGTTTATGGTGACGCGACGCGCGTCCCCAACATGATCCCGATCCCCGAACATTGCCCCATCGGCCCGACAAACGTCTACGGGCGCACAAAGTCGACCATCGAGGGCGCAATCACAGATACAATCGAGGCGGAGCGCAACAACGCCAAGAAGGCAGGCAAAGACGAAAAGGACATCAAGAAGTGGAATGCGGCTCTGCTGAGGTACTTCAACCCAGCTGGCGCGCATCCCAGCGGCATCATGGGCGAAAACCCATTGGGTGTACCGTACAATCTGCTACCCTTGTTGGCGCAAGTTGCGATCGGCAAGCGCGAGAAGCTTTTGGTATTTGGCGATGATTACAAGAGCAAGGATGGCACGGCGATCCGCGATTACATTCACGTGCTCGACCTTGCGCGAGGCCATCTCCAAGCACTCAACTACCTCCGCGACCAACAACCCGGTGTCAAAGCCTGGAACCTGGGTACCGGCAAGGGCTCCACCGTCTTTGAAATGATCAAGGCTTTCAGCAACGTCGTCGGTCGCGATCTCCCGTATGAAGTCGCTCCACGGAGACAGGGCGATGTCCTCGACCTCACTGCTAACCCTACACTGGCCAACAAGGAACTCAACTGGAAGACAGAGTTCACCTTGGAAGACGCGTGTGCTGATCTGTGGAAGTGGACAGAGAACAACCCAGAAGGCTATGACCAGCAGCCACCAAAGGAGTTTGTCGACGCGCTGAAGAGCAAGAAGGCTTGAAAAGAAGGATGCGTAGGGTAGAAGTAATGAGTGTTGCGAAACATCGCCGCTAGTGATCTGTGACAGCCATCATGGACAGCATCGGTCACACATTTCTTTCAAAGGTTTGGACTAAAAGCTGCATGCTTAGAGTAGTATGTGTTTGAACTAGAATCGAATTGGAGGTTACTACATGCAAAGTTCTTCTTTCTCCCCAAACGTGACTTGAATGACGGATTTAGCATAGACTTATCGCCAAATGCATGACCGCGGTGTTCGACCTTGGGAGAGACCCTCCTATAAACGCTCTCAATGATAATGCCCCATGAATCAACGGATGCTTATCGTGAACACTGACGCTATTCTTCATTACTTCATGACTAAACACAACACCTTCTCAGCCCGCCCTACCGCACACCTAAGCAATATCCTCGATAGGACAGTTAGGATGCAGGACATAAACCACCTTATCACTTCCTTCAGCCTGACCTTCCTCATCAGTCAGCCCTTGGCCTCGAATCACCCAGAGGTATTGCTCCTGTAGTTTCTCATTAGCACACGCATTCTCAAGCATATCGAGTGGTTATGGCATACCCTGACAACCTTCTTCAGCACCTTTTTAGCCAGCGCTCTCTCCTTCTCCAAGTCTTCTTGTGTCTCCAATTCGCTTTCCTTTTGCTCGAGGTACCAAACTAGAAGCTCCTCTTCTTCCACACCGTCTTGCGTCTCTTCTTGATCTTCGTTGACGCGCTTGACAAACATATTGCGCATGGCTACGTACTTGTCGTGTGTGATTTTGGTCTTCTCGCGCGGTGCAACAGCAGGAGTGGCAGTCCGGTCGCGCGAAGCATCCTGCTGGTCGTCGGCCATTGGCGCGTCGCCATCTTGCTGTTCTGCTGCCGCTGCCGCCGCCAGGAGAGCTTCGTCGTCATCGTCCTCCACCTCAACATCGTCCTTCTCGACAGAAATGATGGACTGACGGAGGAGGTTGTAAGCCTCCTTGACAAACTCGGGTGTGATGTCGCTGACGCAATTGGCCTTTGCGATGGCTTCCGAAAGACGAATCATACTCTCAAGCTGTCGAACAGTGATGCGGTAACTGTTGCGGCCGATACCACCTTGTGCGTCATCCGCTCGCAGCTCCTTGTACTTCTCAACCAACGTCTCTCTTGCTTCATCTGTAAACTCAGGCCTGAAGGTTCTAGCAAATCGAATGTAGCGCTGCAATTGCTCAGTGTTGAATTCAGGGTCCACAGCTTCGTCTCTGTACTGATGAATCCCAACAATGTGCTCAGCAAGATGGCGGTCCACAGACTCGTCGCACTCGTCCAGTACTACGAAGAAAAGATCGAAACGCGACATGATGGGCGCTGACATGTTAACATTAGCACGTAATGTTGTCTTACGATTGTAACGGCCGCCAACAGGGTTAGCTGCTGCAAGAATCGAAGTACGAGCGTTTAACGTGGCCTGGATACCGGCCTTCGCGATAGAGATAGTTTGTTGTTCCATAGCTTCGTGGATGGCGACCTGATCCGCAATATCCATCTTGTCGAACTCGTCGATAGCACAGATACCGTTGTCAGCCAGCATGAGCGCTCCAGCTTCGATTGTAAACTCTCCAGTTTCCTCATCCTTGACAACCGCCGCTGTGAGACCTGCGGCCGAAGAGGCTTTTCCAGAGGTATAGACAGCTCGGGGAAGGAAACTGCAAATATACTTCAAAAACTGCGACTTTGACGTCGAAGGGTCACCGACGATGCAAATATTGATGTCTCCACGTAGGGCCATACCTTCGGGCGTTTGCTTGGAGACACCGCCCATAAGTTGGAGGAGCAAGCCCTTCTTGATGACCTGGTGACCGTAGACCATTGGCGCGATTGAGTCGACAAGTCGCATGAAGATATTGGGCTTGTGCACCATGTCCTTCAGATCCTGAATCTCGGCCGCAGTCAGAGTACCCAGGTACTCTTCTTGTGCTTCTTCGCCGCTTGTCGCATTGGACTCGATTTGACCTTGGCCGAGAGACGCTAGAATATTGCTAGCTTGTCCGGTCAAGTGGTGATTTGATGTTTGACCTGGAGTGGAGTGGTCGGGTGAGACCATACATGCCAGGAAGGACATGCGATATGTCAGGTCGCGCACACCGAGGGCTTTGAGACCACTGACACCCGATCCGCCGACGTCGTTGCCTCGCGCCGCATTCGATGTATCGCGCATCGCCTGTGGTCGCACACCAGGAACTCTGAACTGACTCACGTCTGGAATGACAATGACAGTTCCGGTGAAAATGCACTTCTCTCCGGCCTTTGCACGATCGACCATCTCTCCTCGCAGAATGACGTCCATTGTTCGAGGCATACTGCCCGTGGGTATCTCCGAGCTGTTCTCCTGAATTCGAACCTTCTGCCAGTCGACAAACGTGGATTGCCGAATATCTAGTCGCCAGCCCTCCCTATTCATACATGTTATATTCGGACACTGTGTTGGCTCTGTGTACTTGAACGTCTGCTCAATGTTCGGTACTACGGTGTTGCAGATTTCGCATACGAAGGTAGCCATTGAAAGCTCCGGTCGTACTTCAGAGGTTCGGGTCGCAGTACCGGAGATTGACAGCAGGCTGCCAATCGATGAAGTGCGTAGCTGGCGAATGCGGGAGACGAGAGGCAAGTTGTAAAAGGCCAGAGTGAATAGCTTATCGGTCTGCTGATTCGACGTCTGCTCGTTGAGACTCGCGTTCTGTGTCGCATCGCCCGTGTCCGAAGTGGCCGCTGCGGAGGCCGTTGAGGCTGGTTGCTTGTGTTGGCGGAAGTATCTGGGCTCATACTTTGCGATAAGGCTATGGAGCGACCGAACCATATATGGCAAAAATCGGTAGTATTCGCTAGCGATGGCAGCTGCGAGGATGCCATCTTCGTGTCTAAGGAGATGGGTATAGTCGACATATAGAGTGGAAAGACCGTAAAGCCGCATGCCCCGTATTTGAGCAATGTAGTATTTGTCGGTCGTGGGGACGGTGCTCGATGTCGGTAGGGCCGATGATGACGGGTCTTCTGTATAGCTAAGCCCTCAATCAGTAACCTTGTTGTTGTTATTCAATCATGAAGCTCACTTCTCCAGGAACTCCTGAAACCGCATCGAAAGCGTCTCTCCGGTAACATCCACTACTTTGGGAATGTCTGTTCTTGGTCCATTTGTGCGTCTTCCCGGTACTCTTGCTCCAATAATGTCATCGTCCGGATCTCCGTCTATATCGCTGAGTGCGCCAGGAGTTGCGCCGGGGGTTGCTCCGGGGGGTCTCGAAGACTGCGGCGTCCTTGCATCATTGCCTCCAAATTGGCTTGAGGGCGTAGGTGCACCAACATCCGAATTGAGGGCAAGATCTAAAAGAGAAGACATGGTATATATTCGGGTAGTTGCAGGTAGTTACTGGTGGTGACAGGAGTCTGCGGGGACTGTAAACACGCGAAAACGCGGTCGCGCTGTCCCGATCGGGAAGTAAAAGTGGGTCTTGGCATGCGCTTGACAACCATAGACAGGAAAGTAAGGTCGAAAGCTTGGTAGAGCTTTCGTCAGCTAATGTAATCGACGGTTCTTCAGTTCGGTACCGTAGACAAGCGCTCGGTCGCCTACACAATGCTTGCTACAACACTTGCTCAAATCAATACGTTTGATCACATGTCAACGTATCTGTCTACATACTAAGACCAAGTTCTATACCCATCGAAGCGCCTACTGTCTGTATCTCAATTGAATTCTAACACAATCCCCAGGTATCGTATTAAATGCTGCACAATCTCCAAGACATGACAACTTTAGCCCCATGTACCTCCTCCACCCCTTCCAGCCCTTCTCTGAGCACTCAATCTCCAATCATCCTCACCCGCAAACTTATTATGCAGGGGCTGTATCCTCTCCGCCTTCTTTCTCTTGGACAATCGGTCTGTAGGTGCCACCTTGAAGAACGTCGGCGCTGCTTCGACAAGCCACTTGGGTTCGATGGCAGAGCAAAAGTGCATGTACTCCTTTGTCGTCTCAACGAGTGAGTGGTAAATGACGTGTTCCGCAGGCTTGCCAAACAGAGAAGACGATGGATGAAGGTAGACAGGCGTGCCTTCGACGAGCGTCTTGTAGCCCTCGGCAGGATCTTTACGAGCCGAGTTGCGGAAGAACCCTGAGCAGAGCGCCTGCCTGACTTTGATCGTGTTGCGACCGCAGGATACGACTTGGTGTTTGTGTCGCGCCATGATCTGTAGCAACTGATTCCGCACGTCGCGAACGCGCTGCATGTTTTTGGGCATGATGAAGTTCTCGTGACACCAGGGCGTGCTGAAACCGCCTTGTTTCCAGCCATTGTACACATTGAGCAGGGTGATATGATCACCAGAGGGATCGTTGAACTTCTGCTTCTTTTGGTCGGCTTGTTGTTGCTTGTCTCGCGGTCGGTGAAAGACGTTCTGTGTGGCGCTGATCATCGCAACGATTGTGAGGATCTCGTCTGAGCATTGGAGTTCGACCGACTTGATGAGAGATTTCGAGAGTGAAGGGTCCATAGGGAAGTCGGCCATCTGTCGACCCAGACGCGTAAGCAGTCCTTCATCATCCAATGCACCTAGTTGATACAGCTCTTCTAGTGCTGTCAACATAGTATTAGTCGGCGGTGGGTCCATGAAGTCAAAATGTAACAAATCGTTGATGCCCATGGCTTTGAGCATCAGAATCGTATTCGACAAGTTCTGGCGCTGGATCTCCGGAATAGTCGTCGGTAACATCTCATTCTGGAACGCGGCTTCGGTATACAGACGAAAACACTTTCCTGGACCTGTTCTTCCTGCTCTTCCGCTTCTCTGACGAGCCTGCGCCTGCGAGATGGGCGTAATCTGCAGACGATCCATGCCCAGCTTTCCATCGTACGAACTCTGCTTCACAAAACCCGGATCTACGACGTAGTATATACCATCGATAGTCAAACTGGTTTCGGCGATATTTGTAGCAATGACGACTTTGCGGGCTCCATTGGGCGCGGGTTCGAAAATACGAGATGCAACCTCTGACGGCAGAGCTCCATAAATGGGTAGGATCATGAGTTCCGGCACATTTGGCCCAAGAGCTTTCATACGCTCGGATATGATCTCGCAGGATGAATCAATCTCCTCTTTACCCGTCAAGAAGAGCAAGATATCACCTGCTGGCTCCGTCAGATGGATCTGCATGACCGTCACAAGCGCTGCGTCGAGGTAATCGGACTCTGGTTCCCGACTGTACATGACCTCTACGGGAAAGGTTCGACCTGGGATGGAGAAGATGGGGCATTTGTAGAAGTATTCGGAGAACTTGTCGGCATCGAGGGTGGCACTGGTAACGATAAGCTTCATATCCGGGCGTCGCTTGAGGGTCTTCTTCAGTAGTCCGAACAAGACATCTGTGGCGATGGTACGTTCGTGGGCTTCGTCAAGCATGATACAACTATACTTTGACAGCATAGGATCTAGGAGAATCTCACGCTGCAGGATACCATCCGTCATATATTTGATCCGGGTTTCCGGTGAGGTCTTGTCTTCGAATCGTATAGTGTAACCGACCTCACTCCCAAGGGCACAACCAACCTCTTCGGCGACACGTTTGGCAACACTCATTGCAGCTACACGCCTCGGCTGAGTGCAACCGATGACAAGCTCGTTGCCATATCCAGCCTCAGCAAGATACTGCGTCATTTGCGTGGTCTTTCCGGATCCAGTATCACCAACGACAATGAGGATCTGGTTGTTTGCGATGGCCTCTAGAAGCTTGTTCCTGAATTTGTAGACAGGCAACGACTCTCGTTGTTCCTTGATGCTCATGTTGGTACGCTTGCCAAATGAGGTTTCCCGGCTATTCGTGGAGATCTTTTTCCATTCAGGCAATGCTTGAGCAGGCTCGTTGGTCCTAGTATTGCGAAGATCGCTTGCAAACTGGCGTTGTTGAGCCATGGGATCGTTCCACTGGCTGCTTAGGTCAACATTCGCTGCCTCCTTTGCGGCCTTCTCTTGGGCTTCCTGCTGCTTTAGATCACGGCGTTCTTTGGCGAGCGTATCTCCGGCCATGGCAGCGCGATTGAGCGAGCCGTCAGGTGCTTTGACAACTCGAATCGGGGAGAGCTCGAGCGATTGCTTGGTCTGGCCAGCCAGGAACGGAGGTTCCTCTTCGCGTACTTCAATATCCACGTCCTCTTCTTCCTCGAAACCGCCCTCGCCGTTAATGTGCGCGTTGTAGTCCTCGTCGATGTTCGGGTAGTCCGACTTCGGTATTACACCAGAAGCAATGAGCTGTTTAATTTCCCAACGTTCTGGCGAAGTCATGCGCTTTCGCATACCGTTCTTGCGACCATTGTAGCCATCTTCGACAACTGGCACAGAACTGTCGACCCCTGGTATGCCTCCCAGTCCCGATGAGTTTGCGCCGGTTCCGAAAGACGCTATCCGCTTGCCGGGCGCAAGGTCGCGACCTGTTTGCTGATCCACCTCCTTCATCGACAGCGATATCCTGCCGTTTTCCGTCTTAATGACCTTGACCTTGACCTCCTGCCATCTCGATACAAGATCAGACGGGTGGTTGACGCGACCCTCCATCATCTGTGTGACATGTACTAGCCCGTCCACTTTGCCCTTGACGCCCTGGATGTTGACGAAGCAGCCAAAGTCCTTGATGCCTGTGACCTTGCCATTGTAGATTTTGTATAGTACCGGCTCGTCATCGAGTTCGGGAGTTGGCGGCCGTCGGAATTCGTCGAGATCTTCGTCGCGGTACTTCTTGCGCGTTCGTTGCTTGTTGCTTGGCTTAACAGTTCGTGTGCGTCCAAATTCGTCCTCGAAAACCAGCTCGTCGTTCTGCTCCCGCCCTCGGCGTGGGCTCGTTGACCGAGAGCGTGAGCGCGAGCCTGAGGCATTCCTCCTCCTGTATCGCTTGCTTCTGGCAATATCATCGTCGCTATCATATGGGCTCATGCTCCTCTTCCGCGACCTCGCCTTGGGTTTCCCCGGCGCCTTGCCTGCGAGACCTTCCAACATGGCAAACGTATCGTCCAGCGCATCGACATCAGGCGCTTCATTTGCAGGCGCTTCGTCCGCTACCTCGTAGTCGACCTCTTTGTCGGGAATCGCGAGGCCCTTGAAGACACGCGTCTTGCGATCTGTCGCATCTCCACCATCTTGCCCATTTGCGCCCGCGGCTTTTGCGCCCTTGTTCTTGTATTTTGGATGTAGTGTCAGAATCAGACGGTCGATACTTTCCACAAGACTCTGCGGAAATTCGGCCCCCATAGCTTCTAGCTGGTCCTTGAAGTCTGTCACACCTTTGCATTTCGCATGCTGGTCGATGACGAATTCGGCGAGCGTTTTGTCGGATACCCCGAGATGATTTTGTATTTCGGAAGTCACTTTGGACACGAGTGAGAGGAACTCGAGGTTTTCCAGGTCATCCATGGCTGTGGTGTTGTTGCGATGTAGTGTTCAAGGGTCGCCCCCAGAAATGGTTCGCGAATGCGCGGTTCTTTGCGGACAGTCAGGATGTGGTGGTGACTTTGGAACTGCTGTAACGTGCTCTAGTTGTTGCGCCTATATTCCCGCGACCATCACCATCCCAAATATTGAGGTTGTGGCTGCAAAAGCTCGGAGTAGTGAATGAGAGAAGCTTGCTGCCTAGGTGGTAACCTTTTTATCTCAGCAGTCAGCGGCTTCCGTGGCTGCCTAGGTGGGAAGTTATCAGTGCTAACAAAAGCGAAGAGTTCAATTACGCCACAGTATTGCTGCTCTCAAAATCTTGCGCGGAGGGCGTTTACCACAAGACGACTACAAGGAGGCATGCTGGCAAACCGTCAAGAAAGTTGATGCGGCTCGGCGGCGGCGACCCGGGGTCAAGGATGGTCCCGCGCAGTAACTAACCACTTACCGCTGGCCAGACTCCGCAACACCTCATCTTCCTTCACCAACCTCGAAACCTTTCGACGCATATTGAACCTGCATGTACCCCGTCGCGTGCGTGCTTTTACATCCGTGTCTATCTTTGCAATGAGCTCCACCCGCATATATCATAACATCTCGCGGATCCCCATCACTTCCACGCTCGTCCTTATCTTCGGCAACTATGAGCTGTGGCGGATACACAAAGGCACGCATCCATATTGGAGCCCCAAACTCGAAGAGGCTGGCCTAGTCAGGCGGCGAAATAAGACGAATTCCGAGGCCTCGGCCAGTACTGTGGGGTCTGGGACGGAGGCCAGGAGCGAATCGCCTGGCGTCTCCATACAGTGGATGAATCTGAACGGCGTTCCCATACCATTCATTAAATCAGCCGAATAAAAACACATACTCATTATACCGATTCATTACTCCGTATACAACCAACACAAGACATCACCGTAGGCGATAGCAGAGGATATATGCGACAACTTCATTCATATCGTACATATCGACGAGTATAGGCGCGAGACATTTGAGCGTTTGAGCGAAAAGATTTTCAGTCAACGACAAATATGAAAAGCTCGTGGGTAGAGATCTCCGATAATATTACTGGTTGCAAGAGGTGGAAGCGTTCATCACAGCATGCGCGATCATGAGGCTAGTGTGTAGGCATAGGGTGACAAACGCAGAGTCAGTCAAGACCATTCAGCTCTACCAATGAATTGCAAATCTACGAAATTTACGCACCCTGTTCCGACACTGCCATGGTCCCACCCCCGCGTTTAGGTTGGAAGGTTGCCCGAGCAGATTACCATCTGCCACCTTGATGTTGTTGGGAAGATACGATGTTTGTGGAGATTGGTACTATTGCCAGTGGCCCAAGCACCACGATGTTGAAGTCGAAGGGCGGAATGGTGCAATATGATGCCATCTCAAACTTTCCACATATGGCTAGCGTCCGCTGATATACAGACTTCAGCACAGTCCATCTGTACTCCACAGTTGCATGTCATGTAGAAGACTTGCCTGAAATCCCATGATACACTGGGAGACAAAGCAAAGAGGATGGGAGACAAGGGATTTTTCGGTGTGCCTCGCAGTGTGCTTCTCCGAGATCATGCTTGGGGATCCTATAAGCTATAGGCGCATATATTCGTTGTTGCGTATCCGCCGATGCGGCTCCGATGTGGCCTTGCTATGATGCGGCTCAATATGGATGACGATCTTCAGCATTGTGTGCGATGGCGCAATAGTCCCGATACCGCCAGCATCTTGATGGTGGCATGATTCACAAGTGTACTGCCCAAGGTCCATATAAAAACAGACTTGGCCTTCTCTACTTCATCCGCCAATTTCAACACAACTTTGAAGACTTATAACTGACATCATTTATCATTCAAACTTTGTTAGCGTTCATTAGAGCATCTACCTTCCGCTTGTCTCACACAACGACAATAGGCTTGGTGCATATCACAAGTATCGGGATTCCCCTCCAAAATTCTACAACACACCATAACTTTGCCTGGTTTCTCTTGAACTTCCTCAACCCATCATGGCGCCCGGACTTGTCGATGTCCAACTTCAAGCCACCACTACATCCAAACCCGTGCCGAACCTAAAGAGCGGCAATATCCACAACTACACTCCCGGCCAGTCAGAGGTTCAGAAATACGATGAGACATATGAGTACGAAGATCTCCGCCCATGGTTTCCAGACATTACATGGCCCGCCTACACAGAGATCCCCTACACCGACAAAGGCCAACTAGGCGACCCAAACTTCAAGAACCTCCTAGCTTCGGCCACCGACGTCTTCGATTACAACCCCAAAATCGGCACTGAGGTTCACGGCGTTGATCTAGCCAATCTTACGGATGTACAGAAGAACGATCTTGCTCGGCTAATCGCCACTCGCGGTGTAGTCTTCTTCCGGGACCAGAAGAACTTTGGCATAGACGAGCAACGGGAATTGGGCAAGTACTTTGGCGAGCTACACAAACACGCTACGACGGGAGTGCCCAAGCGACCCGGGCTGGAGGACGTACATGTTATATTTACGGGGGAGAACAGTCCAGACCTCCGAGCACTGTTTACTCCTACTTTCCTCTGGCACTCTGATGTAAGACTCAGCCTATACATATACACTTCTGAAGAAGAGCTTTCTCTAACTCCACTACCAGGTATCCTACGAACTCCAACCCCCATCCTACACATCCCTAAAAGTACTCACGGGCCCACCCCGCGGCGGCGGGGGTGACACACTTTGGTCTTCTCAATACGCAGCCTATGACATGCTATCCCCCCACATGCAAAAGTACCTTGAATCCCTCACCGCTCTACACTCCGCCGACCTGCAAGCACAAGGCACCCGCGACCTCGGCCGCACCGTTCGCCGCGAGCCCGTCACAACCGCGCACCCCTTAATTCGAACCAACCCCGTCACAGGCTGGAAGTCACTCTACTTCAACCCCGGTTTTGTGACAAAGATTATCGGCGTCCCCAAGACGGAATCCGACCACATCATCAGTTTTCTAAATGAGATTGTGGCCACAAGTCCAGAGGTGCATGCGAGGTTCCAGTGGAGGGAGGGCGATGTGGCGTTCTGGGACAATCGCGTTACGAATCACTCGGCTACGTATGGATTTGCGCCACACAGAAGACATGCGGTTAGGGTGGCGGTGAGGGCCGAACGGCCGTATTTGGAGAAGGGGAGTCGGTCGCAGGAGGAGGAGGTTAGTGAGCGGTTTGGGGTGCCGAGGGCGAATAAGGATGGGAGTGGGGTGGTGAATTACAATGATTAGGTGATGCAGTTGTAGGTAAACGAATAGTAATGAATTGACGAAGACAGTGAACTAGACATCTGCACTCTCCCTCACACTCGACCACACCCCTCAAATAGGCAATTGATATTTGAGCGTGTGTTTCTCTGCTTTCTGAAACAACAACTCTTCAATGGCGAATTTCCCCGTTGTTGTAATCGACACCGCCACAAAACAACTGACGCGATGTGGTGGCTAATGCAGTCAGAATGTCTAGTAAACCATGGCTCCTATACTTTGCACACTTGGCCAATCGTCACAGCACATTAAATGGGTTACTCTCGATCTTGAGTGTTCATCTTTACATTATACAAACAATAAACAGTATCAGTGCGACAACAGCATGCCATCATGCGCCTCTGATGGCGTGCTCAAGCATTCAACGTCAAGCAGCATCTATTTCACAACGCCAATCTAACATACACTGGTGCGAATTTCATGCTCTCCCTACGAGGGCCCCATTAGGCAACGAAAGTTTTACCCAAATCCAGCATTCAGCTGTCAGACCTGAGTGTGGTATAAATAGATAGGTGAGATTGAGATGGTTTGGATAGAGGTCAAGCGTTTATTGCTCCTTTTCGTAGCCAATAGGCTTCTGCATACCCTGCATCTCGTAGAATCGGGCTGTACCTGTGATTGTGTAAGCTTTTTCTCATATCTGCTATATGTAAAGGGACTTACAGCTGTAGCCATTCCAGTCAAAGTTGTTCTTGGGGTCGCAATGGCACTTGTGGTCCAGTCGATATTGCTCGCCAGTGGGGCAGTGCGTAAAGGGAACATGATAATAGGCGATGTCGTTGAAAAAATGAATTTCGTCCTTTTGTAGCATCAGACCCGCTGCGATGGAGTGAACAGGAGCATCGCCCCATCGCTCGTAGAAGAAGCCACCAGCATGGTCGAGGGAAGTGAAGAAATCGATGTATGCGTCGGAGCGCAGCCAATTGAGGTTGCCAATTTCAAAGTTGGACCAGAAATGGCATTTGTTGTACGTCTCGCCGCCGTCGTCACTGAGGAATTTCATTGCGTTGTCCTTGGCGATGTGTTGGGGGAAGTGCTTGGTGAAGTTCTTGGTGGCGTCCCAAAGGGTGGGAATCGTCTCAATGTACTCGTACAAGCTGAGGGTGAAGCTGTACTTCTTCTTGTTGTCGGCCATGAATTTGAAGGTATCGTAGTTGATGTCGCAGTATAGCTCGACACTGGGCTCGACGCGCCAGTACCATTCGTAGTCGAGCATCAACGGGTGACGGAAAAAGAAGCCGGATTCGTAGCGGCACATGTGCCTGTAACTGATGGAGTCACCGTAGATGATCTTCTTCTCCTTCATCTGCTCGCGGACCTCGGCAGCCTTTTGCTGGTCAATCCATTCGGGGAAGGACCAGTGCTCCTTGGGGATTTTTCCATACTTGGTGTTGCCAGACACGAGCGCAGTTGTGACCTTCTTGAACTGATCATCGAAATCGTCGTCGTTGAGGAAGACCCAGTCGTAGTTGAACTTGCGGTTGAAGCGGTCCTCAACTTGACGGATCGACTTAGCAATGTCCCACACGTCCGAGTTGCGAGCGAGCGTAACGAAGGTGGCGTTCATGCGGTCTCCGGCAGCGGTGGGTGGGGGGAGCGACTGTTGGTTGGGTGTAGTTTTGGGAGGCGCTTCAGAAGGCGCCTTGACCTCATCGTTTACGACGGCCGCATTTCCGGTGGCTGGAGTTTTGGAGTCCTGGTAGACGGGCCAGGTCGGGGAAGGCACGGTGGATGAGGAGCCGATGAAGTAGAGGAGGGAGATGGCCTATGGGAAAGTCAATGGGTGTGTCTGCAGGTACGTATTATATGAAGGCTACTGTACCACTACCGCGAAGACGATATAGCGGAGATAGCGCTGACTGCCGGCCATGGCGGATTGGCCCTGAGGCGGTCGGACGGGCTTTGTGAGGTTTCTCTAAGACGTCACAGTCCTCGAGTATTTGGTGCTTGCCTGCGTACGATTACGGTAGACGACAGGCGACAAGCGACGGGTCGAGTGTGGGGGAGGCGGAGTGGAGGGTTTGATGTCGGTAGGGCGTATGTTTAGTCCAAGGCTACTGAACAGGAATGAGCGGATGCCAAGGCAAGCATGCACTTGAGCAACGAAGGCGAGAATAGAAAGAGAAGAAAAAGGACGACGTCGAGGGCTGAGTTGGGGTGGGCCGACGAGAAGAAGAGGGCGAGAGGAAGTAGCGTAGGTGAAAAGGAGACGTAGGTTGGTAACATTCGCCAGTGTGGCTGATTATGTCCTGGAAGACAATGCGGTTCCCAGGGTGTATAAGGGAGTACGGGGCGGGCTCGTATTACTTTAGGAAAAGGCGGAACTTGCCGGCATTTGTCCGCCACCTTGGTACCATAAAATACTTTACAGTGTGGGTAAGCGCCTAATAGGTGTGTCTGGCTACTGACAGTGGCCTTTTTCCACTAGTATGTCAAGTATTTTATAACACCGGGTGCCGCCTAAGTTACGCAGACCAGAGAGGCGCGAACATCACACGGCGTCGTAGGCTCGTAGCACCCCACGACGTCCACGACGACGACGACGACAACAACAACAACAACAACAACAATTGTCACCTGCCCCCCGCCCCCCATCGACGTCGTCTGTGTCATTCTATATCCGCACCTGCCGAATAGTGACTGTCGTTTGCTGCGCTCATGCGACCGCCGCCTGACAAATCTACCTTTACCCGGCATCCAACACCGCCCGCATTAAATATCATCACCACTGCGCTATAAGCTTATCCACGCAACCACCCACGCTGGGCACCACGACCCAACATGTCTTTCTTTGGCTTTGATACGAGCCTGCCGCGTGATCACGGTCATGCTTCTAATGCTCCCGGCTTTGGCCAGCACGATGCCTTCGCCGCGCTCGGCGGTGGGGCAATCGAAGGCGATGTGTATGTTGCGCTCCATTGCTCTGTGACTCCCACAGCCCCAACTGACGTCGACAAACAGCATTGACTTTGAAGAAACCTACGACGGCCTCGGCGACCAGCTCGATGATGAGGCTGATGATCTCAATGACGACACCTTCGGAGGTGGTCCTGCAACGCAGCAGTCTGTGGGCAAGCACTTTGACTTTGCCGGCCAGACGTCCATGGTCTCGAGCACACTGCAAGAGGAGCAGATGCTTTACCAGGCTCGAAACCAAGTCCCTCGTCAGCAGCAACAGCAACAACAGGCGCACCAGCAGCAGTACCAGCAGCAATACCAGCAAAGGCCCCCGGTCCCGCAGGCCTCCAAGCCCAATCGAACTGGCTATGAGAGCTACAAGGACCCCGAGTACATCCCTCAGCTCGAGGCTCGTGCCGACATCTGGGGCCTCAAGCCCAAGGCGTCGGCTTCGCAGCAGCAGCAGCAATCCTCGCCACAGCCTGCCATGGCTACCCAACAAGCTCCTCCATCGAGGAAGGTCATGAGCATGGAGGAGGTCGAGGCCATGATGCGCGCACAGTCTATTGGTAACGACCCCAGGGCTACCCCTCCGGTCCAGCAAGTCCCGCAGGGCTTCCCGGGCTATCCTCAGCAGCAGTACCAGCAGCAGCAACAGCAGCAATATCCTGGTGTCCCTGGCGGACCCATGTCTGGCCAATACGCACCCCAGATTCTACAAAGGCCTCAACAACAGCAGCACTCACCGCAGGTTCGAGCTGAGCTCCCGGATCACCCTATCCGATCCCAGCCACCTCAGCAGCCCACCATCCTCCAGCGGCAAAGACCTCAGTCGAACGAACATGTCGCTCAGCAACAGAGACAGGGGCCACCGCAGCCTCAAGCCCAAGGCCCATCTGGACAACCCCGTCACATTTTGCAGAACCCCAACCGTCTCTCTGGTCAAGGTCAGCCCATGGTTCAGACTGGCCCTCAAGCTGGCCGTGGTCAACCTGCAGCGCATAACAGAGGTCCTTCGTTTCCCGGCATGGTCATTACTCACCCAGAGCAACTTCTTCAACTATCAGAGGCAGAACGTGCGGCCTTCCTTGAAGAAGACGCCAAGCGAGCTAAGCGGAACCATAAGATTGCTTTATTGGCCAAAGACAACGGCCTGATGACACCCCAAGATAAGAATTTCATAACCAGAATCCAGTTGCAGCAGCTGATGACTGCCACTGGCAACTTGGAGGAGAGGGGACCTGAAGCAGCCATCGCCGAAGACTTTTACTACCAGGTCTTCAGCCAGATTCGCGGTGCTCCACGTCACAATCCCCAGCAGCCAGCCAGTCAATTTGCCCAGACCTACCTGTTCCAGACCAACAACAGGTTTGGCGCCCGCAGACAGGGTCGGGGAGGTGACAATCACATGCAACGCATGGAACAGCAGATTCAGCGAGCCGTTGAAGCTGCCAAAGCGAGGCCAAAGGCCCGACAGCTTGTTGTTGAAGGAAGTCTTGGAAAGATTGCGTTTAGCAACTCCAAGACCCCACGTCCGCTGCTCAATCTCAAGCGCCCCGAGACCAACGACAAGCTTCCAAAATCTCATAAGTCTTCTATTGCCGATCGCAAAGAAGCTCTCCGCAACATCGAGGCTGTATACAGAAGCCTCATGCAGATGGAAGACCATGAGCGAGCCATGCCACCACCGATCCAAGAAGGCAGTCCCCCTGAGGCTATTCAGGCACATATGGAATGGCGATCGAAGATTGACGTCCTCCACGAGCAACTCTGGTCGAACACGAAGATCATGGAACCCATCAACCCCAGGTATGTTTTAACCCCAAGGAAGTCGCTTTTGCTAACTTGACCAGCGCACCTCACCCCTTCATTTCTATCCTCTCGCACGCCAAGGGAAAGAAGGTCATTCCGCGCCTCTTCCGCCACATCAACGAACAAGAACGTATCACAGTCGTGACCATGATTGTGGTTCACCTTGATGCTCTCTCGGTAGTTGGCCATGCCATCGCCACGCCCGATGAGCCTTTGAGCGCAGCGATCCGAGAAGAAGTCGACCTTTTCTCTCAAACTGTCATGTCGCCCATCCATGCGCACATCTCAGACGCGCCCCTGAACATTGTCATCGGTCTTCTTGGTCTTGTCCTAGATCGTACCAACCTCCATGTCGTTGCTAGAAGCAAGATTGGTCTGACGCTACTGACCTTTCTGATTTCTCGTGCCGAACTCCTGAAGCAATCAGCTCCCGAGATGGTTACCGACTGGCAGCAATGGACCAACCTTTACAACCGTCTGTTCGACGTCATCGAGCCTGTTCTTCCTTATCTGTTCCCTGGAAGTATCAACGATACCGACGACATGTACATCTGGCAGTTCCTCGCCGCGATGGGTGTGGGAGCTAGTCCCGAGCAGCAACAGAGGCTTGTGCTCGGCGTCAAAGATCGTGTTATGGAAACTGTGGCTGTCAGCAAGGCGTTGCCAGCTGACATGGCGAGTGCTCGAACATCGAACGTGAATCTTTTCATGAGGGCCATCGGTCTGGATGTGGAACTTCTTGGATGAAAAGATTTGAGTAGTAATGCCTGGTTCATCCCGAGTTATCGTAAACTAGCTGTTGCGCCGTGCGGTAGGCCGACGTTAGGAGCACGATGCGAAGTCCGAGTGGAGGAGACGTGAGCGCACTTGGATGTGCAGAATCAATACCACACATGGTTTTTGCCTGGGTTAGACGTCTACGATGAAGCAGCCCAGCATGGTTGAGTGTCGAGCCTCGGGTCTCGATGAACGAGCGAGGAGAACTAGGTCTTGTCGGCCATTCACTACTGTCACTTTAGTGAGAGAGACGGGTGTAAGAGCTGCTGAAGGAGGAGCGGCATATTATGATGGAACTGAAAAGCGCTGTCACTTAGCATTCGAATATACGCAATTGATTTCATGTCAGATAAGCTTCTGTTCATAGCAAACTGCATTTTTCGCACAGGCCTGTGCAGCACACCTGCGACTTCCTCCCCACAACCAAAGCATGGTACCTTCGGCTTCCCGAGCTTCATAGTTCAGGTTCATTCCGGTTTCTTTTCCCAACGGCCAAGACACATACATCATTCCTAATGTGGACCCTTTGCCGGTTGGAGGTTCATGCGAACTCCGAGCTGGCGAAACTGAAGGCACGCTCCCTCCTTGCCGTGTCACTCGCTCAACTTGGCGTCTCCACATGGAAATCTTATGCCTGTAGCACATTTCTCTGGTGTTTTCGTTGCACGGGGCCACAGGTCGCGGTTTGAGTACTGCCGGAGATGGGTTTATCAAGTTCCACCAACAGGTTCTCAGCGTGTTGAACCGTGGGCTCCGCTTCAACGGGTGCCCCAGACTGTTTGTCGCCCGACTGGGCGCCAAACCGCTATGAAGCATGTTTTTGCCGGTGAAGCATGTTTGAGAAACACACATCAGGTTGGTTGGTCGTGAGGAAACACCGCCACCGACATGGCAATTACGCGTGGCTACTTGTTGTGCAGGCTGCTTCCTTTCGAGTTGCGGGTTGGCGGGTCCACTGTTTCAAGCTTGTCTGGCCTTGGCATTCTAAAACACTTCGCCGCCATGTTCGTCAGCTCGTCGCCCACTCATCGCTCGCCCGCTCATGCCGACGGTGGCATAACTGCGCCTCATCATCGACAAGCGGCTGTGCAGAGACCGACATGCGCTGCGAAGATGATGCTAAAACGCGCATCTGGGTGGGAACTTGCTGACAGAACCGCCTTCCCCGCACTTATTGATACAACATCACAACACCTTCGATCAGCTGTCTTGTGCGACTTTACCCGTCCAAGGTGCCACAGTGTTGAAACGCAACTGCAGCGCGAGCCATGCTTCTTGCTAGTACATCCACAATTCTTTGACAGATTTGCTAGGACGCGTAACATACTCCATCACCCTTCCGATATCTCTTCGATGAGGCTGGAGGGGGCTTGAACCAATCATACGAAGTATCCAAGGCCCATAAGGCTCGTTTCGAATTTGTGTTAGCCAAATTCGAGTCCTTCTAGACTTTCTGCCTGAGAAGGTGACAGGAACTAGGCTTGATGTCCACCATAGATGACTATTAGTGCAGTACGCGTAGCGTTTCGTCATACAAACGATGTGGATACCACTTTGCTCTCGAGTATCGCTTAGTGCTCTCATACCATCTATCATGCGTCGGCATCGGATCGGAGTGCAGGGTGCGGGTTTCATATTTTCCTTAGGTTTTACTTACTGCACGGCTGTGGTTGCAAAGACATTCCTTCTTTAAAAGCAACCTCTTCGCACCCTCCTTCATCACCACATCCATTAGGCCGAGCCTGTGTTCTGTTTCTTTCGAGGTTGTGTTTTGTTTCCTGTCTTTGTTCCTTTCTTCCGTTCTCTCATCCACCTTTTTCCTTCCCTTCCAAACGACAGGTCTTTTACCTCCGGCTGCCGGTCAGCATTAGCTCAACATGCCTTCATTCAAAATTCTCCTCTTTGTCGCTCTTTTGGCAGCTGTCGTGCTAGCTGTTCCCGCCCCAACACTCAGGAGGGGCCTTCAAAAACGTTCATTCGAGATTCCCAGACAGATCAACAGGGCTCACCCACTGGACCCAATGGAATGGTTGCCATGAGACAGGTGTTCAGGAAGTACAACTTCAAAGTCAAGGAAGACTTCATGGTCAAGGAGGGCTTCATTTCCTTCAACAAGCAAGCCGGAAACTCGTCTGCCACAGCCGCTGCCGCCGGTGGCAACAAGACCTCCGGAAGTGTCGCCGCCAACCCGGCGAACAACGCTGCCCTCTTTCTGTCTCCCGTGGACATCGGCGGTCAGATGCTCAACTTGGACTTCGACTCTGGCTCTTCCGATCTGTAAGCTTCATCTTCCCACCCAGGCTACGCTTCACTAACACCTTTTGCTCAGTTGGTGTTTCAGTACTGATCTTGACCCTCAGCTCATTGGCCAACACGCAGCCTTTGATGCCTCAAAGTCTACTACCTTCAAGAAGACTGCAGGCGCGCAATGGAAGATCAGCTACGGAGATGGTTCTGGTGCTGCCGGTACCGTTGGCACTGATACCGTCACCATCGGAGGCGTAAAGGTCGAGGGACAAACTGTCGAGCTTGCCAATGCTGTCTCTCAGTCCTTCGTCCAAGACACCAACACTGACGGTCTTGTCGGTCTTGCCTTCTCCAAACTCAACACTGTCAACGACGGCACCAAGAAGACTCCAGCAAAGACCTTTTTCGACAACGTCATGCCCAACCTGGACATGCCTGTCTTCACTGCCGATCTCAACCCAGACGGCAGCGGAACGTACGCGTTCGGCAAGATTGATTCCACAAAGTTCGTAGGCGAAATGGCGTGGGTGCCCGTCAAGGCCGAGACTGGTTTCTGGCAATTCGGCTCTACCAAATTCGCTGTCGGTGACCAGCTTTTCGAGAACCCTCAAGGCTCTGACGCCATTGCCGACACCGGTACATCGCTTCTCCTTGTTGACCAGCAGGTCGCCGAGGCATACTACTCGCAAGTCAAGGGTGCTCAGCTCAACGCTCAGGTCGGTGGTTTCATCTACCCATGCAACGCCAAACTGCCCGACATGAGCGTCGCCATCGGTGACTCCTACATGGCCAAGATCCCGGGTAGCCAGATCACCTTCGCAACTGTTGATGCCGCAAACACGACTTGCTTTGGTGGTGTACAAGGAAACCAGGGTGGAGGTCTCCAGATCTACGGTGACGTTATGTTCCGATCGCAGCTTGTCGCTTTCAACGGCGGCAACCAGTCGCTCGGACTTGGCCAGAAGCCTGCTCCTAAATAAGCGCACAGCTCCGTTATGATTGCATGCATTCAGTAGGGGCATGTAAAGCCTACTGACTTGTACATAATTCGATATCCCTTGCACATTCTTTTAAGTACATACGGCCGGAAAAATTCATAGCTATACTGCATAGCCAGAATCTAATATAAATAACAATTCGCGCACAGCGCTCTAATGACTTTTCTCTGTAAGTCTTCAACTCAAAGTGACATTCCGGTGTGACCATGACCACGTGGAAGCGCTAGCTAAAGGGAGCGAAGAAGCGGAAGGCGCATCCCAAGCTTGAGACTGACCTTCAACGAGCGACGAAACGCAACTTTACCTGCACTATTCCTAATTCCTTGCCAATCCTTACTGAGAAACATTACATTCATGGCAACTATTGAGCTAGAGCTCGATCTGGAGCCTGTCTCGCAGGAGGATACAGAGCTCAGCATCATTGAGTACGCCCGGTCGCACGGAATCTGTGTAGACTACACAACTGAACGCTTGCACACTGTCGGTATTCAGGTGCCATCGAGTGATGACATTGATCAAGATTTCTCCGGTCCCTCAGATGCTGACGTTAGGAGTACTACCGAGGCACTGATCAAAGAGCGGCTTGCGATAAACAGAGATGCAGCTCTTTTTTTGAAATCGGCATATTCTCTTCAGGAGGTGCTTACATTTGATCCATTCGCGACAGACAGGCGGAGATGGATGCTCGATCTGAAACTGGAACTTCCGGTCCTCAAATCCGACTACGAGCTCGACTTACTGAGCTTTGGCAGTACAGCGTTACCCGAGTTCCGAGAACTACTAATACCATCCGAAGTTATTGTTGAGCAGAACGACGAAGGACTGGAGTGGCCGAAAAAGTATCTGGACTATTCTGCGCAGTGCGATGCAAAAGCCAGGAGTGAGAGGCTCTGCATCTCCAAAGATGCACTCATTTACCTGCAAAATACTCTGAAGGATGCATGGGTACGAGAGGATTGTCAGAGAATTGTAAATGAGACTCTGCAATATAAACCGGTATGTGGAATTGTCCACTGGGATCACTGCGCTGATTAATGCAGAAACAGACTACCCAACTTATCACACCACCACTGCTTCCACAGTCCCCGACACTGACCCCATACATTCCATCGCCACCTGCCAATCGTCTACCGCTAGCTTCTGAAAGTAGTGATTCGGTTGCTGTAGAAGCTCAAGCCTTGCACAGTCAGATATTGTCAGTAGACTCTCTTCTGCGTCAGGACTCAGATAGCAGTGACTCAATGCTACTCGACATCACTCATACGCCACAAGTCAGCCCAACCTTCGAAACGCGCTCATTATCTGTATTGAAACGTAGAGCTGAGGATTTGAAAGTAGAGTGTCCTCTAACACCACCCATGTTTTCTACTTCTCCCAGGAAGAAGCTCAAGTCCGTTTCTTTTGCAGAAACGCCGCACGAGTACATCTCGAACCAACCAATGGGGAAAGAAAAGATCAATGGCGACTTTGACGACAATATCGACGAGACTTCCAGTATCGACTTTGATGGACTTGTCCAGGAACTTGCGCCACTGGCTGAACGAGCGAAGAAAATGATTGAGAATGAGCGACTGTCTGGTGCTGACACAACTGCGCGGGTTGATGTGCCGGATGTCGACTTTTCACTGCCTGCGGCACCCTGGGACGAATACAGTCAGCAAAAAGGTGACGACTGTCTTCCTGGTGACACAGGATTACAAGCGCAAACAGAGTTTTTGTTGAGAATCAAACGTGAGGATCTCAAGTCGATGAACTTATGGCATGGTCTATCAGTCTCAGAAAGGGAACTACCCTGGGGCTTTTTGATGACCAAAGTTTCAACATTGAGTTTAGAAGAGAAGCTCCATGGTGATTCTGAGATAGACAGAATCATTATGAGAACAACGATGGAGAGCATTGCAACTAGCGCAGCGCAAGTGTGGAAACGTGAAGGTTTGCGAATCCTCGATGGAGAGGAAGAAGAGGAAAACCTAGAACCAGATGAAACTAGAGAAAGGCGGGACATGGAATCTTTGCTACGTAAGCGGAAATTGGAGATCGAGGAGGAAGCCGCAGAGCAGTACCGCAGACAAAAGGTCTCGCAGTATGATGAGCGGAAAGACTATGGATACCCCACACAAGCGCAACAAAATCACTACGAAGATGAAGCCGTGTCGATACAACACCGCCTACCGAGATCGCAAGTAAAGCCAATGGAGTACAGCCGCGAACGGCCGCCAGCATCGACTGCTCGTCGGAAGAGTCTACAACCACCTGATGGTATCGGTAATGGGCTCATGTTTGGAGGCTTTTCAGCGACCACGGCGCTTCACAAGTTCATGGAAACACGTGGAAAACATGTAGAGTCTGCTCGCACTAGTACGAGCAAAACGCCTCTAATCGAACATTGCCCCCAGTCAGAGACTCCGACCCTAGGTATACCGTCGAAAGGGCCTTCTGATTCAACAGAGCTCCAGGCTCAGCAAACAACAACTGAGCCAAAAGAGACAGATAAATCACAGGGGCAAACATGCGAAGAGACCGAGCCCACACTCCCTGCCATCCCGAGCAATCTGGCGCCTTGCTCATTCGTGATCTCTTCAACCTTCTTACAGCAAAGAGGATTGCTGAAACGAATTGAACAACTTTACCCAATGGCTGAAATGATTTACCGAGACTATACACTGCCCCACTCACCAGCTAAGGAAGCGGAGATGATCCTTTCGCCATCCACGGGCCTGATTTTTACTACGTTGCAGAAAGTCAAACAACGAGCCCTACCTGGCCAGCCAGATCGATCACAAGTAAAGGAGTCTGTACTCGAACTGCAGTCGAGATATGAGAGGTTAGTAGTTGTGGTCAGCGAAGGACTGAGCCGTGAGATGGAAGCGCTAGGCTCGAGCCGACCAGATGATTCACGTGATCAAGATGCGCTGAAAGCTTTCGAGGCCTTTTCAACTCAAGCTGAAAGCGATGTACTTGTTCAATATGTCCGTGGAGGTGAGAAGGCTCTCGCGAACTCCATAGTGGTGGAGATGTCGAAATATGGATTGCCATACGGCTCGGTGGATATTTGCGACATAAGGCTAGTAGCGCAAGAGACAAGCGTAAGCATAACGGTAATCCCAACTTCCAAGGCCATCTAACATGAACCAGTGGGAATGCTTTCTACGCCGAATTGGGCTAAATCCTTTTGCCGCGCAGGCGATCGTGGCATGGCTCAAACTGCCCGTCAACGTACAAGTTCCACTTCTCTCAAGCTCATCCCTTCCATCTGTCCATTCGAAGAGTGTATCAGTAGCCAGACTCCCGCGCTTCTTGACAATGAGCGAAGAACAAAGGATACACTGCTTTCATGCTCTTATGGGTGGAAGCAGGATCTTGAATAGAGTTAGTAAGCTGCTAGACCAGGAGTGGCTCAGCGCGGCGCATGGTTTCAGGATGTGAGTGAGCAAGTTTGGAATGGAGGAAATATGGGGTGTATTTAGTTTCCAAGAAAAGGTGGTGGGGAGCAGCATGATGTTCTCAAACAAAGAATGTCAGGCCGCAAGCGGCATAGTTAACTGAGGTGAAGCTTGGGCCCGCAATGACGCAGACCCGACGCGAAATATCTCGAAACTTCGTGACTGTTGTATGATTCAACGTGCATACGCCCGGCCTGCAGCCTGACTGCAATCTCGAGTACTTTTCTTTCATAAAGCAAACCACTTCCGATTCCACCATGTCTTCGGTCGGCGTAATAATTTCTGGACGCCCCGTCGTCACCGAGCCTTCTTCCGTAATATCGCAGACGCAGTTCGCATTCCAGATACCGTCACAACCCTCCTTCTCGCACATTGTCGTCTTTCTCCTTCCCGGGGTTACGCTTCCAGATGGCACAGCAGCCGCTGTATACGCGCAATTACCAGGCACGAGCGACTTCAAGCTCCTAGGAGCAATCGCAAACGAAAAGCCCAGCGCGATATTCAAAGTCAACACAAAAGCTGGTGAGCCGGCGGGTGGTGGTATTGGGGATGATAATGCCATGATAGACGAAGGAGTGTCCATGGATGCAACGACCGGTAGCACGGCGCCGCTAGCCCTCGGTATAAGCGTCGAGCCTGCTCAACAAGTCGCTGCTGCCCTTGCGCAGAACAAGGCCCAAGATGCTGCAGCCTTGGTGACACCGGCTATGGGTCAAGGGAACGAGATAGTGCTAAGAGGGCAGAAGAGTGTAGATACAAAGGTACTGGCCCAAAGGATAATCAAGAATTGTTATGACTTTTTGACAAGCTGGGGAACGGGAGATACAGTTCCGCTGAAGGCGTTTCAGGCATGGTGGACTAAGTTCGAGGGCAAGATCGAAAGGGATCCAGGCTTTCTAGAGAGAAGCGATGGGGGCTGAAGCTAAGGTATAGTGGGAATGCCGAGATGAGGGTGCATGGAGACATTTCAGGTATTGGAGGACGTGGTTTACGCCATACTGTTGAGTTGATACGATATGCAGCCACATCGAAAAGTCTTACTCACTTCATTCCTCTCTGGCTCCGCTTATACCTCGAATGCGCCCACGATTCGTTCGGTGCCCCTTCCGGCTGTCGGTTCGCCTGTTCAACCACCACGCCACTACGTAGGCTTTGGATATTTGTCGCTGGTATCGCGCTTCTGGTTGATGTCACAACGGCTCCTACGTCACACTCTTGCGAAACATCTGCCTTCGCAAGGTTTGGAAGAATACCTTCGTGTTGTCCGATAATGGAACAGACATCGTGATGCGAATATAGCGCGGTGGCAGGGCGATGGAGGCACTTGATGGCTAAAGTAGGCGTCACTAGATAAGTTGCTCAAAAATCTGCACTTTATAGATGCGACAAGATCTACAAGATTAAATGGCAAACATGGCGGCAGTGCAAATTCAAGAAAATTTCGTAAATCCAAGCTTTCGTGGGTAGCAGTAGTAGCAGCATATCATCTACACAATGCTCCATCTGCCTTCCTGATTCGGAAGACGGAAGTAAGCGGGTATCGGATAGCGACTAAGGAGCAACACGCACCCATGACTAAAACGTACGCAGACTGCCAACGGCTATCTATACAGACTGTCAGTCATTGGACTTTGCTAACGCAAGCTTGGCACTCTTTCCGCATGTCTCCTAGTGGCTTGAGAACGTGTGGGTTATCGCATGGAAGCCCCACTGATAAGTACAGCGATAACCGGTCCAGTCTTGTGAGGCGGCATAGCCAAGCACTTCTTTCGTTGCTGCTACTCGTGAATTGTTCGTTTCCAATCATCAGCGGGGTTACCATAACGGCATGATGTCAGTTCGCTTACTCTAGCTCAATGATGGCTGATAAGAGGCCGTGGGATAGGCATGTCACGGCCGAGGATAGGATTTACATATTGCTTCTCTACCAGGGACGTTGGAGAAGTATAAGAAGCTGAGTTTGCCTAACGGATACGATGATCAAGGAATCGCCGACTGGTGCTTCTCAGACACCAAGATGAAGGTTACTATTCAACTCTTCCCCCTCTTCACATCCCTGGCTGTGGCCTCACCGATTGACCTTAGTCAATCAAATCTTCATCGACTATTTGTACGCCAGGATATTCAAACTCCAATTAACGCATCGCTCCCAAATGTCACAATTTTTGCCACTGGCGGCACAATCGCATCACAGGGTAGTACCAACACTCAAACCACTGGCTACTCTATCGGTCTTGGAGTCCAGCAATTAGTTGATGCTGTTCCTGAACTATTGAACATATCAAACATTGTTGGATACCAGACTTCTAATGTCGCCTCTGGTAGTGTCAATGAGACAGTTAGTCTGAGTCTGGCCCATATGATCAACAAAGAGCTGGCGAAAGATGAAATTTCAGGTGTAGTCGTCACACATGGCACGGATACATTGGAGGAAACGGCCTTTTTCCTCGAGAGCACTGTCAATTCTACCAAACCAGTTATCATCGTTGGAGCTATGAGACCAGCGACGGCACTCTCGGCGGACGGCCCCTTGAACTTATATCAGGCTGTCACCCTTGCTGGGTCGCCTGCAGGGCGAAATCGTGGCACCATGGTAAGAATGGGACATACGATTCATGTTTCAAAGCATACACTAACCTGGCGGTTCAGATCGTACTGAATGACCGCATCGGCTCTGCGTTCTACACCACCAAAAACAATGCCAACACGCTCGACACATTCTTCTCAACCGAAGCCGGTCAACTAGGCGTTTTCATCAACCAAGTCCCATTCTTCTTTTTCGCCCCCTCGGAGCCCGTAGGCCGCACAGTCTTCGACGTATCCAATGTAACAGAACTGGCATCTGTGTCCATTCTCTACGCACATCAGGACATGAAACCCGAGCTTTTTCAGGCTGCCTACGAAGCCGGTGCCCAGGGCATCGTCTACGCGGGTGTAGGTGCGGGAGGTGTGTCTAGTAAAGCGAGCTTAGCTGCCGAAGCTCTGCACAATACGACGGGTATCCCGATTGTAGCTAGTCATCGGAGTGCAGACGGTATGGTGCCTGATGGACGTGGTTATACTATTTCAAGTGGGTTTTACAATCCACAGAAGGCGAGGGTGTTGCTACAGTTGGGTCTTACGATGGGATGGAGTGAGGATAAGATTAGGGAGGCTTTTGCGGCGAGTTACCCAATGCCATGAGAATATTCTTGTCGGGTTATGATTGTTAGTTACTATAAGATAGACGTTTGCCTGCGATACAAGTAGAAGTTTTCCAACCCCTGTCTAGTTTTGCTTGTACAGTTGTCTGACGTTGTACCTTAAGCTCACGGAAGAGCCCGAGTGACAAAACGTACACAAAGTACCGGCTAAGCGTTAGCGTTGAGACTGTAAGCCGATCAAACATGGCTGAAAGTGCGATTGAGCCTTAGAGTCTTATGTGCACTGCCCCAGATCTAACCACGCTAGCGCCGCATTTGCAAGGCGAGCAACACCGACGTCATGACTTGGCGCTACCTAGAGAAACAAACACACCTCATAACTACGCCACTGTGCGCTTCTAAGATGCATTCTAATAGTATATTTCATCAGCTATCATGTCTAACGACATCGCCTCGAACCGATCCGGTCTCAAAGAGTTTATTGGCTCCATAGCAACTATTTCGGGAGATCTTTCGAACATCACAGTGCCGCCGTTCGTACTAGCAGAGAACTCAACTGTCGAGATTCCACAATACTGGGCTGACCATCCATATCTATGGGCTTCCCCGGCATCAGAAGAGAATCCCGAGAAGCGAGCGCTGCTCGTATTGAAGAACTTCTTGGGCTCCTTACGTGGCCAGCAATATGCAGGGCGCGATGAAGCTGATGGTGTCAAGAAACCCTTGAACGCCTTCCTTGGCGAAATGTTCCTTGGAAGTTGGAATAGTGAGGAGCTTGGAGAGACAAGACTAATTTCTGAGCAAGTTGGTCATCATCCACCGGTCACGGCATGTTATCTATGGAACAATAAGATGGGTATCCGAGCCGAGGGGTTTACGCAACAAGAGATTACGTTTTCGGGGAGTGTGAGTATTAAGCAAAAGGGATATGCCATTGTACATGTCGACAAGTATGACGAGGATTATTTACTTCCCTTGCCAAACATTAAAGTCAAGGGTCTGCTAGGAGGCACTCCTCACCCAGAATTGGACGGGGAGTACTCTCTCATCTCATCCAATGGATACATATCGCACATCAAATTTGAGGGCAAATCACTCTTCGGATCCGGCCATAAGAATAGCTTCAGGGCACGCTTCTTCCACGCCGATCATCCGGATGATACGATTTACACAATTGAGGGCGCTTGGAACAGTACTTTCACTATCAAGGATGCACGCAGCGGCACGGACATTGAAACTTTTGATGTGCGAGCTATCAAACAAGAACGTATGATCGTACCCCCTCTCTCAGAACAAGACCCCTGGGAGAGCAGGAAAGCCTGGAACGGCGTCATCTCCGCATTACGTAGCAGCAATATGAAGGGTGTATCGACGGCCAAAAACGCACTCGAAAATGGACAGCGACAGATGCGCAAAGACGAAGAAGCCCGCGGAGCAACTTTCAGTCCCATCTTCTTCACCAGAGTCGACCGGGATCAGGTCTTTGACAAATTAGTCCAACATGACCCCATTGGATACACCGTTGACCCCGAGGGCGGCATATGGAAGGTGGACCGGGACGCTGCCGAGCACAAGACGCGGCCTTTCCACGCTGGTCTCACGCCTGCAAACGAAAAAACGGGAATATCCAACGGGGACTCGCAGTGTGATAGGAGAGAGCAAAACGCAAATTCACAACATCGTGGGGCCGCGCACACGGCAGGTACTCATAGCCCAAACGGTCACGTGCCGAATGGTGGCCCAGTGCAACAAATCCCGGAAATAAACCAGCCACATGAGCGAAACCCTGAGAACTCGGCACTTCAGCGTACTAAACCGGCACCAGGAACGCAAGAAGTCAATGCGTTTGAGCCGTCGAATGAGCAAATCGAAAACTTCTTACGTAGCAGGACGGGCAATGTTGGGTGAAGTACGGACCCAAGCACCGGGTAGAGAGCGTTTTTTTTGGCCGGTCACGCTACTAGGGACTTGGTCGTTGCGGCTTTTTGTGGAGACGGCTGGATGGGCGATGCGTACCGTAATCTGCCGTGTGGTTGATGATTAATCCGTCAGTTTCGGGTCGGTCGGGTGGGGATTCGGGAGGTGGGTTTTTGGGAATGATTCGGGTAGTCGAGAGTCGTGACTGATTACTTGACCAGTGTGTAAGCTATGCCTAAGAATCATGATTCATTATCAGCCGCGTGATTCAAAGGCCTGAAAGTCACCCGTTTTAGACATGACCGTTTTTTGTCTGTCGCCTGATTCAGTCGAAAAAATACTGTGCCCGTGTTTCGTTCATACTAAGCATGATGAAGAATGTAAAAAAAAATTCTTTCTAACTAAGTAGCTATAGTTTTTTATGTATTTATTTTCATTTATCTGTTTGTCCGTATGCAAGCGGTGGTATCGTGAGAAATTTATTTAACTACAAATATTAATATCATGTAACGTATCCCATCCATGAGCTTTGTTATTCATCTGCCTCCCTAAAGGCTCACCGTAACCGCCTCTCGTTTTTCTGATTAATATGCGTCTCCATCGTGATGGCGCCTATGCGGCACTCTTCATCAGATACCTTCCCACCGCCCTTGATTCTCCACGTGTTGAATACCTTGTCGCTTTTTTCATTCTCCGCCGAGAGGTCATCCCGCAACCGCATGGGCTGTAAGTTACCCATTCCGTAGTCCTCGTCGAGATCTTTGCTAGCATGCTTCTTTTCTGTCTTGAGCAACGAACGTGTGAAGCTGAAGATGCTGGGCTTCTTGTGCGACTCGAGTGTAGGGTCACCGTTCCATTTTGGGGTGCGCATGCCTGAAGGGTTACCACCCGAATGGCCAAACGTGGATGAGTTGAGGCCGAGTGAGGCCGAGACTTGCCGCCACAGGGGGCGCAGAGTGGCGAGGGAGCCGGCGGTGATGGCGAGACCCTGTTCGATGTCGGACCAGATCGCAATATCGACAGTGGCCCAGAGGAAATCCGGGTTCCGGAAGTCCATTACGTAGCCCATGCGGACGACGACAGCTAGACTGGCACTGTAAGGGGCTCGTTAGTCGAGTGAAAAACGGCGAAACAAGGGGGTAAACGTACATGCAACCCATGCCTAGAATGGGAATCAACATGATTCTCGTCTTGTACGACATGTTCAAGCCCCAGATGAGGAAGAAAGGCAGTATGGCGAAGGTGAAGTCGCTGATAACGGAGATGGCGCTGTACAGGAAAGTAAGGCCGATGATTACGTCGACATTGACACAAGTCCCTCCCTCGATGTGTTTGTTCCAGAAGAAGCTAACTGGTGAACACTGGAACAGTGTGACGAAGAAGAAGATGAGACCGGTGAGAACGGTAAGTCCCATGGCACTGTAGATGATGTATTTGTGAAGGGCCTTGACGGTAACGCGGAGGAGGAAGAGGCCAATGGATATCTTAGATGTGATCATGGCCCAGCAGTAGGCAATGTAACATAACCACCAGTACTGCGCATACTTTTAGCCACTGTATCAAAAGCAAGATTGGAGGAAAAAACCTACTCGCATTGCTTTGTATTGTTGCTCATATGACAGTGTGTCCATGTGACGACCAGTGCCGTAGTGAACACCACCTATCGCGCATGTTGCGAACATAACATGAGCAATCAACGCTGCCATCATCCAGTAGTCATCAGCTCCGAAGGCTTTGACGATGCGTGTCCGTACCCAGACCCGCAAGACAGTAGTGATAAAGGCAAGAGAAACGAATGTCGAGCATATCTGCACACACAAATCAGTGACCAGCCCCTAAAGAAAACACACGCTTCAGTGAAGCAACAAACATACCGCCGTGAGCTCCGGTCCACGGTTCTGAGTTGAAGCCATGATGGAAATCTAGTTCACCCCAGGATCCTCTAGGAACGGGGCAAATAAAGCAATCATATACCTTCAGTACCCAAGGCATTGGGTGTCAACCGCGAGTCAACCAGGCGTTCAACTAAGCGAGTCTCGATCGATGGGATGGCTGTCCAGGGGAAAAAGCGGCTCATAGCTCCTGCCCTGCGGCACATGGGAATGGACACACCGCCGGCAAATGGCATAGGGTCCAGCAGCACGCTCCACGCAGATCCAACGTTGAAGCGTTGCAAAACAGACTAGGAAGGCCACCATGACCCGTTTCCATTCTCGGATCTATTGTTGCGATGCTCCGTAGTCGTTATGCCTGATGCGGCCGGATGATCCCAATACCTTTTGATAAGCAGCACACTTGCGGGTTCGTGAACTCCCGCAACCTTCTTAGACTACCCGCACTTCATCCCCCTCTCGTATAACGGACTGTCCTCCGTTGATCGATTGACCGGTCTCGGGGTCAACTGTCAGAACTCTCTAAGCGCCACTACACGCTACCTAAGCAATCAGATCCGCTCCACAGGCCCGGAACTGGAACTGGAATTTTCTTGATGTCAAGTCTAGCCCGGCTAATACCGAGTTTCACTGTCGCGTGGCACACAGACGGGAACGATCTGCATGGGTCCGGGAGCCGTCATATCGCGTACGACTGGCGCGAGTCTGCATGGCCGTCGACACTGTGTTGGGATAGAATCTCCGCCCAGAAGTTTGTAAGCGAAGGGGCGCTAGCACTGTTTTGGTAGTTAGGCAGCGTGGAAAAGACAGGGATACCTCGTACATCGGCGACCACGCTACGGTGTAGGGCTAACCGAGAGTCGTGAAACTCGCATATCATGTGCCGAGGCATGGAATCTGTGGATAGTTGGGCGACGGACCACGACTCGTAAGAGTGCCCAGCAGTGCACTTGGGGACGGCACGATTGAGTAGCGCTGCCACACGGCACTCCTTTCGCCTCTGATCGCCCAAGGATGCAGCTCCGGCATGTACGTAAGGTTCATGACAAGCAACACATGCAGCGAGCAAAGGGGGAGCTATGTATAGTTAGAGATATGAGGTACCCGATCACATCATCCTTGTTGCGCACTTTCGGACTTCACATATCACTCCCCCACAGTCAAATAAACCCACGATGCTGGGAAGATCGGCCTCAACAGCATCCGGAAGTGGCCGGCAACGGATACATGTTTGAGGGGCCAGTACCGGCACAGCAATCAATCAGATGGATGGCGCGACGATCATGATGCGCTCTAGGGCCCTGGGTCCACCACATGGTCGTATTCTATTCTGGCACGTGTTCCCCACTACCTCGACAGTAGCAACTTGACTTCACTGTAACATCCGCTACAGCAAGCGCGATCCGCAACTGCTGCCCAACGATTCCCGCCTCATCTTTTCTTCCCAACTTGACGAGACACTCATGGTACCCATGCAGCGCCCAAACGTTGTTCGGATGTTGTCTTGCCCTTGGTAGACTATCATCAAACCCCAGATCAGCCTTGTAGGCCGCTCCCGCTTCTTCTATTCGGCCCTGTTCCATCAACAACGCTGCATAGGCATGTCTTGTTGGCTGCATCCAGGGCCATGGCTCAGCGTAAGTAAGTTTATCGTCCAACTCAATGGCTGTTTCAAGGTGCTTGAAAGCCAGCTCGTAATTGCCTTTGCGGTACTCGAGCTCCCCGTCCAACATTGCTATACCAACCTGAAGAACGACTGAAGCTCGATTTGGGAAGTCTCCACAGATGCGGGATGCTGGGATCCGCTCCACCGCAGCGCCCAGGTCGGCACGTTCCTTTTCTGCGTTCTCAATCTTGCCAGTAGCTGCATATGCCACGCCTTTCCCATAATGTATCATCGCTGTTGTCACGCAATGCAATTCCTTATCATGAGGCATCTCGAGCTGGATAAGATCGTCCCATCGCCCAAAGCGGACCAGTACATGAATGCGAACTGAAGCAAAGTTCTCGAGCCAATCCGCCATTGGCGGGCTTTCGACGCGTAGTAACGATACAGGCAGCGAGGCCTCCATCCGTTCGACCGTATCTAGTGCAACCTTGGACTGTCCAGCAAACATGGCTGCATAAATGAGCGAATGGTAATTGTGCATCATGTAGAACATATAAAAGCTCGTGGATCCATGTTCAGCGACGTACTTTTCGTCAGCGAGACACGCGTCCGCATTGGAGTCTATAGCTCTTCGGTAGTCACCGACCAGGATGTCCAGATGGGATGGCATATGGACCAAGTGTCCGGCGTCTGGATTAAGTTTTCGTAGGCGATCTGCGCAAACCAGTGCTGCTTCCGGTGTCTTGGACATCTCCATGAGATGTATGTACAAGTGCGGGATTCCCGGATGCTCATGTGAGCGACTATCTTGTAGTGCCTTTTCCAGGACCGCCTTGGCCTCTAGTGAACGAGCTCCAGGAGTTGGTTCACCGGTCTTGAGATCCCATAGATCCCATGCAGAGAGGCAGACGAGAGAATCTGCATAGAGAGACGCAATGTCAAGGTCATCAGAGAAACGCTCATGAACAACCTTCATGGCCTCTGCGTACTCCCTGTTGCATGCAACAAATGCAGCTTCGTTGAGATCTTTTGGCACGCGTACCTGAATTGCGTCGATCAACGCCCTCTCGAGTTCCGTGGCCTTGGATGCGTATTGCTTGGCCTTGATATTTGCATTGTTGATCCTTCCCAATGTCGCCTTCAGCTCTTTTTCGTCGAACAAGTCCCAAGGCTTGTTATAATTCGGACCGAGCACAAAGGCAAGCTATAACCAGTGATCAGACAAAACGTCCTGCATGCCCACTTAAAGTTACGTTTACGTACGCCCCAGTAAGCCATGGCGCATCCTGCATCTTTCTCAATAGCTCGCTCGAAGCACCGGGCGGACTCCTCGTGATGAAATGCGTAGCTCCACACCAAGCCGCGATCAAACCAAGTCTGGGCTTCCGGGCTGCATGTGGTGATCTTTCTATGAAAAGAGCCAAGATTATATCGATAGGAATTGGTCTTTGTCATTGTGATCGAGTCGAGGTTCGTGCCTAAGGTTGTGGTGTTGGCGATGAGAAGATGGATGCGCCCGAGGAGCGGGATGTCGCCGTGTCCCGTGTCCTGAAACAGCATTCGCCTAACCTTCTTGAGTCAAATCGATCTTGTGCCTCGTACGATGGCTTTGCGAATAGGAGCGTCCTTCTGTGATTGCAGAACTTGTTTCTCCAAGTAGACCGAGCCTGAGCCGAATTGGCAAGTTGCATAGTTGCTCACAAAAACAATCGTCTTTACACATCTACGCTCCTGCTTCTATGAGGTACAGCAATGACAACAGCACATGTCAACATTTGATCTCAACCGTAGCCATGAAGCTATCCGGAGTACTGATTCAAAGAAAAATCAATGCCAAATTCGAACTCGCAAGTGACAAGAGTTTTCACTGTGAACGTGATCGAGGCGTTTGTATCTAGCAGCAATACCGGCATTTCACATTTTGACAGATGTCTTCCTTCTGGAGTCCTTCGAATTCAGTATCGATTTGATGAGATCATGAGGAGAGTAAAGTGACAGGAGCCTTTGCTTTGACAACTTGAGATGATGGGAAGACATATCAATATCTGTGAGAATCACGCTAGTATCTCGTTACGTCACCCCACTTCGTTCCGATCGCGACAACTCATTCCGAAGGGTACCTGTCACCGTGTCACATGTCATGCAAGCCACTTGCTATTAACTCAATTTCCACCACACGCATCCTTCCGATGATTGCAACAAGAGCTCTTTCTTCAACTAGCAAATTTCACAGAGCTACGACACGGACACTAGCCCTTCTTTCTAGCAACACATCTCCACAACATATATCCTACCGCATACTCCAACACCGCCGCCAAACCAGCATGCTGCACGCCGCCGGTGAATCCGCGAAAAAAATCTTCGCCCCAACATCGAACTCTAAAGATCCAGGCCATGCAACCCAGTACAACAAAGGCGCGCTAGACCGCTCCGACCTGCTCCCTTCCCCAACGGAGCAATTCCACAAGTGGTTCCAAGAAGCTCAAAGCAATGGTGTTTACCAGCCCGAAACCGTAACCTTTTCCACTGCCGAGCTCCCTAGTGGCCGCGTCTCGGCACGAGTCGTCTATATGAAAGAGCTTGATGACCGCGGCTTCGTCATCTATAGTAACTGGGACACGAGCCGCAAAGCGAGCGATGTGCGGAGTAATCCTCACGCAGCACTGACGTTTTATTGGCGCGAACTTGAGCGTCAAGTGCGTGTTGAAGGGCCCGTCGAACGGCTTACAGATGAGGAGTCACAGGTTTACTATGATACGCGGATCAGAGGATCGAGGATTGGTGCGTGGGCGAGTCAACAGAGTAGTGTGATTGAAGGAAGGGAGGAACTAGAGAAGAGAGTAGAGGATGTGGAGAAGAGATTTGAGGGCAAGGATAAGATTCCTGTACCGGAGTTTTGGGGAGGTCTGAGAGTTGTGCCGGAGATGGTCGAATTCTGGCAGGGAAGACCGAGCAGGTTGCATGATCGCTTTGTCTATCGGAAGGTTGACGGTGAGGGCCAGGAAGGCAAGGGAATCAAGGATTCGGAATGGAAGATTGAGAGGTTGAGCCCTTAGTTGGCACTCGCTTTACACTTATGTAATCTCCCCTCAGTTCTAGTACTTTATGACAAGATCTTCAGTACAAGTCTTTCAGGATTACAGTACATCACGAAGTGTTCGGTGCACCTTCATGCTTCAAGTCAATTTTCTGGGTTCATTGTAATATTGGAATCATGATCATGATATGTATACATGACCCTTTCGATCACCCCACCGGCCATCATCTTCCCTCTCATCGACTAATGGAAGTGCCAACCTGAATCCATCATATTCTTTTTCCCTACGCTGCCGATCGCTATATTCAATTAAGCAGGCTTGTTAGTCAGGAATCGAGACTCAGTCAGCAAAGATGGCTGCCGAAGGTGATATGCAAGGGTTTGATGTTGATGCTTTCCAGTAGTCTACGACAGAGTGATTAGAAATACGTCGCAAGACCCCCAAAAAATACCGAGATGCATCTGCGGCACCTTGGTATCTCACGGGTTGTGGCAGTGTTGGGGTATCTAAAGTCAGACATGATAATAGGCATCGGCTGTCATGCGTCATGATAATGATGGCTGAAGGTCTTTGCGACAGTCCAGGGTATCATGGTATGGCTGAAATCCACTTGCTCAACTCACTTGCGCCTCTTCGGCTTCTTCTTCTTCATCGTCTTCATCAAGCTCCGATTGCGAGTTGTCTGATATCTCAATGGGCTCCTCGGTGCCGCCGCGTTTGGCCTTCTTTCTGCCGCCTTTGCCGCTGATGGTATCGAGGAAGTCGTTGTTGTTATGCTTTGATTGGAGCTTGGGAGCGTTTGCGACGTCTTGGAGGAATAGGCGCTCGTCATAGGCGTTGAAGGCCCTGTTGTCCTAGAAAAGATGAGCTGCGCTCTGACAAGCGTGGCAAGTTAATATACCTGCTCGTCGTAATAGTTCAGCTTCTGCCATTGTTCTTGGTTGGTCGCCTTCATGAAAGCCTGAGTCAATTCTGCAGCTGTATCACCCCCGGTCTTCTTGACCTGTGCGAGGAAGGCCTTGGGCTCAGCGACCTTGGCGCCCTCTTGTGACTCCTTCTCGCGGCGGCGCTGGACTGCTTCGAGCTGGGCAGAGGCATCAATGTGGTGAAACTGTGTTCGGAGCTGGATGAGACCGTTGCAACGTGTGAGGTGGAGTTCGTCTGCGAGTGGTCAGCGCCTGCGTGCACAAACTACTGCCACCATGCTACTCACTATCGCGGAAAGCGCCTAGCATGTAAGTGGGCCCCTTGCCATCGTCCGACATGATCTGGCCGCCAAACGTCTGTACATTGAGTACATGGCCCTTTTCATTCGCATCCTCGAAATTGGCAACGTAATCTTCCAAGTTGTCGTCGTCCACGGTCGCAACGGGCGCAGCTGGGGCTCCTTCACCCGTGGCGCCAGGGCGGTTGGTGCTGCGGGGCATAGTCCGCTCGAAGCCAGAGGCGATACCGAAGGCCTTTTGGCCAAAGCCCTTGGTCTTGCGCATGGCCTCGCCATACTGGACACCAGTAACGCGGTTGAAGTTTTCATGGATGTTGAGCGGAACGTCGACCTCAATGAAGCCCGACTCTTTCTTCAAGCGCACTTCGGATGGCTTGCTCCCGAATTCCTTGGTGAGCTTCTTGTCTGGGGGACGGTTGATGTACTGTAACACATACAGCTCCTGCTCGGCCATGTCGGGCGTGATGTAGACATCGTACTCGGCCACAACTGGGTCGTCGTCCTCGACCTCCATGTCCACAGGATTAGCCATGCTATCAGCTCTTCTTTTTTGTCGGTGAAACGTCGGTCCCGTGAGTTGTTTGTGTGTGTGAAACAAAAAGCCAAAAGTTCCGCGCCCCGCAACGCGCAGTCGCGTGCGGTGGAGCCGCGGCCCGTGCAGCTCCATGACGGAATAGATCCGATATCTCCATCCCGCCAAACAGCAACAAGGCCAAATTGACAATCCGTCGTATTCATACTGCAGAGCGGTTTCAAACGTCGCCATGGCCTACATTGCACCCATTCACCGGCCCAGCAGCGTCAGACATGCGCTGAAGCTCAGCTTCCTGTCTCCAGATGAGGATTGCCTCGTGGTCGCGTATGCAACACCACGACATTACCATACAAAGCGCTAAGATTAGTACAGGAAGTCAAACAGACTCGAATTCTACACACAGGAATCCGATGGATTGGCCCTAAAACATTCAAAGGCCATCTATGGCAAGGTTACTATGCTTCAGAAGCTCCGGCCCGCGCTATCATCGACCGACCACCTCTTCGTAGGTACCGATCGTTTCATGTACTTTACCTTGTCATGGGATGCCGAAAAGAGACAGCTCCAAACAGAAAAGTCTTTTGCCAGCGTTGCCGACAATGCTGCAAGAGAATCGCAAACAGGCGAGAGATGTCACATCGACCCGTCAGGACGCTTCATGACGGTCGAAGTATACGAGGGCATCATAACTGTCATACCGCTGGTTCAGAGGGGAAAGAAGAGGAAGCAAGAGGCAGATATTGCCCACCTAGGGGAGCCCCAGCCCGTCCGATTACCCGAGATGTTCATTCGCTCGTCCGCCTTCCTCCGTCCACGATCACCCGACGAGAAGCCAAAGATGGCTCTTTTATACGAAGACACACACTCGCAAGTCAAATTGAAGCTACGAGAACTCACATATGCCGGCGACGAAGTAGACTTGCAAGAAGGAGAGATATGCGAGAGTGATCTCGAGCTTGGGTCTAGCCACTTAATACCAGTCGAGAAACCCTCACATGGCCTAGTAGTCATCGGAGAAACCTCGATAGGATACTACGATGATGAGAGTGGAGAGATACACTCGGAGCCGCTCGACGAGGCCACCATTTTCGTAGCCTGGGAGCGCATTGACGCCCAACGATTCGTGCTTGCCGATGATTACGGCCGCCTATATATGTTCATGCTGGTTTTGAGTGCACAAGGCAAGGTGCAGTCGTGGAAACTAGATATAATCGGACAGACGTCTCGGGCATCGACTTTGGTATATCTAGACGCGGGCTACGTCTATGTTGGCTCGCATCAAGGCGATTCGCAGGTCATCAAGATTGCAGAAAAGTCCATGGAGATTGTTCAGACTTTCTCTAACATTGCTCCAATACTCGATTTCACAATCATGGATATGGGGAACAGATCTGGCGAAGGCCAAACAAACGAATATTCTTCCGGCCAAGCACGGATAGTAACTGCCAGTGGCGCATACCAAGATGGCAGTCTTCGAAGTGTCCGAAGCGGGGTGGGACTAGAAGATCTTGGTGTGTTAGGCGAGATGGAGCACATCTCTGATCTTTTCAGCTTGAAGTCGACTGCGTCTGCACAGTACGCGGATACGTTACTAGTGAGTTTTGTCAATGAGTCGCGCATATTCCGCTTCGATCCTCAGGGCGAGGTGGAGGAAGTGGACGAGTTTGCTTCTCTCGCACTGGATGAGACAACACTAGCCGCGGCAAACATCTCACAAGGCCGAATTATACAAGTCACCAACGGGCGGGCTCGTATATGCGATCTAGATGGCGGCATGATCACATCTGAATGGCTACCAATGGGCGGGCCGACCATCACTGCAGCTTCCATCAACGAAAGCCATGTACTGGTATCCCTGGGGGGTGTAACCGTCGTGTCTATAAGCATGGCCAATGGTCTGCAGGTGGTCAAGGAGAAGACATTCGGTGCGGAAAGCCAAGTGGCTTGCATTGCTCTCCCATCAGACTCGAGCTCGATATGTTTCGTTGGTTTCTGGAACAATTCGGGACTCGCCATATGCTCTCTCGATACCCTGGAACCTGTCAAGACGGTCCAAATCTCCGATGATTCTGTTCCGCGCTCGTTACTGCTTACACAAATCTTCCCGGGACAACCACCGTCGCTTTTTGTCGCTCTGGCCGATGGTAATGTCGTTACATATGCTTTTGATCCGTCAACGCACGAGCTGTCTGGGAGAAAGAGCATTGTTCTCGGAACACGCGAAGCCACCTTCCGCGCTCTTCCCCGAGGTGATGGGCTTTTCAATGTCTTTGCAACCTGCGAGCATCCCTCTTTGATTTACTCATCCGAAGGTCGTCTCGTATACTCCGCCGTTACAGCCGAAAAAGCAACAACAGTGTGTCCATTCGATTCGGAAGCATACCCCGGCTCCGTCGCCATCGCCACCCCAGAAGATCTCCGCATCGCTCTTGTGGATACGGAGCGAACAACACACGTACAAACACTAAAGGTCGATGAAACAGTACGACGCATAGCATACTCGCCGAGTTTGAAAGCTTTCGGGCTCGGCACCATCAAGAGGATATTGAAAAACGGCGAGGAAGTGATGGCCAGTCACTTCAAGCTCGTCGACGAGATCCAATTCAAGGAACTAGACAGCTACGCTCTCAACGAAGAAGAACTCATAGAATGCGTCATGCGCTGCGAACTACCAGACGGCTCTGGCGGTGTCGCAGAGCGCTTCGTGATTGGCACCGCATACCTCGATGATCAAAGCACGACTTCAGAACGTGGCCGTATACTCATTCTCGAAGTAACACCAGAACGCATCCTCAAGCTCGTGATGGAAATTGCAGTAAAAGGCGGATGCAGATGTCTAGCAACATGCGAAGGCAAGATCGTGGCCGCGCTCATCAAGACAATAGTAATCTACGACGTCGAATATCCAACTCAAACCCCCTTCCTCACCAAACTAGCCACATTCCGCTGCTCCACAGCACCAATAGACATCACGGTCAACGGGCCCAAGATTGTGATTGCAGACCTCATGAAATCACTCGTCGTCGTTGAATACACAAAAGGCGAGGCGGGCCTTCCAGATAAACTGGTCGAAGTAGCGCGGCATTACCAGATTACGTGGGCCACAGCCGTGGCAGAGGTAGACACGAACATGTATCTCGAAAGCGACGCCGAGGGTAATCTTATGGTGCTATACCGCGACCCGAATGGTGTCACGGACGATGATAAGAGACGGTTGAATGTTAGCTCAGAGATGCTGCTCGGTGAAATGGTGAATCGTATACGTAGGATAGATGTCTTGACGGCTTCCGACGCGGTTGTTATTCCTAGAGCTTTCGTCGGTACTGTGAGTCCCCTCCACCCACATTCTTTCCTGGCGTATAATGTACTAAGAGTGAAACAGGTCGAAGGCTCCATCTATCTCTTCGGCCTCATATCTCCCGCCCACCAAAACCTCCTTATGACGCTGCAATCCAACCTCGGCGCTCTCATTCCCGCACCAGGCGACATGGACTTTGCCAAGTTCCGCGCGTTCAAGAATGGGGTAAGGCAAGAGGAGGAGCCGATGCGTTTTGTGGACGGGGAGTTTGTAGAGAGGTTTTTGGATCAGGGTGAGGAGGTGCAGGTCAAGGCTATTGAGGGGTTAGGTGTGGGACTTGAGGAGGTTAGAGGTTTGATTGAGGGGTTGAGACGGTTGCATTAAGGGGATCAGGGTCAAGTAGTCTTATTGCGCAGAACACATTTGTCACGACATGAGAGTCATGGACACATGTGTGGAATGAATGCAGTTGATTGATTGTAACCCGACTACTCTACACGTTTCTGGTAAGACGATGACGATAAGGGAATAACGTGGTAAGTTTTTGGTCCTGTCCGATGGTGGCGGTAACGGAAAGGCTTTGTAAGTTGAGTGGCCTTGGTTCGGAATGTTGGTCCCGGAAAGACGCCGTAAAATGATAAACGTTAGTCGGATGATGGCGGTAATAGCAACGTCTCGTAACCTAATTGATATGCGCCCAAACACCCTGCCTGCTAAATCACGGGCTAAATCAGATCCAAATACATTTCGACAATGAGAAAAGGCAGTCTCAATGCGTGTGCTCGACTGCCATGGGCTCGACAACAATGTCCTCGCCTTTGCGCTCGACGTCGTTTTTCTCTCCCTCAACGTCCACGTGATCCGCCTCGGCGTCTTCGTGTGGCTCTTGCACTTGCTCATGCACCTGCTCCTCCCCCTGACCATGCTTCTGCTCTTGCTCTTGCTGCTGCTGAACCCCATTCTTCTTTCCCTTGTTCTTCTTCCTACGCCTGCTCTTGCCTGTCTTCTTAACCGTCACAGGACCAGGGACAGGACCAGAGGCAGGGGCTACAAGATGGTCGGGAGGATTAGTAGGAATGTTCACGCCTCCAGGCGCATATCTGTAGTTGTGCCAATGCTGAGAAATACCCCACTGTACGCTATCGAATTGGTTGGCAAATGGTGGGGCGGGTACGGCGGGCCCAGGTGTATAGCCGTGGCCGAAATGTGCGTTGTTCGCATAGGCAGGAGCATGTTGTAGAAGGATGGGTGGCGAAAGCCTAGTAGCGAAGGCGGCATTGGCAGCAGGAATGTAGTGGCCTGGCAGGGTGTTCGTACCGCAGGTGAGCGGCTGCTGGTATACGCAGGGCTTGGTGGCCGGGTAGTAGCGGACGGTGGCGTAGCCTGACTGCTGTTGTTGAAGATGAAGATTGGCAGGGCAAAGGCGATAGTCGGCTTTCTTATTACTGTTGACGTATTGCTGGTGGTTCAAGGCTACGGCCGAGGCAGGATGCATTGACTGACGCTGCTTGAATCCAGGTGCTGATGCCTTGAGTGTGCTAACTGGTGCCAATGTCGGCGCCCTGGCCTCATCGTCGTCAATGTTGGACATGGGGGATGCTTCAAGGGGCTTTTTCTTCTTGATGAGAGTAACAGTAGCCATGACTGGAGGAAAGAAGATGGAGGGTAGTTTGAAGCGGCAGAGGGGTTTAACTAGGAGTAATGTGGTAGAGAAATAAACATCAACTGAAGAAGTGACCCAGGAAATATTTTATTTGAACCATACTCATCTTACGCTCTAACATATGCACTACCATGGTTGAAAATGTACTTGATTCGGGAATGAACATGTGTACAACTCTGGTAGTCATAATGTGGGTGCCTACAGTTATTAGGTTCGAAATGCATTATGTGCCTTGAGGAGTTGTGTGGCACTGTGTCATCGAGAAGTTTTTGAGAAGGTCAAGACGTCAAAGTGGGTATGTGGCAGTGTGCTACCATGGTTGTTGGCAGTCGGCATGCTCCAGGGACAGGATTGATTCGAAGGATAGAGTGGGCTTGCCGTCACCAGCCCTACTTCAACACACCATCGTCATCACTGCTCTCGTCGGCCTGGGTATCCTTTACGCTATCAAGCTCGACCGTGTCCTCGCCTTCGTCTTCATCCCGGTAGCCGTCTGCACCGGCGTCGGTGTCGCGATCGAGTAGTGGGGCCTCGCCAGTCGTGGCTACCACGCTCTTCTTTTCCGTCTCTTCCCTCATGCCAATGATGACGCTGCCCGCTACCAGCATGGCTGCGCCGAGCCACCATAACCCCGGTAGACTCTCCCTGAAGATGAAAAAGCTGAGTACTGCGGTAACGATGAAGTTGGCCGACGTGTTAATGATGCTGACGCGCACGGTCGAAGAAGCGAGGGTCAAGGCGCGAGTGAAGAGACCCCACATTATGGCGTTGAAGAGGAGGTTCATGCCGAAGAAGAGCTACGTTGTGGGTTAGTATGGTAGCTGAGATGGGAGCAAATGCGGCGATTACGCACACTCCGTATTCCGTATTCGACGAGCTTATTGGAGGCGCTTAGGCCGAACGCTAGGGCTATGGAGCTCGACCACGAAGCTGTGAGCTCTGTTGTCGTGCTACGTTATCGTCAGTTGCTTTGTAGACGTGGTCGATGCGACGACGCCATCTTACAGCTTTGCGAATACGCCATTAAAGGCAGCGCATGCGCCGCTGGAAATGGCGAGCATCAACCATGCCGACTTTGTTTGTGGGAGAGACATGGTGTTGGGATGCAGTCGACGGAAGCCGACGTTGCACTCGAGGTTGATGGATGATCTGCAAGCGGATGCGCTGCCGCGCCTAGTCATGTATGGGGGTACCTGCATTACAGTCTGTTTCGCCTTCTTGGACACAGATATGGCACATTTATCGTCTTCACATCAGCATGTCACAACACAAGACCGTCATGTCATAATATAGATGAATCATTCTGCATCAACCCTGACGCGGTTTCCAAAATCATTCCTAAACGCCATTTCATGCCAGAGGTATCGTGAAGCCTTGTTTGACCCATAACGCCGAAGATTGTGACATGGCGCCGCCCGAACATGACGGTAGCCATCACACCTCTAGAGAGCATACTGCGCCGTCACCCATCTGCCATGATTGTAGGGGCGCATGTTCACCTTTGTTATTATGAAGCACAAGCTGTGCCAAAGACCAACTCTATGTCTCGCCGGGACGCTTCGCGTTGCAGCTGACAATCTTGACCCGGTCGGCGTGAATTGTGTGGGTATTATCCAGCTTAAAGTTGATATCCTTGATGATAAACGTCCAAACGTCGTCACAGAAACGGTAGGTATCGAGATGTCCCTAAAGTGCCTCTAGTCAGTATGCGAGGCAGCCACCGTGTCAGGCAAGCGCAAGCGCAACCGACCTTGAACGTCAGGCGCGATTTGACCTTCTCCGAAAGTACATCGGCAACGGCTCGATCAAAGTTGAGGAGGATCTTCATGGCGAGCTGAGGCTCAATCCGGCGCTCGGTAATGAGGTTGTCCAGCGTGTCTGTAAGGGACCCGCCCAGACTGTCCTCTGTTAGCAAGCCGTCTTGTCGTGGTCCTGTAGTCGCATCAAGTACCTGCTTCGGCGGTAGAGCTCGTAGTACTTGGTGTTATCCGTGGCCATGTTGGAAGTGTTTGCGACAGCAGCTTGAGACTTGAAATGGTTGCAGGTGGCGCCAAAGACACGGCGGATGGTTGATGGGGGGAGCTTTGAGAGAGCTGGCCTTAGTAAGCCGGCTTTAGCGCGACGCGGCTTGTTCCGCATGCATCATCGCCAGCTTCGCAGCGAGGAGACGGGTCAATCACGAAGCTCCAGCCGCCAACCTCACCATCCATCTCTCCCTCACCATCCCATACACCGAACATGTCTCTTTCTTACGGAACGGGCGGTGCGACCGCCGCCCTCGCTGTGGTTGGCCTGTGTATGTAGCGCGCGCTGTGGCGCAGGCAATAGCTAACGCCCATCAGACATGCTCTTCAACGACGAAGGAGAAGCTTTCAACGTATGCACGCGTTATGCCAAACTCAGCCGGATATGACTAAAGCCTCTTTCAGGTCGGCGCCTTCCTCGAAACCGTATCACCATACACGTTTGCTAGTATCGGAATCGCGCTATGCATCGGTCTCTCCGTCGTAGGATCCGCATGGTACGTCTGCTATACCAGGACTTGCATCGAGGCGCATCTGACAGTAGTGAAGGGGTATCTGGACAACCGGTGTGTCCATCCTCGGCGGAGGTGTCAAGGCACCACGGATACGAACTAAGAACTTGATCTCCATCATCTTCTGCGAAGTTGTCGCCATCTACGGCGTCATCATGGCCATCATCTTCTCCTCCAAGATGAACCAGCTCGGAGACGCTGAGCTGCTCTACTCTGGCTCAAACTACTTTACCGGATATGCGCTGTTCTGGGCTGGAATCACCGTGGGCATGTGCAACTTGATCTGTGGTGTGTGTGTGGGTATCAACGGAAGCAGCGCTGCCTTGGCCGACGCTGCGGACCCTGCACTGTAAGCTCTAGATATGTTTGCACGCTACCCCGTCATTAACACGTTCCAGCTTCGTCAAGATTCTGACTATCGAAATCTTCGCTGCCATTCTCGGTTTGTTCGGTCTCATCATTGGTCTGCTCATGCAAAGCAACGCAAAGGACTTTGAGTGAGTGAGGAAGAATCTGCCTGTCCATGCTGGCCCACCACGACGCATTACGTCGGTCCTCGGTCATATCCGGGATGCGACTACGAGGAACCACACTCATATCTCAGCATACGGCGCTGGACGGAAGTCACGGAAGGGGGTCTACAGAGGTTGTACAATGTACATAGGGAAGGCGCTTGTATAATGCATGTACCATGAGCGAATATCGGCGTTAAATACCTTCTATTTTTTAGCGAGTATCCAGAAATCCCATTTGCGCAAACTTCTGTGACTGAATCTGACTAAGTGTTGCGGCGCATCATCAATGGTCTGTGCTCGATCCCGTTAGGTCATATACATGGTGGGATGTGAGCTTTACTCCACCCCGCTCAGCCTCATTCTCGCAAACTTTGAACATGAGTACCATTAGTTCCAAGCTAAAGGCAGCGATCTTGATTGTTTCCGAGACTGCCGCTCAAGACCCTTCAACTGATAAATGCATACCGATTCTCAAACATGTCTTCGGCAGTCTCGGCAACGACCAATGGGAAGTCAGCGAGACCGAGATCGTACCCGACAACAGCCTCACGATACAGAAGACCATAAGAAACTGGTCAGATAGTGCCGACCCCATGAATTTGATTGTTACAAGTGGTGGAACTGGATTTGCAACAAAGGATGTCACTCCGGAGGTGCGCATTCTCATCTAGGACTCTAGCCGAAGACAGGCGACTGACAATTCAAAGGCAGTCACACCCCTGATTGACAGGCATGCTCCAGGTCTTGTGTAAGAGATATACTAGTGTACATGTAGTAAGAGGCTGACTATACGCCAGCCATGGCATGCTCACAACTTCATACGCAATAACACCTTGTCCGTCTCATACTCCAAAGTTTAGAGATAAGCTAATATCTGTCAGTTGCACTCATGGCAAGACCCGTTGCTGGTCTTCGAAAACAGACTCTGATCTTGACTTTGCCTGGATCACCCAAAGGCGCGAAGGAAAACCTGGAGGCAGTGCTCAAGCTCTTACCCCATGCATGTATCCAAGCGGCAGGTGCCGAATCCAGGCCACTGCATGTCGGGGGAGTAAAGAAACTCGAAAAGGATGCAGGTGTCACGCCTAGTGGTGCGAGTGTAGGTACCACCTGCGGACATAACCATGGTCATTCTCACGGCCATGGTAGCCATACAGCACCAAGAGCACACACGAAACCGGAAGAGCGTCCGCAGTCAAACGACCCTTCAGCAGGGCCAACACAAAGATACCGATCTTCTCCCTATCCTATGTTGGCTGTTGAAGATGCTCTAAACGTCATTAAAGAGCAAACGCCGGCTCCTATTGTGGAAAAGGTACCAGTTGACATGAGGATAGGCGGCTCTGTTCTTGCTGAAGATGTCAAAGCGACTGAGTCCGTCCCAGCTTTCAGAGCAAGCATTGTCGACGGTTATGCTGTCAAGATCCCATCTTCTGGTAAATTCCAAAAGGGCGTATACCCTGTATCTATCATCTCACACGCCCAAGCTGGAGAGGTCGCAGAGTTGAAGGAAGGAGAGATTGCGCGTATCACTACCGGTGCACCGCTTCCCCCTGGTGCTGATGCGGTGATCATGGTCGAGGACACTGTGCTGAAGAGCTTGACAGAAGATGGTCACGAAGAGAAGGAAATTGAGATCCTTACAGATGAGATCAAACCAAACGAGAACGTCCGTGAAGTGGGTAGCGATGTCAAAGAAGGGGAAACTATCCTGAAGAAGGGCGAAGGCGTCACAGTTGTGGGTGGTGAATTTGGGCTTCTCGCTTCTGTGGGCACGCGGGAAGTGTCTGTATACAGAAGACCTCTTATTGGTGTTCTGAGCACTGGAGACGAGATCATCCAGCATAACAGAGAAGGTCCACTGCATCTGGGGGAGGTGCGCGATACAAATCGTCCAACAATCATCACCGCTGCCCGTAGTCACAGATTCGAAGTCATCGATCTCGGAATCGTCTCGGATAAGTAAGTTTCAAATCCACAAACCACACCAACATTCCAGCAAGACTAACCAACGTAACAGGCCCGGTACCCTCGAACAAACCCTCCGTGACGCCTTCCGCAAATGCGACGTAATCATAACCTCTGGCGGCGTCTCTATGGGCGAACTCGACCTCCTCAAACCCACCATCGAGCGCTCCCTTGGCGGAACAATCCACTTTGGCCGCGTAAACATGAAACCTGGGAAACCCACCACCTTTGCCACCGTCCCCGTCAAAGACAACGCCGGCAACCACGTCACCAAGAGCATCTTCTCGCTCCCCGGTAACCCTGCGTCGGCAGTCGTGTGCTTCCATCTTTTCGTCTTACCTGCGCTGCATCAGCAGGCTGGTATCAAACCCGTTGGATTGCCGCGGGTGACGGTAGTGTTGGAAGAGGATATCAGAATGGACAAGGGAAGACCAGAGTACCATCGTGCGCTTGTTGTGACAAAGGAGGATGGGCTACTGTATGCCAGTTCAACGGGTGGTCAGCGAAGTAGTCGCATTGGTAGTTTCAGAGGCGCCAACGCGCTGCTTTGTATGCCGCAGGGTGATGGTAGTATAAAGAAGGGCGAGAAGGTTATTGCACTTCTCATGGGGAAGCTGGGAGAGCTGGAACGTTGATGTGTGGAGCATGCATGTGGGTTTGTTTGTTTGACACTGCGCGTGCCTGCATCAAGAGTATGCCAAGCTGCAGGATTAATATTTTCAGGAACAAGCCAAGTATATCCAGATAATAGAACAATCCCTTCTGCTCTTGAAGAGTGTGTAGTGTTGTGTGCAAATGTCATGCGTCCCTACTACCTCTCCGGAAAGTTGGCTTCAATCACCTCACTGGCGATAAAAAGAGCCACGTGAAACTACCGTGACGCACAGTGCCCGGCATGCTGTGCTCTCTGATTTTTGTCTTGCGATTTTTTGTCACAGAGAAGTATCGTGGGCAATGTATTCGAATTTTGGTTCTAGAAGTCGATACTATCGTTTTTTGCACACTGTCACGAAAATAGTGTTTTCTTCAACAAGCGGTTTTCTGTATATCATTCCCATCTTTTGGGTAAAGTGATTGTAGTACTGTCTCGGGGGCGGACGTCATTCGCCACGCGCCATAGCGTTGAGACTGGTACAAGCTCAGGGTCGTACAGTACCATAGAACATTTTGTGTGATGCAATCACTTCATCCACATCATAATAACAGTACTTCTTTAGGATCGCGTTATAGTAATCCTGTGCAATATCATAAAGGTGTATATATACTATTTGAACTCGAAATATTTCAGGAAAGTAGCTACATCACAAACATTATTCACTGTAAAATCGGCCACCCCGCAAGAGCTGGCTGACTCCTTTCCTTTTCGCTAGTTTTCCAGAACTAGAAAATCAAGAATATCACCACGATTTCCTTGTAACTAAAAGTCAGTTTGGATGCGTACGTTCGAGCATGTGCGCATGCGCATCGGAGAAGTCACAAGCGAGCTCTTCTTTTTTTGCCTTCTTACATTTACTTCATAAACCCATAGGAGCTGCTTACCCTGCGGCTTCAGCCGCCTGCATAAATAAAGTTTGAATCGGATCTTGTGCAAAGCATGATACGCGGGAACGGCATAAGAACCAGCTTACAGGTTCGACATCCGATGCGCGATTGAAACGGCAGACGGCATGGGTTCTTTACATCCATGCCCCCACTTGCCGCACACAGTCAGCTGCCTATCTTTTCCCTTGTAGAAACGAGAATCCGGAGTGATCGGTCTGATCTGTACCTAGTCATTCGTCCCTCGATCGCGCTCACCACGCCCCAATGTCGATGGTGTCTTGGGGTAAACGTGTTGTTTTGGGGGTGGTTGGGGAAAAAAGGGGGCATCTCCGCCTGATCCGTTGACTAACACCCTGCGTCCCTTTCTCTCTGGGCAAAGGATCACGGCGGATAAGGAATGTGTGTGTGTGCTTGCTCATTATCGATCATAGTTCCATATCCATTTTGCCCCGGTTTTTTGTTTCTGTTCTAGAACAACTACAACTGTTATACAAATGGCCAACCTGAAGGATATCATATCGCTCAAAAGAAGGGTATTCGCAACGCCGAGACCAGCCAACGTTACTTGTGACATACAAACATCCAACCTAAAAGAAATCCCCAACCCGCGCTTATCTCATGAACCAGAACATGGACTCCATCATTAACTCCATCCGATTTGTATCGGCAAGGCTATACTCATGAGAACAGCGTCGCTAAAAAGACAGAAAACAAAAGAGAAAATTCAATCCCAGATAGGGGAGTATCGTACTTATACAATGAGTGTGTTTGACCCTTAATCAGGGCCACTGCATTTGACTTTGATGTCTTCCATAAAGTCGTTGGCATGTGTGGAGACCGCACTCGACGCAAGTGCCTTGCGATACGCGTTGGTTTGCGAGAACTGGGTCTCGTAATGTTCTTTGAGCTTGCGTTGTCGTCTTTCTTCTTTGTAGATCCAGAGCGTGGCGGCGGCCAAGACTGCTATGATTGTGCCGAGAAGAACTCCACCGATGATAGTAGCGACTTTCAGACGGTGCTCCGTTATCCTGCATGCTTGGGTGGATGGTGAAGTAGTGGCTTGAGAGGGTGCGCTGGCGACGGCGGGAGCGACCATGTCTTCTGTCTCGCTAGCCGCGGGTGAGTCTGGTAGCTGGAGGGTGGCGTCGAGGATGGCTGCGACTTTTGGCGCGGTGGATTTGTTGCAGCAGCTTCGTGGGTCGTTTGCTGCGCGGCAACAGTATTGTCCAACGTCGCATGTTTGTAGTTGCCATTCAGGTACTGGGGTAGTGCCGTTGAAATCGGTGGCTTCTGGAGCCGTGTTAGATGGAGATTATGTGTACATTGAATCTTCAGAGACTTACGACCTGGGCACAACTGCGGACAGGCGACATCCTTCCCGGTCGAGTCTGTACAGCCTCTGGAAAAGATCATGCCAATGTAAACGTCTGTGGTTGCCATGCACAAGCCATTGCTCAGACACAAATCTGTACTCGCACAGCAGCCGCTATGCTTCGCACTAGGGTTGCATGGTGTGAAGGTGCTGTTGAGTGCTGAGCCGTCTACAGCGTAGCATTGCTGAGCCGTAGCGACGGCGATGAAGGTCACAAAGACCGTCAGGAAAGAAGAACGTGCGACCATATTAGACAAAACACAATATAAATGAGCGAGTGAGAAGGAGTAAATTAGAAAAGCAAGAGATTGTGAGGGTCTGGGAACATGCAGAAGAATGAGCGAGATTTGAGGTATGGTATATCCACGAAAAATGTACAAACCATTAATCAAGGCGATATAAGAGTTGACAGGCAGGTCCCATATTTAGTTGGGTGCCCTACATTTGCAATGTTATGCGTTCAATGCCCTGTGCAACTCTACTTCAGCTGGGAAGAAGGGTTGTTACAGGGTAGACCCAGGCGCGGCTTGAAACAGGACAATCAAACCCGGTTCATCGAGGGTAGCCAGATGGGTCCGCATGCGGCATACTGGGGTAACGTAGCTGATCGGCAGTTTGACCCAGGCAACAGGTTGTCGGCCGCGGCTTCTGAAATCGTGACACAGAGACGACAAAAGTCTAAATTCGTCCTGGCGAACATGGCCTCTTGGATTTACTCGTCAAAGGGATGCGCGTATACGGAGCCGCGTATGCAAATGTAAGCGCTTGCTGATGCGCTCCCGCTTCTGCTTTGTTGCCGCATATCGGGTTGACTGGCTCAGGCACAGAATGCTATGTAGGGTAGACAAAACGGGCAGGAGCCTGAGCAAATGATAGACTGCCGCGATGATGTGCCAAGGGGGTGAGGGGGCGGGGAGTACACAGGTTTGAGACGCAAGGTGGAGTTCGTGTTAACTAGGAAGCTTGGCTAAGCGCCGAGGTAGTGCCACACCACAGACTTCTTTGGTAACTTACTCGACCGCGATTCACCACCCGTTGGCAACGGGGCGCCGGAACCTTCGAAACGCAGTTCCTAGCGGAACCGATCGGCTGGTTCCGTTACCATAAGCCCTTCGTTGAGTCAACGGCGATGATCTCTGACCCATCTACTGCCTCTCTTTGGAGATGACTTACGCGAAGGCCGTTGCTTCTCCCCACAGTTGGGGAATATGATTCAATAGACGTCAAAATGCCTGTACTGGTACCTGGAATTTGCCATTCGCGGACCCGGGAACCCTTGGTAATGACCTAAGCCAGCAATCTGACTTGTGCCGATCCCGGCCGCGACTCCGGGCATCAATTGGACTGCGCATTCTCTGCCCTACGGTCTTGGTTTTTGGTTCTTGGTCGTGCTCGTCATTTTCATTCGCTTATATCTATCCCCGGCTGTACTCATGATGAGGCTTCCCGTCTTACTTGATCGATGCCGAGGATTCATTCAAGAATTCCGAATACGAAATGCCTGATCGTGTCCGGACCATCTGGGAGAGACGGGTACACAAGCTACTCGGACCTTTCAAAGGAAAACCAAATTTACTGATCATGTATACATCATGGGTCAACCCGAACGTAATCTCCCGCAAACTCTCAACTTTGTCAAACGTTTGGCAGTATCAATACACTCACTCCGTCTACCCAAGCCGAGAACCTCGTAACCGTGCCAAGCAATGCCTAGGCTGATGTTTCCACGTCATCGTCGAGATGGATGTGCGGTGATCATTGGGAACTGTTCTCGAGCTTTGTAAGCAATTCGACCTCCATCAAGGGTCCCTTGACGGGCCGACGGCCCAAAACATGACCACTCCCAATGCTTTAGACCAGCATATGCCCTTCTCGGCTTAGACATCAAGTTCTTTAATCAGCTCTTCTACCCTTCGAATCTCAATATCTGGGCCACCCTCAACAACCACCCATTCCAACAAACTTTCTTTTGCCCTTTTTGCCCAGACTCTTGCATCCCGCATCATCCCATGACCTGCGTACACGTACGCCAATCTCTCGTAATCTTGGGCTAACAGTATCTCCAAGCCCTCAGTCTGGCTTATCTCCATGACTTCCTTCTCCCATGCGATGATTTGTGCCGCGTCATAAGTTTCCGGTGTTAGGTTCTCAAGCATGTGACGCAGCTTGGCGAACCTCTCGCGTCGTTGGTCGCTACCCATCATCTCGTATAGCGAGGCAGTGCATAGCGAGCATGTGCACGTGAAGTTCCAACCTTCTCTGTATAGTTTCTGTCTCTCGGTATGTCTCAAGTCAATCTTGCCATATGAGATATCGATTTCTTCCCCAGCGTTGATGTTTCTCTGGGCTTTGATTTCCATCGAGAGTAACTTGGGAACAAAGCGTGCATGTGCGTTCGGCTTACAAGCATGGTTGATACGGGCGACAGAAGGGAACAGGCACATGTAAGCGTCGTCGATGTGTCCGTCGGCAAGTTGGCAGGCAAAGGCGTTGGTTTTCATTATGTCCTCGATTTGGCTGCCGCCCAAGCTCTGGTCCAATTCAAGAATGTCGTTGCGGTCCGCTTCTGGTAATTGGTCCAGTACAGTATTGAAGAGAGTTTGGCCTTGGGCACGAGTTACCGTTGCAGGGAACTGTGAGCTTGCCACAATACGTGCAGACTCTAGTAGTATCGTGTCTCCTTTCTTGATCGGTTTTAGGGTGACAAGACCTTTGCCTTTGCCTTGGATCGTGCGGACCTCAAGATCACTTCCGCTGTTGAGAAAGTTACTTCCTAGAGCTTGAAATGCCGCTGATATCTTGTCCGCAGCGACGGCCATCGCGATGATACTCATGCCATGACCATTGCGCGCATCGACTGTTGTGTGCGTACAATAACTCTTTCCATGTCCTTGTTGGCAAACTGGTCTATGTGACCACACTGGATGCTGGAACTTTGGTACATCATCCAGGGGCTTGATGCTAGAATCGTTTTCCAGACACTGCTGCTGTTGAAGTGGCGACTGCGCCTGTGAGATGAAATATTGGGGGATATTCTGACACTGGGCTAACGCCTCCACCTGTGATGTTAAAGCGCACACCCCGAATAGTGTGATTAAAACCCGAATAGAACTCATGTTAATTGCTGCGAACTTTCATACAGATGGCATCGCGGGTCGTAGTTGAGTGAGGTGACTGCTCCCCCCCTCAGATCTCTAACGCATCTGAAACAGGCCTAAGTCGAGCATCCGTATCTTCGCACAATGAGCACTTCAGAACAACCACACTCCTCCGTTGCAACCAGCTAGCTGGATCCTCAGTGCGCATTTCTCTGTGTGTATCGTAATTTTGCAACGACCGAAAATATGTCAAAATCAACCCATGCCGCACTCGTCCGGGACGACCGTCAGCCTGTCAGTAACCAATGAGTCTCATCCCAGTCAACAGCGCCACGTTCAGCCCTGTACTACACAAAGCATGATCCCATCCGCTTCTTATGATCTCCAGGATGGAAATAAACAGTGCACTCATGCGGCCCTTACCGAGAAGCTCTCGACTGACTCACAAAATCTCCACACGGGCGCTTCCTCGTGCTACCCCGGGGATCTTAAGTAGTGGCACTGTACTATAGTTGCTGTTTCAAACCTGCAGCTTGTGCCACCTTCCCGCTTCTTGCGACACCGAGGCTGCTACGCATGTTACCAGCTTTGTACAGTAAACGCGCTCGCGGAGATTATGGCCACGGGGCCGAGAAGGTACGATAGACTTGATGAAGTGACAGGTAGCACACCATGATCTACGGGGATGGGCCTGTCTACATAAAGGGGGCATATTGGGTGAGGTGACCTGGTGCTGGGGAAGCCCTTGATCGAATAAGGTGCACATACAGTATACAACGGACGCTTGTGCCGCTTGGGGAAAGCCGAGGCTTAATGGTGTTAAATGTTTTGCCGTCGCCAGCTTATTCTTGGTTAAAATAAAGCGGAACGTGCAGTTAGGAATTGGCAAATACTCATAGACCGCATGCTGCGCGCACGCTTGGGTAAGGGTGAAGATCGGCAAGGGGAATGCCATATTTGTTCATGAACACCTCACTCGTGTTTCTACGCTGACGTCACCATCATCACCACTAGAGATATCTTCGCAAACTACAGTAAGCTCGTATCCTTTTAGACGAAGAACTTGCAGCTCTTTCGTATTTTGTGGATACCGGCTGAGGATGGTACCGGCTTTGTTTTGTCTTTTTTATAGTTCTGCATGTTACAATAGCAGCTCTTTCGTATATACATGACCATATCCTATCATCTTCAACTTGATCATCACGACAGAGCCCTGGAGGCTTCATGAATTTTCCTGTGCAATCCTGTCTCACATAAATGAGTACAGGTGTTGGTTGGCTTTGCACTAAGTGCGTAAAGGGAAATAACGATAACTAGGAATGCATTCTGTTCGGTGGTTCTAATTGATATCTACGAACATAGGTGCTACGAAGGTATACCTAAGCTCTTGCGCAAGGTGGGCCGAAGTCGGGCCGAAGTGTCCAGCAGCCGACGTCTCTACCGATACTCACGATCCGACAACAGGAATACAAGTGACACGCAAAGCCTCATCGGAACCAAAAAGACAATATCATATTCAACAAATACGGTGCTCGAATGTAACAACCAACAGACTAATTTGTGTCTGCTTCAATCGCGCTGCATACCTGTGCCTCTGCAAACATCGTAGGCAAATTAGCAAAAAGGAAAGTGAGCGCCGGGTCGCGCCAAAGCACTCTATGGTAGATATTGTTGTAGCTACTTTCCTGGTTAGTAATGGGATGGATTACTATATATACTATCTTCAACGGATGTAGTCACTGCGAAGATTTTTTGGAGGAGGACTGTAATAATTTCGAGCTTGGTTAGAAGACTCCTTCAGCCTTGATTGTCGCTATGCATCTTCCCGCGCTTACCTTACACTTTCAGATCCTCAGCAAATATGGCCAACTCCGCGCCTTATTCATACATACCCAGCAGTTCGTTTGATTGGCATGTGACCGCTGGTCGATACTGACAAGAGTATGCGACCACCTGCACCTTCCTTGTTCATACTAAGAAACTGCAGTGTCTTCTAAGAATCTTTTACACGACGCCAGATCGAACACATGCAGATTTCCAAAAAGATAAAAATAGGTAAAGAAAAGGAGATGGTGATTCTCAACATAGTTGGTACACGCATTCCTATCGTTTGGTGTTGTTGAGTATCGTTGGGAAGCGGTGGTTCGCTGTGGACAGCTACTTTCCTGGATCATTATTTCAGCGCTTCAGAGGAAACATTGTGTTGCATGCATATACTAGGAGACTTTGCAACGCTATCACATAAGTAATTCATATCTTCGCTATTTCTCTCTTTGTGGACCAAACGGGGAATGAGAGACCTCACCGGATTTATTGCGGTGGTAGGTCGATGATACAAGCACGGCCGCTAGGACCCCTTGGATGAATTAAGGAGAGTACAGTACACAGTCCGCAAGCTTCAGACAACAAGCATGAACTGTGCAATTAGACGGCTACGGGCACTGGAGTCCCAGCGCTCCAATAGGCACGTGATGATTTGCCAACAAATGCCGTCTCGCTCTTACCCTAGCTACCTACCCTGGCGGCCTTTCCGTCCCAGCACAGCGGTAGCCCCACCAAAAAGCAAAAAAAAGGCTATCAAGCAAGAGAATCGAACGTTCAGCAATCCTGTACCGCAGAGCAAAAAGGAAAGGAGATCACATGCCCGCGAAGACACATGACCAGTTGCGTAAGACAAGCTCACTAACCGATGGTTTCGCTTTTTTTGTGGTAGCTACTTTCCTGAAAGACTTTTAAACAAATAGACATTATATACTACAGCAGAATATGGATATGTAGAAGCTCGAGTGGACTGCAGACGGATGTACGTTAACCAGCTGTTGATAGGTATGGTAACAAACAAGGAGAAAGAGTATCGTTTCTTCCCTTTTTCGATAGTTACAGAGTGACTGGCTAACCATGACATGCAAATACCGATGCTCACATTTTTCGTTCTACTAAAGGCTAGGCACTACAGATTCAGCGAGAAATTATTGGCACCTTTAACTATTGATATGAGAGCAGAAGCTACAAAGCTATAGAAAAAACAAAAAGACGAAGAAAGCCACAATCTCCGCGGAAGGACCATACGAGCATTGTCGAATGCTGTCAACTTGGCGACTCGAACTCTGAGCCCCAACCTGTTGTCCCGTCCCATCGCTCCAGGCAGCAGCCTCCCCCACCCAAAAATCCCAAAAAGGAAAGTGTTCACACCTTGCGATGTGAATGGGATTCGGCCTTCTGAAAGAAACTCGAGAGCGTTTGTTTTGTAGCTACTTTCCTGCTATTGATCTCAATTAGAAACATTATATACTCAACAAATAATCAAAAAACCATACCAACACCCGTGGGCTGAGATACCCATGCGCCAAAACCGCAGGCCCGCAGCGTCGGGCATCGGCGATCATGCTAGCCGCTAGCGTTAGGTCCTGTCACATGCGCGGAAGCGGACTGCGGTGAGATGCGCGTCTAGTGCTGACGGTTGGGACAGGCAGCAGCAGCAGGCGCAGCAATTGCCGCTAGGCAATTAAGATCTACGCACATCAAATGTACGGGACTCCGGGACCCCGTTGCCGGAAAAAAGAAAAAGGGGAAGCCGCGATTGGTACGTGTCGCGTCGTGCGGCGCAGTACCTACTGTAGTGCGGGATTCCGACGAGCGCTGTAACGGCTTTGTCTTCGGTCAGGGAGGTTGATCTGACGTGAGGAGCTGGCACACATGAGGTGGCTGAGCGTTCACGCTGATGCTTACATGCATCGAGTTTCAACATGGGGGGGGGGGGGGGGATGAAAGGAGAACGTAGTGACTGCTTCAGTTGGAGGAGCAGTAAAGTGTGTGCATGTTTTTGACTGGGATAGTTTGTATCTGACATGAAAAGTTGAGAGGAAAGGGGTGATAGTTGAATCCTTCGTCCACCAAACGGTCCATGGGAAAAAACAAATGAAAACCGCCGCCCGCCTCGAGCACCAAGGGGCTCTGGTCCGTCGACCACGATGTCTCTCTTACATCATTTCGTCCCCCTCACAGTAAAGAACGCCATATATGCAAAGAAGATGACAAGTTGTCCAGGTATCGATCGAAGTCGAGAGTTTCAGCCAAAGCCACAAACGGGCCCAATTTACAGGAGAACACAATAGGAATATTTGCCGGAGTAGCTTGGATGGGAGGCCCAAAAACAAAACAAAAAAACGCCGTTTAAAATGCAATTCTTTCAACCTGAGTCCGACCGCCCCAGCCGTCGTTCGTGAATCATAGATCATCGTCGAGATTAATCGCGTCGGGGTTGGCGGCTGCCTCTTCTGTGGGCTTAATGTTGCCACCTTGAGGACCAGTGCTGGCAGCGACAAATCCTGCAGGAGCGCGAGCTTGACGTTCGAGGGCTGCCATTGCGTCCTCGCCAGCAGCGTCTGTTGTCTCGTCTTCGTCGGCTGGTACGCCGTTCTGTTGGCCACGAGCCACTGCTTGAGAGGCGATGAAGTTGACGTCGGTACTGCGAATTTGTTAGCGTTGATGCTCGACAACTTGGAAGCCATTGTACATACTTGTATTGAGCCTGGACGCTCCGTTTGATGCGTAGCATCTCTTTGTAGGTGTCTTCGTTTCCATGTTGGACTTCGAAAGACTCCCACCGCTTCCAGAACTCGGGGCTCGTTCTTGGGTCGCAAAATTGACTGGCATGGCCATAGATTGCTCGTGCCCGATCGATCTCTCCCAGACGTCTTTCCATCTCAGCAAACTTGAGGCACATCTCTTTGGCTTCAGCGTCGGGCAAGGCAGCAATGGCACGCTCGTAAATGGGTCGTGTAGATGTAAGACCGAAATTCGATGCCGACTTTGTGATGTAAAAGTTGAACATTTCCAATCTGTCTTCGTCCGCCACGGCTCGTGTTGCACGTTCGTAGATGCGCATGGCATGCCTGGCAAGCCCACGGTCCTCCTCCAGCGCACCATACATGAGGTACAACACCTTGGCGAATTTGGGGGGACAATCTTCGACGGCCTGTTCGAACAAGTCTCGTAAGCGTTCCATTCCGATCTTGCGGTCAACGGCTTTGGTTAAGTATAAATTCCAGATCTCAAAAGCCACAGGGTAGCTGAATAGGTCAAGACCACGCTCGTAGACCTTAAAGCAGTCTTCAAAGTACTTGTGTTCTTCTAGTAGATTCGCATAGTTGACAATGGTTTGCGGCGTGGCAATGCGAAGCTCGAAAATTCTTTCATAGACCTTCTTGGTTTCATCCAGAGTGCTGACACTCTCCACGAGATCGACGTAGAAACTCCACAGCTTCCAGCTCTTGTGAACGCGTTGCTGCGGCGACAGTGATTCGTCAAAATAGTCGACATTTGATCGTTTAGGCGCTTGCGTAGCTTTGGCCATGATGTCCACCGCTTTGTCGAAGTTCTCGTTGCGCAGCTCCATTTCTGCCCATTCGCACCACATCTCGGCCAGCTCGGAGACGGACTTGAAAGGCACCTTGACGGCCTTTTCCATGATGATACGGGCATTCTGAAGATCGCCACCAGCTTCATAGAGTTTGGCGTAGTTGGTCCAGAGCTCATGGAACTTGCCGATGGCCTTCTTTGGATTGATGGCGGCAATGGCATCGGTGTAGGTCTGCACCACCTCTTTCTTGTTGTCGCCCCATAACGCAACGCGCTTCTCCCACTCGATGACATTATGGGGATTCTGCCGTAACATGACATCGTTGAGCAAGAATGGTCTTCTTTGCATGAGTGATTCGAAGCGCACCATTCTAATGTCAAGGTCCGCGTCGGCAGGCTCGTCCATATTGCCCTTTTCGGAGCGGGCAGCAGCTTCATTCAGCTTGATACCAATCATGGCCTCCTCGGCTTCCACATATGTGTCGAATACAACGGAGAAGTCGCGCACAGTCATGACAGTGGTAACGGCCTCTTCGAAGACGTCTCGTGCTCTCTCATATTCGCCCTTGTGCATCCAGTATCGCGCCAGGCCAACCCACAGTATGCCACGCTGGTCAGGAAACTTTGAGATGCCGCTTTGGATGATCTTCTCCACGTCGATGCCGCTGTCGTCGCTGGTGTCAATTTCCTTGGCATGGTCGATGATGAGGTCGATCATCTCGGTCCAGAACTGAAAGGGGCCTTTTGCTTCCTTGCTCTTGAAGCGCGGGTTATTGAGAATTTCCATGTACTTCTTCACAGCCTCGGTATACTTGCGCATATCCTTGAGCAGTTCGATGAAGTCCTCGGCATCCTCCGGGTGGATTTGCATGTACCGGCGCCATATCTTGACAGCCGTCTCGCCCGAGGCAGACGTGGCAAAAGGTCGGTATAGTGCCCATATGCGGTTGTGCTGGGTCAAAGGAAGGGCGCGTAATGCTCGGTCGAAAGTACGGCGGGTCGTGGTAACGAGGGGCTGCTGCATGAGGAAGTTGAGATACATTTCCCAGATGCGCGGCATTTTGTTGAGTAGCACAAGGGCGCGTTCGAAGAGAGCATTGACTTTGACATAGTGCGGCGCGAACTTTGCGGGATTCTTCTTGGTCAGGTGCTTTGTGCGGAGCTCGAGGTAGAGCTTCCACAGCTTGTAGGAGCGCGGGAGGGTGGTGACTGCGCGCTCGAGCACAAAAGCCTGCTCCAAGATGCTACCACGCGACTTTTTGAAGCTGTAGTAGTCCAGCCAGGGCTTGACGCTGCCGGGATTGCGCTGGATGTCCTGCTCGTACGCGACGTCCTGGTCGGTGATGAGGAAAAGGTCGCTCGAGGGCTCCATCTTGCGCTTGGTGGGCCGTGAGAGACCGGTCACGGTCCTGAGGAGTTCGCCGGGCATGATTGCGCCAGAGCCAGGGCGTGTGAAGGCCCGCGGTGGGCAGGGAGGCGATGATATTCGGGGATGGACGGCTGATGGAGCGTGTCGCGGCGTTAAAGTTCTGAGGGCAAGAGCGATGGAGTCCGAGCGGTCAGCACCGGGCACCAGCCAATGGGCGGCATGCAGCACAAGGACCCACTTGGCAGAGTTGGCAGGCGCGGGTGCTCGGACGCTCGGACTCGTCTCAGATAGCTCCCCGGGCGTAGCTGCGTCACGTTCCGCTGCATTCACTTGTGTCGACGACTGTGCACGCTGCTGCTGACTTGCCCAACATTGTCAGCCTCTACTGTACACTCGCTATCAACCTCCCCACACCACCCCCCCACCATCTGTTCGAGCTGTAAACATGTCAGGCAGCGGGGTATGTGCTGCTGTGTAGCTGTGCAATGCCGTGGTAATAGGGTGATGCTAACACCACTCTCAGGCCAGAGAGGCTGTCTTTGCGACACGCCAGTCGCTGGGCATGATGAAGAGCAAGCTCAAGGGCGCCCAGACGGGCCATGATTTGCTCAAGCGCAAGAGTGAAGCCCTGACAAAGTATGCACCTGCCGTTGAAGACTACCTACCTACATTGCTGCATCTATGCTGACCAAACGTCCAGACGTTTCCGAGGTACGTACCACGGCGCCAACCACTCGCTCACCATAATGCCCGGCCCCCACGTATTGTAGCTGAAACTGTTTCTAGAAATAACGCGCCGCATCGATGAGGCCAAGCGCAAAATGGGCCGCGTCATGCAGGTCGCTGCCTTTTCGCTCGCCGAGGTCACCTATGCCGTGGGCGGCGATATAGGCTATCAGATCCAGGAGTCGGCAAAGCAGGCGCGCTTCCGTGTCCGCACTAAGCAGGAAAACGTTTCCGGTGTCTTCCTTCCCCAGTTCGAGAGCTACACGGTCGAGCAGAACAACGACTTCGCCTTGACGGGTTTGGGCAAAGGCGGTCAGCAGGTGCAGAGGTGTAGAGAGACATATGCACGCGCAGTTGAGACGCTAGTAGAGCTGGCCAGTCTGCAGACTGCCTTTGTTATATTGGACGAGGTCATCAAGGTTGTCAACCGCCGTGTGAACGCCATGTGGGTATTTCCCGCCCCAAACTATATACCATACCTAACCCCCACCAGTGAGCACGTCATTATCCCGCGAACCGAAAACACCATCAAGTACATCAACTCGGAGCTCGATGAGCTGGACCGAGAGGAGTTCTACCGTCTGAAGAAAGTGTCCAACAAGAAGCAGAACGACGCTGCCGTCGAGGAAGCCGCAAGGGTAGCCAAGAAGAAGGCCGATGAGGAGCAAGACGCAAAGGATTCGGAAAGCGAGGCCCGGCAGCATGCTGCTGAGAGCAAAGACATGCTGGGCGACGAGGACAACGAAGACGTCATCTTCTGAGTACCCGGCAGACGCCTTAGTGATAGGCTCCATCTCGGTACCTTCTGTTGGGGCGATGCTCAGACTGATGATGCTTGCATTCCTGCTTGAACACTTGAGCCTCCTCATATGCTTTTACAGCATTGTTCGGCCACGTGTTTCTTACGGCTACAACTGCGGGCTTGTCGAGACTGTAATGCGAGATAAGTATTGTACCAGGGTTAAAACTGTAAAAATGCAATTTTCGGATAATCAGGGCATCTATTGCATGGGCCTGTATCTGAAACAAATGTCGAACGAGGTATCATGAAAGCATAAAATCCATAGCAATAAATCCATAGTTACGCAGTAACCTACTGTTGCCGTTGGTACGTGACCTTCATCGGCTTGCCTTCGGCGCCGATCGGGTTGTTCGCCGTCGCTTCTTTGGCTGTAATGGCAAACTGCTCGTTCTCGAATTCGGCAAAAGCCACAGCTCGGACAGACACCAAGCGTACTTCCTTGAAGCCTTCGAAGCGCTCGAATATCGCTGTAAGCGTGTCCTCGTCGACATCCCGGGGAATGTTCTGCAGGAAGAGCGTCTTGTTTGGTCGTACGTATTCGTCGGGAATGGCGGCTGCTCCAGTTTTGGCTGCGCGCGGCTTTTCCGCTGCAATCGGGTTGGCTTGCGCTTTGGCGTCTTCTTCTGCGCGCTTGAAATCTGTACCCGTCAGCGCATGGCCTGTGTAGACATGGCAGCCGATGCATACCCTTGAGCGTCAACCGCTTCCTCTTGTGATCCTCAAACATGTCGGGTGCTTTTCGCTTGACCGTCTCGTCGCTGTGAGTCTTCGCCCTGTGCACCTTCATAACCTTGCCGTACATTTCGAACCCGTTCATCTCCTCAACCGCCTCTAGCGCTGCCTTCTCGCTGTCAAAGACAATGAACGCTTGGCCTTTGCGCTTGAGACTACTCTTAGCTATTACATCCAGGATTGGGCCGTAGTATTGGAAGACGCGGGTGAGAGCTTGCTTCATCGTGTCGATCTTTACGCGCTCCTCGAGGTTGTTGACCTAGTGCCGTCAGCAATCGCGCCACCGAATTTAATGTGAGTGCGTTGCAGGCGCCCTCAAGTGGCAACTCACGTAGATACTATAATTCTCCATTAGCATCAAGGGGGCCACCTACCTTTCGGACATGATCGCACTTACGTTTCGATGGGTACAGGGTATTTGCTGGGGTCTACAAGGCCGCCGCCCATTACCACGCCCTCCATTTTGTCCGCCATCTCGGAGCGACTGTTTGATGTCGAGTGTTTAGATTAGGCGTGATTTCACCCAAGAGGTGAAGTTGCGGATAGCTCGAATTCGCGATCCACGCCAAGCACGCTAGGCTGCGCTTGCACGTGACATGTCTAGGGGCCTAGTCGATCGGGGCCCCGCACCTGCAGGAGAGGGGAATCGCTTGCAAGTATCCTCGTTATACTCCTTGATTTGTAGAACCCTTTGGGCTGGCGGAAGCTCATTATTTGTCAACTTTATATGTTTGTAGTCTGAAAAACTTCTTCGCAGAATACCAGAAGACATACTCCTTGATGACATGTGATGGCTTTATCCCGTCCTGAAGAACTCGGGTGGCGACCACATCCTCTCTTTACGAACTTTACCGTCGGCGCAGGCTCATCTGAGTATCCTCTTCCTGTATGTGGCCATGGGTAGGACCGGCATTCACGTTCCTTGTCCAACACCCCATCAGCCTCCCTGATTCGCAGACACAAAGAACAATGTCAATATGTTAGCAGTGTCCGCAGCTACCTCTTACGCGCCTTCTCCAATAGCAGATCGCTTATCCCACTGGTTCTCTTCCTTCTTGGGCTCATTCTACGTCTGCTATTACCGTTCTTTCTGCATTCCAATGGTGGACGCAGCGTGACAGTCCCCACTACATGCTGCGATTTTCTCGCCTTCCGCTCGTGGGCTGCTCAATAACAAAACGGTATATAAACACGTATCTGATGTGGTTATCGGGTTAAGCAGCGTAGGCTTCGTTCTGGGAGTGTCCATGGTGGAAAAGAAGGTTGCTGGGAATATCCAAGTACAAAGCCGGATAGTACTCACCAAGTCCAAACAACTCCGCCACATTGGCATCTCATTTCTCCGTCGAAACAAAAAATTTACTTTACAGACGTTCTCATCGCTATACTGGACCTTTGGCCGCTATCTATGCCGTGCTCCTACAAACACCGCTTCTCGACGCATGTAACGTCACAATGTCGTGTTAGCCTTGGAACAATTCGCTTCGCATTGTATAGATGCTGGGCCTCTATTTGCAACACTAGATGCAATGCTCGGCCGAGAACTGTACATACTGCACAAGACCCGCTTCTTTTCCCATATTCACTTGGCTTGCGCCAACGCTAGTGCGTCTCAGGCTGCGGACTAGGTTCGGTGTAGTTACAAAGCTAAATGTTCATCATCATCATGGCTCATTGCGTATACGGCATATACGTATTGCTAGTGGCGAAGACATACCGGGTGAGCAAGCATGGACAGCCCCAGTGACTTAGACGTTGGCATTATTGTTGAGCAATACTACAGAGCAAACGAGACCTTTCGAACAGGCTACATGCCCCCAGGTTTACGGCATCAACTGCATAATATTGAGCAATGGGTTATTTAGGCATTTGAGTACCCGGCAGACTCTGAGAAGATACTAGGAGGTGTGAGTCCGGTGGGCCCTGAACTATGTGTCATCAGAGTCCTTCCTGCAAGTATCCTGTATTCGCGGGGAGGGGTACGGCATCCATGCAACCGGGGGGGAGGGGGTGACGATGGAACAAACGCTACGAAGCCCTTGGAACGTCTCGTCATTTAACGCTAGCATGCGAGAAATCAGTGGTTGAGGATACGATGTTGGAGGCAGGTGTTTTATTGCCTCATCTACTCTTGAGCGACATTCGAATTTGAATTCGAACCATGCAGCCATACAGTAGGATGCAGGCTGACGGATCATGCTGTGAAAACGCAACGCGGCCTGCTTAGGGCTGATTACTAGGCGGACAGGTACAGGGCGCGGCGTGCAAGGTCATATTAAAATGCTGGTCCGGCCTTGGTCCGAAAACACTCACACTGTTGGTAGGCCTTGTACGATCGTACGGGTGAATAACAACAACGAGGTTCTTCTGGTGACTGGTATTGGTATTCGTATTGTCTACGAACATAGCTGCTACGAAGGTACACCTAAGCTCTGCGCAAGGTGGGCCGACGTCGGGCCGAAGTGTCAAGCAGCCGACGTCTCTACCGATACTCACGATCCGACACTGGAAGTCTTTTCTTTCTGGATAGCTAGTAACTCTGCTTGTATCGGTAGTGACAGTGTGTGTAGCATTAAACATCAAAGCTTGTTGGCCTCTGCACCCATCCATCTACTCGGACTGTCAGCTTGTTGCCGTCAATAAAGCGTTCAAGAGCGCGGTTTGGCGATGCCTTCGTGAAGGCGTCAGCAGGATTATCGTCACCATTGATCCAGCGGATCTCAGTGATCTCGCGACGCTCATATGATTGACGCAGCGCCATGATGTCGATCATAAGGCGCTTCTCCTTCGTTGTTCCAAGCTTAACGAGGCACTCGTACAAGGAGTACGAGTCTGTACAGACAACCAAGGGAACCTCAGGTATTCTAAGTCGTTCTGTGACTATTCTTAAGGTAGTGGCAATAGCGATGCCTATGTCAAAGCCGTTGACCATGCCATAAATCTCAGAGGCTAGTACGCTCCTTGTGACGCGCTTACATTTTGTAGAGCTGTAGTGGATTATGTTGCCTTGGATTGTGAAGGTGTTAGCGTCAATAGACTCGTTGACGAGCATGAGGACAAAGCCGAGCTGTGAGCTGAGGTCCTTGTTGTTAGCAAAGGAGCCGTCTACGAAGACCATCAACTTAGCCTCCGTGAGATTGACAGTGATGTAACGGAGGCCACGATCGAGGTTCTCTATCTGCCACTTCAGGCGCTTGTTGAGTGCCTTGATGTCCTCATCTGATAGTTGCTGCGCCTGAGCGGCGACGGACAGATCGAATGACGCCTCTGGTTGGCATGTTGATGCGATGTACGCTCCGCGGGCGCGCTGCTCTGTGTACTGTTGCGCGCGGTCGGGTGCCCTAACGTCCACAAGTTTGATCTTTCCTCCTTGTCCTTTCTGCCTAAGGTTCAGAATTGGTTTGCTAGCGTCGATCGTGAGTGTACATCCATTAAAATCCAATTGAATTTCTGGTGTAAGGACAGACTTTGGTTTCGATCTAAACTCTGCCTTCTGGATCTTTTTCTCTTCAAGTAACGAGAACGCGGGTGTCCCAAGCATGAGAGTGTCATCTGTTTGCATGCCAACGATGCCGAAGATGCTGGTGTCGCTGTTTGTGATTAACAGGCATGGGTCGTACGTAGATGTTGCCATGTCCAGTTCCTTGCAATGGTGCCCATGATAGGTTGTCCACCAGTGGACTCCTGCCTCTGCGATTCCATACAGTGGCTTGATCACATGGAGTAGCGTGCCCCTCGGATATCGTGGTACCAGCTCAGTAGGAAGATGTGCGAGTATCGTCCTCTTCAGGGTTGTCTGCGCCTGGGGATACGCCTGCGTGATATCACGGAGCTCTATGTTCATTCCGCGTTGTACCATCTCGGGCGCCAGCGACATAATCAGGCGCTGGCTGCATCGCTGGATGGTTGGAGATTGCGTCAGGATAGCCTCTTTGCCGTGGTCCTGGTAGCCTTGGATAACCAGGCGGGATTTCTCATAGGGCTTGGTTGTCTTTCCCTTGACCTCACGTACCAGGCGTGACTTGAAGATCCGGATCTTGCTGTGTAGCCTCTCGTCGTATTGCTCAAACTTGAAGACTCCACGACCTACGAGGTCGCTGATCTCTTGGTCATCAGATGCTTCAAAGGGTGCGCCTGGTGTTGTGATAACTCCATCGTTACGTAGCTTGATAGCTAGCTCAAGATCGTCCTGCTCCTTCTTGGTGATGTACGCGTGCCCCTTCCGCTTGTTCTTTGATCCTGGAGGGCGGCCTCTCTTGCGTGGTTGCACTGCCGGTGGTACTGCTACCGGCTCATGCGGCTCATTCAGCGCGTGTGGCGCATCGGGGTCGCTCCAAAGATGGTCCGGTCTGTAGTATGGCTTGACGACAGTAGATCTGAATGTTGTTGGACCATTGACCATATCGACAGTAACGTTGTGGCCGTCTATACTGGCGATCTTGTACGGGCCATTCCAGCCATCACTCTCTCTCCATACTAAGACTTCACTCTGGAGTGGGAGTGCTAGCATGTCTGCAGTGGCTGGTCCATTGCGGGCGTTCAATGCGTCTGCAACTTGGCGCTCTGCAGTAAGCTTGCGCAGGGCTTTCGTCGCCTTTTGAATAGCCTCGCTGCGCCTAACTATTGAAGGTGCCGGCGGCGACTCTGTAGTCATTCGTGGGTATGCTCCAAAGACTAGTAGAGTCGGGACTAGACCATCGGGTCCAGCGGTGTCATTGACAGCTTTCACGGCCATTTGAAGGATCGCTTCATCGGACATATCGTCTTGGAGCTCGTCATGGAGTATATCCCATGCTCGGCGAAGTGGTGCGTGGTATCTCTCAGTCTTGCCCACCGACCAGTGAGCCTCTGTAGACACCTGCTTGCATGTAACTCCCATGATCTTTGCCTCAGCACGGAACTCTGCGCTTGCAAAGTTGGTGCCTGCATCATGTGTGATGATGTCTGGTGGTCCTTGATACGTGTCGATCCATAGCATCCGCAGTGCCTGCCATGTCTCCTTAGCTGAGATAGCGCTGAGGAATTTTGCGCCTTGGAAAGCAGTTGAAGAATCAACCACATGTAATACTGGCTTGCCGCTGAGATACATCACATCCACCAGGATCTCATAGTTGAAGTGGTGATCATCCTTCAGAGTGAATTTGAATCGGCGCGGCGCGGAGCTGTGGAGCTGGCAGTGGTGGCAGAATTTAGTGACCTCCTCTAGGGTTCTCTCTTCAAAGTCGTTATGGCCAGCGTCCTTTAAGAGTTTAACTAGTCGCGTGACAGCTGGGTGTCCAAACCGGCGATGGAGCCGTCTCAGCTCTGTCTCAGTGAGAAACACCGTTGCTCTCTCTCTTGTTGAGATGGAACCATGGGTGTCCCCATTTGCGTAGAACAGGGATGCGTATCTTGTCCTGAACAAGCTCATCTGTAGTGTTATTGAAGTAGACTTTTAAGCGGTCCATATCTGCAAGGCACAGCAAGAACGGTGTAGGCGCCTCGAGCACTTCGAAGTTGATCTTCCCAATCTCTGTAGAGACCTGCACTGTTCCAATAGACGCTGTAGCCTCGCCTTTTCCGAATTTGATAGATGCTTTCCCAGCTGTAGATGTGTCTATCTTGACTGTTGGATCTTCTCGTGTGAGTGCAAGATACTGCTCTTTGCCAACTGTAGATACGTTGGCAGCGCCTGTATCCGGGAGGATACCTTGGTACAGAGATCGTGTATAGCGGTCCTCGAGCAGAAACTGCGACGCTGGTGCTGACGGCACGCCTCGACTGTATATGTCGTCGCCAGAAATGTGATGCAAGAACGCCTGGTCTGCAAGGCATTGCTCCTTGAAGAACTGGTTCTCAAAGTATTGTTGATCATTGGTGCCGTCGTCATTGTCGCTATCCTCGCAGTCTTCCTCTCTCCAGCCTCTCTGGTTATACTGGCTGGTGTGCTCGCTGCCTTCATATTCTGCGAGGTGTACCGAAAAGTCAATGGGCGGCTGTCCACCTGTAAAGTGACATGCAGAGAAGAACTGCGTGCGTGCAGCTTTACGCTCCTCGTCTGTGTGGTTTGTAGACCAGCATCCTTCCTTCTGGCAGACAAAGCACTTCTTCTTCCAGCGTGGCTTAGATCCACGGCTACTATCAAAGCGTTGTTCGCCTTCGTGAGATGCGCCTCTAGTTCCGCCTCTACCTTAGGATCCACCTCGGGTTCTTCTATTGCTGTTGTACCGGCGGTCCAAGTAGTACTGGTTATCCTGGTCTACCTCAGTGAAGTTGACAGAGGTAGTCATAGCGAGTGAGTTTTCGATCGAAGAGCGTAGGTCTCCAAACAGGACCTCGCACTCCAGAGACGGCCTGTAGAGCGCCATTGCGAACTCTTTAACGCCTCGACATGCTGTGATTACTGTGGTCCGGAGCGCATATTCTCCCATATACTGCTGTCCAAGCGCCCTCTGGCATAACTGGAGTTTGTCTAGCATAATGTCAAGGACCTCATGGAGTGTCTTGTCAGGATTCTCCTTATGGACTTTAGCAAAGGATGTCGTCGTCCAGTCTGCATAGTAGTGACTGTGGTTGACGTCCGTGTCGAAGTGGTTCTTAAGCTTCGTGTATACAGTCAAGAATGTATCTGTCCGCTGATCAACGAAGTGGAGGTAGTAGTCTTGCGCACGGCCTTCCAGGATCCGTGGAAAGACTGCATGGAATTGGTCTGGCTGAATGTCTGCGTGATAGCAGATGCTGTAGAAGATCTTCAATTTGTCGTCTAGGAGGTCGTACGGCTTCCCTGTGTATTTCTTCTCACGATCCCACATCTTTGTAAAGACATTGATTGTCTTCGGATCTAGTTTCCTATTATTAAACTCGATTAGGGGAACTGCCTTGTATAGGTCTGTATCCCCTGAAGGTATAATTGGAGGGACGCTCAGTCCCTTTGGGCGTTGTGGGTATGCTGGCGTGTATTCGCGGAATCTGTCAAAGTTGTTGTACGTTAAGCGAGGTTGATGACTTTGCTGTCGCTGGTCCGCCTGGTGTCGCCCGTCTGCCTGTGGTGTCCGTTCAATTGTCTCTACAAGCGGATCTGCTAGTTGTTGGCTGACCTAGGTACGGGTGCGGGTCTCGTCTTGGACATCGGTTTGTTGATCCTCTGCGTCTTGGTCTCTTGCCCTTGCAGAGGTTTGGCTCTGCGCTCGACTCGCTGTCCCTACGTTTGTAGGTTGTACCGATCCCGTAGTGTGTCGTCCTAGTAGCCTCCGCTGTTGCAGCATATACGCCGCTGACCGCTCGTCGAAGGCAGTAGATTAGAACTGATCGTCCGGCCACTTCGGACAATCCTCCTTGTGCAGTAGCTTGGCCACAGCTTCGCTTAGCGGCATGTTAACACGGCCAGTGTACACGCCCTTAAAGCGGAGGATCCGCTTTAGTTCCTTAGTATACGTTGCATGCGCGCGCATAAACATAGCTTCAGTCCAGCCTTCAAAGTCCTGACAGAACTCACCAAAGAGCTCTGCGTCTGCTGTTGGCCGGTCTGTGTAGTCTGCGATCGCACGCGCAATGTACGTTGTTGCTGCAGTTCCGTCTACCTCGTCGTCTGGGGCTTCGATCTCATCGTCCCAGATCTTTGGATCAATGTGACGCCACTCTCTTGCCTTTAGGTTTGTGGTCCCTAGCAACTCCTCTCGTGTGAGTGTACAGCCTCCATTACTGCTTGCTGTTTCGCTCGCCATTTGTTGTTGACGCGTGCCGTGCTGGCTGCGTTCGCCAGGGATACGTCGGTTGTCGTAGATTGTTGACGTGTGCCTTGCTGGCTGCGTTCGCCAGGGACTCGTCGGTAGTCGTGGGTTGTACACGGGTCAATGGCGCGACCAAGTGGGGGTCGGTGCGTGTATGGACTGCGTCTGGGAACGCTCTGATACGGCTGGAACGGTCGGTCTCAAGCCGGATGAGACGCCTGATACAGCTAACAGTGAACTTAGCACAGATAACTCCGCCGCTGATATAGGCGATCTAGGGAACGCGCGGGGTTATAGGATCTGTCTCTTCTAACCTAACTGTCTGTGACTGCCATGCAATCACTGATCAGTGTTGGTAGGCCTTGTACGATCGTACGGGTGAATAACAACAACGAGGTTCTTCTGGTGACTGGTATTGGTATTCGTATTGTCTACGAACATAGCTGCTACGAAGGTACACCTAAGCTCTGCGCAAGGTGGGCCGACGTCGGGCCGAAGTGTCAAGCAGCCGACGTCTCTACCGATACTCACGATCCGACACACACCACTCGGACGAAATGGTGAAACCTCGATCGACCCAAGACAATCATGGGTTTACCGGAATTATATGTCACAAGTCTCTCCTTTGCACAGATCAAAATTCACCATAGCTTTTACCGAAAACGGCCCGGATGACAGACAGTGCAGGCGGGTAGGTTATTATTATTATTATTATTATTATATTTCCATTAGAGTCCTGTATCAGTCGGTGACTATGTAGGACTTTGGCTAAGCCGTTCTATGTATGATGGTCGTTGTGGAGTTTCTATGGGTCTTGTACAATTTGGGTGGTGTTTTGCGTACTCCAATTTCAGAGCTAGTCTTCCATTGGCGCGGGTGCTAAAGAGCAGTGTGGTGAATAGAAAGAGATGTAGCAGCGGGCTCTTTTGGATAAGGAAATATTGTTTTTGTAGTTTTATACAGTGTCTGTCTGTTCGGTGGTTTGCCCAAGGTGCCATTTTCTCGTGCCAATCCTAGTACTTGCAATAAAGGCTAGAGTAGCTTTGATGCCTGTCTTTGTTTGGAGGAGAAGTGGGAGGGTGATGGGTCTGTGTGGTATTGATTCTTTGAGTGTATTTCGATGTGTTTTGTACTGTTTGCAATCTAGAAGTAGATGCTGTGGTGTTTGTGGTTTGTAGCATATACATAGATTGCAGTCTCTCTTGTTGAATCTCTTAAAGTAGGAGTTGAAGTATCCATGTCCTAGCTTGAGTGAGTAGAACGCGCTCGAGATTTCTCTTGGTGTTCCCTTCGGGACTTTGATTGTTGTATGTGTGTTGAGCTTGAAGATCCTTGAGTAGGAGCTTCTGTTTTTGGTGGGCCTGTCGGTATACCTCTTGTACTCCATCAGTTGTTCTGTTTTTTGTATTTTGTTGATTTCTGTGCCTAAGTAGGCTAGGCTCGCTATAGTCGATGTTGTTGGTCTCTCTTTAGCTTTGCGCAGAGCTTAGGTATACCTTCGTAGCAGCTATGTTCGTAATCAATAAGAATCACCGAACAGAATGCATTACTAGTTATCGTTATTTCCCTTTACGCACTTAGTGCAAAGCCAACCAACACTAAGTATAGTTGTCTAATAGCGTGTGTTGATAGGCCGAGTTCAATGTTCGCTAGTCTTCCTAGCCTGTAGAAAGCTTGTCTGGCTTGGCTTACACGTATAGACACATGTGATTTGAATGATAGTCGGTTGTCTAGATAGATACCTAGCCACTTGACAGTGTCTTTGTGTTCTATCCGGTCGTTGTTTGGGAGTATGAGGGCTCTTTCTATCCTCTCCTTCTTAGCGGTGAAGTGGATTAGCTCTGTTTTGGATGTGTCGAAGATAATGTCTAGCTGCTCTCCCTTGGCAAAGAGTGTAGCTATCTCTTTTTGCAGTGCTCTTGTATTTTTCTTTAGAGAGGTTGATGACGTAGTGAGAGATAGGTCGTCGATATACGATAGTTGAAAGCTTTGTAAGGCTGGGAATAGGTCTCGGATATAGATAAGGAAGAAGATTGGTGATACTGGGCTGCCTTTAGTTTAGTCTGTAGATAATATTGAAACTTCCTGTAAATTAAACAAATTTTGTACGTTAGGTATAGAAGTGTAATTAACTAGATAATCTTATGTAAATAATAGATTAGCATGCTAAACTAGCTGTACGTAAATCCTTTTACACGATAACTTAGCTGCTTAATCGCAAAAAAAAATTAAGTGGGGGTTATGAACCAAACTTCACACTACCCAGCCTCACCACCACCCAACAACAAAAAAAAGATCCTGGGATATCTGCTAAGCAGACGAAGCTGATGAGAGTGGGACTCGAACCCACGCCACTTTCGTGACCAGGAATATGTGTTAAGATAACCTTAACCTGGCGCCATAACCAACTCGGCCATCTCACCCATTGCTGTTTGATGGAGAAATGTGAATATTTTAAATAAATAACCATAGATAAAATTCAAAAGGGAGAGGAAGAGACGTTCGGTACGATCTATGTATGTTGGGGCGAACGATGAGGGGCAGGAGAATTTTGCAGTGGCTTTCGGCGGTCTCGGCAACACCATCAACAGATCGTCAACGAAACTTAAAGCACTATCCAAATATGGGCATAGACTAGTGAATTTTAGACGCTAGTTTTGCTAGTCTGATCCATTATCGCAACTAAAAGACTGATGTATTATGTTTCCTCTATATATGAAATATCTCACAGCGCGACAACGATGACAGCGTATAAAATATCCCTAGTCGGCACCAAGTCTAAGCGACTACAGCTTGCTCTTCAGATCTGATGGTTCTGGTCGCCACATCTCGTTGAGCAAACGCGTCGCGTTGACCATCTCCGGCTTACACTGATCCAATGAAGTAATCCCCAGCAATCGCATGCCCGTTTGCACCTCTTCCGCGAGTACTATCAGACATTAGTATCCGGCCCAGTCTTTCAAGAACGATCAAACTTACTGTCAACACACCTCTCAACACCTTTCGACCCATATGCGCCAAGCGCATACAGGAATGGCCTGCCTACACCAACAGCAGTTGCACCCAGGCACAACGCCTTGAGCACATCATTTCCGTCTCTCAAGCCGCCATCGAGGAACACCTCCAGCTTTCCCAGGACCTCTGGGCAATACGTTCGGATCTCCAGGAGCGTCATGAGGGCACTAGGTGCGGTATGGAGCTGTCTACCCCCATGGTTACTCAGCAAGATACCATCACAACCGTAGTCCATCGCAAGCTTGGCATCTTCCGCACATTGTAAACCCTTCAACACGATATGCCCATCCCATTCCTTGCGAATCCACTCGAGATCGGCCCAGGACAAGTGCGGACTCAGTTGACCCTGAACAGGGCGTCCACCCATGGCGGGTGCGAAAGCATTATCACCTCCTGCTTCCCAGTCCGCTGTACTCTCCTCTGCGAGGCCTACCGCGAAAGCTTCTTCAGCCTGCAGGTAACGATCCGCGGTTCGCTTTCCCAAAATGGGTGCATCGACCGTGATCCATAATCCCTTGTATCCGCAGCGTTTGACGATATGCAAGAGCTCGATGGCTTTCTTCCTGTCTACAGGCATGTAGTACTGGTAGAAGAGCTGAGTTGGACTTCCATGACCGAGCCGTTCCTGCTCGTCCTTGTAACTTTGCATAATCTGCTCGCTGCTCTTCGAACTCGCTGTACTGACTACTGTGTGTACGCCCTTTCGCACTGCCCCGCGTATCATCTCTGGCTCGGCGCCCGGGTGGATGGCACCCATCGTTCCCATTGGACAAATATAGAATGGGTAGGGTGAGCCATGACCAAAGATCTCGCGGCGCGTATCTACCTCTCCCACATCACGCATCACACGCGGGCGGAAGTTGATACGGCCCCAGTCATCGATGTTGCCCTTGATCGATGCACCGGTATTGGCCGAGCCAGAGGCGTATACATATGACTTGTGAGGTATTACTGCTTTAGCCACGGCTTCGAAGTCGGTCGCAGAGACGCAAAGGCTCGCGTGCGGGATTTCATTGGAGTTTGGGTCGGTATTGGATGGCTTTGTCGATTCTTGGCTCTTGACTTGGCGCAAGTGGCCAAATGTGTTTGGGTCGACGGGACCGAGACAGGCATCTTTGGGTAGGTAGTCCTCTAGGTAGCTCAACGGATGGTACTTTTCGAACTCTGCTGTCGCATCCTGCTCAAACATCAATACTCAACTCCACATAGCTCCGATTGCACTCACCGATCCGGCGTTCTTCAAAATGATCGGGGCGCCCCCCGGATGCTCGAGCAGAAAGTCTGTCACGTTATACGCTTTTGAATCGAGCACGATCCAGCAGTCCTTCTTGGTATTGTGCTTGGCTACTTCTGCTCCATCAACTCGCGACATGGTTCTACTCTCTTGAAACAGCTGGGCATTAATCGATATAACGTCTTGAGATTCGGCTTGCCGCCGTGGAGAGGTTTGAGGGGAAATCGCTGAAACGGGTATACCGCGCGTCAAGATCCGGGTGTAAACGTGTAAACGCCGGCATCTCGGGCAGGTCAGCTAAATGCGAACGCCTCCAGCTTCTCCAACAAGAACAAGACCGGCTAAGCTCCATCGCCAGTGCCGTAAGCTTTGCCGGTTTCCACAGTTATGATGCTTCATGATTTGATCTGCCTTAGCAGTTTTCGCTCGTTTCGCTTGACGCCTCGTTTTGCCAGTGACGCGTTTTTTCGCCCAGGCGCTAAACCCTTCGATTGCGGAGGTGTGATTTCCTTTTTCTCTACCACTCTATCAAGGACGGTGCTTGATCGCACGGTTAAGCGCTCTCCCTTCCTCGTTATCACTAACACTAGGAACTGGTCAGGATGGCCGTATGTCTGTTGCCAAGGCGCTGATTCCATAATTGCGATTGCGATCAGCAGGCATGCGTCTACCAAAATAGCTGTGATAGGGACTATGCACCCGAAAATTAAGGACACACCGATTGACAGAGGCGTAGAAAGTAGAAAGTATAGCCGAGCCAAGCGACGAGCTCAACAAGACGAGTGCCGCACGCATCCGATTCTGCGTACCGAATTCGTCAATGGCATTTTATGTCAGAGAGATGTTCTTCAGCTCTAATCTAGTAACTATGCCATGATATCGGTCAATCTGTTGCGATTACTAGATACATAGTCTTCCACCAGAACCATTCCTGACGCTTTCGTTAGTACCATCGTCGCCTCTAATAGTTCGAGGCCGTTCCACTGATAACAATGCCTGGCTATGCAGTTTCCCACGAATTAGCAGAGCGGCATATACCGTAGTATCTTTTGCACAATATAGCTGCCGAATGATCGTATGTTCCGCATGCAGGAGTCGAGAAAATAGAGTATAGAGCGTACATGTGTTATGAAAGCGCATCCTTCGTGTGACTAGGATCATATAGGCGAGGCCGAAGAGAAGTTTGCATATGTTGGCACTACTATGGGACATGGTAGGCAGTAGTCTTTACGTGCTGTTTTCCATCTTCCCTTCTTCTCAGCCATCTTCGTGATGCATCCCATTGTGGCTATTGACAGTTCTTTGGAGCTTTTACCAAGCCTTCCTCTGCAATGGGTCGAATAGTGCGATCGGAACGCTGATCCCGACCCATGTTTAACTTACCCGCCAGTGGCGTTCTCGCGTACTGTAGAACCGCGAGCCGAGCGTCCTTGATATGTTTTGCCATGCCTATAGTACGAAATTGGCAGATTGCATCCCACGATTTGGTAGATAGTTTGCGAAGAAATGGGTGTCATAAAATACTGGACAGTGTGGGTAAGCACCCAATAGACGTGTCTGGCGGCTACAGTGGCTTTTCACACTGGTATGTCTAGTATTTTATGACACCCGGGTGCGAAGGAATGGGATCGCCCAACGCTGCATGCATGTCTGTGGCGAATCCTCAGAAGACGCTGTAAGGCGTCCAGGTGCGAACATAACTGTCAAAGGGACGACCTGTTCTTCAACTCTCCTCATACGCCCAGCAGTCCAATGCTCAAGATGTTGGATATGTTACTCACTCGTTATTTGGCCTACGCTGCGCTCGCATCAGCAACATTTGCAATTACTGTACCACCTGCGGCAGAAACACTGGCTGCCGATGTGACGCCTGCAAATCTTCCACTCTTTGACTTCGAGGCTGTACAGTTGACAGACAGTGCTGTGGCCGCAATCCGAGAGGATGCCAAATTCGCGGAACACGCATCGCACTTTGACTTTGAGGATACTTCAAACTCCACATTATCGGTACGCGCTCGTCGCGCCCGTAGGGCGCTCCGTTGCAAAACGATGCCGGGTGATGGTTTGTACCCTAGCGGCGCCGTGTGGGATGCATTCGACGCCCTACTGGGTGGTGCTTTGCAGAAGGTTGTTCCTATTGGCTCACCCTGCTACAAGAACTCTGTATATGGAAACTACGATGCTGCCAAATGTGCAGACCTGGTCAAAAATTTTGATGCCGAGGAGATCTAGTACGTAATTAGCTCTCCATACCGCAGCATGTCAGCTAAACAGCCCAGCTATAACGACAACGGCGCACTGATGAACCCTTTGTACTATGGGATGACCTGCCCGATTCCTTCATCAGGAGACTCCGCCAATGGCAGTTGCACACAGGGTGGCTACTCGGATTACGCCGTGAAGGTCAACAATGTTGCGCAAATACAGTTGGCCGTGAACCTCGCGCGTAATCTCAACCTTCGGTTAGTCGTCCGCAACACAGGTCACGACTACAACGGTCGCTCAGTCGGAAAAGGCGCGCTTAGCATCTGGACTCACGGCCTAAAAGACATCAGGTACATGGAGAATTACGAAAGCTCCGTGTACAAGGGTCCCGTGTTCAAGCTCGGTGCTGGTGTCCAAGGATTTGAGCTATACCAGGCTGCGGACAAGTATGGTGTCTCTGCTATCGCCGGAATTTGCCCGACAGTTGGAGTTACAGGCGGCTACTCAGCAGGCGGTGGCCATTCACCTCTGATGCAACTGTTTGGTGTCGGCTCCGATCAGGTTGTCGCTTTAGAAGTGGTTCTTGCCAGTGGCCGTTTCGTTACTGTCACTCCAAAGGTCAACGGCGATCTCTACTGGGCCATGCTTGGTGGAGGCGGTGGGACCTTTGGTGTAGTCACATCTGCTGTTGTCAAGGTTCATCGCAGAGTTCCAGTCACCACCTCTGCTTGGACTGTGATGACATCTGAGACGATCACTGCGGAGAAATTCTGGGAAGCCTTCAGGTTCTTTTATGATAACATACCCATGTACAACAAGGCGAAGACGTACTCGTACTTTTCGCTTATGAAGCTCGGCCCCGGCACATATATGTGGACTATGGCGCCATTCTTCGCGACGGATAAGTCGGTCGAGGAGTACGAGGCTTTGATCAAGCCATTCTATGACAAGTGCGCCTCGCTCGGTATCGAGCTCAAGGCCAACACAAGCTACTATAACAGCTTCTACCCAGCTTACCAGGCCACATTCGGTACCCTGAACTACTACGTCGGTGGTGCGGGTGCTATCCCTGCCAACCGTTTAGTGACATCTGACAACTGGGAAACTCCGGACATTCGGGATCAGACATTTGCGGCTGTGCAGCAGGCTGTCAACAATGCAATGATGGTGAACATGTATCACCAGCGACCTGCTGACCTGGAAAACAGTAACATGAACTCGGTCAACCCGGCCTTCCGGACCGAAGAGGCACAGATGATCGTGATCAATTCAGTCACGGAGCAGACGGCAGCGGGGTGGAAAGCAGCGTCGGAGGCGCTCACGACCCAGATCATGGCCCCTCTTCGCGAGACAAGCCCGACTGGTGGTGCATATGGGAATGAAGCCGATATCGCCGAGCCTGATTGGCAGCAGGCCTTCTGGGGGTCAAACTATGCGAGGCTGCAGCAGACCAAAAACAAATACGACGCCAACATGTTGTTCTACGTGCATCATGGTGTCGGCACTGAGGGTTGGGCGATTGACGACAAGGGTATCGTAGGGGTTCAGTCGAGTGATGGACCATTATGCCGCATCTAGTCGCATTGCAGCACAACGTGCTCGTCCCTGTCGTTTGGTTCAATGCAAGTCTGATGTCATGAATGAGATTCTGTTTGACGTAACGTGGGCGGTACCGACCACGCGTCGCCTACAACGCACAGCGCTTAGGCTGGCCATTGTTTGCTGACACGCTGAGTCGCGATTGCCAAGCGATGGGGTCTGACATTGTGACACGGGAGGAGAGCGTGGGGTTTGATACGTACAGTACCTCGGCAGCGGCAGTTGCTAGAAGGTTTGCCTATGAGTGGGTTCGTCGGCGCTATATAGATGCTGCTTGTGTGTATGCACCGTGTCGGCCGAGGGGTTAACTAAATTAGTCCGACGACGCCAATGCCGCCGTCGGGTTGGGCAAAAGTCCAAGCAAGTCAACCATATCCACCGTTTCTCGGTTCCAAGTCTGCCTTGAAGTGCATGCGAATCCGATAAAAGAAACGGGCAAGCAAGCGTTGGACCCACGGTTTTGAATGTCGTAGGATTCGGCCGTGGGGTGTCTGTGCGACAGTGATGCTGCAGATGCGGAGGACGGGCACTGGTCCGCTTTCAAACCCAACCATCTGGTCCGCCGAAATTCCAGAAGCCTGACAGGCCGACGGAAGGTTGATGCGACACGCATAACCTTGCCGTCGCACGTCTACGCCTATGAGGAGGCGAGACGTCCAAGATGCGCTGGAGCTTGTGTCGCACCCTATGGTGCGGAGCCAAGTGTCTGAAAAGTGTGTCGAGACACGGTCAGCCTTGCTTCCTGGGGCAGTTGCACACGATTAGTCACCCTCTGATAGTCTGTCATCACCACCCTCTGCGGCATGTAAAACAAACACAGATCTCGCCCTCCGCCACGCCCTCCTTTCCCACCCTGCCGTCTAGCCATCATTGTCCGTTCGTTAGTCCATATCTGAATAAATTCCGCCGGAAGCCTCACCATCCGACGCGGAACCCTCAACATTGGCCTCCAGCATGTGCCCCTTCAGTAAGCTTGGCACCTTTCTTGCTCTTCAACCGTGACATGCTAACGCCGGAAAAGCATCTCTTCCTGCAGGCGAAGGTCCTGCACGATTCTCTCCTACCGCAGTCAAAGACTGGCAGCCGAGGCGCAAGTCCGTCTCCAATGCTTGCGAGCGATGCAGAAGGAGAAAGATTCGATGCGACGGCGAGACGCCGTGCTCGACCTGCAAACGCTTTGCCATACAATGTGTGAGAACGCAGAAACCGAAAGAAGTGGTCGCGTCGTGAGTTCTTGGCGCCCTAAACCGCGTGCTCGCGTGGTCACATGATGCTGCAGTTCACTAATCCCATTCAAGCGAGCATCGAGAAGCACTGGAAGGACGAATACATCAACTTGAGGCCCAATTGGCAAGACATGTCAATGCGCCCATGCATGGTATGGAGTCGATTGATCAAAACTTGATGGCCAATACACCAACATCGTTCGATTGGCAAGCGCCACCAGCGACCCACCTCAACCTCGACACGACCATCCCTGCAACCTTCACAGCCGATAATCTGGATCTACGCGCATTCTCCACCAAGAGCGCCAGTATGCCCGCCATCGCTATAGACGAATGTGAGCCTTTCCCCAACTTCTCGTCTCCGTCTTCACCAGTACCTTCATTATGGTTAGGTACCACGCGTGCCTCGTCCCCCGAATCCGCCACCCCCGGTTCCGCACTACCACATTCTCAACATACCCCTTCGTACCCGCCCGCACCCAGTAGCAGCAAATCTTTTGCATCGTCAACCGACATGCACACGGCGCCATCATGGGAGTTCATGGCCGGAGCGGGGTCCAGTCAGCTTCACCCCAATAGCCGGGACCATTCACGAAAAACGTCCACCTCTTCTCAATCCCAAGGAAGTTGCGATCAGGCCATGTCTCCAATTCCCGAAGTTGAAGACGACATTCTCCCATTAGCACCAGCACCCCGATTGCCGCGACAAGGCATCTTCGCCGCTCGCCATACAGAGAGCCCTGGTCCAGCCTCATCACGATCAAGTTTCACAGACCGGAGTCGTGCTCTCGCAACTACCCCGCTGCCAAGTCGTTTTGAAGCCGAGACCCTAACGACGGAATTTGTTCAACATCTGGAGGCCCTGGACTACCGAGCCTACTCTATTTCTCCCCCACTCTTCTCCCGATTTTGTGAAGCCGTGTATCCCAACCCACAGCGCCCCGTACTAATGGAGGCCTCGCCATCTATGCCAATGGCCCGTTTCCACGTCTTCCTTGCCATGGCTGTCGCCATGAAGGTCCGAATCAAGGATTCGCCAGAGAACACCAATGCGCTCCTCGATACCTGCTACGATCTCGCCATGCAGCAGACCGCCTCGTCCACTTTCTGGCAGGAACCTGGTGGTTTGGAAGCAGCCCAGCTTCTAGCCCTCTTTGCTTCACTCCGAAAGCCCTCGGCCGAGGAGCCCCGTTCGCTTTCGCACTCCTTTTCCTGGTGACACCCACCACACGCCCCCTCTTTTGCGACGAAGATGTCCTATTAGGGATTATGATAGGCCCTGCTTTTCTGTATCTATCTGCTCCAACGGTCTTTGTATTTCTGGTGTGTCGTTTGATATCCGATGAACACGTTCTTCCATATCTATCATTCTTGTTGCCTCCCCACATGCGTCCAAAACACACATGTACATTACCCATTTTTTCCATTCTATACACGTGCCAGCAAACTCTACAACAAAAACTCAAAAGTCAATCCAATCCAATATATTAGACATGCAGCTACATTGCATTTTTTTTATACCTGTGGAGCATCGTGGAATTATGCGTATACATACTCGATCATGTGCGTTCCATACGAAGCATGTGTTGTGATCTAGTTCATGACTCAAGTGGGGACCGGTTGAGAATTATATCAGCTCTCAGTTTATCTTTTCTGTCACATCTACTTATTCTGATTGTACTATACCCAATCTCGTTTTCAAGTTTCAGCTAAAGCCCTACCAGGCACATAAAGCACGACCAGGGTACGTCTATGCGTAATTTGACTTTGCTAATGTATTAATTACCAGGGGCAATCTAGTATTACACAACACAAACTACAAGACTACATGCAGATTATCCGAGGGTATAAACTCCAGTCCAGAAGCAGAAATAAAAGGAACACAGTGCATACAAAGTCTTCATCAGCCCCTTAACCTCCCTTCTCTATCAAATTACTCATCTCATCTCCGTCTGCCTCTAGCTCGTAATCTTTCCACTCACGCTTCTACCACAACTTCCCGCTGTTCCCATGGCAGACCGACTTGGCCTACCAGTTCACGCCCTTCTGCCTCAGGGCATCACTGACCTGTAGCGCCGGAATAGTGAAGCCATACCCGTCCGTCCTGCCCTCACGATCTTTGTTGCTAATTTCCACTCTAAGCGAAACATCCAACCCATAGGGTCCACAGAGACCAGTCGGTTGGATACCACCTGCAGCCGGATGCTGGGTACCGGCACTCTGCTCACCGAGATGGAAGGGTTGGCGCATGTTGTCTTTGGGACCTGGGGCTTCACTGAGCGTAGACTTTGCATCGCCGTTGGTGTTGATGGAAGGTGCCTGTCCGGGTGCAGCGCCGGGGGCGGAGAGTGTGGCGGAGGGAGGAACAACGGATTCGCAGATGATGGCATAGTTGCGGGATGGCATTGTAGCGTGGTTCTTGGCAGAAGTCTTAGGTTCGATTTTGCCGTCTTTGCCGTCGCCATTGATGGCGGCACCGTTGGTGCCGTTTGAAGCATTCACGCCGTCGGGCAGCGCTGGGTCGCGGTCGAAGATTTCGAGCAACGTCTCGTCTGTCTCCTTGTCCAGGTGATGGATCTTGTTGCGCCGGGCGAGGAGGTTGGCAACGGCCTGAGGCGGGGGCTTGTTGGTAATGGCGGAACTGATGATGTTGGGCATGTAGCGCCAGTCTTCCTCTGCGCGGAGACCAGCCTTGGGGTTTGAGTAGAAGCGGCCGATGGCGCCGAGATGGACGTCTCCACCAAGGATAGTGACACGAGCTGAGAATTTCTGGGAGAACCTCTGCAACCTATGCATCAGATCCCGACGTTCCTGCTTATGTTGCCGTGCAGTGTAGTGGTCGTCCAAGTCATCGAGCAAATCGACCTTGCCATCGAATTGGTTGAAGAAGCCACCGGCAAAGCCGAAGCGCTTGTTCAGAAACTTGATGGGTGCAATCAATGGGGATTGAAGGATGTTTTCGAGCCAGATCAGTCGTGGGTAAGCGATGGGTACACCAAGCAATAGTATCATGTGCTTGAGCTCGGGGTTAGCGCTAAACTCTTTGTCTAGACGCTCGAAAATCATGTCATATG